AATCATCCCGAATGCTAAGAGAGACAGACTTAACTTATTAACAAATTTAACCTCCATATGCGTAAATCAATATGCTTTTGACACATTCGTTCATCAAGGTCAAACTAGATAGAACATGACTCATACACAAAATTTGAATATGAATGGATTTCCCGTATTTCTCTCCAGCATGCAACGCAAACAATGAGACTTAAAAACATTCGATTGTATTTTTATTCGAAGCATTTATCAAGCTTCAGGTTAAGTAAGCCACTGGTATTAGTTAGTCAGTCAGTCACAAAATACAAAGATAACTTTCGTGATTAAATTAGTGAAGTTACCATAACAACGACATCACTATAGTTACACAAATAAAATCACTTAAGGGAATTGCCAAGTGGTAAAAGCAGGAAGAAAATGTCGATTATGAAAGAACAGATGAAAAACAATTCGAAATAAATTGGCCATTCCAAGTTTTTAGAAAACCTAGTTGGTGGTGAAATCCAAGTAGCAAAATGGAAGGATACCAATTTTGAAGAGAAATCACTTATACGAATGGGTCATCGGGTGTTCATTCCTAGATGCTAACCAAAATGCCCCAATTAAAGGTGTAATACAGTAGCCATTAGGCTAAGTGAAATGACACAGTGTTACACTTCATGTTAAATGTTTCGAGTCACTACGCGTACCTGGTCAATAAACCAGACGATCCCTACTGGTTGGTATCCGGTGAACCAATCCAGCTGACAACACTTGAGAAATCACATCCGCCCTGATAGGTTGTTAGTGTTTGACTAAATCTCTGCACATATATAAAAGGTTCAATTGACTTACACCAACTTACGTCACCTGTGGTGCTGTTGTGATATCGAATTGGTTATTACCGATCAAGTGTACTGCAGCACTGCAGTTCGCTAAGTTCTACTATATGGCTACATGGCCAATAAAGAAAGAGGACAAGAGAAGGCCGATGGTCTCCGTAACACTGGTCGTGTGTGGGAGAACCACCAGATCAATAACGCAGGGGTAAAGTGTAAAGTTTTAGATAAAAAAGGCAACCCCAATGCCTCATATTAGCTGAAGTGTGTTCAAGCTATAAAAGGACTCGAGGTGACTGGACTAAAACGTGGTGTCAGTCGTCCATGAAATCCCTGACTGCACGTAAACACCATGTAGGGAAATGTAGGCCTCCTGATCGGGCTCCGCTTGATAACCAAAACTGGACGTTAGAGACTGTAGGCTTTATATGAATCAGAATCGAATGCATAGGCGTAGATGCATCCACACATTATTCTCATCCCAATTGATAGATCATATTTCATTAGTTGCTTCATTCTCTTTTCCTTTCTACTCATGACTTTACAAGACTTTTTGATCAATTTTCTTTATTTTCCACCAAGTCGCTTTAAATCTTGATGTCCTGATGTGGAGTGTGGCAACTTGGACCGCTACACAGTATTGGCAGAGTTTCAAGTGCACACTGGTTGACTGACCCGCTCTAGTTCTGATAGGAGGTCAGTTGGAATCTACAAAGAATAGTAACAAAAGTTTCTTACTTCAGTGCTGAGTAACATTGGCTGGAATCTATGATGGCACGAAATTTTTAAAAGTTAGAGGCACATCTTGATGATCATTGGGAGGAAGCATGAGATCTAAGCTACTGTTGACCAAGTCTAAATACCTGCAACCAAAGTATTCCTAGACAATAATCTGGTTAGAAGACAAGCATATTATTGCATTATAACACAGATCGGTCAAAACACCATATGAGCCAATGAAATTTCGATGCCAGATAAATAAACTTTCACAAGTTTTACCTTTGAAAATGAATTAAAGAAGAACCATATTGATTTCAGTGCATCGGAGTGTTGATTACAATAATGGGTAAAGACTGAATTCGGTCAGCACTCAGTACTAGACAACATGAGATTGGTTGCCGTCCAGCGGCCAATCAATGTATCTAATCTAGTCCTACAATACGTCAGTCGAAGTCAACACAGCTAAGTGGTAACATCGCCGACTACAACACTGCGTGACCTGAGTTCGAATCTCAGAGAGGACATCAGTTCCCTTGCTGAGAAGTTCAAACAAGCATAAAAACATTGATCTAGGGCTTCCCGCTGATTGCCTCCAACCAACTACTATACATCAAAGTGGATAACGATAGTGGTCCTCCCCAGATCACTAGGATTCCGTCACCACTCAGGACTAGATAACACGAGATTGGTTGCCATTGCGTGACTAATCAATGTACACAAGTGATGTTTTATCAAAATTACCCACTGAGATTGAAGATACCAACTCGATAGGCATGTATAAGTCTATGTAGAAGTTTGTGTTCCATGCGCCGAAATTAATAGCCAAGAGCAATGAGACCAACAAGTTTAGCCGGATTGAAGCTGACTAAAATCAAACGGTGCGTTGCCATAGTGTTGAGAATCGAATAATAGCACAAGCCTACTCACTTATATCAAACAGAAAGTGATAAGAGAAAAAGTGCTTTTATGAGTAACATTGACAAAGCCAAATGATCAACTTCCTCTCTTTACACTATTTCAATAAATAACACTTACTTATGTGATAATTCTTTTAGTAAAAATCCTGTAAGTAGTTCAGAGAGAAGGTTTTAATTTTCCTAAAACAATCCTACTTCAGAGTGTAAGGAATTGAACTTGGCTCTTTTTTGCATGAATAGAAATTAACACCTGCTTAAAATCATGTATATGTTTTTATAACATTATTATTATTATTGGAACACGAACATGGTACAGCAAGAGCACCAAGGAATGAACCACACAAAATATTATAATAACAATGTGAAGACCCAAACGATGGGAAGTGGATAAGTAGGAAGATAAAGCACTAAGAATGGCATGATTTGGAGGAAGACAATCCAATACAGGATATATTCAAAACTCTGAGGCAACTGAGTTGCGTGATCTCTTGGAACCCACCTAGAAGGTCATGATGCACCAACAGATCCTGTGGCGCTATTTCATACACTAACCACCCGTTGGGATAACATGCGTAACACATATCCAAGCCATCAAAGCCGGTGTTTCCAGATGACTTCACCTATTGAATGACGAACTCTATCATGCCCAAACACAAGCTGTCGTGCCTCAGAATTACTTACATGGTGGTATCACCGGATACGAGCAATCCTACGGAGAGAACGATGATTGAGCACACAGAGTCGTGGCACATTCTCAGCTCGGAGAGGTCAGGTTCCACAGGCGTAGAGTAGAACTGCTCAGACGTGTCGACTACTTCAGACAGCTCACTACCAAGGGTGAGCGCAGGCGCATGCTCCTGATAATCTTGAACTCAAAGATCATTAAGTTATTAACTAACAAAGAGCAGGTTCATAAGGAACTCCAGGTTCTGAAACGCCAAAAGGCACCCGGTCCATATAACTTACTCGCGGCTCTTTTCAAGGATGGAGGGATGATTCTAGTCAGTTCCCTGACTAGATTGTTTGAGAAGGTATGGCAAGCTAAAGGTGTTCCATCACTGGAACGAGACCATGGTGCAAAGCATATACCATACTTATGCACACTAATCGCCAAATGATTAAATGAGATTTGAGTAGCCTGTGTTATCCCACAGTAAGACGATATCGTTTGCACATTCAAGGTCGAGTAGCTGCTCTCCGGGTAGTAGATCTGCACCACTATAACGCAACTCCTTCAGAGCTGTCTCTAGAATGTCATCGATGGCAAAGTTAAAGAGGAATGAAGAGACCGAACAATCTTGCATAACCCCACTTCTGGTTTGAAACAATGGAGACAGATGGTTGTGTGTCATCACTCTACCTGAGTTGTTCTTAATAATAATTTTCCAGGCACGCCCCTCCCCAATGGACAGTTCCAAAGTACAGTTTCGCCCAACGAATGGAAGGAAATCCTACTGTCATGAAACATAACAATTGTTGGTCTGCAAGATGTGTGGTGATGTTCAAACATCTGGCGGAGGGTAAAGACATGGTCAATGCATCCACAATCTGAACGAGACCCGGTCTGCTACTAGCGAATTATTCCCACAAATGTTTTTCAGAAACTGGGAAGTATAATAGCATCCAATATTTTCGGCGCGACTGGTAACAAACAGACTAATACCCCAATGATTGTCACATATATTATGTAAACCCTTTTTAAAGGTGGGTACAATGATGGTCTCGTTCCAGTGATGGAACACCTTTAGCTTGCCATACCTTCTCAAACAATCTAGTCAGGGAACTGACTAGAATCATCCCTCCATCCTTGAAAAGAGCCGCAAGTAAGTTATATGGACCGGGTGCCTTTTGGCATTTCAGAACCTGGAGTTCCTTATGAACCTGCTCTTTGTTAGTCAATAACTTAATGATCTTTGAGTTCATCAACAATCCAAGAGCATTTTACACTGCAGTAGTTGCAGTAAACAATATCCACATATACGCGATCACTTATTCGCCCGGATGGTAATGAGACTTCAACTATCACAGTAAATAATTTAAAAATGAATGATGAACTTTGCGATTTTTTTTGTATATGTTCATAAATATCAGATGACAAATCCATTTTTTCCCCGGTCTAATTCAATTTGTCAGTCAGAACTCGTATTACTGCGTAACCGTTCATATTTGACACGTCTCTAACTAACATATCACGAAATTAGAAGGCAGCAAGAAGAACGATAGAGAGAATGGAAAAGAAAGTAATCACAAGTCGTAGAAAGTCACCAGAGAAGAAGACGAGGAAACCAACAAATTGTAAAAACTTGATGTAATGATGATGATGATGATGCCCATCAGTGATATTGTAGTCTATTCTCGTTATCACTCAAACTCGTTCTTCCTAATTAAAACTCATGCCTTTATTCATAATTCCCTTACCATCTGTCATAACATTAAGCTGAATTAAATTGAACATGTAGAATAACCAGGAATGTTGTACCCTAGCCAAGGGTTAACTCAACTTCCCTTTCTTAAAAACGGGGGAAAGAAAATGAGCAGTTCAAAAACTCTGAGGGAATAAACTTACAATAAACATATAAGAAGTTGAACTGAAGTACCATTCAATTTTCATCTCTGAATATGAACGATTCACCAAACGAATATTGAATTGAGTTAATGTACGAAATGATATTGTGTCTGAGATCCCAGTACCATAAGTAAATACACTTTGAACCTGTAAGATATTTTTAAAGTAAAGAAAAAAGTGAAATAAAATAACATTACAATTGAACATACAAAATAACAATTTATTTACAATAGAAACAAATACTAACTAAATCCAATGACAGAAGTAAGGCTAATGCTAAACTGCGAAATCACCTATACAAATATACCGAGAATGGCAGCGCCTCAAGCCACTCATCAACCAACTGACGTTATATAAGAAATACGTTGATGACACCTCCATCATATGTGACAGCATACTTGATAAACAAGAAATTCTGGAGCGCTTTAATGGTTATCATTCATCAGTAGAGTTTACTGACGAGAATAGACGAGAGGTGAATATACAGAAAACCAACATGGACTGAACCAGTTGACAAGCCTACATAATTAGACTTCACTAACCAAAAAACTTAATGTTATTCGCTCTGTTTTCTTGAAAGCATAAAATTTGTTCCGTAGATTGCAAAGAAGAAGAGATAAATTTCTTGAAACCCACCTTTTTGAAAATAGATATCTATCAGGTCTCATTGAGTAAAACATGAAACATAATAACACTCCTTTTCACTCCCAGTTCCTCTGATTACCCTAGGACACTCGACTTTCACCAGCACTGTTTTGAAGATATTGTTGATGATATTTTGAAAAAAACTGTTGGGAAACATCGATTTGTAAGAATAACTTGCTAAAACTGACTAATTCAACGTGCCTTAATCAATTCATCTGATCTGTGGAGTTAGGTATGCAGGTAGTTCCTATAGGACTATCCTCCGATGCATTCGAGAATGGCTTAGTATAATGCAGAGAAGATTAACTAACATGCAGCTTCGAATAAACTCTTCGACATTAATTTACAAAACCCAACCAAACATTCCTTATCGTTTACGTCTCCATTTGTAATATATTATAGAAGACTTGGTAATTCATAATTTGAAACCAGAGTAATTCACATAAAAATAATCTAAACAGCGTAATGAGAAGACAAAGATTATCTGAAACATGTGATGTATTAGCGCTATACATTTCGAACAATCTGATCACATATAGACTTGTCGAACCATTTATGTGAAAATTTACGAAAAAGGTCCATAAAGTTAATAGGAAACATAGGAATAGGAAGGGATAGAAAAAAAAAGGAAAACCTTACTCTTTTTATGAAAATTAAAATCAATACTACCAAGGTAGGTTCAACGTGAGTACGAATTGTTTTTGTATACATATATACAGATTGTCCGAAATGTATAGCGCCAATACATCACATGTTTCAGATAATCTTCGTCTTCTCATTACGCTGTTTAAATTTATCAAAGGGACCAGTTGCTTTAAAAATAATCTGTTAAATCTCTTTCGTTACTGTGGTCCCAAAGTGCTTAACTAATAAGGCATCTGAATATCCTGAACATTGACCACTCTCATTTCAAGTTATTTTGGATGTCTACGGTTTTGTTATTTTCAATTTGCTCTATTTCGGGCGACTTTAAAGGCCACTCTAGCAAATGCTGAAATGAACAATCAGGCTTTGGTACTTGGCCTAGAAAAGTAATTTTCCAAAAAATAAAGGAATGTAATTGGCTGTTTAGTCAGTTGCTAGGGTGGCCTTTAAAGTCACCTCTCTATTACACATGATTATTATTGTTTATGTTCTATTTACAGTTCTTGATTGTCGCTCATATTACACGAACTTCATTTAAATCTGTCCCAGTTAAATATTACTACTTATGGCTGTGATGTTACCTTGAGTTAATAACGGATTTCACAAACACCTTCTACTTATTGATACGCATCTTGCAAAATCCACCCGACGACAAAACCACTTTTCGATTTTTAAACACAACTCACAGTCATTACATCTCATCAATAACAAGCACACAAGCTGAGAGAGGTGGATGGGGATTTTAATTTTGAGGTGGTAATCACTAGGGTCTTATGTCAGTTAGAGAACTATTGAAAACCTGGGAATGGGAGCGATGCAACTAAAGACCTTAAGTGATAGTCACAGTGTCACAAATTGACAGAAGTGAACAACTGTGGTTCAGTGAACTCCGCCCCAGCGCGTTCGCCGCGAAGCCTGAAGGTCCTGAGCTCTACCCCTAGTCGGGTCTGGGTGCGTACTGTTGAGTCTCATAGTAGGGAGAAACAGCCGTCCAGTGCTCCCAGGTTCTCAGTGATTCTGCAACTGATGTCAACTCGTGATATATATATATATATATATATATATATATATATGTACAGCTTTTGAAAATAAATTCGCTGAAAATGATTTCCCTTGCTGAACTAACTGTTATATCATAAAAAGGGGAAAAAAGTGGCTTCGAAGTTCTATCCTTGAACATTTGTTATATTCCAATTATTCAACTGACAAAAACAATGATTTTCTTCTATCGCTTCTTGCTCCCGATACAGCTATATCATTTTTAGAGCTTCTCGCTTGTAATCTCTTTTGACTTCTTCCGATCTGCATACATGCATTCCTATCAGTAGCACCCACTACAATACTACCTGACCCCTCCTCGGTCTGTTAGCTCTACCATCTCTTCGTCCCTTTTACAATCTGTATGCATCCTACAAACGATCTAAAAATTCTACATAATCCCATTTTGTCACTATTCAACCCACACCTATACATTACCAACCAGTAACATTATTAAAACCACAACCATCATTAATGTGATTTCAATCTTCCTTAATTTAAATTTCCTTGAAAAGAGTCCTCTTCGCGGAATGCCTTGTGGAAAACTTCACTTACTTGGGGAGTTACATCAGCCCGACGAACGGGCTGGTTGCTGACGGGACCTCAGATCGGATACAGAAGGCCTATTGGCATTTGCCAAAGTGAATCACCTGCGCCGTCGACTAGCAAGATATTTGACTATCTATCAAAGGACGAGTATACTACGATGCACTCCGTTCTGTCCCGTTATACGGCTATGAGACATCGTTCAAACGTTAGATTTGGATCACTATCATCCACTATCCCTATTGGCCAGGGGTTTACGCCACCGACTTGCGCATATGAACCTAATATACATGCCTGAACGGTAAATCATTGTACATATTATTCTTTTCTCAATCTAAACTGTCCGTCTTATCAGTCATGACAACGAATCATTACTGTGACGCAATGCTGATATACTAACAACAAGCCTAATCATTAAAACTACAAGCAAATAAGCTTTACTTATAGTCAACATTAGTTATACAGGATTTCATGTGATAAAGTGTAAGCTCACTAAGAACGTGAAAGATATAAAAACAGCCTATGATGTACTTAAACAATTAAAAATGCTAACCTGTGAATAAGCGATCGTTGATGTAATATGACTCATCAAATAAAAAAAATTCACTTCCATCAGGTCAAACAGAAATGTGTGATACAATTGTACTAATCAATACAGTACACTGAAGTGACAACGTAGTTTGCATACAAAACTAAGGTTATCATTAAGGTTAAAAAGGTAGGGAGATGAATAGACAAGTATGTAAGCATAGCATGTTACCAAACCTCTCAACATTGCAGCAAAATCAAATGTGAATACTTAGTAGAGATGATGTATATGGATAAACAAGGGAGCTAGGTGTGGTGTGACATGTCAATAGGTAGTTATTACAATTGATTACAGCCATTTTACGCAAAAGTAGTTGAATCTGGGGATTTGTGGGGATTTATTGATTGATTTTAAGTTGATATACATCACGGATTGACATTATCTAGAGAACCATTGAACAAGTGGAAGAACTGGACAGCTATTTCGCCCTAGTATGGGATTCCTCAGCAGTGAGCACCCGTGACCCCCTCCCCAAAGGATAGAACCCAAATTGAAATCAACAATGAATCCCTGTCCAGTGCTCACTAATGACTTGCTTCGAGATGAGATTTCCAAAGTTCGAATGAGAATTGGTGATCGGTGGTGCGTGAGGACAGTTACTCAGCGACGGCATTTGGATGGAAATGCGCCATATCAAAAAAGTAGCTGAATAAATTTCCTGAGAATGAATGACACTGCGACACAAGAGGTCATTAATAGGCTTTAAAATACCTATCTATACACCTTAGGTGAGTTGCTAAATAAAATGTGATGGATTGCTGCTTCCTGAGCTGGTTCTGATTAAGTGGGAGTGTGGTCACGTTTTAAGAAGTGATCAACTAGTTCATTGATTTCAGTCTATATGTCGAAGTTACTGCTTTACCAGGACTTAAAAAATATCATATAACTCGACTAACAACCGTGACAGTAAATGCAAACAGTAGGAACATCAAGAACAAACGATAAAAAAGATGTTATAGTTTACCTTGTGGTAGTTGGTGGAATCTAGGATATGCGTTTCGTCCTACTTGGGACTTGTCAGCTGGATGTGCCAGCACCGCAGTGAGTGATTTTGTTTCCACTAAGACTCCAACCCAACATCCACTAGGTCTAGTGGATAACGCTTTGGTGTTTGAAGAGATGGGTACGGGGTTTGGTCTCAAAGGGAACATCATTACTCACCGGTGTCCAGTGACATGCAGCTGACGAGTCGTAAATAGGACAAAACACGCATCATGGATGCCATCATGAATACTCAGGCAGTATCGACTCATCCGCAAAAGAGCTCATCTGACAACAGAATTCAAGCAATTCGATCCAGTATAACAACGGGAGATTACAAGTATTAATAAATAATGGTAAACAGGAGTTGAAGAGTACTCCTGTAGTGGGTGTTGCTGAGAAGAATGGATATAAGTAGTACATGTTGAGACGGCAGCAGAAATCATAGGGAATTATCAGTAATGGGTAAGGATTCTGCCAAGAGAAACGCAAGAGACAACGCGAGTGTATGAAGAGAAAATCAAGAGAGAAGCAGAAGATAGAATGAAGCATATTTTGCAAATGACTTAGTACAAGGTCTACCATATTTAACGACTACTGTACCACATATTAATAAACATTTCTTCTTTCGTCTCTGTCTTCTCGTTTCCTTCACTCCCATGTACCGTTACAACTGTCAATATTACGTTGAACAGTGTTCCTAACCTTATTACGGCTTATTTAATGAACCGAATACACATGAGAAAGGCCTCGAAAACACCTGTAATTGAATAGTTTCGATCGCATCATGTTTTCTATTTTCGATAACCAATTAGCGCCAGCAAATAAAAGAACAAAAATGAACTTCTGAGCACTCCACATTTCATCAATGTTACGGATATGGTAAATTGGCATAAGCTCCCTGAAAATTATTAAAGGATAACGGATGTTACTATTTTAATTTACTTATGCACAAAGTGGTACATATATCAAAGAACCTACCTTTGCATAATATGCAGTCCCACTTTCCAACCCTGTCAATAAACACTCTTGAACACTTGATGGAACCGTGACATTATTTATTAAACTTGGCGTTAACTGTTTCCAATATGAAAGACGATATTCAAGCAAAGCACTCCACTCATAACCTTCTATAGGAGACATCCACGTTAAACGACATGAATTGAGACCACAGTATTGTACTCGAACTGAAATTGGTTGATTTGAGACTAGTAAAAAGAAATTAAACGCAATATGTCAGATAATTACACGAAAGTGGTAAAAATACCATAGCCCTCAATAAAGCTGTTATTTTGCTTTTCCCACGTTATCTGTTCTCATCACAATTAGTCATCATTCATTTGATATGCTAAACTTACAATCTTATTCATTCTATAATTCAAATATAACGTGTAAGTCACCTCAAGTTTCACAAACTAAAATTAGTCAACTCCACTTACTAATTTCGTATTTCCATTCCGTATACAGATGTTTTCAATCTAGACTTGCTATTATTATGACCACTACTTCAGAGAGTGAATTTATCAAAACATGTATTTATTTTATGTTCCACATACATGGACAAATCATATTATCATTCACAAACTCAAATTGATTTTTGAGATGAATGGGATTTTTAATTTAGAAGTAGTATTCATCATGGAGTGATATCAGGTGGGAAACCATTGAGAATCTGTGAGCACTGGACAGCTGCTTTGTCCTCGTATGGGACTCCTCAGCAGTATGCACCCACGACCCGGCTGGGGGTCGAACCCAGGACCTTCAGGTTTCACGGCGAACGCGTCAACCATTCAGCCACTGGGTCGGTTCCCAGTGGTTCACAATTTCAAACTTCTGTCAATTCACGACATAGCGCGACTGTCACCCAGGGTCTTCAGTTAGCATCCACTTCACTTTTGACTGGTTGACCCCACAGTCACGGCTTCTCATTAGAACTTCCTAACATCCATCTGGAAGCAAGTCACTAATGAGTACTATAGAGTAATGTATTGTGAACCACTGGAAACCGACCCAGTGGCTGAATGGTTAACGCGTTCGCCGTAAAACCTGAAGGTCCTGAGTTCGACCCCTAGCCAGGTCGTGGGTGCGTACTGCTGAGGAGTCCCATACGAGGACGAAACAGCTGTCCAGTGCTCCCAGATTTTCAGTGGTTCCCCAACTGATGTCAGTCCATGATGAATACTACTTCAAATTGATTTACTGACAGTGCGGAATCCATTTTTTCTTTAAAAGGTGTACCTGACGCAGCAATACTGGGTGTTACTATCATCACCAATATAAAAATAATATTTATTGCGAAGAGTGCATGAGTACACCAATCACCATAATGGAAATAAATTAGTCACTTCCTACCAAGTTAATAAAAGATCAAACTTTATTTGAAACACTTTATTCTGATGGCACAAGCACATCATGTAGTTGAGCTATATACATCTCTTTCAAGTTCGTATTCATGGAATAATATCAGCTGAAGAATAAATGAGAACCTAGGAGCACTGGATAGTTGTTTCGTCCCAGTATGGTACTCCTCAGCAGTAGGGACCCACAACCTCGGTATTCAAGGATCCACACTTTTTCACGACATGGCGCCAATGGCATTGGATGACGGTTATAATATATCACGAATTGGAAACAGTGGACCATTGGATTCTGACTCTGGCTCAATGGTAACGTCCTCGCTGCCAAATCCAAAGGTTACGGGTTTGATTTCTGGCGAATTCATGGGTGCGTACTGCGAAGGACGAAAGTTGAGTAAAAAATCTTTTTGTTCTCAAACTGATATAACGTATACGTATATTTCACACTGCAACAAACTTTTCAACCACCGATCCCCCTCACTGTCCTCTAAGAAAGACAAAATCAACGTAGAATCTCTCATCCGTTCAAGTTTCCACACTTAGCAGTAGTATACAAAGAACAGGTGGATAGAAAATAACTGATTTCAAGGTAGACAAAGTTGTGTGACAACAATTTGACGATAAAAATTAACGCAAACATTCAAGCTTTAAAATACGTCAAGGAGTGTTGTAGGTACTGTCACTGTGAAAGAGACAAGTATATGTGGATTGAATCGATGACCTAACGTTCATTTATCTTCGTATCCCACTGATGGCTCAAATGCACTCCACATCCTTTGATATTGGTTCATTGTTACTTTCTTTAAATAGTAATAGTAAGGCCTTCTGTTTAGTCTTGTAAAGTCGGTGTACACCAAAATCTAGTAGATCTTTGCAAACAGCTGTTGAACTATCTATAGTCATTTTTATCTTAGTATATCCAATCTGGTCGAATTAACGAAACACACTTTAATATAATAATTCAGTACTAACGGTTACATAGCGTAGTTCCTTTCAGTTACAGAAGTTGCATATAGAAAATGATCAGCTGACTTGACTGATCAATTCTGTCAACTTTATAAAGACTGACACCTTTTTTAAGCAGAGCTAGACAAAAGTATTAAAGTGTACTACTCCTATTGACCCTGTGTCTCTCTATAATGATATAATGATACAATAAGTTGATGAAACCTGATGCATACATTCATATTGACAAAAATATACACGATTACCATACAAACAAACAAGAGGAACAACTGTACAAATGTACTGTAGGCTGGTTAATCCATACAAACAAATCACACAAAATCATCATGAGTATTATACAAGGCGTAAACCTTGAGTCGAAGACCGACAGATGAGAGGAATAAACACCAGGATAGAGTAACGTAATATAGTAATTCAAGAAGGCTTGTCATCCCAACGGAAATATGCTATATCTGCCTTAGCAACCAAAATGACTTTACTAAGTCGAACACACATACACACCTCAAATTTTAAAAGGGAAATACACAGTCTCATAAATTAGTACCACACCCTAATTATAAGAAAAATACTAAACTTAGTTTTATAAACTCACTGGACCTAAATGCAACAGACACTTACCTATATTCTATAAATCCTAAAAAATATTAGGGCAACTATATTAAGTAAGAACATTTACAACATATGGTGAGTGTCCAATTTAAAACGAAAATGACCACATAACAGCCAAATAAACGTTTGGGAATTATAATGAGACACACCTATTATCATTACTATTTCAAGAAACTTGTGCCAAGATCAAAGGATGTAGAGTATATTTGAGCCATCAGTGGGATACGATGATAAATGAACGTTAGGTCATAGATTCAATCCACACATACTTGTCTTTTTCAGAGTGTCAGTACCTACAATACCACATATTTTGTGTGAGATCAAAACAATATTATGTGCAGCAGAACAAGTAACAACAATGGAAAATAAGAAGTTTCCTAACAAAGAAAAATATACGAAGTTGGCAAACACGAAACTCATCAAATGTAACGACAGAATGGCTACTCCTTGCAAAAACTTGACTGACAAAACACTACGGTACATTATTTAAACCAGTTTAATGCAAATGTTGAACGTAGAGGATATTCCATTCTCAATAGGTTTACAGACAGATAGAAAAAACCAACGTAGAACCTCGCACACAAGTTCATCCGTTCAAGTTACCACACTTCACAGTAGTACACAAAGAACAAGTGAATAGAAAAAGACTGAGTAGACAAATTTGTGTCTCAGTAGAGAATAAACAATTTGAAGATTACCAATGATTAGTGTAAACATTCAAGCTTTAGAAGACATCAAAGAGTGAATACATCCACGTCATTGTGACCGATTTTCAGTCATTTCACTAACAGTGCTCAACCACTCATTCCTATCGTCTCGGGGACTCCAACCATACAGTCTACATCTCCGCACACGATTCAGGCCGAAAGTAGGAGACTTCATTAACCGATGCCATATCTTGGTCTAGGCATCCTGGACCCTCTTCCAACCTAATCTAACTTCCCCTAGCATTATATGTTGAGGTAGGGGGAGTGGATGGGCATGCGCAGTACATGTGCAAGCCACCTCAGCCGATGAAGTTTCGCAATCTTATCAATCAATTCGCCTATCTTGCCTAATATCTTTTGTTTGACGTCAACATTGTCAACACGGTGATTCCACCAAACTTGAGCCACGTTATGAGGACTTATGTGGTCAAAAACTTGAAACCATTTCATATCTTCTCATTTCAACAATGCTGACCTACAACGGGATAATGAGGTAGAAGGACAAGCAGCGTGGTGTACTCGTCCTTTTCTAGGTATTCGGATATCTTGCCAGTCGGCACCGTAGGTGAGGCACGTTAGAAAATGTGAAACGAACCTTCTGTATCCCAGCTGAGCTTGCGTCAGCAACCAACCCGTTAGGTGGGCTGATACAACTTCCCAAGTAAGTGAACTGGTCAACATATACTACCACTTCACTCCCTATCACTAAACTGGGAGTGCTCTCAGCAGACCAATCCTGAAGTGCCATCTTACATTTGACATGTGCCAGAAACAAAACATCCGATACGTAGAAGCAGTCGTCAGAAAACGAGTCACAAATATTATTATCGTTGTGTGAGTGGCACCTTATATATGACACCTTATATAATTAAAACAGTTATTATCAAAAATGCAGATGTTATTCTGAAGACAACTAACGCCAGGTTAGTTATGCGATATATCACTGATATATACGGGATTCATCAGTCTCTCCGTGCATTTTGCGTTTGCTAGCGGAATATCTTAAAGTACTCCTCTAAATCGACCCTTAAAGTCCCATCCCGCCTTTCTGATCAAAATAATTAAAAAACCCAAATGAAAATCCTCTCAGGACTGGCTCCTTTTGTAGTCAAAGGAAAGTATCTTCAAGAGGAAATCTAACTGACGAAGGTTTGTTTTGCTAGTGTTGACGAACAAAGATATCCACCTATACTCATGTTTCTAATTACATAGAAGTGATAAAAGATGAATAGGTAACTCAGCATACAGAGAAGGAAAGAATGCAAACGGACCATCAGTGAAGTATATACCATATATTGAGAAGCGAACTAGAAAACAAACAAAAATGACACAATATGAAAAAAGATAACTCCATCTCTCAATCTAAAAGTGTACGAGTATATTGTGTTTGCATATGATACTTGTGAGACGTAAACACTCTCAAATGGAAGTTGACAATATGTTCGTACGGAATCAATTAAAACACGGGGTAAATACGAGTTAAGTTTATCACAAATCCGATGCGACGTGATATCTATCGCAGATTGAATATGTTAACTACTTTCTGCGGCAAATAAACGACTGGGCAACCGATGGTAGATGCTAAATACAAGTATATGGCCAATCAAGTTTGTCTGGTTTCAATAAAAGATATCATGAAAACAAAAACATGCAGATTTTTTTTAAAGTGGTACATGTAAAACATTCTTAGTACGAGATAATATAGAAAACTTTAAAATTCTTATGGCAACCCCATTATCAATACTTATTGATCTCAACATTTACTCTACTTTCTTTTTGTTCGTTCGGACGTGTCGAAACAACTGCAAAATATGGGTCAAATTCATGAATTGGAATGCAGGTTCATTCAGTTGAGTCATATTACAGCCACAACTGAAAATTTATAGTACCAAAAATATTCAGGTGAAAGTTAGCTCTGAATCTGTTATTTTGGAATTGAAACTCGAATATCTAAAATAAAGGCCAAGTCCTATAACAAAATCTCTAGTAGTGAAAAACTACAACTTCAAAAACCAATCAGAGATAAAGTTACAAATCACAGAGGTATTCAATCAATAATCTGACAGCCAAACAACTATGGTAAACAGGTTAGAGAACATATAAAGATGTAATACCTATACACTGATTGATTCCTGCATTGTAGCCAATCAGTGAATATCGTCTAGTTGTAGGAGAGGTCCATGGTAGCGTTTCAGATGACAACAATAGATGAAGTGCATCCACACCCTTGAGGTGATATCAGTTCATTTGAGGTTGTAGATAAGTCCTGTCGACGACTATCAAAAAGCATGAAACTTAGATTTATGACATTCTGGAGACTGCCACCAATGGTCTAATATAGTGATTGTCAAGTAGGGTTAGAAAAATAAAGAGCGATTATGACCTATATATTCTTGTATGGCATACTGTATATGATAAGGACTCAGTAAAACAAATGTTTCAGTTATCTTGACAAACATGCGGGAACAAGTAACAGGAAGTCAGAATTAGTAAACGTTATTAACTGAAATTTATGATAGCTAAAAGCGAAGATATTTGCACGAACGAAAATGTGGCTGCTTAGTGAAAAGGCCAAGTACCCCTACTCCCAACTATTGAATAAATTTAGGAGTGTAGAAAGAAAGCAACCAGATAACTAGTTGACTCAATCACTATGAGCCGATGACTGATCATTTTCATGACGACCAAGAGTGATTAAAGTAAGTGAAGGGGAGATCTTGTAAAACAGGAAATAAAATTCTAACTCCCAGTAATAAACAGTGAAGAAAGTGTTTTCGAAAGGTATCACAAATATTTCCAGATACAACGTCACAAGTAGCACCCAGTAAGAAATTATTTTTCACACCATCGAAACAGATGCAGATCACTGGGCTCTTAAGTAACACACACACACTCTCTCTCTCTCTCTTTGGTGGTAAACCATCAGAAGAAGTAAACATACTTTCAATTGACGTTGGGGCACTAGAGATCAACCGAACCAACAGTAAAACTAAAAAAACTACAATCTGTCGAACCATGCAATGGTTAATAATGGATCAGTGACGACGCAAAGAGTGAATTAAAACAAATATTTGCGGAGGTGCTGAATACAGAAGCACTACGAGTAGGAAACCGATTCAGTGACCTGAAGCTTACTGGTTAGGAACATGTTTCAGGCTTTGCTAGTCCCCAATTACCACTGACACATATCAACTACAATTAAATATGATTCAATTCATAAAAGTAAGTTTTATAGAAAGCATTTAAGTCAACTCTTAATCTGCTATCATGTATTAATGGAAAACTTTTTAAAACAAACTACTAACAGCTGAAACAAGAAAAATTACAAAGTTAATTTATATCACAGCATTATATAATACGTAGTCACACATTACATGTAGTAAGGTATGCGTGAAATACATTATCTCTGAAGAATAACTAGACAAATGAATTACTAAAACTTCAAATGGAGGATAAAAACTTGCACGTGGAACCAATCATTAGTAATGATACCAACCAAGAGAATTCGAAGTAGGTAATTCGTAAAAACTAATAATCTAATATAACCAATATATAAAGACTCAAAAGTTGCCTGTTATCAACTTATATACCGTAAATGACGAGATTATACTAAATGCATAGATAATGATAAGAAGTTGAATACCATGAAATATTCAGAATTATCCAAATCCACCCATACATTTGACTGATGAGTGTAATGATTCGACACCGAAAGATTCGATCTAGTAATTAGCGTTTAAGGATATAAATCCATTGACTAACCGCATTTGAGTTACGACTATTCAAAAGATCAAAACTAGTTGGTGATCAAAAAGACTTTCAGACAAACCACTGGTCCTCTATCATATATCGTACATTTAATAACGTAGAACTTAAACTTATATTCGGAGGGCGAAACTAAAAATAGTACGATTACAAAATAACAAAGTTAATCCACAGTAAAAACCAAATTCGCTGGGCGATCAACAAACGTACGACTGTCTTTCTGTCTACTATGAAGTTCATACACCGGCTACATAGGTTCTATGAAACGACTCTACTATCGACAGTTGTATAGTCATTTCGAAAACACTAGAAGTACAATTAAGGATAGGATGCAAAGCTACATTGTTCTATGAACTAAACAGAAGAGAACGTGGTGTAGAAATAACCCTTCTGACTCGGTCTAAATCACTAGAGGCCTTAGATTATCAGAGTCCTAACACTTTTCTAGATGTTTAACACTAGGTAGTTAGTTACATAGGTAATGAACTGTCTAAATGGCGGTCAGGGATCTATCCAGTGTTCTGTGGATAAATTAAGTAGCCTCTAGGTCAATAAATATCGCCTTTCTATAGTCACCAACAGCATACAAAATAAAAGGTTCTTTGTGCTGAATATTTTGCATGTAGCTGCTTTACACATAAAGCAAAGAATGGGGTAATAATCGCTTCTCTTAACCTTTGACATTCAGTGTGTAACAGTGGGAGAAGTCATCACTCAGATACTTTATCAGTGCAGTCAAAATTACTTGACAAGTATTTTTATGTCGTTCTGCTTGCTATTCTAACAGCTAAGCTACAATTCATTGCAAAAAGTCATATTGTTTTTATCAAACGAGAAAAGAAGAAATAAAATTCACCTGATCTGTTGAGAAATATGACTATTTGAGCTGAAGGCCCAATCCCCACCGGATTTTTATAAGCCACCTGTAATGTGTATAAAACTTGAGGCACAAGACCAACAATTTGGATAGGTGGGGCATTTTGTGAATCGCTTAACACACTTGGTGATACAACTGATGCCAATGATGAGATATTGATAACATACTTCTCCAGCGGTCCACCTCGTTCAGTGCATAAAGGAAGATCCCAAGTCACATTAACAGACTGATTTGATTGAGATAATTGACGTAAATTTAAAGGTGAACCTCGTGGACCTAAAAGCATAACAAGATGAAAGCAGTTAGACTTTTCATCGTCCTTGTATCCATACTAGAATGAAATGACTTTAAAGCAAATAATGATATATACAAGGGGGCAGTAAATAAATGCAAAATATTAGAACGTGCAATTTCGCAAGTGATATGGAATGAATACATATGCATCAGTGATATATTTCAGGCTCAATCCCCTAAAGGCTGCAACTAGTGATACCTCAGACGTACTACACATGCCCGAGAACAGCAGAGACTGTACGGATTACTGCCAGTCATGAATCTGGTTATCTCTTTAAAGGGTGATCTTACTAAGGCAGGTATCGCAAATCGAAGCGGGAAGAGAGGCAGGTCGATATGTGCGTTACATGTACCTTAGATACCTTAATTAGTCAGGGTACGCAACCTCCTTGATTGGTTTATCTCCCTCATTCAGCACTTTAAGCCTGGGTTCAACATCGTTTACTTCGTAGTTTCACCAAACAAGAGCAACTCTATATAAACATGCATCAGTAGAAACCCAACGTCTGTATTTCTTCTAACTCTAACAGTCATGTTTTATTGCTGTAAAGCAGAACAGATGATCGTTATGTAATGCACCCACTACTTATTATTCAGCTGAATATCTCTCAGACATCACGAATGGTGTAGTCTGGTAAACATAAAACGGGTATCTCGTATCCGTGCAGAAACTTTGTCAAGAAAAGTTAACTGCGAGTGATTGAACTTTATAAATAAGTAAAGGCGTCAAGACATCTTATCACTCTACTTCAAATCTCAAAGTTAGGAGCTCGTAGAAACTTGTTCTGAAGCATTATCTCCAGTTTTGTAGTTGAAAAAACCAGGAGACTATACTCAGATTTCGGTACAAGGAAGTGAGAACAAATTTGGATATTTCCATAACCCACTATTGTCCGATAAATAAACAGACCATATGCTACCTTCTTGTATGGAGAACCCAGTTTACACTTGAGTGAAGAAAAGGAACCTCATTGGTCGGCTGATAGCGTTGTGAACAAGTAAGTTAGAAGTTAGCACTTCGAACCTAGTCTAACCTAAGATACTGTATTTTAATCATCATCTCAACATGCATAATGATCATAAAAGTATCTTGTAGTGCCAAATCTGGTTTAAACACTTACTCTCAAACTGCGTCATAATAGTAGTGGTTGAGGGATTGGTGGAGATGTTGTGGGATGTTAAACCATAGACCGTAACAGAATAATACCGCCAGTAATCTAATTGCAACACAGCCTGTTTGTCATTAATACTCACTATCTTAGTGTAATTCACGTAGTCTGATTGTGGTAGACTGAGGCAATCGCCAATTGCAGTTAGTGTAGCATACATATACACTTTGGTGATGGCATAGTTGTCATGTTTATTCCAGAATACGCTAACAGAGTTCTTATTCGGAACAATGGATACATTCGGTACAGCTAGACAAAAGGAAAATAACAGGTTCGGAAATTAGCAATCAATAGTTTTTATTCGGCATGCATTTACAGAAGAGACAACAGTTATGAGAAGCCTATTGGTAGAATGGTTCTGTTCAAAAATCAACCAGCGTGTTTTAAACGTAGCGAATATAGTAAAATTAATATCCACACACACTACACTGTTTAGTGATATCTTATGTTTGGTGGATCAACAATGCAAGAAATGTCTGAGATAACCATTAGCCACTGATCCACAAAATATCAATAGAGCACGTACGCCTTAAGCAATTTGATTTGCTTTAATTTCTAAACCCAAAGCTAATCAATAAATCAACCAGAAACAGGTACACAATTTCGTTCTCAGATTATGCCATGACATTTGAATTCGATTCTACGATGAGCAAAATGAAAAGTTGAAACAAGACATAAAATAACACTTTTATGACAGGATGTTTCCAGAAAGATATCGATGTAAAACCCTACCATAAAGCTCAATTTGCTATACTTTGCAACAGTGCAGGTAAGCGGAGCGAATCTACCCTGATTATGTAAATCAGAAAAACACTATAGCGGATAAAGACATGATAGAAAATAATATACAAATAAATCAAAAATTTAAAAGTTTGCATTTGCAGAGGAACCCGGAAAACTCGAAATTCTCTCTCATAATACACTTAGTTTGAAGTAAGGTTTATTGATGAAATCGATATAAGCGACTACGTTACATTCATACAGCAAACCTCCAGTACCAAGCGACATTTAGTGAGCTTCACGCGAATATGGTTTAATTAGAAGCACTCCTGACAAAATAGCTGTCTGATCACGTTTACTTATTCCAACTTAATACCAACTACACAGATAAACGAATCCATAGATTATTGAGTGGCTAGTGCATACGTTTGAAGAGAGTTGGGAGACAGTATCCTAAGCAAAAATATGAGGTTGCAAATGTCGGAAGACCTTGCTTAGAATATGTAGTTGTGGTGAGGTGTGTTAGCGAAAATGGAGACATCTAGTATTTGACTTATATTTTAAATTTATCAAAAACCAAATATAAATGTGATACTTTATACTTTCGAACACCAGAACACAAAAATGTACTTATGTTATCAAACGGTTGTGTTCGCGAAAAGAATAACTCGTAATTCATTTTTAAAAAAGTATGCCTATATGTGAATTAGTTACATACACACGCTACAAACAATTACCATGGCATTTGATTCCCAATGGGGACGATTCAGGGCTGGGAAAACCCTCAATGACTAATTCTTCAGTTGTTATAGAAGCCATAAAATCTGCCCGAACAACAAAAACAAAGGCAGTAGACAGATTGTCATGAGAAAAAGTGATGTCGTAATTGCGGGGTTCGGGTGGCACTGTTTTGATTGTTCGGTAAACAGTGAAGTTTGATGAAGCAGTTCTGAACGAAATTCTAGTTGGAAAGTCATAAAGAACTTAACAGAAACTTACGTGTATTCGGTAATGTGTGATGACCCGACGTAATATGTTTCATTAAAAATTGGCCATGTGATATGAAGATATTCACAATCGCTATAAACCGTAGGTGGAAAAAGCATTCTTGTTCGCACTAAACAACTGATATTACGAATTCATGCTTACCATTAGTACATGCCGCTCCATAAAAATACTTGTTGCACTTATTTCCATTTGTACACACACCATTTATATGATTACAAAGGTTTTTTGGCTCACAATTGCAACTTAGTGAGCAGTTTAAACCATAATTACCAGGTGAGCAAACTACGATCGAAGTAACATGTTAGCGAAATCTGACTACCATCTTGACATGCTGGAAACCCAAGAAAACCAGGGCTGCATGATCCAGATTTACATCCCACGCCAGTAGTCGTTGAGTCACAAACGTCTTCCAAACAGTGACATATATAGGAACAATCTTTACCGAACCTCAATGGCTGATCAGTACAAACAGCTGCTCGGAAAACATAAGCTCTGAAAAGATCAACTTACTTGAAAATACTTGATTTGTACAAAGCAGCGAACAAACAAGCATGAAAGTCAATATATCCATCAAACTTCATTAAGTGCATGAAACACGTTTAACATTCATATTACCACCACCTCATACACCGTAGAGACATTTGATGAAACGACGTTTCAATATCCAGGAGAAGTCACCAAAAATATCTACCTCATGGGTTTCAGTAAATATCTATGATTTTTGCATTGGCATTTCAAATCGAACAATGGATTACACAATAATCAAATAATACATCAATAGTTTATAGGATTTAATTCACAGATGGAAAACAGTAATTTCATTGTAAGACCTTAGCACATTGCGTCAATATATTCTAGGAATTTCCAGTCTTCTGTGAAGTAAGAGAGGTTGTGAGGAGCTAGTTAGCATTGCCTTGCACCCTCAACTTGGGAATGAAATCGCTTTTTGGATACCCAGCTCTACAGAAGGAACATGTATGACTTCAGAAGACTTCATTCCTAGTTAATGGGATGATCCCCAAGACCACATACAAGCCCTTCGTCTGGAAGTGTCTAAGTGGTTCCAGGCCGTCCAAACAATTGGTGATTGGTCTTTGCATCTGTCCAGCTCGCGCCAGGACAAATCCCAAAAAGACACATGAACATATTAGTTGCGACTGCCATGAGCATCTTAAACATTACATGAATGTTTTCGAAATTCGGGCCAGCGGTCACATAACCAAACGCTTGCTTTCTCAAATTCCAGTTAATCATGGTCATTCAATCTCTACAGCCTGTTGAACCAAGTTGTCAGACTGTAGGAAAGGAGAAGACTGAGAAATAGGAAGGAATGGCTGTTGTTGACATATACAGTGGTCATCAAATATTGCACACCTTCCACTAAGACAGTCGCTAGCACAATATGCATCATTTCCTCCCATGCTTCCATCTCCATTCACTTTTAGTACTCTCACACTGTCTCATGCGCTTCTTTGGGCAGAATCTCTACCCACTGCTGATATGTCCCGATGACTTCAGCTGTTCACTCGACGTGTAACACTTATATTCATCCCGATTAGCAGCGATCACTATAGAATGTCTCCCTGTGTAGGAGCATTTTGGGGGACTCCTCCTACAATCGAAATTCATTTCATCCAACGTCTCTACGGTGCACAATGGCAGTATGTTGAATGATAAGTGTTTTCTGGACTTGGGGAGGTTTGATGGAGAAATCTGTCTACATGTTTGTTTATTCATTACCCTGTACACGCCAACTGTTTTCAGAGGTTATGTTTTCCCAGCAGCTGTTTCTACTGGCTATCCGTCAAGGTTCACCAAAGATTTTTAACCTTCAGAATTTTCAGCCTCACCCTGGGCAATGCTGAGATTATTCTAATTTAGCCTCGGCCGTATTTGGGCAGTCTGTTTCTTGTACTAGGTGAGAAGTGAAATCTTTCTTCTTTTTCGACTGAGGCCTAACTTTTTATGTGGATTCTGTTAAATAATGTCTATTTATGTCACGTTAAATGTACTTCCACTTGAGGATATTTTAAATCTGAGTTGCTTGAAGAATTCTGGGATACTTCTGCGCGCACCGCAGGAAGTCCAGATAGGTCCTGAAATTTCAGTGTGACAGCTTATTGCACCGCATATTGGTGAGACTGTAATATCAGACCGGCTATTTCCAACGTACTTAATTAGAGTGGGAATGTTAGCAGCATATTTTTAGCTTCTGAACAAAGCCACAGATAACAGATTTCGTTTGAGAAACACTTAACATTACCCTTGCTAGATTAATTGGAAAATTACTATGACCGCTTCCCACACCTTTCCCTGAACAGCGATAACAGAGGACCAACGTAGTGGCTGTCTCACTAGTTTCTCCGTGTGAGATATTAATGGGTCTTTAGAGGCCTGAGCTATGTCACCCTCTCTTTACTTTTCGCCAGTGGTGGATTCGCCGTAGTCATCCACACCTTATCTACCAATACTTCTGGAATCTGGATAACTGACTAAGGTTTCCGACATTCAGATGGCGTTTGTGAAAAATTTAATGTTCCTAGGGGGCTCTGCATCATACAACAATTTTCTAAGATGGAAGTAGATAATAATCCAGTGCTACAGAGAATGCTACAGAGAAACCCATCTAAAACTGACGGCTGACGGGGTTGCTTTCCCCTAGAAGAGCTGCTGTGGGCTGTCCATAAGGATCACTTACTTTGGGGCCGGACACCGAAATTGGGAACGAGGATCTGTGTATTTCAGCCCCCGGAAATCGGCTTCAGTGGGCAAAAACCGTGATTCTGCTTCTTTTGATTAGAGTGGCACGAGCTGGACTGGCTGTATGACGGCTTAACGCGGATAAGCCAAGGACTTTTGTTGCACATAGATACGGTGATTTCATAATGTGAATAAATGAAAGTTTCCAGTATGAAAACAACGAAACACCGGTGCAAATAGGCATCGACCCCAAGTTTAGGAATTGTCCTCATGCGAACATAGCAGATGCAGAGGCCGACTACCAATTCTTTGTACTTGTTGAACATACGAATATACAGAACCAAAAAGAACGCAGGTGGATGGTCAAGTAGGGATACTGTTGAATTCTGACTAAACGTAAGATCGACGCAACGAAACACGACGACGATCTAAATGGTTTGGATGCTTGACCGTGCAGTCACAGTCTATCCAGTCTGTTAAAACTACTCAGGTTGGCACCAAAGCTGTACTTCGTCAAAACCTAGGTCATTGATTTTGGCAAGTTATTGGTCGTTGCAACAGCATAAAGAACCTTCGTGATTCTCCATGCGCGCAGCATTTAATTCACCACTTCAGACTACAAATTATGACGTGTTATTCGTCACTGATAATGAAGCACACCGCGGAAACAATGCAAGATCTCACTCAAGAGTTATATTGAGAGTAATTTCGACTGGCTTATCAGGACTACTAATGGATCACAGAACTGTTCTGGAAAAGCCCGACAGTTCGTGAAGTGATAAGTTTGGATTCATGTTATGGCCTTCGCCAGTTCATCAACGGATGTGAACCGTAAACCATTTGTGCTTGTGAACCAGCCTTCACAGGTTACATCCATCATTCTGAAAGGGAAAACATTGGGACGGGTCGGCAAATACACGTTGTGCAAACTGCTCTCATATGCGCATTTAGCCATGCGTATTGTACGCCACATCGGTGATTCCGAATGCTATTTTGGAATTGTTGGCGAATTCATGTGAAAAACTTCCATTACAAGTCAAGTATGCAAAATCTGTGTAAGAAAGGCGAGAAAAGCAAATGCAAAAAGATCTTTAAAATCGCGGTACTAACACCAGAGTGGAATGTCTTTGAAGTAAGAAGAGCTCTAACATTTGTCCCTGCCTCGGTCAGGATCTATCCTTAATGATCCATTCTGTTATTGTGTGATACTGGACCGTTGTCAGCAATGCGACGTCTTACTGTTTCCGACATTTCTGTGTAGCTCTGCTCGGGATCGCTCTGAAAACTGACTACTCGTGCTTTGACCGTCTAATTGAAACGTTAACTGCTTGATTTAGTTCCTGTAGACAGAATTTTGATCCTATTTAGTTGGGAACATTCTTGTTGATTCCTGGGCATTCAATGGCTGCGCTTAGTTGATTCCTTTTTCTCTATATGGTAGCCATTATGCACCAGAGGAACCTTCTGACTCTGTACTTGCCCAGAGGCGGTGCTGAGGCACTTTATAAATTTTGATATAACTTGTTATTGCTTGATGGTATGTTTCAACTGTCCGTTACTCAGGGAAGCTTGGGAAACGGTACAGAAAATGGAGTAACTTGTTTGAAGCGCCTTAGCTTAGCTCCACTGAATTGCTCCCTGCTTTCAGACCGAGATACCTGGATTTTGGTCGTGTCATGACCCGCACTTTCATTTCATTCTGATTGGTTTAAGAGTGCGACGTGGTCAGAAGTGAGAGATGTAAAGTGGTTTGTGCCAGATACTCAGAAGTGTGAGTTGCGCAACAGTGACAGGTGTGAAGAACTCTCCCCACCAGTCATGTTGAACAGGAGGATGACACCGAACCATGTTTTCCTACAGCTTATACTTCAGCAACGATTCGATCAGTGGACTGTTTGATAATGAATGCCGTTTTGTAGACTCTCAAGAATCGCCAGCTTGACGATGCTCGTAAACTCTCACCTCCCGTGTCAAATCCAGTATATGAGGATAAGAACTATTATTATTTAACTTTAACACTCCATATACGTTGTAAAGTGGTATTTTCTTGTTCGTTTCACAATTAGCTTCATCTTCTGACGTTTTCAACAGAGTTTAGTATCGTATCCTTCGTACTACTCAGGACTCGTGAAATCTTGATTTTCCAAGGTTTACCAATGTGACGATGCATGTGAACTGGCTTCCTTAAAGTTATGTTACTTATGTGAGAATAAAGCATTTATTTGTTTATATAAGTGTTATGTTTTCGAACGCGCTAATGGTGTACGTATATATTCCGAACAAATATAATGCGTGCGCTTAGCTGACAGCTAACTTGCCATGCAGGAGTCACTGACTGCGAACCCCGGACGAATAGAGAGAAGACCGAAGCTGGCAGATTGGAGAGTGTACTCCGAGAATGTAGTAACAACGAATAAATCCAAAACACTTGAATAAGTATAGGCATGAAAAATGACTTTGTCCGCAATCGGAGAAATTCCCATAGTGAGCGTAAAAGTTAACCAATCAGCAAATTACATCACAGTGGAGGCAGAAATAGACTATAAGTCACACCGTAGAAATGTTCAGATCAATAACAATGTTTTATACAAGACTGGGGCACCACAACAATAATGAAGTATGCACTGCTATTTCCAAACTGAGCTTCATGGCCCCACCTACCAATATCTCACACCGTAAGAACCACCTTGTTACCACAAACAAATTTTCTTCATCACAGCGCAAACGTTTCTGTTTTATACGTCATCTAACTCTAGAATCGCGGGCCCGGGATTATTAGGTGCACTTCGAGCATTGCACACTTCAAGAGTCCACCCAGTGGGTTCCTTCCTGACGGCAAGAACATCCTAACTCTTGGTATGAACAAACAGAGGTCATTATTTGTGAAAACTATGAGACACTTAAACATACAAGATTCTTCCCATACTTTATCTGTATGAAGACAATCGTTCTAATCAAAACCTCTGACCGATCTTCATCAGCATTTTATGCCACTCCATACAAGAACTCCCCGTGTATATGTTGAATATTAGGCGCTAGCACGTAACTTTCAAGAAATTAGGAAACTGGGATTAATCTCAGACATTAATTCAGGGTGCCTGTGCGAAGTGATGAAGCCTCTGGGAATTGTTCCGGCGAGAACTTGACAGACGTGGAGGCCAATCATCACTAATTATTCGAACTTGTCACATACCCATGAATTCGAGACGAAGAAAAAACACGATAGCGTAGTTGGATGGGATAGTATAGTTGCGAGGTCGTGCCAAGACAACGATACGTTCGAACCAACTGGCTAGAGGGTCAACTGCGACCAGTGCAACGTAACACGTGCCAAATGGCGAGGGTGCTTGACCGGGTGCCTCCAGCTTAACGGGTCCGGTAAAACTATCAAGGTCGGTATCAATGTTGAGTCTCGTCGAACCCCGGGCTATTGATCCTGGAGGGGCGTGTGGCGCTGTAGATCACGCCCACTAGATGGTCCACGGGGACCTCAAGACAGTAGCAGCTGGAAGTGAGAGCCCAGTAGCTTCTTCGCTGATGAAACTCCTCCAGTGGGCTCACAGCGAGAAGTGGCCCCTGGTTGTCTGAACTTAGTCTAGGGTATTGTGGTAGTAAGAATTGGTATAAAAAAGCAAAATGTAGGAGGGTTTTCTTCTTCTCAGTAAGAAAAAGATGGTTTTCCGAAAAAAATTTGAATTGAAAAATCGCTGGTACATTTTAACCCTCACTATTTAGTTGAGTGACTTTAAATACCCCGGACGCCCTACGGTTCGACTTGATCCTGCCTTCCGTGGTGCCCGTGGTTGTTACATCTGTGTATTCTCAAGATTATCGGCAAGAATTTCGACAGTTGGGCCATCCGCTGGTCGGCCATGGCGAGTTGAAACGTCACTTATGATGAGTTTGCCTTCTCAATTACAGTATCTTCAGGTCCGCTTCCCTCGATTATATAGAATTTCCCAGGCCCCTCGATCACTATGGATGGTCCGTCGTAAGGTGGTTCAGGTGGTCGGCGGACGGCATTGTGGTGAATGAATACGTGTCGTGTTTTCGTAAAATGGGGTGAACGAAGACACCATTCGTTTGACAGGAGCAGGCGTTTATATGCCAAGTCACGCAAGATGTCCTGTCGAAAACATGTTTGAAAGTTGAAGGGGAAAGAAACTCACCTGGTAGGAGGACAGCAATCCCATAGACGAGTTCTTCAGATTTGCATCCAGCATTCAGCGCATTGAGAATACCTAGAGGAAGAGCCTCGGTCCACTAAGGTATGTTTGCAGCTGAAAGCTTCCCTTTCAGCTGCCAATGGAGACGTCCTACCCTGCCATTTGCTTGCGGACGGTTGACTGTCGTTCGGAACTGAATGCAACCTAAAAGTGCTGTTAGGCTGTGAAATTATCCACACTCAAATTGGCGCAATGGCTGACTGTTACGTAAGGTGGACATCGAAAGTCCACGATCCATCTGTCGACAAAAACATGAGCGACAGTTTCAGCATTAATATCCTCAGTAGGTGCTGCTTCCGCGCATCTCACAAGGCGATCCACGCAGGTGAAAAGGTAAACACATCCACTGGATTCTGGCAGGGGTCCTACAATGTCCATATGGACGTGGTCAAAATGCATGTGTGGGGCTAGAAAAGAACCTAGAGGGCTTTTCTTGTGTCGCATGACACTGCGCTTCTGACAAGCTAAGCGCGACTGGACCCACTCCTTAACGTCTTTGATCATTCCCGGCCAGCAGAAACGTTGTGTAGTAAGCCTAATGGTGGCTAGTAGACCCGGATGGAGCAGCTTGTGCAACGTATTGAAGACGTTGCGTCGGCACGTCTTCGGAACTGTTGGGCGTGGTTGACTGGCAGGGACATAGCATAAAATCGCATCCTTCAGGGTACAGTTGTGGCTTGAGAGTAGGGGATGACAACTCATGATGCTGCTCAAGGTCTTCTTTTTGACACAGAGCTACTTCATCGAGATCATGCCCTTGATACGGTCTATCGAAGCAATTCGCTATGGTGCGTCGGCTACGGAGTTATTTGCTCAAGAAATGTGGCAGATATCATACGTGAACTGGGGAATGCAATCTAGTTGTCGCGGCTCCCGAGGGGAGTATTTTTCTGATGCAGAGCCAAGAGAGAAGGTTAACAGTTTGTAGTCCGTGGAAATAATGAGATCACGACCTCCCACCGACCGTCCAAAATGGAGTACAGAACAGCACATTGCTAGGAGTTCTTCGCCAAATGTACTGTATCTTGTTTCCGCGTCTTGCAGCCACCCGAAGAAAAGGCTACAGGTTGCAACTGGTTGTCAGTAAATTGTTGCAAATTACTCCAATTGCTGGGTCAGATGCATCAACTGCAATACTCAAAGGAGTATTGGGGTCGTGGTGCATAAGCATGATTGCGTTTGAAATGGCTTCCGTGGCCCCAGAGAAAGCAAGTCTAGACATGCTATCCAGAGTTGCCCACCTCATAGTCCCTCGAAGTAGGTCTGTTTGTGGTCTCGTGACAGAGGCATAGTTGGGGACCAACCTTCGGTAATAACTTACCAGTCCATTGGGAGTGCGGAGCTGCTTTACAGTGGTCAGCTCCAGATAGTTCATGATAGCCGCCACTCTATCTCTCAATGGGTGCATGCCTTTGTCGTCAATGGTATGCACAAGGTAACTGAGTGATTGAAATCCTATTTCACACTTCTGCAAGTTAACTGTGATGAATGTGAGGTCCAAATGTTTGAGGTGAATTTTCTGTATCTGGACTTGTAATGAGACAGTCATCAATGTAGGCGTGAACAAAATCTAAACCACGGAAGACATCATCCACTAAGCGTTGGAGTGCTTGCGCTGCATTTTCAAGACCAAATACGATGTGCAGGAATTCCAACCGGCGAAAAGGAGTAATAATGCGTGTTTTCGCGATATCTTCTGCTGCCATAGGTATCTAATTATGCGCTTTGACCAGAATGATTCTTGAGAATCTGTTGATTCCGCATAACGTCGCAGCCAAGCCGTAAACATGAGGTATCGGGTAGCAGTCCGGCATTGTTTTGTCGTTAAGCCTTTGGTAATAGCCGGTTGGACGCCAGGCGCCTTTATCCTTATTAGGAATCGTACGCAATGGTGCTGCCAAAGGACTACTTGGAGTTTTGATAATGCCCAGTTTGAGCGCATGGTCGGATCCACTCTTCTCTGTTTTGAGCTTATCAGGGTTAGACGGCGTGCTTTGGGCGCCACAGGTGGACCTACGGTTGTGACGTGATGCATAACATCGCTGGATGTGCACGGAAGAGAATGCGTCGGTTGTTGTAACCGTGGATATTTCTCTAACACTGCCTGATAGGACACGTCTCCTGATTGCTTATTTCTAACGATGGCCAAACTTGGACCTACATGGGTGTTGCCACCAATAGATAACTTTGTGTTGTTATCCATCAGTCGTCGACGGCAAGCATCCACGAGTAGATCGTGATTGTTTAGCGAATCTGTGTCAGCGATGGGGATAGAAATGTCTGCTAGAAGGGAAATCCAGTGAATAGGTTTACGTGAACCCAAGCTGAGGCAGGCATACTGTCTACCAAATGTCTCGACTGTCCTGCCGTCACCAGCTTGGAGATCGAAGGAAGGGTCGTGATGACGCTCCTTTGTCGATGCAGGAACAATGCCAACTTCTGCATCGGTGTCGACGAGGTGGCAGATTTTCACTTTTATATCTGTGACGCAGAGCGAAAGGCTGTTCCCGATGGCTGCGGTTGCCGTGAACGTGTGCCGACGTGACAGTCTCTTGAGCTTCCATGACAGCACGAAATCTAGAATGAGGATCTGCCACCCCTTGTTCTCGAAAATCTGCCTCAGCATACAGAAGCCATGTTTCTGCATTGTCTGGCCAGTATGACGCCAGGTGGATAGTGTTAGTCGCCGGCTTAATACGCGTAAGCCTCGGAGTATGGTCGGACATGAGAAGGAGGTGTATGTGGATACATGAAGGCTATGAAAATGAAAACAATATACGAATCAAAAATGGAACGGGTTCACCAGTTTAAGGTTTGTTCTTGGCCGGGTTTTGTTATCATGTCGGGCCCGCCAATTTAGGAATTGTCCTGATGCAAATTGACAGACGTGGAGGCCAATCATCACTAATTATTCGAACTTGTCACATACCCATGAATTCGAGACGAAGAAAAAACACGATAGCGTAGTTGGATGGGATAGTATAGTTGCGAGGTCGTGCCAAGACAACGATACGTTCGAACCAACTGGCTAGAGGGTCAACTGCGACCAGTGCAACGTAACACGTGCCAAATGGCGAGGGTGCTTGACCGGGTGCCTCCAGCTTAACGGGTCCGGTAAAACTATCAAGGTCGGTATCAATGTTGAGTCTCGTCGAACCCCGGGCTATTGATCCTGGAGAAACATATGACGCCACAAACCAGCATGAATTGATGCTGTGTATTCTGGTCTGTTTACGGTGATTACAAATTTTCTAATTTTGACACCTTTCGGATATTTTACCTTGCGTTTGCTCGACCTCACCTGTTGTATTGCACTCAGTTGACCAGTTTTTGTTTCTGGAAAGATGCTTAGACACTGAAGCCAGTTCAGGTTGTCACTTTCTTGTTTGTAGTCAAGTTCACTTATCTATCCCATGAGAAAAGTTGAAGTTGACTGCATCTTTTTTGACTGTATTCTGTAGTGGGTGGTGAACTAATTCTAACATTCTGCATGCTTAACAACGATCTCATAAATGGCATATCATACCACTTCTCTGTCTTGATTAATTTAAGTCCTTACCCGAAAAAGTGGTGTCATCTACTGTGAACTCATCCAGTGAGAAAGTAGACACCCGCAGAGAAAAATATCACGAAGACTAGCATGGGATCAAATCGGCCCATTGTTCTTAGTTAGGGTTTTGTAACATATCAGTAGTCAAGGTCGTCTCGAGGCGCTTTGTTCAAAATTGTGCGTTTAAAGCTGACCAAAGAGTGGTCATCACTGTAAGGCTATTTGGACATAAGACGGGTTAGAAGCCCTCAAGGTAAAGTTCGTATGATGTGTAGAACCTTATGCATATGTGATTTGATTGTATGAGAAAATGGTAAGCCTACTTAACCTACCCTTTGGTAAAGGGAAGCAAAATGTCCTCAATTTCTGCTCGTATTTGAACTGTGACCAAACTTGACCATATTTTATGGATATGAATAACTTTAGGGGAATTTTAATTGAAATTTCAAACAGTCTGAAGCTTTCACAGGGTAGATATTGGCTACGACTTGCAACTTATAACTCTACCGATTTCAAATACTGAAATCAGCTGTAATTACAGTTAACTATGAAACAGTTTGACTTGGACCCTAGGCATTGAGTGTTTTATATAGGATTTCAAACTAAACCATAGGGCAGAAACTTGTTAGTCAGGCCTTTGCTTTCAATATAGTGGCTGCATTAAAGCTTTATCCGTAGCGGATGAAGCATTTTGTGAGACATGTCAACGATGAGTACAGTAGCACTGTAACTGTGCTGAACCGTAACAGTAGTATAGCTTCACAAACGGAGCTGAAAAAGTTTTTGGGGTACATCTGCCTGGAATGTGGTGTGCTAGTTTCAATGCAAATCAGTAAACTTAACGCGCTACTTTCTGCTATCCCAAGCCCGTCAACCTCTTCGAAAGTTCTGAGGTTAGTGCCATAAGAAACCATAGGGAACCTAAGAATAAAGTTGAGCCTGCCACCCCACACTGCCTAAAGCATGTGAAAACCGCTTCAGACTACACTCTTGTACAAAAAACCTTTAGCTCGCAAGAGAGGGTGCCGCATTCAGGATTTATAATAAAACAAAGTAAGAACTCCGCAGACGTCGCAGCAGTAAGGACAAGAATGAAACTGAAACCCCAAATATCCTGAAGAGCCAGATATTGTGCCTATAATGAACACAAGTAACAGGAGAGCCAACTCCATTATCTTGCTTAACATAAGTCAGCTGGCACACCTGTCGATGAGGGAATATTTCAACTGCCAATCATAGACCAACTTCTGCCGACATTAAAACCCTCCCTTCCCATAAAGCTATCACCTAAGTTTGGGCAGCCGAACACCCTGAAACAAGCCACTACCCTTAAGAGTTTCTCTGAACTCTGCTAAAAATACCGAGCACACCCTCCTCTCACATCTACCCCACATTGTTAGTACTCACTTATCTACGCCGGATATGAGTCATGTTCATTAAGAGAAAAGAGTGAAAGACTTCCATTGGGAATCCAAACGAAAACGTCAATTTACTTGTAGATGGTTTCTAAAACTGATAAGTGATCACCCTGCTAGAGAGCGGTTCCCTCAGAAACTGAACTAGAAACTCCAAAGAAACAGAGTAACACTGGTCTTATGAGGGCTGTATATTCTAGGTTGGGACTCAACGGTAGACTGTGGTCAGGCTGTTTCTCAGGCCTGGCACTCTCTGACATATATGTATAACAACTACTAAAAGTCAACATAAGAAAGATGAGGTCGCTTCGAAAAAAGTTGCACAGTGATATCCTATTCATGTCAGTGTGTTGGCCCTTGCCGGACATTCTTGCTAATGATACGTGTATGGGGAACATGAACATCCTTGCAAGGACAGAGCTCAGAAAGGACAGTGAGTTAACTCTGTATGCAAGCTGCCGTTAAAGGCACGGGTGGTGAGGGTTGAAGCTGTTACCAAACTTCTAGACTCCCTGTGTTGTCGCTTTACTCTTTCGGACATCAAATATCTGCTTCGAGTGTTTGTGGGGCTTTTACGAGTGCTCCTATTCATCGGGAAATGATCAACGCAATCGCGACTACAACTTGTGCAGGTTAGGATTCCGTAATCATCACAACTGACTTCAAGATCCCACTTATTTACTTTGAGGTTGAGCGGAAATGCCACTGAATCCTTCACTCAGTCTTGTGAAGCGTTTTATCTGAAAAGGTGGGTGATGTCAAGTGTCGGGGATCTAGTGAGAATGCACCGCGCCTGGACTACATTAAGATGAACTATGATCTAATTGAAAACATCTTTGCTTAGTCGTCTCCTCGTCATAGTGATCATGCAGTAATAACCTTCTCCATGAAAACCGAAGGGATTCTGTAGCCTGAAGCACTCAACACATTTCTTTGTTACAGCAAGACTAATTTAGAGGCCAACATTATAAGCGTTATAGCCTGAGGACTTAAACCTCACGATAGACGAGCTCTGGAAACAAGTGAAGGGGTTGATTCACGTGGCTATCCGTCAGCGTGCTAAAGGTAAAAGGTTGGTCATCATGGTAAGCCTCTTTACTGGAGCGCAGAACACAGGCTACTCTAGACCAAGCTGCAAGCCTACTTCAAGTGACAATTATCACACGTTATGACTCAAACCGAACGCCTCACAATAACTCCTCGGTTGCCTGTCATGCCACCTGAAACTGAAAGAGTTGTATTTATCTATCCGTCAAGTCTATTTGGAGGTAAGAAAGCTGTTATAAACGTGAATTAGTGAATTTCGGGTGGTCTGACGGCTCGCCGCTCAAATTCTTTATGTTTATTATTTGTTCAGTGGAGAGACGAGCATAGTACCTAGTTTATTATATTCCGAGGTTCTTTCGTCAGACTGGTCTACTTTGCCTTTCATTCCGGTTTGTAAGAAAAGTCATTTTGTTTGTCAGTTAGTATAGGGGAATCTAATTGACTGCTGTCTTGAAGTTCCTAGATTCTATGGTTATCAGGCGCCTAGCGGGATCTCGAGAATACTGAACTCAGGAAAACCAGGCAGATTTCTTGTGACAGACAAAAGTGTATCACTCCGGTCTGCACCCTTGGATGGGACTTATTATTTAAGCAGATAGACTTACCAGCAGTTGACACTTGCCATACTTATTGCCCTGAAGATGACTTTCGACCATGTCGACCGTGAGGTATTATGATTTTGAAGGGATTACCGAGCAAGTATGTAGCTGTATTTAAAGCTGTCTTCTCTAACTAGTGCGGCCGTTTAAATGTTTGTAAAGAGTTATCGCTGAAAGTGTTGACACATTTTGGATGCTCACCGTGGACGTCTACTATCAACATTCTTGTTAAACTTTGTTATGGGTGGGCTAACAGATATAACTCCAGGTACTTCTAACTCCACTGAAATTGAGTTACTTCATTGAAAGCCCTTGTTTGACTTGAATTACGGAATTGACGTGTTCCTGTTAAACAAACACTGACTAAATGTAGGGTCTTCTGAACATCTGGAGCAGAAATCTGAGTGTTTAGCATGCATTTCGTAGCTGTCGAATGTAGTAACATGCTTCAGGACTGGTCTACAACCAGTCCCAGTTTAATTTTAGTGAGTAAGGTTACGGATTGCGTTGACCACTTCATTTACTTGTGAAGTTGCGTCATTCTGAAGGGGATGTTTGCCAACAACTATTCTACGCGGCAGTTCTCTCTGTTTCGTCATATGACGGAGACATGGTCGTTGAAGGTAGGAGATATGAAACAGGTACAGATTGTCGACCACAGATTTCTTTGTAGCACTGCACATGTTGGTGAGATTACTATGTTAGAAATGTCGAGGTCAGATGAGGGGTACTTGGCAAAGAAAGCAATTCAGTTGATGAGGTTGTGAACCTGCATCGACTGGGTTAGCTTGGACTAACTTTGCACATGCCGAGCCACAGCCTATCTCGGTGTGCCATGCTAGGGAAAGTTGGATTTGGTTGGGAGAGAGTTCAGGGTTACCAGGTCAAGACGTGGCACCAACCCATGTAGCTACTGACTTGGTCTAAGCGTGTAGGGAGGTGTAAACTCCCTGGTTGAGATTTTTGGCGTGATAGGAATGAGCGATTGGAGACCCTTAATGATAGGATCGAAAACTTATCTTGTCTGCTTTCTCGATTCAAGGTGTATTTTAAAAATAAAGTTGTGTTTGTAAAAATGCAGAATACAATCAACTGATCATCGACATTTAGGGTATCCACGGTAGCAATCCTAGGACCACTTCTTTTTCTACAAATCAGCCTGAGTGGTTTCTGACTACTCATGTTGTTCTGTAGTATATGTCGATAGTTCATAACACTTTTCTGTCAGACCACACCTTTTGATCTTGGCTGGGTGGTTCCTAATAAAAACCCTGTTGACACCGCTGTTGCGCAGTTGAAAAACTACTCAACTGTGAGAAATGTCAACGTAGAATGTTTAATTTGTAAATCATTTGCAAATTGGTCATCCTATTTAAGGTATACCGGTCCATGAGAGTCACCCAGCCAGATTCAGGCGACCTGAAAAATTATATCATATCTGGAAAATTCGGGCCTATAAACTGGATTTTTCTGGGTACACCATTGATGAGCTCGGCCGCAAACGAGCAAAATGACCATTTGGTGTTTAGTTCACTCTGAGCTGACTGACGAAATCTGCTTGACTACTCAAGTTGTTCGGTAGCATATTTCATTATTTTCATATTCTCCTTTTTGAAATCAGTATTTCTCTTATACGAGTGTTTCTCATGGGTTTCCTCAAACCTGTTTCACCTATATGCAAACGATTCCAGCGACACTGTTCTTTATTAAAGCCATAAATGAATTTTAGTGAGGTTGGTTTGTGAATGGACTATCTGATCTGCCTGTCGATTACATTATTATTCACAAAAATGAACAATAAAAATGTGTACAGGTAATAATTACAACTTAAGTTGGTGTTAGAGAAACTAGTACTGTAGAATAAATCCAGCTGTGATAAGTGTTACTCAAATATTGGCGTAGCACCTACTGTGCCATTACATTTCTTTTCTTTTTTTGAATGCCATCTTCATAAGAATTACCTCTTTCTGTTAGAAACGTGTTTATGTACTTATGTATGGTGTTATATCAACTAATTAAAGTATCTGGTAATCTGTTCAATAAACGTGACAGTTTGAACTCAAATATCATTGTTCTGATGATTAGGTTTTCTCCTGCGAACAACCTAACTAAAATGACCACACTTTTAAAATTGAATTTATATTCTGAGTTGATATCAAGTTTATGATCGCTGGAAATTTTTTAAAGGCTGGTGACTATAGGTTTCATATCTTAAAAGTCACTGGGAGAAATTACTTTATACTTGGCGTACAAAAGTTGTAGGACTGGCTATCATCAAGAAATGCAGAATAGTTTTGTTGGTTCGATATACTTTGATTAGTAACGACCCACTGGATAAGATTTAAGAGATTGTAAAACTCTGTTTTATATATGACTAAATGCCATTTACTGATGTTTAAACTCTTGCTTGAATTGTCATTATTAATAGTAGATAAGCAGTTATTTTACGTTTGTGTATGTGTGTTTATCGGTTTTCGGCTTTTTGTTTACAATATTGTTTTCTTGTGCAAACGATATCATCTCCCGTCTAGGAGAACTTTTGTCAATAGCTGTTGATAGTAACGATATCCATATTGAGATGAATCCTGAAGTTCGAAATAAATTTGTTACATACTTTAAATTAAAGGTCGTTGAGTTATCAGTTTAATGTTGACTAAGTTAGTCTAACTCTTAAATCAAGCTTCACGTTAACCGAAATCATTTCATTTCGTATCCATCTAACTTTGTATTTAATATTAAAAAATTAAAATAATTGTCTTAGGGTTGTTTTTGAAGTCAAGTGCAAGCTACTTATCTACTAATTAATCCTCATTCTTTTCATCTATCTTCATTTAGTTTTTTTCGTTCTCTTTTCCTTCAGAAATTCGTAAACTATGAATTCCACACCAGTGACAGAATTCGACTTTATATCTGCACTTCAAGCTGTTGGAGCCTCACATAAATTAGAAGAGTCGACTACATCATCATCTGAATCAAAATCAACTTTGAATGATTTATCAATGGAAACAATATCAAATGCTTCATCGGATTCATTTCCAGTCTTTGGTCGCTCCGAATCTTTTCGTATTATCCACAATCTAGTTGAGGGCTTATTACAAGTACAAACACGTGATTCATCTACAGCACCTCGTCACTTAAATGCAGTACTATCATCACTGTTACGATTTCTTAATGATTCTAATTCTGATGTACGCATAGCAGCAGATGAAGGTTTGAACAAAATTATAAAGGTGGCTGTTAACGTCTATCAAATGATTTAAAGTTTAAATGTATTGTCTTCTTATTGTCATAGAAAATCTTTAATTAAAACGTTTTATTGGCATGATGGAAAGCCTGGGGCAACGGCAGTTTAGAGTTAAGATAATGGTCTCTAGATATACAACACGGTTCTAAATATCTGTAATGTAAGCAACCAATCTTTAATAATGAGGCAATGATTAACAGCAGCCTTTTGGATGGGTGAAGCTACTGAGATTTTCATTCAACTTCGGTCATTACCTCATTCCCACTACAGCGTTCATTCAACTTACTTAGAGTCGTAGCTTGGTTTCAGTTCTACTTGATTTGCCAAATGCTCTTTTAATCTTTCTTATAAATAAGAGACACCCTTCTTATCTTTTAGATGTCTGCTCTCTATCAAAATCTTTTATTTCTTTCCAAGGCCAGTGAAATATGATGAGGAGAGTAACTGGGAAATCAAGTTAACTTTTTTTAGGGGATCGACCATAGTGTCCACGCAGCATCTAAAAGTAGTACTTACTGGTTAAAATGAGACTGTGATATTAATGATGGATAGTGGCTAGCAGTGCAATGCAAAACTCGCGTTTCGTCCTGTTTAAAACTCACCAACTGAATTTACTTGCTTCTCGGTGAGTGATGTTATTCTCACTAAGACTCTAACCCAGAACCAATCGATTCAAACTCCAGAGCGTTATCCACTAGTCCACTCGGTCACGGTAGCCACTCCTTCTTCGGCAGGTAAGTATAACATCAAAGACTATACCATAACCGTGGTGCAAGGAGCAGCTGTCCTGACTCAGTGCGCTGGCGTTCGGAGTGATTGGTCCTGGGTTGGAGTCTTAGTGGGGACAACGTCACTCACTGGAAGCAGGTACATCCAGCTAACGAGTCCTAAATAAAACGAACTGTGCTTCCTGTATTCCACTGCTCAGCATTGTCCATCAGTAATATCGAATTTGAAAGTGCTAGCAATATTGGGGCACCCGCACAGAGGCGCCCATATGCCAATAGGGGCCGACTGATTCGGTCCGATCAACGACGAAGATCCACAAGCTATAACACAAAAGACCAATATGAGACTTCTACCCTTTTAGTAGGCCATTAAGTATCAGACTGACAGTCTAAAAGTTATCAGTTTGAATATACAGGAAACCTTCATTTCCAGCTATTTTCTGTTACTGTCTCCGTTTTCCCTTTAAAATTACTACTTATGTACTCTAGGTGTAGACTAATCAACCAGGTTTATTTAATGCAAAGGCATTTCAGCACCATCTAACAGCTGCCACATAAAGAAAAAAGAAATAGTTCAGCGAAGGAAATTTTCTTTTTCGACAATATCATTTTCTAAAGCTGTACAATCGTGTTTTTACATACCACAAACGTATAACAGTCTACTATAAAACAATGAGGTACAATGGCATCATTGTTAGTGCTAAAACATTAAAATCAAGAATGGGAAGTAGTTGTGTAGAGGAGTAAACTTTCGACTGTTGTACACAGAAGAGGCACTGGCAATTCACCGATTCAAGCTTGATCTTTGCGCGCAGAAGAAGTCTGTCCAATCTCCTATGGATTTAACGCTCACAATTTTTCGACTTCCTTATAATTACTTAGTTTGCGATCATCGTCTTCATTATGACCCCTGTTTCTTTCTTCACCTTCTTTACGTGTATCAATTGAATACTCGGTCGTCGCGTTTCACATCTAACAATTTCCAGTTTGTCAAACTCCTTACGTTTCTCATTATTTCCACTATCTGAAAGATTATTACGCAACTGCTTTCAATTCTTGGTTTCGGCTTTTTAGCACTAGCTTAATGATGCAGCTATTGTTTAATAATAGACTCATATGTTTGTGATACAACAAGAACCCATCGCCCAAGAAATATGCAGAAGAAAGTGGAGATGGACTGGATTGAGAATACACTGAGAAAACCATTCGGAGAATTCGAGCCCTCGAGTGGAACCCAAAGGGGAAATAACGAGTTGGGCATCCGAGGGTGACATGGACGAGATCGTACGAGGAGGAAATGAAAGCTTCTGGGAGTTGTGGAGCCAGGTTCAAAAGATATCAGAGAACAGAGCGCACTGGAAACGTACTACTAAAGCCCTATGTCCCACTAGGAACCCAAGGGACAAATAATTATAGTGTCTGTGATATATATATATATATATATATATATATATATATATATATATATATATATATATATATAGCACCCAGCCACTGGGTCGGACATTCAGTGGTCCACAGTTGCCACTTCTGTCAATTCGAGATACAGTGCGACCATTCATCAAGGTCTTCAGATGGCGTCCCATTAACTTCCAGCTGGTTGACCCCACCGAGCATTACTCCTCATTAGAAGGCATACTTAACAGTGAATGAAATCTTTGTGTAAATGGGCGCATATAAGGTGTAAAAGTTCCGTTGAAGGCGAATTGAACATGATCTGAAGAGGAGCATCGCAAAGTTATTTTAATGATGTATTGCAAGTTGTTATTCTCTTTTCATTTGAATGCCTGCTGCTGATGGTGTTCTCAAGATGATGAAGAAGCATTCCTCCCCCCCCCCATAAAAAGACGAAAGAAAGGATAACATAAGTGTGTATCTACTCAAGGTCGCGCAGTTCGCACCATGACCTCCAGGAAGAAATAAGGAAAGAAGCGGTTTTAAAAGTGTAGAAGACAAAAGAAACTAGGCAATGAAGAAAATAAACTATTTGTTAAGTTATTCAGAATTTAGATATGTCAATAGAAACTGATAACCCTTTCAAACAGCTTACCAAAGTTTGAACATTTAGCTAAAATATTAATGACACTTGAGCAATAGATATGACTCAGTTACGTAATGGGTTGGTTTTATTCATGTATTCTACGTTAAGTCATTTCGTTAAAGATTATGTTTGTAAATATTTCTGTAGTCAGTTAATTTTGTTGAATAGTTTTCATGTACCGCTGGTGTGTCTTCAAATTGTCAGTTTCTGTTTGATTTTATTCCTCAATAATGAATTTATTTCTCTTTTCACAGTTCTTACGCTCAAGTATGACACATTTAATTTTATTTGAACTATTTATGGAACTGAAACGTAATCAGAAACCAAGGTCTGTGTCAGTTGCCATGTCAAAGTTTGCTGCATTGGCTTCACAAATCAGAACCTCAAAACGCAGGTTAGCTAACGTTAAATGTGCAATTCTACCTTTGAGAACTAAATTTACAACTAATCGTTAACTTTAGTCCATTGAATTTGTGTGAGTTTTAGTCTTGGAAATGTTTATTACGAAAATATTTTGGTGGTTTGACTGCTCACCTAGTTTAGATTCTGTGTTCTTAACGTCATCTGCACTAATACTCTACGAGTGAGTGAATTCAATTCTTTTCATAGGTATTTATACGAATTTGTCGTGGAACGTAACTAGTATGAAAATAATTGGTCGATTCATAATTCTTGATACGTTTATTGTCTCGTATGTGACTTTTTCGACCTGTCATTACTGTGTTGAAACTTGACTGTCTCCTTTTGGAAGAAGGCTAAAGGTGACCAGGCCAAAATATGGCACCACTCCATGAAGTCTTTGATTGTTGATCTGAGTCGTATAGGGAGGTGTAGACTGCCTATCTGGGTCATCAAAATATTAGGAATGAATGGTCGGAGACTCTTAGTGACGTGGCCGAAAGCTAGTCACATTAGTGCAGATGTATTCACTCTTTGACATTTTCACTAACCTTCATTTATTTCTTTTCTCCTCTCCCGTACATTCTTGTCTACTTAAATGTTCTTTTTTCTGTTCACTTGTTCTTTGCACTCTGCTGTGAAGTATAGCAATTTGAACTGATGCACTTTTGTGCGAAGTCTGTCTATCCAACTATCTATATCAACCTAATGTCACCTGAGTTATCCAGTTTTTGGTGATCGCCTACTAAATGTCATGTAGTTATAAGCAATCATAGAAACAGTCAACCAGGTATATATAAATTATGCCGCAGTTTACTGTTTGTGCTATTGGTAGAATAAAAGAAAGATCTATCTTGTCATATGCTTGTTTATTCAAGCAACCAAACATTTTTATTGAACTTTCGTAGTTTGTTGGGGATATTTTCTAAGGTTGTTGATGTATACCCCATCGAGATGTCTGAGAGATGTTTTACTCATCCTGAGTTACCATATACCTTAGAAAGTGATTGTAGCCTGAGTAGAAAAAATCAGAATGGAAAAGCCATTATTGTTAGTCAAAGCAAAATGTAGCATCGAACTATAAAATTCCATAAGCTTCGTGGCCCGATATATTGGCAGTCATTAGTTGAAGAAGCCAGGTAATGTGATTAAAAAGCAGTCACAATGGTGTAAATGTATTCAGTGTATTTTTTCCTGGAAATTTTAAACATTCTACCAGTCTTCTTTTATATCGTTTCTTCCGCTTTCATTTTTTGCCTTTGTTCTTTCTTCTACCTTTCTGCTGTTATTGATTTTCTCCTTTCGTGTTGTTGTAAAGATGAATTAACGAAGGAAACTCATTCAACAACCTTGTTCATGTAGCACCAGGTTAAGGGCCTCACCTATTGTGTGAGGGCTAGTGATACTACGTGACTGCTCAAGCCGCGATAGGTGGAGTAAGATTTGAACCTGCAACCCACCTGTTGAAAGTCAATCACCTAGACCAATGAACTACAGCTTCACTGATGTTAAGTTTATAGCACAGTGAAACATTATATTTTTGTGTGAAGTAATCTTATTGCTGTGTTTTCTTTTACAGTATTCCCTAGTTGTATTTAATTATACACATAATTTGCTCAGCCATGAAAACATATATTCTTTAATTTAGAAGTAGTATTCATCATGGACTGACATCAGTTGGGGAACCGTTGAAAACCTGGAAGCACTGGACAGCTGTTTCGCCCTAGTATGGGGCTCCTCAGCAGTACGCACCCACGACCCGGCCGGGGGTCGAACTCAGGACCTCCAGGTTTCATGGCGGACGCGTTGACCATTCAGCCACTGGGTCGGTTTCCAGTGGTTCACAATTTCCAACTTCTGTCAATTCATGACATAGCACGAAACAGCTGTCCAGTGCTCCCAGATTTTCAATGGTTCCCCAACTGTCAGTACATGATGAATACTACTTCTAAATTAAAAATCCCCATTCATCTCAAAAATATATATTCTTTAAGTTTATCGCCTAGTGAAAAATCTTATTGAAATTCCATTGGTTTTTCGACCTTTGAAAATGTATATTATCAGCTTTTCAAAATTATTTGCTATTGGCCAGATACTAATTTCAGTGTAACCTCAATTGTTGTTTTAAGTAATCATTTGAAATAATGCTTCTTTATACTGTTTGCCATTCTTTAAGAACCAAAACTTTTTTAGTATCACTTATTCATGATGAACTTCATGTTGCAGACAGAAACAATTGGAAGCTATTAATGATGGAAATCCGCATACGCTTGAACTATCAGAATTGTATTCTTTTGGAAACAGACAGACAAAATCAACGCAGAACCTCGCACACAAGTTCATCCCTTCAAGTTGTTATACCTCACAGTAGTATACAAATAACAAGTGAATAGAAAGAGTGATATAGAGGTTGACAAAGTTATGTGAGGCAATAAATAATTTGAAGATAAAGGTTAGGGCAAATATTCAAGCATCAGATTTCAAGGAGTGAATACATCCGCGCCACTGACACTGGTCTCCAGCCATGTCACCAAAGTCCTAAACCACGGAGTCTATATCTCCTTACATGGCTCTGACCAACAGTCAAGGACTTTACGGATCGGTGCCACGTCTTGGCCTGATTATGCTGAACCCTTTTAAAGCCTAGTCCACATTTCCCTAACAGATATTGAGGTAGGCGGTGGATCGACATGCGCAGTGCATATCCAAGCTATCTCAGTCCATTAAGGTTCATGACCTCACTAACTGACTTGCCTTTCCTTCCTAGTACCCTTCGCCTGACCTTAACACTGATCTCATAGTGATTCCATCAAACCTGAGCGGTGCTACAAAAACACCTGTAATCAAAAACCCATGACTTATTCTCTTGGTATTGTTGTCTGAAAAAAAAATAGTTCTGTTCCAAACAATATGTTTAATACAGTATGAAATTCTTAGCATGTAATAGATTAACAACTTTACTCCCCAAACAAGATTTTCAAAACAAAATGATTATGACGCCTGAATGATGTTTATAATAACAGCATCAGAGACAATACTATGAAGTAGCCGGTTTGCACTGGATTAGCGTCCAGTGTTTAGCGGTAGTGATTCATTCAGCCAGTAAAAGAATGTACTATTCGAGATAGGTATTCCAAGAATATGATGTGTTTTCGTGCTTTCAAAAGTCCATTTTCATTTAATATGACATTTCCCTTCTTTTTGTTTTTCCTTCGAAAAATGACTGGTTCAGAACACTTTAAAAATCCTCAAGAATACGTGATACGTTTGAACGACATATTTGAAAGACTAAAACAAGCTGAAAAGGAGGAATTCAATATATGTCCGGTGGAAAATTACATTGGTAGACCAAAGTTCATACAGGCCGCCTAGAAGTGTATTTCTTTTGCTCAGGCATTCAAGTCCCAAGTAGTAGTAGGTTCAAGTTTCAAATCCAGCTGCACTTGCATTGACCTAGGCAGCTGGGTAGTATAGTAAACCTTAACACACTAAGTATGGTTCATAGCCTAGTATTTTAAACCTGTAGATGGATTAGAGCAGTGAGTTAATCTTCCTGTCCACCGTGCCTAGGTTGGAAATATACTGAGTTATTACTGCATAATGTTAATCAATTTTTCCCTCACATAACTACTTTAAAATTACTTTTGTTGTTGAGTAGTTTCGTAAAATAACAAAAATATATCATCTTCCTCCTGACTGACCTTAAAATTTTGAAATGACTGACTGGATACAGATAGTGACTCTTATCCTTCAGACCTGATATTTCACTGATCCGCGAAAATCAAAAAACAAAGACCGGCCTGTGACTGTAAGGAGGACAACTTCATTTGACAAAAAGCACATTTATTTACAGTTTTCCCTCAAAAAATGAAGCTGCTAGGTCATAAGTTGGACATTTATTTTTATTGGTCAAATGAAGGACAAAACTGCTCCATAAGGTTTTTCCGCCCACATGAAACCAAGGTTGCAATCTAAAACTTCTACCTTTGCAGCTGATGACTTTGAATGCTGATTGAGATTTAGGCTGCTTCGTATCAGATCTGTTTTATTTTTATTTCGTAGTTAGTTCTTGCAGCAGCCATATATGGATAGTCGGATATGGTTGCTCCCTATATAGTACACGAACCTCAATTTGCGGTTACTGGATTTATTGACCTAACTATGGAGCTGTGACCCATTAATCTAGACACTTGGCTTTCAACCAATGGGCCACATGTTTGAACCCCGCTCCCACCTTGCGAAGTTTGGGTAACCGGGTGGTATCATTTACCCTCAAACAATGGGTGTGGCTCGTTGCTTACTGCACGAACGTGCACAGAGTTGCTGAGTACGCTTCTCTCTCTCTTCCTTATTTATTTAACTCGCCATGTGAACACTTCTACTTCGATAATAATCTTCAAGTTTTTGAGGGCTGAATCATTTTATTCTACATTATTTCTTTTGCATGCGCTAACCATTTTCAGATTCTATGCTATCAACTTACTGTCGGCTTTTATTTCAATATGTGAACAAGAGGATGATTTACTGTATGAGAATTTGATTGATTCCTTCGGACAAATTGCAAATGAACTGTTCTATTACGCAACTGAAAAAGAACTACGTAGTGTAAGTATTATTCATCGAAGTTTTTTGTTATCACTTTCCTTGTTTTTTAGTGTTTTCGTGGTATATATATATATATATATATATATATATATATATATATATATATATATATATATATATATATATGGGTGGACTCTTAAACAATAACCTTGAGAGTCGCTTGGTTCCTCGAAAACAGAACAAAGAAGCGAAAATGAGGGGTCTGTTGTCAAGTCGAGTATGTACAAAAAGTAACAGTTTTGTGTATTTCCGATGACCTTGGTGTATTCTACACTGCTCTAGAGAACCCTTTGGCCAATTTGAGACTCACATATGTGATCACTCGCTTTTTCTCAAATGTTCGACATGCCATAACTGGTTGTGAAGGTTTCTCAGGGGGTTATCTAGGGGGATATTGTCGCCCTCTGTAGCATGTATATAAGCCTCCTTCTGTATATTGGTAATCATTACAGTTGAGCAATAAAAAGTTTCATTTCGTTTAATGAAGCGTGAGTAACACGAGCTATATAATAACGGATGATATTTCCATTAATCAAACTGAGTTCGATAAAATTTATTCCAAACTTGAATTGAGTGTCCATAGTTCCAAGTAATTAATCAGCTGTTTACTCAATAGAGTGTACACAAAGCATCTGTGATATTTTGACTTAAGGTTTCTGCTGGAGCTGTAGCTCATTGGTGATATGGCTTAGAACCGCTGTCAGTGGCGCAGATGTATACACATATTATCCTCATCTGAACACTATACCAAGTCTCACCATTTTTTCATTCTTCATTTATCTCTTTTAGTACTTTATATTTCTTGTCACTGAATTTTCTTTTCTTTGTCTCCAACTTAACTCCATTTTACTTGATGTACTGATATGAGGTGTGGCAACTCGGACCGTTACGAAGTAATGGCTGGTCCTCTGTTGATTTGGATGGATGGATAGGTAGTTGACCTTCAACTAATGGGTAAAGGATTCGAGCCCAGCCCTGCCTACTGAGGTTTGAGTAACCAGTTAGTCTCATTATCCCGCATACAATAGGTGTGGCTCTTAGTCTACTGCACGGTTGTCCATAAGGTTGCTGATCGCGTTTCAGGGTTTTTGTTAAGCCCAGAAATACTAGAATCTTAAAGTGGTTAGATTACTGATAGGTTGTAGAGCTACGAATCTTCGGTTAAGGCGTTTGATTTTTCAACCGGTATGTCTTACAACCAAATCCTTCTCTGTTAGTTAATATTGTTAGGCGTCATGTATTTGATGTGACTCTTATGGTGCAATCTAAAGTTATATAGAGCACTTCGGTTCAGTAGTTTTAGCATCCTAACCACCATTGAATGTGCATATTTATTTTTGTCCAATAATACAGTGACATATTTTTGCTGCTATAATTGATCCACATCATCACACTCCACATGAGGACATAAAGATACTGTATAATGAAACGGAGGACAAATGCAAATAGTATGATAAATGTTGTAGAAAGCCGTAAAATAAAAAGAATCGTATAATTCCATATTAGATTGTTTATTTGATCTGGCGTACAGTAATGCAGCATTATTTACTGAATAACGTTTCGAGCAGAATTTATCGCTTATGTATCCAAATAGAAAACCTTGGACCCCGATTCGGTTACACCCCTCCCCCTAGTGGCTGATCAATGTATCAACAAACGTTCAGCGTAGTGAATAGAATGTTCTTAAGTGTCCAAATCGGTTTTGAACTTTATAGTGTGACAGATCTGATATGATGGCTTGTGCCAGTTTTCAAGTCAACTCTGTAAAATGTCTACAAATCGAGGCTAATGTTTGTTTACTCGGAGCATTTATAAAGATATTTCAGTGTATATGTTTCGCCAGCCATTTAGAGATATGTCCTACCACAACAGATCGGATGGTTCGATTACTTCTTCCAACATTTACATCCACAAACAAATGTAAATTGATATACTCAGTAGGACGTGTTGGGGTTTATGTTAAAGCATGAGTTTTTTTCCCTGGAGGAAATAAATTTGGCTGTACAATTCGTTCTTTTGATGGCTGAATAAGGGTTTGCGATTTTAAAGCATGCTTTCGGAATCCCCTTATATGAATGAGTGATACACTTGCATTTTTGAGACGGTATACTAAGTAAATGCCAACGTTGTTTTTGTACTGATTAATGTTATTCAAGGAATCTGTAGTATTCATGAGTGTTTCAATCAGGAGTTTGATAACGTCTTTCAATGTGTCTGCGGTGCATGTAATAAGCACTTTATATTTACAACAGCTATGGAAATTTGGGTACCGGACAGTCTAACTAGGTTTCTTTTAGATTGGTCTTAAAGACCAATCTTCCCTGCTATTTTACAGTATCATATAGAAAAGATAGATGGTCATCGTTTACTACTACAACAAAGTGACGGCCTTTGGTCTCTTCAGTAGGTGTGTTACATATTACGAAGGTGTTGTCAGCATAACTCGTGTGCAAAGAAAGTTTGTTGGTTTAGTTGACAGCCAGTATTTCCACATATGAGACATAAACATCACCTAACAAAGGTTCTCAAGCATTATCCTGGTGATGCCATTGCCTTGACGAAAATGTTCACCTTCGAAAACGGGGTAACCTCATCATTGCCTGACAGTCGCAATTCCTTCAAATATATTGAAGAGACAGAAGAATATCGAGTTATTCAAGGTTATATATTCATAAAGAATATCAATAGTCGTAGTTAAGCGCACGCTGGTGAGTAGAGAGTTTACGTAAAAGGATAACACTATCTTATCTTTCATATTTATATCGTTTAAGTAGTCAATAAGTTGAAGTGTATTTTCTAAAGAACTTTTTTGAAATTTTCATAATTCGTTTCTGACTGAAATTATTAACGTTCGTGCACCCAACTGATCTATTACTGAACAAAACATCGATACTATCAGGCACGAATAAATATTCATTTTGTTCCTTGGGCATTCCATATAAGTTTGGTTGGGCATACCCACAGTTTTTATAAATTATATCTTGGAGAGAGGGAGAGAGAGAGAGAGAGGGGAACCAATTGTATAAAACTAAATTGTTTCCCAATGATTACATTGATCTCAATGCGCTTCACTAGACTTCCTGTTACTTTCTTCCCTTTTTTCGAATACTTCTCAACTGACTCATCCTCTTTGTAACCGTTTCTTTCTTCACTGGGATCCGATAGCATTTCATCCCTGTAGTTCTGTCTGTTTCTGACATCTTATGTCACCCAAATTTATTGATTTAATCTCGTTCTATTTTCTCTATTCATATAGAGTGCTTTGACGAGTAAATTGTATGATCAAATTATATGAAATGCAAAACGCGAATATATTCTAAGTCGCAGATAAACTACGTCTTTGTGTTACACTATACATACTCATGAAAGTGATTAATCGCTTTAGATTTTTTTTCACCATCTTAAAAATTGTGTTTTTGTAGTGTAAAACAACCCCTCACACAGCTCATATTCATAACCAGGCGGGAGGGCGAGGAGAAACTGAATACCTTGCTGTTTTTGCTAAATTTCTATCTAACCATACCCTAATTTTACTAGTTGGCGGCATAATTTGCTTTTATTAGTGTTAAAATACTTTATTAAAATCAAGAATAACTTCTGCACCAAAAATGTATGCTCATATCACCTGTAGTAAATCGTTCTGGATAAGACTTTCACTTCTTAAGGTTGTTTTCATAATGGATTGGATTATCAGTAGTATGTGCATAAATATCTACGTATAAACTCTTTTGATGTCGTCTACTTCCGTGGAATTGAAACCTTCACGGCCTTTACCAATAGTCAACCAACTTATGAGTGCAATCGCCGATAAAATAATTTTCTTCTTGCACTTATTATCTTTCTTAATTATAATTCCATCGACTGAGTTAAACTTTGTCAGTTTGTATGTCTATTATTTGACAAGTTCATGTATGATCAGATTGCTCGAAATGCATAGCGGTTGTATACCACATATCTCTCTGTTTAAACTTATGTTCTTCTGGCGATTGATAGTGCACAGTATTTTAAGCTGTGCTTTTTTGTTCCTATCTACCGGCTGAGAAATACAGTTTATCACCAATAATCACCCAGCGTACGAGTGTCGTGTAACAGGCAATAAGTCTACATTTCATCCTTTATTCATGTTCATACACTTACCTGATCATATGTATTTCGTATTCAGTATTTATCTGTCTTAGATATTATTATCATTTGACCATCTGAGAAAACCGTAGTTTGGCAGACTAGTATTTATACCGGGTGATAAATGAAGGTGAAATGAAAATTTGGACCGCGGCCGTATTCGAACCATCGACCACTGGGTTTCCGACCCGATACTCTACCAACTGAGCTACGAGGTTTGACTACAGACTTCAATCATCAAGGCTTTTACCCGACTACCATGTGAATTTTTGACGCGTTACTACCCCTTGATCGTATTCACACTAGCTGCCTAGTCAGAACTTTTCATCCTTATTGATTATCATTTGACTATCGGAGTTAGGCGTAGTTTGGCATACTAGTATTTATACTGTTTAATGTACCTTGATATGCTTCATGGAAATATTTACCTGCTTCGACGACCATATTTTGGTAAAAGAAAATATCAGTCTTAACTGGATATCTTTATTATTTCAATGAAATGGTTACTACGAAATTAATTAGATAATGAACACAACCAATGTAGGATGTGACATGAATATATATCAATCCGAGTTTCCACATTTCACATCGAGGAATAATTTGACTGAAGAGTGGTTGAAAAAATAAAAGCATAATAATAGTGGTCATAAAAAGTATTGTGTGCAGTATCATCGTTTATAACCTTCAAAAAGGCCCGAACTCCGAATGCATTCTCAACCAATCATGATGCGCCATATATATATATATATATATATATATATATATATATATATATATATATATATATATATATAATCGTTTTACTACTTCCTATTTCAGAGAACTAAACAGCCCATGAGGAGAAAATCTGAAGGCAGTTTTACAGAAGTCCATACTTACATTAGCTATTCACTTACGAAAAAGCTGCAAGACTTTTAGGAAATGTATTTAGCGGGAAAAAGGTATCTAGTAATAAAAGGTTCAATACTTGAAAATATAGTTTAATTTGAAAGTTTGTGGGGATTTTATTGATTTCAGGTTTGTATACATCATGGGCTGACACCAGTTTGCTGATCATTGAAAATATGGGAGCACTGGGCAGATGTTTCGTCACAGTGTGCGACTCCTCACCAGTGCTTACCCATGACCCCGCTAGGTATTGAACCCGGGACCTTCAGGTTCCGTGACCGACACGTTACCATTGAGCCACCCGGGAGGAATCCAATGGTGTATACCTCTTACTTCTGTTCATTCACAATATAGTACAACCATCACCCGATGTGATCGTTGTTTTAAAGTCCTCACATCCACCTGGTTCTCCCCACCGGTCGTGACTTCTTATTAGAACTTTTGGAATCACCTCTCGAAGCTAGTCACCAGTGGGGTCGACTCCTATCAGTGTTAATGGTGGGTATCGCTGAGGAGTTCCATATTAGTGCGAAACAGCCGTTGAGTGGTCCCAGATTTCCAACGTCCCTCCAACTTATACTAGTCCATGATAAATACCAATCTGAAAATATTGTGTTGGTGCATTTTTGTCATTTGCAGTCATCCATCCTTGATTCCGGTTGTCACACTGACTTAAACTGAGACCAGTAGTAAAAGATCTTTTGGAATGGCGCATATATATTTTCATCTGGTTGCCTTCACCTTGATTTCAACTTAATCATGATCTTTCTTAGCGTGTTGGTGTAGGCGGTGTGTAGGCATGCGTTATACATCGTATTACAATGACATCAGTTAATTAACGATTTACAACTCCAACTGTTTGATCTAGTTAACTTAACCTCCGTGAATCATTCAGGACTTAATCAAGAAAATGTTAAGATCCAATTTGTTCAACAACATGACAGTATATACAAGCACCTTACAAACTAATTTACCGTGGTTTTTGTTTTCTCTAATCGATCTGGGTTGCAAATAGCAATGTATCAACTATACAGTTTACCGTAATTCCGATCGATGATTTTTGATGTTCAGTGCAGTTTTTGTAATTTTCGTATCTTACACTTCATCGATTGAATCATGAAATATCAATCGCAGACTGTTGCTAACCATCTACAGTCATAATTTTGACCAACCTATGTGATTTATATTCAAGTGGAGCTGTGGCTATTAGTTTTTGGAATATGACTTTCAACTAGTGGGTCACGGGAACGAACCCCGCTCCACCTACAAAGTTTCGGGCAGCCAGGTAGTAGTGTCATTAGCCTTCACACAATAGGTGTGGCTCATTGTCTGCTGTATGAATGTGCACAAGGTTACTGAGTGCATTTTGATTATCGATGTATATTCAATCTCTAACTATCGAGTCATCACAGTAATCGTGCTTCTACTTTCATGAAAGATCAATTCTGCTGTAAATGCATTAGCAATATTAGATATTTATAGTAACCGTACTGTTCTTCCTTATTGGCTCTGTTGTACAGCCGTATCGTATGGTAAAACGTAAGATACTGCTGAGTAGTTGCACAATCAACATTTTTGAGATTATGAATGGTCCTTGACAAAGACAAGTAGTGTATGCCACTGATGTCTATTCAGAGAAATTGATGAGGCGCTGATTACATTCGAATATCTTACTATCGATAAGCAACTTGTGTCTTGTTAAAGATGGTATCTGCCCTGTATTCTGTTTTTACCTTTCAGAGATGATGAGTCGGTATTCAACAAGCATTTTCTACTTGAAAGATTAGTATAAGATATGCAACTCTAATAGGAGTTGCTTTATCTCAGAAAATAACTTACTGCGGGTTGAGTCTTTTTACAGGTGAATGTGTGATGATGGTTCTGATGCTTTAGCCAAGTTAAATGTTTTTATTTTTGTATTATTGAAACATTTTTGAGTTAAGAAAAGTTTTACCTGTCATTTATTAGAATCGGGATGATATTTCACTGGAAATTACTGATTAGTAGCAGAAATACATCAACTAAATTGCAGATTGTTTGGTTTGAAACAGTAGTAGATTATTCTTGCTTCATTCTCAAAATATCTCATATTTTACAGTATGAGTTTAATCGTTTGTCCCTAATCAATCCTAATACCTAGGGATTTCGTTCAGTTTTCCTACCAAATTACTGTTCACCGACTTTCTAAGAAATTCCAACACTTCTCGTTTTCTAGATTCCAGTTTTTTTGTTTAAGGATTGTATAGTTTTGAAACATTCTCTTTTTTCGAACACAAATTCTATTGTTATAATCGTAAAGGTACTTTCAGAAACTATTTTTATCAAAAGCAAATGAGAATGGTCGACAACTAAATGTTGAATAAGCCGGGTTCTGGGAACCGGTATCATCTTTGTCTTTTGTAGATATAAAACTCGCTGATTATGTTTGACAAAGTTGTATATTTCCCAGTGACTTGCCATAAAGCAATCAGACAGATGGTGTGACATTGTGGCCGCCTCTAGAACCCTTCTTAGCTGATTGGTTTGTGGCAAACCGCTGGAAAATAAAACCTTGTCAAACATAATCAGCGAGCTTCATGTTTACAAAAGACGGATGATACCTTCATTATTTGTGATAAGAATAATAATCTTGAAAACTTGCTTCAAATTCTTGGTAGTGCTTATCCTTCTGTCAATATCTCAATAGGTGGGGAGGGGAAAGACTATGACTGCCTTTTATCCATAATTTTATTCTCATTAGAAGCTATGTGGTATTTGAATATAAACGTGGATTTTAAGTCAGCAAGATAATGAGCTACTTGAATATACATAAACAATGAAAACGGTTTCTGAATTGTTTGTATTTCTGCTTTTGTTTGAAAAAGTATTTCTATCCATAATTTATGCGAGAAACAAGGTGTGCTTCTTTTTCATGCATACATCAATTTTTTTTTCAAATTCTATTGTTATAACACCGGTTATGATTATTTTTCTGGTAATCTATGATTCAGACTGAACGAACCATGTCACTAAGTTTTTCTTATAAATTTCACAGCGAATATTTCTCTTTAACTATATGATATATCTCATAAATGAACTGAAATAGGATCAGTTTTTCAACTGCATACTATGATAGCTTGATACATTTCAGGATTCATATCAGCAGCTCATCAAGTACTTCTTGTACGACTACTGATTAAATGCAGTTTGATAAATGTCATATATTTTTATCGTTTCTCAGATTGTTTCCTTGATTACATATATTCTCAAATTTTCACTGCACTGTATATTTGTATGCACTTTTTATATTGCAGTTTCTACGTACACAATTTAAAAGATTATCATCAAGTAAAGCATTAGTACGTCGTTCAATAGCTCAACTGCTTGTAATCACATGCCAATCATCGCGTGTACCACTCACTTTATTACGTTACTTACTTCATTTAGTACTAGGTAAGCCTTATGATAATTAATATTTTAATTAGATCAATAATAAATGTACTGCTAATTATCTATGTCATCTGAAGAGTATCAAGTTGTTTTTTGGGCGGGAAGGGGGTTGTTCTTCATCAGATGATGTTTCTAGACACTTATCAGCTTCTTTTCACTATTGTCCTGATGTATCAGTAAATAAATATTTATTATGAATAAAGTATTGACCAGATTCATATCGCATACTTCATTTTATATTCAGTTGTTAATATTAGAATTATCTTCATATTTGTATAATACTCTTACTCCTATAGAGACTTGGGCTGATAAGCTGTTGTACGTGAGAGTCATAGTGTGATGTACTACGAGTATATTGCGTTGGTTTGTGGAACTCTGACCGTCTTTAGAGATCTTCTGGGTGTATTAGTTTGCATACCTAACTGGCTTCACCTAATGAAGTAGTAGGGGTCTGAGCAATATGTATCTAGTTACCATCTACTGGGATAAGCTATTTTTTTCGGAGTCAAACCAAGACACAGTTCTAATCTATGAAATCTCTGTATGTTAATATGGGTACATGTATGTTTGCTCATTAATTAATGCAAGAAATATATGGAAATTTAAGCCTATGTGTGCTCGACTGGAAGACAAAACATCAAGTGTGTATTTAGAGAGGAGATGCATAAGCATTTATCTGAACTTGGCAGCTATTCTCATCTGATGAATACTACTTGGCTGCTCAAACCTCAATGGGTGGAGCCGTGATTGAACTCGTGGGCCATCGGTTGGAAATCGTGTCTAGAACATTGAAACGCAGCCTCATAGCAAAGCCAGTGGATTTATGCAAACCTCTTCGGACTGATTGATTTGAGGAAACTCATTGCACCTAGCTTTGACCGTGATGAGGAGCGGAAACAGCTTAAATGTAATTGACTAAGAGTCTTCGTACTGACTTCCAGGAATGATTAGAAGCCAAAGTGAAAGAAATGGAAGCATTTAGTCAACAGGAAGTTTTAAGGATGAAGGTATAAAAGTACTCAACGGAGTAATGGATGCACTAACTAGTGTGTAAGGATCAAACATACTTCTATCTGTCTGGTCTTCTTCACTTTCCATTCCAGTTTATAAGGAAAACGAAAGATCTTGTGAAAACTATAGGGGGATCATTTCGACTTACATCGTTTTGATGATCATAAGATCCGACGCCTAGCTGGGGCTAAAGGACAACGAACTCTAAAAAAAACAAATCAGACTTCAGATCTGGATGAGGGTGTATCAGCCAGATATTCTCCTTTCGTTAGGTTATGCGACACATGTATATTTACCTATGAAATATGACTATGTCGACCAAGAGGTGTCGTGGCAGTTTGACTGTGAATAAGGTACCGAACAAGTATGGGATGCTAATCGAAGCCGTTTACTCAACGTCAGGTAGCTGTCTGAGTGCTTATAGAAAGTTGTTGTTATGAACATTCAGTGACTAAAATCACTTGAACATGTATGGAGTATGCCAAGCTGCCGTGTACTTTGACGTGCGATGTTATCTGGAGTGGAATTAGTCTGAGTAGTCAGACCAAGACGTGGAATCAGTCCGTAAAGTTCTTGAATGTTGATCTGAGCCATGTATGTCTGTGTAATCTGATTAATTCGAGTGACATGGCTGAAAACTGGTCACAATATCACAGATGTACTGACTGCTTTACATCGTCAAAAGTCTGAACATTATCATTTATTTCTCCTCTCCTCCCGTACACTTTTTTCACCTTAACTTCCCTCTTTCTGTTAACTTTTTTTCTCATGATGCTGTGAAGTGTGTGTGTGTGTGGCATGTTCTTCTTCGATTCAGCTGTCTCTCTATGCCTGTTATTATAAGTTGTGTAAGAAACTGCAGGCCTCTTGGTTTATATCACTGTAAATGCGAACCTAGATAGTTGGAGACCTCAGGTGACATAAAGATTTAGTTGTAACAATGAAAATTCATCCACGCAAGATATTCTTGTAAATTATCACGGCTCTTTATCCCTTCCATCTTCTTTTCTTTACATTTTATGGCTTTTTATAACTGTTGGTGTTTTTTTCCATTTCTTTTTACTGTGATGATATAAATGGTGACAGCTAAGAAAAAAGAAACTATGTTGGGTCCTGTGTTGCTTGTATTCCCCATTCTGTTTGTAAAGATGTGACTTATCAGCTCAAAACTTCAACTCTTAGGTTCGTGGTCTCTGAACTAGTATCTCAGTCCCCGTGAAACAGGGTAGTATTGTAAGGCTTCAAACAACACGCCTGTTCCATAACCTAGTAAATAATCTTGTGGCGCGTAAGTTAATTTATATTGCTGTTTTTACTACATAAACGTATTCGAATATATCATAGAGTATAACACAAGAGAATTTTTGGTTGACCTGTAATACGCAGATGACATGGTCCTATCAGGTAAAGATACTGACAAGATGCGGAGTCTCCTGGACTCATTGAGTGGCAATTCGAGAATGTTTGGGATACGTTTCTAACCATCTAAATGCAAGTTGTTGCTCCAGGACTGCTATTCAACGATACCCCGGCTAACAATAGATAGTGAAGGGGTTGAGTGCATTGAACAATTCACTTATCTGGGAAGTAGGATCAGACCTGATGGCCCAATGGTCGACGGAATCTCCACATGGATACAAAAGTCTCGGTTAGCTTTTGCCAATCCACACCATCTGTGGCGCTGCCGCGATGTTCGATCGTCTATTCGGGGTCGAATGTACTGTTCAGCAGTGCGGTCTGTTCTACTGTATGACTGTGAAACATTGCTATTAAAGGTAGAAGACATGAGAAGGCTTTAGGTTTTCGACCACTTTCGCCTGAGTAGCATAGGCCGTATTTCGTGGTGTCGCCACATGAGTAACTCAGAAGTCAGACATAGAGTGTTAGTATAATTGTTTTTTTATCATACCGTCATTGATTGGGCCGAATTGATCGGTCCCTAATGGAATATGGGCATCCGCACAGGACATGTGTTACATATCCCTGGCCACCGTCTGCCTCTCCACAATGCTGGCTGAAAAGTAGGTTCAGGCTGGAAAAAAGCTTGGAGCAGCTAAACTAAAACAGCACTAATGTATGAAGTCCTTGACTGATGGTTTGAGGCATGTAGAGCGATGCAGACCAGCCGGTTGAGTTCGGGAGACAAGAGAAACCAGTGGTTGGAGACTGACTCTAGGTGATATGGCTCAGAAGCGATGCCAGTGGCGCAGATGCGTACACATATTATTCTCATCTTAACCGCTATACCTAATCTCATCATCTCATTCTTCCTTCCTCTCTCTTACTACTTTCTACTTCCACCTCTTTTGACCGATTTTTCCTTCTTTCTTCACCTTCCATTTCATTACCTTGTTTCTTTGATGTGCTGATATGAGGTATGGCAACTTGAACCGTTACACAGTAATGCCTGGTGATGATGATCAACTAGTAAAATCACCCATTTTTCTCATCTGTTATTTAGACTAACCTTAAGTAAATAGTTCTGTAACATATTTAATTCCATATTGTTTAAACTTATTTTAATATGTTGATTTGTTTTACCTTTTTTATCTTAGTGGAAATGGATTCACTCACTGTTGATTCTTGTACAGAACCGGCAAAAACTAATAGTGACTTATCAACAGCTTATAGTTTCATCACATATTATTGGACAGGTTTATTCAATACAATACGTTATATATCTATTGGTTGGGAACAAATTTCAAATAATTTTACGAAGAGTTCATCTTTTCTAAATTTACATATACCTCTGAATTCATCAAAACACTTAGATTTTCTAAATAATCTACCTTCTCGAATAAATGATCCAGAAAGTCCAGAACTACCTATTACAGGTAAGTATCAGTTTATTTCTATTATTAAAACATTTTACTCCATTTCTATATCTAAATGGCTTTGAGAATTAGAACATTATTGTGCATTGCAATCGTAGATAAATTTGTAGGAAAAAAATGTTTTGGAATCATCAGACAAATGTTTCGTTGAATTTAGACTTATAAATCTCAACAAATTTAGTACTATACAGTTGCATTTACTCACATGGTTGAAGTATATATTACTAGCGCAGAGTTGTTGTTTATCCATACTTGTAAATATATCTGCAGTTGGATTAGGTTTAAAGAATAACAAGAATACAACTCAACAACATGGTACTAGTTTACTTTCGAGCATATTTAAAATCTAAATCGTTTTGACACTCATTCACCGAGAGTATGTATAGTAATAGGAAACAGTAATGATTGACAAAACTGTATAGAACTTTTAAAAACAACATCTATAGTTTGTTGCACTTCATTCGTTATTTGAACATTAGTAAATAAAGCAGTTGATCATTGTATTGAAATTCAATAGATTGTTGTTGGTTCATTTATCAGCATATGCTGTGTGTCGGATAGTTTTTGTTTATTCAATAATTAATTCAAGTTTAATTGTAGTCTAGTTGATGGCTAGCAGTGAAATCCAGGACACGCGTTTCGTCCTACTTGAGACTCGTCAGCTGGATTCGCCTGCACTCCAATGAGTGATATTGTTCCTATTGGGACTCGAACCCAGTACCCATCGCTTCAAACGTTAAAGCGTTATCCACTAGGCTACTCTGGCGAAAGCCATCTCTTGTGCAACATGTATCAGTTGTTGTTTATTGATACTTGTAATTCCGCGTTGTCGAATTGCTCGACCTCTGTTGGCAGATGGGCTCCTATATATCGATAAATAATTCAAGTTAACTTTTTACAAAAATTTGGGTGACTATGATCATTTTAACGGATCAAACTGGGGTATCATCTTCGTCAAACATTAAAGTTGCTAGGGTCTGGTGTGAAAATATACACTCTTTGATATATGACGTGATTATGCGCATTGAGTTGTTCTCGAGACGTCAACTATTGGTTCTGTATCACTTTGTCCTATTTCGAATAGACCAATTTAACTCACAAAGTCATCTTATCACAGCGCCCGTTTTCTTCCCTTTTCATCATTAATATCAACCTAATCATCAATCAGGAAATGGTTCCATGTATATCCTACTCTTGTTGTTCATTATTATATATTTCGTTAGTTCATGACACGTTTGTGTCAGAGATCATACCTTGTGATCTTAACTTAGTGGTTTCCGATGGAATGCCTGTTGACACCAAAGTCATTCAAATGAAAAGCTACTCAGCTCTGAGAAATGTCGATGCGGACCGTACAGTTTGTAAAATCATTTGCAAATTGATCATCTTATTTTAGGTGTACCAGTTTACTCAAGTCATCTAGCCAGGTTCCGGTGATCTGAACTAATTCGACTCTGTGAGCTGAATTTGTCTGAGTACACAACTGATGACCTGTGCCTTAAATAACGGAAACAGCCATTTAGTATTTAAACCACACCAATGTGGCTGGCAAAATCTACAAATTAGCGTTCGTTGTTTCTAACTACTCACTTTGTTCAGTAGTATATTCCATTTTAGTTATGGTTATAGCAAATAGATCAGATGGCAGATACACCCAGTGGTATATTAAAAGCAGAAAAGAAGGATGTATGGAAATAACTTCAGCGAGAGCAGAAAGAATAAGTGATCCTACACAGGCGGAACTAACAGCAAAATAAGATTCCGCAAACATTTCACAACCTTATCAGTTATTCAGTCGTTCGTTGGAATACTTGATAATTTTTGTGTTGGGTTATAGACTGTAGATGTTACATGATCGAGAGTTGTAATGAAATTAATTCACTGATTTCTTTACTCATAACTGGAATACAGACCCTCCCATGGGATGGAGTTTTTTGTGTCATGATCCGTTCGGCATTGACGATTTCCTACTTATGCTAGTGAAAATGAGGCTTATTTAAGTTTTCTATTATTTGTCCGGTTATTTTGATTGCTTTAACATTGGTTTACGAAATATATAACTTCTTTTGACTGTACAATAATATCAGGTTCAGTAGGACTTTGGTTGGTTTGAGGAAGACGCCTACTTGTATGCTTGCTGTGTTTTTGACAAACAAACCTTTAATGCACTTAATTTATACCAATTAATACAATAACTTAATTTCTATATTCTTAAATGTTTGGAGATGTAATATCTAGAAGATTATTTTCATCTGTGTACAAAAATATACGAAAAACAGGAAATTACATATCTATATAGGTTGCTATTACGCATAACGTTGGCCTGCTATTTTGTTTCTTCAAGTTGTCTTTATTCTTGCTGTTTTCCTCTTTCAGATGACTCAATTCTTCTTTCATCAAATCAACACAACCCAGATACAGATGATTCTTCAAGAAAACTACCCATCCATAAAACTGATTACTCAGAATTAGATAATAAAATGTGGTCAAAAGTATTTTTTACTTGTTTACATCATGGATGCAACCTGTCTTCCCTAAATTCACTGATGATACAGACAGCTGCTTTGGAGGCTTTTGTACAATTGTTGACTGTTAGACGTCCCCTTTTTTTGTATCCTTCTATCTGGCTTACAAGTATCACGTCATCAACATCACCATCCACAACAACCAATCAAAGTTCAGTTAGCGATATTATTGCCAATGATATGTTGTATGATAAAACAAACAAGTCTTCACCTCAGCAGGGTGAGTTTAACAAAAATATTATCAGTAATGATTCTGCGTGTAACTAAAGGTTCATGTACCCGTTTTCCGGGGATGTCTGTTACGAAAGAGACAACTAAACCGGCCAATTGGTGGAATCTCTGTAAATACAGTTGGATTTGACTCACATCATTAAATTGTTGTCAGTAGAGTTCCTAGATGAAAGTTTTAACTGGTGCTTGAGTCAATGTCAACAAACAAGGTTAACCAAATGACAATCAAACCAACATCATGTAAAAGAATCAAACATTGTCAACAGTGTGAAAGATTTGCACAATTAGGAGGGATATGGATCCACCGGATATGCTGGTAACGCTAAGTGTTGAATAATCGAAGACGCTATCTGGCTTTATCGACTTTATCCAATCCCGAGGTTTATACTTTCCTATACGACTAAGATGAAGAGTCAGAGATTTCATCGATTAGTTTCATATTTTAGTTTGACCATCCTCAATTGTTTTCCATACTGTTCCAACTTCACCTAACAATCCCTTTGGTTAGATAGCGGCTTGATCTGTGTAACACATGTTCCATCCACCTGAGTCAATCAAAATTCACAACCTCATCAACTAACTTGCATATTTTGTGTTAGCTTTTACACCTAACCCTAATATTACTCTCGGGTTGGTTTCACAATACGTGAGGATACACAATGGGCCAACAAACACGAAACTTAGGTTCTGGGTTTCCTACCGACCCTTTTTTCAATGTCTAGTACTAATATACGGTGCACTGCAGTGTCATTAGACTTTGACCACTGCTAAGCACTAAGAACTAAACATCTACACCGTCTACCCATACTGGTGACCGATTCGTGTGCTTCATCCAGTCTTACAGGCGTTCATTTATGGCCTGAATCTTCTTCTAGACGTCCACCTTGGTGTCCTGATGTGAAGCGTGGCAACTTGAACTGTTGTTGGTTAGTAACATCAAGTCATATGCTGTTTTTTGATTACCACTGCATATATGCATGAATTGGTAAATGTAGTTAATTGCATCTCCTCTCCAAATAACATGCAAAATATTCCCTGACCTAACTATTCATTCTCATTGTGGTGTTATAATTATTAGCTAACGTAATAAATGTTATCTTGTTTCCTTTTAACTGCTACTGTTTCGTAGATGAACTCAGTGTTCATGCTAGTTTTCAAAGTGAAACTTATGATGTTGTTCCAACCGACTGTTTACTACAAATACCATCCTCAGAGTCTGTCAACAGTAGAAGTCCCGAATCAGATTTCCAGTCTGTAGACAGTCGTGGTACATTTTTCATCAGATCAGTTTCCTCTTCAAGCTTATCTTCCTCTGTGAAAATGGATTCAAATGAGACAACTTCAAATGAAGAAGAGATTCGTAATCAGTTATCTGTTGTTCGTGCTAAACTGGCAAAAGATGAAGAAAAACTGGTGAACAATGAAAATATTGATGTGTTCAGTGATTTTGGTTATGACATTATTGAAGATTCAATGAGGAATGTACAATCTGTTCAAACTGATGATAGTCATGACTCAACGAGTAAGTGAAGAGTCAAATTATACTACTGTTTATTTGGTAGTTGGTCGCAAACAGTTGTTTAGTTTCCTACTTGTTTACACTCATGGAGCAGGCTTATTTTTTTTACCCCGAAGCATTGTGTACTTCCTCAGGGACTCCAGTTGATATCATTTTGTACTGAAATCAAGGATCTAAAAACTGAGTTATTAAAGCTGCGACTTTCTTCTTAATTGAGCTGGGAACATTGTGTTACTGAAGTATAGCTGTTATCGTATTGTCTAGTTTTAGTTGATGACTGAATTTGTGTCGATCAGGTTTGAAAGATGACCTGCAAGTCTTGTGATCGATATTGCAGTTAAGCACTAATTATTTGAGTTGGCTACTAACTCCTGTCTTTAATTGTTCACAATTTATTACAATGTGTAAATGTAATAAATAAAATAAGTATACACCGTTTTATGCAATGCAGTGCATGTTCAATCTACTGTCAACACTTGCAATAGGATTGCAACTATGACTACTCAATCAGGGTTCAAGTACTCAATTGTAAACCAATTGTTTATATGTTAAAAAGCACTTGTGTATGTCAGGGGTGCTGAAATCAAGCAATATGATTAGTCTTCATAAAGAAACTTATGCGTGGTTGCTGAGGCGTATAGGTATACATGGTTTCAAAATGTTCCCATATTCTAATTCAGAATTCTATTTAGTGGTTTGTTGGGAATTGATTAGTTTTAAAGTGGGTTTCCATCGTGTTTTGACATCAGTCAAGTCTTATTTTGCGACTCCATGACAGTGCATACCCACAATCTTGTCATAGATTTAACCTGGAATCATCAAGCCTCTTGTTAAGCATGTTACCACAACCACTGCGTCGGATTTCAATGACCCATACTTTTCTGCTTTTATCATTTCGTGATATTGTATGTCCATCGGCAAGTGTTGTCTTCCCACAGCTTAATAGTTTCTTTATGAATAGAAATAGTTGTGGGATAATGGCGAAAACTTATTGACTTCAGGCTGGTATTCATCATGGACTGACACCAGTTGGGGAAGCATTGGAAACCTATGGGCACTAGTCAGCTGTTTCGTCCTAGTGTGGGAATCTTCAGGAGTGCGCACCTATGACCCCACAGTGAATCGAACTCAGGACCATCAGGTTCTGCGGTCAGCAAGCTACCACTAAGCCACTAGGTCGGAACCCAGTAGTGCATATTTCCTACGCCTATCGGTTCACGATATAGCGCTCGTTGATGACTAGCTTCGAGAGGTGATTCCCGAAGTTCAAATAAGAAGTCGTAACTAAGGAAGCCAACCATGTCAAAACATGAGGACAGTTACTCAATAACGGCATGAGATGGTAGTCGCTCTGTGTCGTGAGCTAACAGAAGTAGGAAATATGCGCCGTTGGATTCCGATTCAATGGTGACGTACTGACCGCGAAATCTGTAGGTCCTGATTTCGATCCCTGGCGACGGGGGGTCATGGGCCAATACGAAACAGCTGCCCAGTGCTCCCAGGTTTCCAATGTTTCTCCAACTGGTGTCAGTTCATCATGAATGCCAACCTGAAGTCTATAAATCCCAGCAAAAATCTCAAAATTGAGAAAATTTATACCTGCTGCCTTTAATGAATGTAAAAGCTTCATAATCAAACCATGAAGCTGGGAATTCTCAATACCACTAAGAAATAATTCCATTCCATTCTATGAAGTTCATACAGTCTACACTACTTGCTTTGTGAATAGCATGTTTAACGACTGATTGTGTAATTTGACAGTCAATGTAAACTTGATACCGTTATTTTTACTCGAAAACAGTATTTTGACTACAATCATGTGTAAAAATATTACGTGCATTTCCTACAATTCCTAAATGAAAATTAACGCAGTGTTCACATGCTTACGCGAATATATTAATAATTTTTATGTATCACGATGTAATTACTAACGAGTCATACACTGATTGGTCACTAGAGAGTAACAAATTTCATGTTGTCTAGCCTTAAAGGTTGTAATCGAACTTTATCAATCCTTTTGCAATGTGGTCATTAATCGAGGAGAATCAAAACGGTGATGCACTTTTGTTGATGTTAGTTGGTTAAAAGTAGTCGACAGAACCTAGGTCTTGTGTTTGTTGGCACCTATCGACAAGGCGTATGTGCAACTTCAAGAGAACCTGCGTCATCCAGTCACGCAGTCAGAGATGTTATCATTGAGCTATGCAGGCTGTTCACAAAGCAGTTAAATTTTTTTTGAGGGAGTTGTGGAGATTTGGAATTATTTCAAGTTGTTATTCATTGTAGACTGACATCAGTTGGAGGAACAAAGGAAACCTGGGAGCACTGGACAGCTGTTTCGTCCTAATAATGAATAACAACTTGAAATAATTCCAATTTCTCCACAACTCCCTCAAAATTTAATTGAACTGGTGCTCATTGGTGACTAGTTTCGAGAAGTATTCCCGAAATTCCAATGACAAGTCGTGACCGGTGGAGTCAAAGCCTGATGGCCATGAGGACAATTACTCAGCGATGACATTGGGTGGCGGTTGCGCTATATATCGTGAGCTAACAGAAGTTGGAAATATGGAGCATTGGATTGTGACCCAGTGGCTGAATGGTAACGCGCTGGCCGCGGAACCTGAAGGCCGCGGGTTCGGTCCCTGCTGGTGGGGTCGTGGGTGCGCACTGCTGAGGAGTCCCATACTAGTGTGACGAAACAGCTGTCTAGTGCTCCCAGGTTTCCTTTGTTCCTCCAACTGATGTCAGTTACATTTTTACCGTTGTTATGTTGTAGCACTGCAAAAACAATCATCTGTGACAATTTTTGTACAGTACACTAGAATTCAGAAGCTGTTAATTTTTAATCAGTAGTAACTAATTATCAAGTACAGCGTCAAAAAAATGGTTAATATACTTTAGTTTTGCTGGTAATATGATGTTTATTACAATATTCCAGGCTCAATAGAAATGGCAGTTCGATGTATACATAAGTCAAAAGTGCATGTTATGATTTTCGATTGATCATACTCTATTTTTCTTCAAATTTAATTTCTCATAAAGTGACAATAAGGAAACTTTTAAATTGGTGTCGAGAACTCGTCCTAAGAAAGCCATAAATTGAACATCAACAAAAGTACTGCAACTTATTTACTTCATCCTAGTTCAAATGATGATTGCGTAAATGTTTTACTTCTCTTTTATCTTTGAAGTTGTGTCAACTAACAAAGTTGAGATGTAAAAAATTGAGTGATTTGAAATGGATGAGAAAACTATATAGAGTAGAAGTCAAGTAAATATCACCTTGAAGTTTTAAAGCGATGTAAATCTAAAGCCACTGCAATAAAAAGGACTGAACAAAACGCTTATTTTCACAAAGTTCTGGATTCTATTAGTGAATAGCTAAAGCAGCGTAAATCCCTTCGAACGACTTAAACTGACCCGTATTCATCACGTCGAATAACTTTTGTATGGATATGCTACATGACCTAGCAGAACAATATTGCAGTGTATTTGACTCTAAATAAGTCATTAAACAGTCGACAAGTAATGAACTAAATATAGATTCCATTACTACTCCATTCTTCTATAGAAACATCTATGAAACATAAACTGGACATTCAATATGCATCTTAGGATTGCGTCTTGAATATATCTGTTAGGTATACCAACATTTAAATTATTGGAATTAATGAACTCACAGAAAACATGCCGTTCCCGTCAGAAGAAATAGTGGATCTGTGTCTCAATGGTTTAGGGAGATGACTATCAACCAGTGTGTCCCACGTTCGAACCCCACTCCGCCTACGGAGGATCGAGCAGCCAGGTAGTATCCCTAGCCGTCACGGAATAGGTATGACTTATTGCCTGCTGCATGGATGTGCTGATGTGGCTGAGTGAGACAGAGACAAAAGTAAATTAGTAAATAATGAGATAACATCTAGTGAAGCCACCACTTTAACTGTATCGAAAAATTCGAAACAGAATTATCGAAAACCAGAGATCATATCTTTCCAGCTGTGTGAACTAATGTGTCATAGAGTCCACCAATGTCAGGTCTGATGGCACAATGTTGATATCCAGCGCTTTACATTTTCAAACTTTTGTAAACTTATAGCGCAGTTAACATACAGTTTCATAGTAGTGAGCATCCGTTCTCATACTCACAGGTTATAACTTCTCATTAGAACTTGGAAAAAGCTATTTCAAACAGGATACTAACATGCATAGAATCGTTATTCACTTAGGTGATCCGTGTGGGTGTGAGTAGCTTTTATTGTTAATAAATATTGACTGGACAGTCATCAATAACTAGGAAGCGATACATACTAGTTTCGTCCTTTTTTGTAACTTCTCATTTGATCACACTCTTAATCCTATTTAGGATTGAACATATTATTTATTCACTAGGTTGAATTTCAATTATATACATATCTTGGAATTGTCAACTTTTCTACTATATCTAGGATTAATTTACACATTCATTGTTATTATTATTTTTTAGATGAAAATGAACACATTCAAGATGTAAAAGAAACTCCTGTTCATCAACCAAAGTTTTATCCATTAAGCCTAGTTGATATTATTAGCCATATGAACAGTGAAAATGAACCGATAAATGTGATACAAGCTGATTGGCTACTACCCTTTCTTCTATTGTCATTTGATATGATGCCTAAAACTGTTGACAATACAAAACTCCAATATGAATGGCCAAGACCTTTAACACTACCACGGACTAGTTTACATTTACTTATTATTAATTGTCTAACCAATTTAGCTCAATTAAACCCTATGTTTTTCTTTGTCCAATTAAATGGGAATCAATGCTGCCCTAGTGATCAACTCAGTCGGGAACATGTTCAATGGCCAACTGCAGGTAAGTTTGTTGTAATAGGACTCTTCAAGTCACTTTATTTTTAAGTTAAGCGAGTATAACACTTTTATCAGAATAAGATGGATTCATTTTATTTCGAGAGGTTTCTTTTCACCTGGTTACGATCTGAAACGATATAATAGAGACTTATCGGTTTGAAGAAAGGACAACATTGAAGTTACACTATTCGATTTACAAGAAATAATGCATTTATTCTGGAACGGAACTTGAGTCAAAGAGACGAGTAAAATGTATCATGCACATTGAGAAAGGCTGGATAAAAATGTGTACAAAAGATCAGAGGATTTACACTAGCTAAGAAGAGGAGAATTCTCAGGTCAAGAATTATGCGATAGAACAGTGATAAAAGTGTATGAAGTGGTCAAAAACGGGATTATAAAAATAGCACTAAAATATCTCCATAGTAGGAATAGACTGATAATTGTTTCTTTGTCAATACATAATTTCGACTTCAATCGTTTAATAGCTACCGCTTCAGCAAGTCTCAATAAATTCAAGTTTATCTACCGACTAATTAGGGTGACTTTAAAGGCCACCTCAACAACTGCTGAACTAACTAACTACGTTCCTCTATTTTATGGAAAACTACCTTACTGGCTAGAATACAGACATCTGATTGGTTGGTTATCTTAAACAATTTATAGATACTGACTTCATGCCCACCGTCAATAAGGTAACGGGCAATTGCGCTGTTGAAAACTTTCTCATCTCAGTCGTAAACTTCTTGAAATTTCTTTAGACATGCAGTCACATTTACTAGGTACTATTTGGATTGTTTCCCAACACTATGTGGAATAGTCAATGTATGATAAATCATTCTGATTGGCAGAAAACACGAAAGAAATGCAATGCTATGAGGAAGAATCGTTTTCCTAATAGTCACAAATGCTTTCGCATTCGATTAGCGTGAATGAGAGGTTTACGTTCATTCAGCAGATTCTGTCCGAAGATACTGTGGCGTAAGTAATGCACACTTCTGCGTAAGATCGTAGGTTATTCTCCCTTTTTACGTGTCTTTTATTTCGCAGCGAGTTTCAGTTAACATGAAGTGAACCAGTGGCAAATGAACCTCGTTTATGTGAGAATTTTTAGCCAATAGATGAAAAATGTAATGGTAGTTGATATAATCCAACTCAGCGACCATGTTAGATCTAAAGCAGTGTCTGTATTTTGGGCATGCGTCTCACATCTGTCAAATATAAGACTATGCTTCAGGACTGTTCTGCAACTACTCCCAGTTTAATGATTTTGTGTGAAGTAGCTGAATGTGCCAACCACTTCATCTGCTTAGGAAGTTGCATCAACCCGATTAAGCTTGTTACTGATGAAATGTGACCTCAGATACAGAAGGCTTGTTTGGCATTTGCCAACTTGCGTCATCTGTGACCCCGATTGGCGAGATATCCGACTACCTATCAAAGGACAAGTATCGTGCGCTGCAGTCCACTATGTCCTGTTATACAGCAGTGAGACATGGCCGTTAAAAATAGAAGACATAGGTGTCTTCGTAGCATTGCTCGTGTTTGGTGAAATCATTGTGTGAGCAATGTTGGGGTTAGGCGAAGGGCACTAGGCAAGACGGATACGTTGATTGGTGAAGTTGTGAACTGAGATGGCTAGGACATATGTTGCACAAGCTGACCCACCGCTTACCTTGACATTCCATGCTAGAGGGAGCTGGATTAGGATGGGAGAGGGTTCAGGGTGGTCAAACTGAGACGTGGTAGTAGTCCTTAGAATCTCTAACTGTTGGTCTGAGTCGTGTAGAGAGATGTAGACTGTCTGACTCGGGTCCCCGAGACGATAGGGATCAGTGGTTAAAGTGTCTTGGTGACATGGCTGAGAATCGGTCACAGGTGTATACACTCAATTATGTCTTCTAAAGCTTGGATCTTTGCTGTAACTATTATTTCCAAATTGTTTATTCTCTCATACACCTTTGGTCTACTTTGATATCAGTCTTTTTCGACTTACTTGTTCCTTGCATGGTAATGTGGTGTGGGAACTGGGACCGACGCACTTGTATGCGAGGTTCTGCGTTGATTTATTTTTATGTCCCTGTCTCTTGTATTAAAGTTAATAAAGATAAACAATCACAGGAACTGAGATATCCGAATTGGGGTTCGAACTAGTAACCCACTGGGTTATATTTTTCTGCCAACAAACTTCAACTTCATGCTTAAAAAATTCCATTATCGTTTTCGTCCCTTCAAGTATCATAAACTTTCATTTGTATTGGTTTCCTGTTAAATACTGACTACTCATTTCTTCTCTTTTCACCACATTGTTTTCTTTCGCACAGTTGACGTGATTCTGGAATTTCACAATAGTAGTGCAGATCCACAAGTTCAAGGTCAACTCTGTGTGCTCATCGGCAATTTGATTAATGCGTGTTTAATTTGGCAAAACCTGAATTGTGATGAGTTTAATGGCTTATTGAACAAACAGAGCTGTCAACAGCTGTCGGTGCACAAAAGCCTGGAATGTCTTTTCAGTCAACTAGAAACATATTTAAACTCGAATGTAAGTTTGAATTACATGTTGTTTATTCTTCTTTATGAAGAATATTATTCTCCATAAATTGAGTTTTTTTTCAGGGGCTCATCACCGAAGAAAAGTATGTAATAGATTGAAGCTTAAAGAACTCAAGTTAGTGGGTTCTGTGCATTCGACTCTTGAATATCCAATTATCCATAATATCACGTTGATGCTGAGCTTTTGTGATAACTAACTCTAATCTTGAAGATGTGTTTTATATTTCAGAGTCCGTTAAAAAAACTCTTACTAGCGTTTAGGTTACAAACGGTTCTTTGTTTATCCTGAAAAGTTTACCGATAAAATCGAATAGCACAGCTATAGAGTTTTTTGGGAACATAGCATAGTAATCTTACTTACATTCAGGATTAAGCGCCATATAGGTAGTTTAATGAAGCAGACAGGACTACTTAAAAAGAATTGAAAATCTCATTTTCTCTCTCTTTTATCTATACAATATCAACAAAATGATGCATCTAAAAAAACCTCATTAAATGATACCTTTACTGTCTTATTCACTCGTTTGACCGAATCAATAATATTGCCAGGAGAAGTTTATTCCAATACTACTATCTTTTATCCCCTGAAAAATAACTTCTGTCATTGTTTAATATATGTTATTGAGAGAGTATTTACACAACTGTCATATTCTGTTAATGTGATCGATTGCTAAAGCGATTGCGAAAAAGCACTGCTGAATAGTGTCACGCTGGATTGCACCATTATATCCATCCATCGTCATAAGATTTTCAATGGTTCATTTCAGTCAAATTGTAATCAACAATTGAGACTATCTTGAAATAAGCTTGTTTCGTTCAATTGTTTTAGTTTCTAAACTTTCTTCTTCTTATTATTATTAATTATTTATTCTTTGGGTTTCTAGCGGAACATAGGGCTTCAGTATCACATCTGCAGTCCTTTGAACCTTGCTCTACGACTGCCCACAAGCTTTCGGTTCTTCCTCACATCATCTTCTCAATGTCTCCCTCACCTCGGGCGCCCAACTCGTCATTTCCCGCTTTGGATTCCACTCGAGGACCTGGCGCGTGATGTCTTTGAATAGTTTTCTCACTGTATGCCCAATCCATTCCATCTCCATTTTCGTCTGCATATTTGTTGTGCAATAGGTTCTTGGTTGGTTCATTGCTTATTCTTTCTGGTCAACTCTTCTGATCTTGAGTATCGATTAAGCGTAGGTGGCAGCTGTTGATGATATATGTCTGTAGTTTGTTGGAAATGCTTTTCGTGAAGCGCCAAAATTCTGAACCACCACATAGAAACACTGACCTGACTGATATTAGTGTTGAAAATCCGTATGTTGTTCACACTTTATGCTGAGTTTTGTGGAGTGCAGTAGATCTCCAAACTGATTTCAGGTTAATGCAGTAATGTTTTTCTTGCTGTCTTTTCGATCCTGGCTTTGACGTCCTCATCTGTGTCTGCACCGCCGGTAGTTGAAACGACGCTTCATAGGTAGCTGAAAGAGACTACTTCCTTTAGGTTTCTCCCCTTCATGGTGATTGGTGCTTGTTGTTGTTGTTTGGTCGGGTATCTTCATCACCTCAGTCTTCTCTACTTTCAGTTGAAGGAAGTCCCGTCTCCTTCGCTGCATCGCCTGTTCTGCCAACTTGTTATTTTTCGCCTGTAAATCTTCGAGTTTGTGCGATACTAGACATAAACCATCATTTTCGAAATGCAAATCTTCTAAGGTCTTTTCGGTAGTCCAGCCAGCATATGCCCATCTTCCCGCTCCTCACCTCTCCTAGTTTACTAGTTCTGTAGTTACTAGTCGGTCCTAATCCCGGATAAAGAGGGAAGGTTGTGCATAAGGCTAGAAACCCTACCCCGTAAAACCAATCCAACCGCTACAGAAACTTCAAAGCACAGACAAAATATAAAAAATAAAAACAAACTTATTGCTTGCTGGAACTGGATAGACGAAATGACACTAGTTGGTGAAAGCCTTCGGGAGGTCAATTAACCGATACGTCTTCTCTCGATGAAAACAAAAGTAAGCATGAGGACATGGATTGTCCGCACAATGTTTGAAACTTTCTCATTTTATGCATCTCAATGATTTCTACCATACTGTTTCACTGTCAATATTGCCTTGTTTGTAAACTTATCGTTGATTAGGCTCGCATAGACTATAAATGAGTGAAACGGTGATAGAACTAATAAACCGACAATAGATAACGTGGTATGAATGACGGAAGTTATTTGAGATGAAATGATGAAAGTTTCTCTAAAGGTGTAGTTTGCTCCCCTTGCACTATAATAAACTCCGTCGCCTCCAACTGACTAACATCTATCAAAACACACCGCGATGATGACCGTTCTAGCTTGGTGGTTATCGGTAGAATTCGGTCAACATTCGGGACTAGTCAATATGAGATTGATTGCTCTCTGATTGCCAATCAATGTGTCGAATTTTATTCCTGTATATTTTTTTAGTCTGTTCTATACTGGCCTGATGCTGTTAGTGATAATGTGTTATGTCAGCTGAGTGCAATATTCGGTAAATGATGTGCAAATTTCAGATTTTTTTTTCAACAGTTGGATTGTTAAGCTAAATTCGTAGAACAACTGAGTCTGTGACTCGTAAATTCCATATTTAAATCGAATTGGCTTTAGAGCTTCTTTTTACAATGGTGGTGACTCATATAACAATTGCTCAACTAAGTTGAAACCATCATTATGCATTTAATCTCTTTCTTTACCATAATCATCGGAAACGATTAATCACTTTAGATAATTCCGTTATGATGACGCAACTAAATTTTATTTTATAATCATTTTGTTATTTCCCCCTTTGTAAACACCTACAGATGTTGCATAACTTTCCTTCGTCATTCAATTGATATTGATCTTTGACCGGAAATCACTCTAGATTGTTCTCTCCTTTCTACCATATATCCACAAATGTACAGTTAAGAGAATGATTTCGTCGAAAAGAAATTTTTTATTTTCTTGCTATCATCTGTTTTTTCCTATAACTCAGTTGTGATAAATTTCGTTGAGTACATAGAGTAGCATCTTACATCTGTAGTTTTCCTTTCATTGTTTGTTTACTACTTCACTTCTCATTATTCTTGAGAACATCACTGAATATAATACAAAGGGAGTATGAAAACCTTTTGTATTTCCCATCATCAAATGCCATCGTCCATCTTTTTATGTTTCAGATATTGCAACATTTATTTCCTTTTTTGTTTGTGCTAAACTATGAAAGTCTGGTTACTGTTTCACAAGTATCCTTTGATCTATTTTGTGGAAATGAGAAATAATACAATCGACCAAATTCCATGCAATGAGTATGAGGTCAAGTACATAGGTCAACCTAGCTGGTCGTGGTCAGTTAGATTAGCCGAACACTGGAATTTTGCCGAATAGAAGGAAAAACCCCAACAGCATCAGTCTAGAAAAACACTGGGTTATTGCAACGTATGCGTTAACATACAACCGCATAATAGAGTGGGATAAAACCACCGTCCTTGAGTCCAATATAATTAGGTGGAGAGAGAGAGAGAGAGAGAATGATTACTGAATCTTTGTTCATCGAATCAACTCCTAATACATGCAAAAGACATGACGCAACGCCTATATCATAGATATGGGAAACTTTACTTCCAATAAAAGCAAAGAATATGAAGTGACATGACCATAAAAATCAGATATCGAAAGTTGTGTGGTTGTATTGATATGACTGAGTAATTATTTGTAGTCGAAATGTCATCCAGTAAATAATACTGTATCACTGTGTGCGATATTTAAATTATCATTTTCACCACTGAGATAGCCGTGGTTTAGCAGACTAGTATAGATACATAGTGGTGATTGAAGATGAAGTGAAAATGTGGACCGCAGCTGTATTCAAACCAGCGACCACCAGGTTTCCGTCCCGATACTCTACTAACTGAGCTACGAGGTCTGACTGCTGACCAGATTTTTATTTCACTTCGACCACCATGGATTTTGCCCGACTGCCATGTGAATTCGTTACGCATTACTATTTCACCTCTAACCATCACCTTGTATCAATATATTAAATAAACAAATCTAATGTTATCGACTTTTTTCCCCGTTATTGTTGAATTAGTACATTTTGTCACATTTTTGGTTTGTTTTGGTAATTTGTTTATCTCTGACGGTTGATACTTTTTATTATTTCAAAAGTTCAAGAGAAAAACGAAGTTGGGAAAAAATCTAATCATCTAAAGTGAAACATAAAAACGAATGACTAAACTGAAACAGCTTTCATCATTCTATGAAGATATCCTGTGTAAGAAAGGAAAATGCTCAGATCAAGGTCCCCCTTTTTATGTATTTTAACATCTCATTTAATTCATATTTACCATCAGCTTTAAGGATTGTGACACTCATTTTAATTCACATTTTTGTATAGTGGTTTTTTTCGATTGTTAGTCGCCTACATTTGAAACTGATCACTATCCTAAGTAATGATATTTTTTTAAATTTTCATATATTTTATCTGTTCAAGGTTTCTGGTATAACATTCCGATGGGCTTTATCCGGTTTACGAGCATGTTCTGGTGCTTTACTTTCGTGTAATAGGCTTACATCATCATTATCATTATGCTCAGAGAAATCACACATATCATCTGATAGAGAATTAATAATCCATCGTTTTATGAAGGTATTAACCTCAGTTGTAATTCATGCATCACGTCATCCTTATCGGTTAGTTCGACGTGAATTATTAAATCTTATCATGGAATTTGATTGGGCATCTGTTTGTTACTTGGAGGAAATACAAAGAACTCATGATTTTGCAAAGGTATGCTCATTTTGCAAACCGAATATATTTTTTGATATCGATTGACGTCTTCTCAATTGTAATACACATCTTAATAAAGCCAGCCATTTTTATGCTTAATTTACTCTTTTCGTACAAAACAGAAACTGAAACTGAACTATGAGTCCATAAACCGACGTATTAACAGCTTGAACTATTTCACTCATCAGATAATATAATGCCTAGACAGTTGGCTTTAAAGGCCACTCTAGGAAAGATCGAAATAACCAGTTAAGTCTCTTCATTTTAGCTGGGAAGGCAGATTTTCATAAAATAGGGTAGTCTGATTAATTATTTCAGTTGTTGCTCGTTTGGCCTTCAAAGTCACTCTGCTTAGACTAGATTGGAAGAAGAGTCATCTTCATCTTCTGATCAGTAATCGATATCCTTAAATACAGATGTGGTACTTTTATTGTCAAATCTAACAGAGGCAATATTTTCAAGTGCATATTTTTCTGGCCATTCATGTACAAGCGTATGCTGAAACTAGTGCATGACCTGAGTCTAAGTAGATACTTCTCAGATTTTCTACAGCAGTAACTAGTAACAATACCTGAGATACCAAAGTTTTGACTAATGAGGTATGTCGTCCAATATTACTAACAGTTTGATTATTGAAAGCTTCAGAGTACGGTTGGTAGCCGGGTTTTAAGAGTACAGATAATGTTCCGTTTTCCTGGGCGTTAGTAGTTGATGAAGAAATGAAATGATGAAAACCGATGGATTTTTGAAGTGATGAAAAGAGTTGATAGTAAATGAGTAAGATCTCTGGCTACCCCAAAAAATGCTATAACGCCGAAGCAGTCGTCCAGCGGTTCAGTTATTTACCCTCAGACTTGTATTTTTCTTCGTGAATAATATAACATTTCTTTCACTTTTTGTTTCTTCAAGTGTACTTGGTTTTCTGTAAAGCCAATGAGACTAATTGATTTAACATGGACAGAATGTTGGCGCATTCTTTGTGACGCTGATCCTGATTTGCGTGAACAGGCTTCGATTGCATTGATTGCTTTATGCTCAAATCTGACGAGTGGTATTAATGATAATTTAGGTATATCTATTGGCGAGTTATTACCGAATCGCGTTAATCGTAGTTTACAGTTCTGGTTACCACAGTCATATTCACAAACTAGTAAGTGGCCAAATGTAATTCTCTTTTTTTCAATTCATACACTTTTTATTTTTTCACTATTATCATTTTCTATCTACAATGTAAGACGTTTTCTGTTATTTTTCAGATATACCGAACTTTTATATAATCTTTGATATACCAGTTTCATATCATTCCCACAATGTTGTTGTCATATCTCATGGATATTGGTTTGGTTGACTTGGAGTATACAGACGACATTGTTTTGTTTAGTCAAGACGCTGACAAAATGTAGGGTCTTCTGAACGCATTGAGCGGAAATCTGAGTATATTCGATATGCTTCTCGCACCCGTCAAACCCCAGATGATGCTCCAGAACTGGACTGCAACCAATTCCAGTTTAATGCCAGAGAGTGAAGTGGTGGAATGTGTCAACCACTTCAATTGCTTGGGGAACAGCACCAGCTTCAATGGGCTGGTTGCTGACAAAATCTCAGCTCCAGATACAGAAGACCCGTTTGACACTTGGCTACTTGCGTCGTATGTGACGCCAATTGGCAAGATATCTGACTGTCTGTCAAAAAACGAGTATCCTGCGCTGCAGTCTACTCTGTCCTGTTACACGGCTGAGATATGGCCGTTAGAAGTAGGAGACATGAAGCGGTTGCAGGGTTTTAATCACAGATGTCTTCGTATTATTTCTTACGTTTTATGGAATCACTGTATTAGTAATGTTGACATCAAACGAAGGGTACTAGGCAAGACAGACAGGTCAGTTGGAGAAGTTGTGAACTTAGCTGGGCTGCACATATGTCGCACAAGCCGACAGACTGCTTATCTTGACGTGCCATGCAAGGGGACATCGGATTAGGATGGAAGAGGGTCCAGAATGGTCAGACTAAGCTTGACACCAGTGCTTGATATCTCCAGTTGTTGGTATGAATGATGTAGTGAGGTATACACTGCTTCTTTTGGGTTCCTCAGACAATAATTAATCAGTGGTTAAGGAGTCTTGGTGACATGGCTGAAAATCAGTCGTCGTGGCGCAAATGTTTTCACTCTTTAACGTTCTCTAAAGCTTGAGTGTTTCGACTAGCCTCAATTTGGAAATCTCCTCTCCTCGCATACACCTTTGCCTACTTTGATACCAATCTTTTTCCATCTACGTGTTTCTTTTTATACTACTGTTGAACGGATTCACTTTTATATGAGGTTCTACGTATCTGACAGTAATTTATTAATCCATGTTATTCTATTTGTTTGATCAGAGAAACAGTTATACAGTGCTTTCTGTCGAGTAAGATTTAAAGCGCAATTGTTTGTCCATCATGATACTCAGGTGATTTGATTTCGAGACCCGGCTTTTCACAGATATCATCATTACCTTTTCTTTATTTCTAATAATAGTAGAAAAATTTCTACTGTTTTCACTCGGTGTTGGTCTCATGGACAATAAGTTAGTAATCAATCTTTCGTTGCATAGAATGGCTATTTTATTGCTTTAAGACTTACTTTTCTCAGACACATCATATGCACCATCTTTCAATTGATGATGAACAAAACCTTCATCTTTCGCCGGATTTCTTATCTTGCTCATGGTCAACAAACTAAATTCAGCTGGCTTTGTAAGATAGTCATAAAAACAGTCCAAAGAAGCAAACCGTTCAAAACTCTTTCTTTACGGGAATTTCTCATCTGTCTTTCTTTTCACTCAATAGAGTCAAATGTTTCATGTTTTGGATTAGTCGGTTGTTTGGGCACCTACAGTTTACCTCCATGCTTGTCCACTTTACCATTGGAGATGGATGTTGGACCCGTTGGACGGCAGTTCTGTCAATCAAAAATGTCTCAATTGTTACATTTGGAGAAAGAAAATAATAACAAGCTTAAGCCAACGGAATATTTTCAACCAAACAGTACAGGAGCTACACGTCTTTTTCGCAACTGTCTAACTGCTTTGATGGAATTACCGTGTTCTAGTTACTTACCCGAAGACCATTATATGCTGGTAAATCACTGTCTTCAAATATCTGGCTTTGTAGTTTGTTCACATTACGTCTATCTGTATATATTTGTGTTCTTTTCTCAGTTTTTGGACCACTTCATTGCTTCTGTTTTCTGGCTTCGGATAAGTCTGACATTTATGTGACCATGTATCGCTTTGGGAAAGCGGCTTCTGACTTCAGAATAATATACTTCTATTTCACTATTGTACTCAATACTTTGATTCTGTTTTCGAAACCAAACTAAAACTTGAAATATAAAGTAACTTTTCACGGTAACGGATATACTCTTCTACTCATAAGTCGAAAATCGACACCAGTGTTCAAGCATTTGATTAAAAATCATTGAGTTGTGCATTCGCAATTACACTCGTTAGGTGCTATTGTCCCACAACCATTGTCTGTTTCGTAAATGCATTTTTTTTATTTTGCTGCAGTTACTTAATAGTCTTCCTGATCTTAGATATAACTTGGCATCTGAAGTTTAAGTTCTCATCGCGTGATAAATTATATAGATATTACTTTTATTGCGGTCTGAGGGCACAAGGGATAAATCCAATATTTATGTTATCACGAGCGCTAAATATATCAGAATAAACTGTATGTTGCACAAGCTCTGCAGTGGCATACTCACTGTATTGTCTTTCACAGTTTCAATTTTAACTAGAAATACAATTGAAGTTTGTAATGAAAGCGTTTTATTTTACACAACGTAAGCAGGTACCATAATCAGATTGCCTAAAGAATAACTTTGAAAATAGGTTATGAAGTTGACAAGATCACATTACTTATTGGCTAAACTCTACAGATTTTAACCAAACTGTTAATTCAGTGGCATGAAGTTTATTTACGTTGTTTTTTTATTGGCTCGAATGAGTCAGAACTGGTTTCATGTAAGGAATATTTGCTGATATATTTATAAATTTGCCATCTTTTCACCGCAGTGACAGTAGAATTGATTACGAGACTTTTTATTTCCCCTACTAAGTAGTGTCTCATAATCAGTGCTAAGACTAACAAATGACGAAAATTGATAGACTGAAAATTCAGTACTTTACATGAAAACGGCTTCCGATGGCGTAAAATTAAATGTTGAAAAATCTTACAATAAGTTTAAGAAGTTTGTTAGTGTGTCACCTTTCTCTATCCTACACTTTCTGTTTATATAATCGCTCACGATATCATATAGCTGTCAAATTTGTTTGTCATTTCCACTTTGACTTCTAGCATTGTGATGCATACCTTTAGTTATGGATAACCGATGTGCACTGACCTAGAATATACTGCTTTGAATTACGGATTCACCTGTGCCCTTACTACTTTTAGTGTTGTTTTGCATCATTGTACTAAGTCTGTCAGAAATCCTTTCTCTCCTTTAGCTAGTAAGAAATTTCTGTCAGCTTTAGAAATCGGTAATGCATAAAGAAAAAGCGTAGGTTGTATGCCAAGATCATTGTTAGTTCAAGTTACGATAGATAGGGATTTTCGTAATCTCTTTACATGAATGAGAAGAAATCTGAAAAAAGCAATTATTTATCAAGAGACTAGTTAGTATACAAAAAGGCAAAACCAATAAATTAGGTTACCATGTTTGTGAAAATAGATCATCCCATTTTTGTGTGTAGATGGATATAGGTTAATAATATCTCTCAGCAATAGCTTTCTTAGGACAAAGTGATCCCAGCTTTCTTGGCTCATTTATCACTCTGAAAACTTTAGAGGCAGCCGTTTAGTGCTTCACATAGGTTTTGTTGATTTTTTGAGCAATTGTGATCTATGCTTTTACAAACGATATGTTGTCAGCATTGGATTAGCAAACTCCATTGTTTTTCCTCGGAATGACTTCTAAGGATATCAGATGGCAGACGTTTTAGTGACGACACCATAACTACTTCATTATTATATATTATTATTTGTCCCTTGGGTTCCTAGTGGAACATAGGGCTTCAGTAGCACGTCTCCATTCCACTCTGTTCTCTGCAGTCTTTTCAACTTAGCTCCAACACTGCCCACAAGCTTTCATTTCTTCCTCACATGATCTCCTCCATGTCATCCTTACCTCAGACGCCCAACTTGTCGTTTCCCATTAGCATTCTACTCAAAGGCCTGGTCTGGCGCGTAATGCCCCCAATCGGTCTTCTCAGTGTACACACAATCCATCTCCACTTTCTTCTTGTGTACATTTGTTGGGCGAAAATCCTTATGTTGTTAACGCTTTATGCTGAGTTTTGTGGAGTGCAGTAGATCTCCACACTGATTTCAGATTAACGAAGGAAGGTTTTTCTTTCTGTCTTTGCGATCCTGGCTGCTTTGACGTCTATCTGTGTCGCTGCCTGTAGTCGAAACGATGCTACTTGGACAGGTGAAAAAGACTATTTGCTTTAGAATTCTCCTGTTGATGCTTGTTGTTGTTTGGTCGGGTATCTTCATCTCCTCAGTCTTCTCTACATTCACTTGAGGTCCCGTCTTCGCTGCCTCTTCTGTCAACTTGTTGGTCTTTGTCTGTAGATCTTGGAGTTCGTGCGACAAGATATTAGACATAAAACATCATCGACGAATGCAAATTTTCTAAGGTCTTTTCATCGGTCCAGACAGCTTCTCACAAGTTGCTGCTTGACCCAGTGCAGTCGACCCTAATCAGGAGGATCATCGCTGATAGTAGGCAGCAACCTTGTGAATCACTTGGCATGTAGCCTCATCATATAGCACATAACTGTTGAATGAGGTTGAAAAAGGTTTGTGACACTTCGTAGTGTTGAAGCAACTGCCAAATTACTTCTCAGTCGACGCTGTCAGTGGCCTTTTCAAAGTGGATGAAGTTGAGGTAGCGAGTTGACTGCCATTCTATGCTCCGTTCTATGATGATGCGTAGCGTTGTAATTTGATCCGCAAGTGATTTGTTTTTCCTGAAGCCAGCCAGCCTGTTTTGGTCGTAATTTTGAATTCCACGCATCCTTTAGTCTCTCCAGGATGATGCGGCATAATATTTTGCTTGGGGTGGACAGGAGCATGATTCCGCGCTAGTTCTTGCAAAGACTCACGTCACCCGTCTTTGGGAGTTTGACAAGGTAGCTCTTCTTCCAATCAATAAGCAGGTACCTTTCCTTCCTTCATTCTAAACCTTCTGCAATAGTGGTGTGGTACATGTTCGCCGTTGTCTCTGCTTCTGTTTTCAGTGCTTCTGGAGGAGATCCATTTGATCCTGCTGCTTTCCTGGATTTATGGCGTTCAGGACTTCACTTCTGCTATTGTCGGAGGGCTTATGTTCACTGGTAATTATGTCTGGTCTGCTTGTGGTATTTCTGGACGAGTTGCAAGTGGTGGTCTATTCAAGAGTTTTTCAGGTCTCTGTCTCTCCTACCAACAGCCTATCTGTTCTGCTTCACTTACCAATGTGTCGTAGAAGTGTCTTTTGTCTTTCCGCGCACTCTTCTTCACTTCTTCTTCCAGTGTAGTGTTTTATATGTTGTACTTAGTTCGTCTTTTCGTTATTCATCAATGAACTGCACTGCACTGGTTCATCCTCTGCTTCACCATCTTCCTCTCACTGCTCTATCAGCTTTCATGTGTCCGTCGAGATCCATTCCTTGTCTTCTTTCTTCTCACTCCTTCCTAACACGGTTATGCAGGTTTCCTTCCACATCACTTTCAAAGAGTTCCAGTGTTCTTCCACACAGGTTTCTTCAGGGATGTTGCTCAATATCTCGCACTTTGTCTTGATGGCTGGCTGACGTGAAGATTTCCTTTGTAGTTTCGTCTTTCAGTTCAGTTTCTGTTCTGGGTGTTCAACTTCAACTGTGGTCATCTATCACCTACTTCTGTGAAGGCTTTCAACTTGATTTTGAAGCTAGGTTTCTTGTACTAGGAAGTGGTGTGAGTGGTGTGAGCCTACAACTGCTCCCTCCTTCATCTGATCTTGTATCCGGTAGGCTGCCTCTTCACTTTCTTCACATTGAGATGACATCGGTCTGATTTTAGTGTGTGAAATCCATGTCATTTTGTGAATGTGCTTGTGCTCCAATCACCAAATCGTTGAATGCACAGAAGTCTGCAAACGGTTCTCCATTCTCATTCATCATTTCACTGAGTGCTTTTCGGCCCATGCTTGGTTCTCTTCCTGTGTTGTCTGCTCTTAGCTTAGCTTCATGTCACCTATTAGAATGAATTTTGATGTCGCCAGTTGGGTTGTAGTCCCTTCCATTACTGATTGCAGTTGTCTATAGAATTCTTCCTTCTCTTGATCTGCATTATTTGTAGGTGCGTAGCATTGTATGATTGTAACTTTTATTCCTTTCGAGTCGAACCTTGCTGTCATGATCCTGCAGGAGGAAATCGGTTCCCACCGCGTGAGCGCCTTTGACGCTGTTTGGGGACTTCATGATAGCCACTCTAGAACTCAGTGTGCTCGTGGTTGTCGTCTGGTTGACAGTATCGGAGTAGATTATTGATTCTCCAGTTGAGAGTTTGGAGAGTCCACTTCCATTCCATTTGCTCTCACAGATTCCTAGCACTTTAATGCTATACCTTCTCATCTCTTTGGCAATCTGGGCAGTCCTGCCAGCCAGCTTCAAACATTTTTTGGACATTCCATATCCGTTTTCATCGAGAGAAGACGTATCGGTTAATTGACCTCCCGAAGGCTTTCACCAACTAGTGTCATTTCGTCTATCGAGTTCCAGCAAGCAATAAGTTTGTTTTATTTTTTATATTTTTCTGTGTTTTGAAGTTTCTATAGCGGTTGGATCAGTTTTACGGGGTAGGGCTGCTAGCCCTATGCCCAACCTTCTCTCTTTATCCGGGATTAGGACCGGCTAGTAACTAGTAAACTAGTTACCTAGACGAGGTTCAACTACTTCATTAGTAACCAAATATCCTGTTGAATTAGAATAGGGTACTTTTTTTCTAAAGAAGAAGCATATATGTCATATCTATCATAATTAAGAGTAGTAAACAGATACGCTGACCAGTGTTTGTTAAATATGCCATTCACTTGTTCAGTCGTAAATACCGTTTTCTAATCGTGTTATCGAAAAGAATATTCTCCATTCATGAAAGTATATTTTGAAGTAAAATTTATGTAAGGGTTCCCAGTGCGTATGACTCTAATTAATTTGATTAGATCACATTTCGAATATTCAGAATTATCATATAATCGATTGTTTCTGCAATGAGGTATCACGTAAAAATACAACTTTCCTTCTTTGTTCAGTTACTTATTCTATAGGGTTGAGGAAATCGACTGATTTCAATGTATTTTTTTATTATAATTTGAGAGGAGATAGGAGGTGCAAAGAATACAGTGTACACTGGATAAATAATACTGTTTTTGGCTTCCCAAAATCACTCCCTCACCATCATTAAAGAAATGATTGACATCAATAAAGTTATGTTCACAGTGAAGCCACACCTCGCTCCTGACTATACTTGATAAGTGTATCTGTTGTTTTATCGTTGTTGCATGTTATGCTGGTAGATCTTCTGCAACTGTCTAATTTCCCTAACTTTAAGCCATTTCCAATTTAAGAATGGTGTCTGATTTCAATTAATTAACTTCTACAATGAAGTTAAATTTTTTGTTTTAGCGTTGAGCTTAGGACTCAAGTTGAGAGATTGTCAATCCGCTTTAGTTTATCGATCATTGGTAATGTGGTATTGGAAATCTGATTATTGTTGACAGCATACTTTTCTTCCATCGGTTTTTCGAACTTCTTAGTTTGAGTACTTTTGAATTTCTTGAAGGCAATTGGTCTTGCTGCATTGAAATTGTTCATCAGAAGGTTCTAGTCTTTTATCATTAACCTTTTGCATCAGCTTACATTTTGATTCTACTGTATAATCACTGACGTTCAAAGCTTGACTATTCTTTGAATTTATCCTGAAAGAAGTAAGTGTAACTGGTTGTCTGTTAACCTGTTAGCTGAGCACTAACATGCTGTCATGGAAATTTGAATGTTCTGAACTCGGTTCTGTTCGTCTACATCAGTCAAATTTGTTTTTGAAATATTAAAACGAGAGATAGAAAATCTCTAAGTGGTATCAATTCTCTATGAAAATTATATTCAGAACTTATTTATCGGTTTAGATATTTTTGTATCCTCAAAAGCTCTCCCTCTAAATTGTTCAAATTCTCTGAAATAACTTTTCATTTCTCCTGTAGCTTGGTGTGGTCAGCTGCTTGAATCGCTTAATTGGATTCTCTCATTTACTCAGTTATTCTCACTTGTGGTTTGAGTTACCGTCACCAACAGATAATGTATCGTCAAATGGTCATCAAGTGGAAACTTCTATACAACCTTCAAGTCGTAGATCACGTCTATCATTGTTGTCGTGGCATAGTCTTACTCTTTTATCATCAGTTCCTATAACGTCTACTGATTTGGAGCTTCATTCTTCATTGTTACACTTATGTACTGGCTGTATAATACGTAAGTCGTTGAGTAGCATTGCAATATTGTTGTAATGATAATAGTGCTATAATTACATTTCATATAGTGTAAAAATCATGCTTAAAAAGTATTTAAAGCACTAATAGATTGACCACACGGAAGAGCATGATAACACTTTGAATATAATGAATAGCTGAGTGAGAAATACCAGCCACGACCAATATGTAGTTTTCCAGCATAAAGAAAATTGGTTTGATCGGACGACCGAATGGAAATCGGTTCCATTGTTTTGCAAACAATGACACTATGTATGTGACAAGAAGGGACTTGTTCTCTTTTTTCTTACGGCAGTGGAGTCGACTTTAAACTTGTCCTGGATTACAAATGACCGAGCATTTTGGATATAGCCGCATTGAATAGCAAAGCGAAAAAAAACTCAGACATCCTGACAGCTTATCCTCAACACACTCAAGCCTTTCAAATCAATCTACATCAAACACATCAATTCTCTTAACAGAGTTGCTGGTGTATGTCCCAACGAGTCGGTCAAAACTACTAGTAAGCCACTGAAAACCTTTTTAAACTGTTTGCACAACCATTGTACATACTTCTTTTTCCTCTGGGATTCTTAGTATACTCGCAAAGCCATTGGCCAACTCTTTACAGCTTGGGTAAAATACCTCTCGACTACATCAACCATAGGAAGGCGATCCATACGCATAACAGCTCAATAAGTTTTCTCTGTGGTCGTGTAATCCATACTTCTGTTTGTTGTCTTTCATGAATACTTATTCTCGTTATTGTACACAGTTGTTACAACTCACTTAGGTGATACTTTGATTGTTTCGACATCAAGACATGGTGCCATTACATGAAGCTTTTGACTATTGACTTAAATCATTTGGATATGTATAAAATGGTGGGCCGGATTCTTCAAGACGATAGAAAGTAATGGTTGGAGACTCTTATTGATTTACTTTTGGAGGTCTCCTTGTCGGACATGGTCACAGAAAACTCCTTAGTTGACGTAGAGTACGTATATGATGTATTCCTGTTAAATGAAGACGCTGGGAAGAGATAAAGTCTAATGGACACCTTAAGTTGTAATTTGAAAGTGTAGATTGTTGCTTCCGGTCTGGTTTGAGTTGATGCCCTCTCTAACCGTAAACGGTACAGTGGTTGGACCTGTTGACCATTTCACTTACCTGTGAAGTCTGATCAACCCTAGTGGGTTAGTGACCAACGAAATCTCTGCAAAGATACAAAAAGTTTCGATTTATTTTTGCTAAATTATGCCATTTTTGTGATATCTGGTGTTTTAATAAAGATTGAGTCTTCTGTACGCTGCAGTTCTCTCTTTTCTACTGTATGATTGAAAGTTGGGGTAGTCTGTCATTGAGAATCATTTCTCTCTTGTTTAAAAACGTTTCAAGTGTCTCATTAAACATTCTTTCTTTTCTATGTTAGACTTGTTTATTTGATTTATAACAAACAGTGATCTAGTATTATTTACTTGATGACGTTTCGAGCATAAATTATTGCTCATAATCATATCAATGTTTTTTCCTCTCAGGGAATTTTCCCACTCAAACAGGCTCCTCAGTCATTGTTATAGGCTTACCCGACTGACTAATTTGTGATGGGTTAAAATGCCACTTGATATCTTTTTTCTGTGATCCATGAATAATTCTTTTTTGTGAACTCTTTAGGCATTTTTACCTATAACCACCGAATAATACTTTCGCTTTATTGTTGATGAACCTCAACAGTTCCAAAATGAAAGATGAGTTGACACACAGTTAACTATCTTGATCTAGAGAGCTCTCATTTTCGAACAAGTAAATCTTTTTTTAATAAGGATAAACGATCCTCATAAATCTAGTCTCATATATACGAAAGAACAGTCACATTCGCTGACTCTCTGAATTGCTATCACTGCCGTCGTTTGCTGGGCTAATCGATAGTTTTTTTGCACCTGACGCACCCATTAATAATCATTTTCACGGTTTTGTGTCTTTTAGTTACCCAGCACTAAACGGCACCTATGATGAATCAGATTGACCCATTAACGCATAACGATACCGAACTAATAAACTTGGTACGGCATGGTGAGGTGGGAGTATAGCTAATTGATGCATCTCATGTCTAGACACTACTGTATCTATCTGGAGCATTGGGCTAAGAAAGTCATTTAGTTGCAGATGGAATTCATTTTTGGTGACATCTGAGCTGCAATCAGTTGGCACATAGGCGTAGATGATGAAGAGACGTCGTTTTGTTTCCCACTGGCTTCTTACTCTAATTCAACCTTCTAGCCTATCAACACACAGATCCGGTAAATACTACAGAGTGGCTCTAGAACTTAGTAAACATCAAGATCAGCAAAACTGAATACTGACCCCATTGGGCCCCTTAATAGGCCCACAGTGGGCACTCTTTCGCAGCTAATAGATAAAGAAGTTATTCGAAACACTTCGCTGAGATCTTGTTTACGGGTTCACAAGGCTTTTATAAGTCCTGTTAATGCGTCTGTTGGGAGACTTGTATCAAGATCCGAACTTTGAGGATGATCAGCTTGAAATCTATGCCTTATTTCGGGTTAGTTTGATTGAATACCTTATTGACGGTCAGTTTTGTGCGAACAACTGTTCAGCAACTCAAGACATTGCATACAGATCAGAATTTAAAACAGTGATAAAATAACGATTACTGTTAAGGGGAAAGTGATAAAAACATCACAGTCTAGTTCATATGATAGAAATAATAACAGAATTTTTTTGAGACAGCCTTGTTAAAGGGCAAATAAGGTAAGTATTTCGAGGTCTTCCTTGCAGTTTTATGTCGTTCTAAGTTAAGTGAGGGCTAAGGTGTTGCACAAATGTCAGAACCAATCCAGGTAATATTCTTAAGAGGACATTCTTCGAGCCCGACCCATAAGGCGATGAAGTGACGTTGGGTGGTTTATTCTCATGTTTGTCATCATTATTCTATCCCCGATCTTAGGCTTCTCTGGCAGAGGGTATGGAAGCATTTTTACAGGACAAATGGGTTCATTCCATCCTTACCCCATACCCAGACATTTGTAACATGCTCATCGTGAAAATTGAGTCTAGAGCTTTATGGGGTATTCGGTTATGAATGAACATTGATGAGTAACTTTCAGTTAGGACAAACATTTTTCCAATAGTCATAGTTTTCAATGATTCTGTAGCTAATGTCAAATGTATCCTTTACAGGAATTTTTCTTTGCATTATATGTAATTTTTTATTGATAAATAAATTCATATTGTTTATTTAATCAAACAGGTTGGTCTATTTTTACACTGTTGGATAAGTCCTCAAGGAGTGACAAGAATATTGATCATTGTATTGAATCCCATATTCCAAGTAGTCAAAAACCATTCACTCGCTTCGCCTTAGCCTTTATGCAACATCTAATGAGGTTAGAAGTTAGTTTGTATGCATTTGTGTTTTCAGGTGATTTGTTGATAATTTGTATAGTAAACTGACATTAACTGAAGAATCGTTGAAAGCCTTACGTGCTGTCTGCAAGACCTGAGAATCCTTGACTTACTTTTTCATACTACCACGTTTGTTTACTGATGAGTAGTCTCAAACTGTCCCGAAACAGCTGTTCCGCGCTCACCGATTTTGTATGGTTCTCAAGCTGATTTCGATTGATGATGAGAATTAAGTTGAATTACTTTTTGATCATTTCCTTTTTTACATTCATTGCCTTCATATATTATTAAATATGATTTGTTGACGTATATGATGTAGAAGGTCCGAAATTCACTTATTACATCAAACTTCAAGTTTGAGGTGTACACAGATTGGTTTTCAATTGGTGTGTGAAGGTCTCAGATTTCCAAAGTGAGTTGTCCTCCTAGCTAAGATTTTCACTGGCGAGCCGTCCTGTGTTATGCTAGACAACATCATTATAGTATCAGGTCCTGCCTTGCGAAGTTCGAGCATGACGTTGAAAAGTTTGCCAACTAAGACCCTAGCTAAGAAGACAACTCACTCTGAGCATCGACATCCTTAGCTACAAACATTCGCCACAATTTCCGAGCCATATTTTGCTTCGAATTGCATTTGTGTAATCTGAAGCAAGAATATTGCTGCATGAAAAATAATGATTTGAAAATACTATCTGAATTATTCAGATTTCCTAAAAGTTCTGCACCAGTTTAAAGTGATTGTCTTATCTTTGAGTTTCTTAGTACCTGATTGAAATGTTAGAATAATAAGTAACTCGAATTGATCAAAGAAAAAGTGAATAGCCTTGTAAGTAATCGTGGTTCATTGAGCTATGTGAACTTGAAGAAATTATATTTCGTCTGTGATGACCAAGAATGCCACTTTTTTGCTTTATCATCGACTTTCTGAAGCCTGAATGCTAGTGCTATGGTAATAGTTGATTAATTTAAACGTAGACTTTGTGAACTCACAATCTCCACTCTGAATTGTATTATTTAATTAATTATATATGAAGGCAAAAAGGAGGGAATCAGTATATTCCCACCCAGAAACCTGTTATTAGAGAAATATGTCTCTCTTCAGTAATATACTTTTTATCGTAATAACTAACTGTTTTACATGTTTAGCCTAATGTTTTTCTTATTTTTGATTATTCACACTAAAAGATATGCAGTAGAAAGCACTGAGTTTTAATAACCTCTCGTTAAAGTTTATCTACAAGCTGTACGCTGAGTATTAGGGAAGTTCATGATCTCTTACAGATCGAAAGTTCTATCATTCATTCTTACAATCACTAACCTTTTTATTGGGCTTCTAGATTGACCTTCCTGAGGACAAGTATGTAGTTGTTCAATACATATCTGTGCATATAGTGGAGATTTACTATCGATGTCTATTTATATGTTTATTTTCGATAGGGTTTGCTGCATTCTATGGCATGTTTTTGAAGGCATTCCTCTGCCACAACAGAACCAATCAGATTCAGTAATATCTAAAATTCCTATCGGTTCAATGTACTCTGGCATATCAGAGACGTTTATGCATACAGTAGCAAATATAGCTCAAACAAGTACCAATTTCCCTCTAAATAAAAATAATCAAGATACAACTATCTCCTCAAATAATATTGGCAATAGTGCTAGTACAGATGCAACCAGTAAAAGAAAATATTATGGGACAAAATTAAGCGGTTCATTAAGAAAACATTTACCAGGTAAGAAATATTCATTTTACTTAGTATGCTCAGGATTTTTTCGTTTTCATTATAACTTATATGAAATGAATGAAATATTTCTTCCTGATTGTTTGAAAAGTCTACTGAACATCCTAAGAGAAAGTGTTTAGTGGTATTGTGCTGCTGGTTCTTATTAACATATCGTTTAAAGGTGGTGAACAGGAAGATTGAGTGCTTTGACCACTTTTTATGAGGTTGAATCTACTATGATGAGTTGGTAACCCAAAGAAAGCTTGATTGACTTTTATCGACTTTAGTCACATGTACGTCTCAGTAATATTCTCTCCGACAATATAGCTGCGAAAATTGATAAATACGAAGCCTATATCTATTTAACTGTTGTTACCCTCATGGCAACACTTGTGGTGGAATCATTGTACAGAAAATGTAGAAGTGAAACGAGACTCTAGATATGGAAAATAAATCACTAGCCGAGGCTAAAACATTCAGATACTTAACGCTTAGAGACATTTTTATGTGCTGTTAATCCCTACCCTCTTGATCTGGTGAAGTTAGTTAAAGTAGTTGCTCGCTGCCAAATATCTCAGTAATTTAATTGATGAATCATTGGAAAATATGTGTAGCTCATAATCCAGGTATGAAGATTAAAGTATTTCCATAACTCCATGACACCTAATTATAACACTTTCTGAAATTTTTCTATTTTTGTTACCAGATTATTGACCTTTCACTCATAAGCTCATTCCCGTTCGATATTTGATTTCTCTTGTGAATCGAATAGTTTAGTATTTATGTATCTAGATTATACTTAGAGTATCTCAGACTCCAGTTCAAGAAGGCGAATCAGTTTTCTAGGGACCAAAGTGTTCTTTGAATATGAGTTTCAAAAAGTATGAAAAGAGTGTGAATTATCTGGTCTTGATTACCCTCATACGATTAACATCATACATTATCGTTCATCTTCAGAATAACCTAAATTCCATAAGACTTTCTACGAAACTGATAGTAATGATAATGCAAATTAGTTGTTATTTTTTATTGTATTCTGAACACAATACAACCAAGACCATCCACCTGAGCTACAAATATTCTCCATTACTTCAAAGAACCATTTTCTAGTTCTTTGATTACTGAAATGTGTCGTCGAGATTACCATAAAGAATATGTAACTTGTTGGTTGTATTGGGTTCTCTGAGCTGGGTTGTTTAATTGTGAAGCTTTCATCGTCCTTCTAGACGACATCAGCACCAACTTCAGTATGAAGTGCGCTGTCAGTATCTCTCCGTGAGTGATTTAGTAGCTTGCCTTGACGAAATGGTCTGTGATTGGTTGTTTCCTTTGATTGTCGTGTCATTGTGGGTAGATTTCCCTGTTGGCTGTCCCTCTGTTTGACCTCTGACCTTTCTGTCGTTTACCATCTTTCTTATTGGTTGATAGATTGGGTCTATTCCTACATATCTTTTGATTGCTGATTGACCTGAATGCCAAGCTTCTACGAATTCTCTGATATTTTTTGTGTTTCCTCTGTCCAAAATTTCTACATTGTAGAAATTGAATTCATGTCCATAATTATCCACATGCATTGAAATGAGTGATGAGATGACGTGTGTGACGCTTGATAGCCAATTGGTGTTCATGTAGACGAAGGCGAAGAGGGCGACCACTTTGTCCAATGTAGTGTTGACTACAGTTATTCCAGTTGATTTTGTAAATGATATTCGGTTTGTCTTTGTTTATTGCATCCTTTGGTCTGCATAACAGTGTTCGGAGAGAATTTGTTGGTTTATGAGCCACACCAATTCCAAGTGGTTTCAGTAATCTTGTCGTGGTTTCTGATATTTTTTTTATATATGGTAGGATGATGCATTCATTGATTTCCGTCTATGACTTTGCAGTTGGTGCTGTACGAGATAGTCATCTTGTGATAAAGTTTCGTGGGTAGCCCTTCTTCTTTAGGATGGACATCAAGTAATTTTCTTCGTTTCTCCGTGAAGTTGTTGGACTGCAGTATGTTCTCGCTCTTCTGAATAGAGTTTGCACGCAACTGATTTTATGGGTTGTTGGGTTGTTGCTACTGTGGTTGAGGACTTGGTCAGTGTGTGTTGGCTTCCTGTACACTTGGGTTTCCAGCTTCCCCGTATTTGTTCTATTGACTAGAACATCCAGGAATGGTAGTTGGTTATTTGACTCCTTTTCTCCATTGTGAATTTGATGTCACTGAAAACATTGTTGATCAAATTGTGGGTGTTTTCTATATCATCTTTTTTAATGATGACAAAAGTGTCATTCACATAGCGAATCTAGAATTTCGGTTTCATCATAGGTTGGATGATGACTTCCAGTCTCAGCATCACTGCTTCTGCAATTAGTCCGGATATTGGTGATCGCTTGATACTAGTGGTATGTAAAGTGTTAAGAAGATTAGTAATTAGTGTTCTCTAGTCATTATCACCCCATTTAAGATGATTTTTATAATGTCACTGCTTATTGAAGATATTAGCAGAAATGATAGCTTACCTACTTTTTTTGCTGCAGAATGTCTTAAGAACGGTGATTTAATTGACTTCAACTTCAGTCAGTCGGTATATGATGATAAAAGAAGTAGGAAAACTTCAGCGAACAGATTTGTTCCCGATGATATTATTGTTGAGCTAAAGAATCTAGAAATTCCTGATTAATTGAGTAAACCAATGTCAGTGTGCAAGAGAACAAGAAACTGTTTACTGTACTAAAAATTATGTAATAACAACATGAAAATGAAAAAAAAGATTATAAGGTGATATTCGTTACGGACTGATATCGGTTGTAGAACCATTGAAAACCTGGGGGCACTATGCATCTGTTCCGGCCTAACGTAGAAATCCTCAGAAGTGCGCACCGACAAACCTATCCAGGGATCGAACTCAGGACGTTCAAGTTTCGTAGCGAACACGTTACCATTGAGCCGCTGGATCCAAATCTGGGGGTCCACATTTCCTTAATTTTGTCAGTTAGCGGTATAGCGCGACCATCATCCAATACCATCGTTGGATATTTTTCCTCACCCAGTTCGGTTTGCTCTATAGATCGCGACTTCTCACTAGGACTTTGGAAAACCGCATCTCGAGGCATATCACTAGTGAAGACTGGTAAATTTTATTATTATTATTTGTCCCTTAGGGTTCCTAGTGGAACATATGGCTTCAGTAACACGTCCCCATTCCACTCTGTTCTCTGCAGTCTTTTGAACCTGCCTCCACGACTTCCAGGAAGCTTTCACTTCTTCCTCACATGATCTCCATGTCACCCTCACCTCGGACGCCCAACTGATCGTTTCCCACTTGGATTCCACTCGAGGACCTAGCGTGTGAAATTTCCGAATGGTTTTCTCACTGTATGCCCAATCCAATCCATCTCCACTTTCTTCTGCATATTTGTTGTGCGATGGGTTCTTGGTTGGTTGGTTGCGGGGTCAGCCAGAGTTCCTTGTTGCTTATTCTTATTATTCTGGCCATCCACCTGATCTTCAGTGTCAGTATCGAGTAAGCGTAGGTGGCAGCTGTTGATGATATATGTCTGTAGTTTGTTGGAAATGCTTTTCGTGAAGCGCCAAGTTTCTGAACCACCACATAGAAACACTGACCTGACTGATATTAGTGTTGAAAATCCGTATGTTGTTCACACTTTATGCTGAGTTTTGTGGAGTGCAGTAGATCTCCAAACTGATTTCAGAATAATGGAGGCCTGTCATGCTGATTGACAAGGCTTCGACAATCTTAAGTGAAGGCTTCCTTAAACCTTTTGGGAGATTGTGGTATATTCTGTAGCCTGCTGCAAACGAATCTTCTGAAACTGTTCTTTCTCAACTAAATATTGTATACTGGGAACTATTTATCGACCTGTGTTGAACTTTTCTGAGTCTTGCATCAACGTTGAACAAGTTGTTTCTGCATACGACGTGTGTGCTTAACTCCACAGGACCTAATGGATTGGTATTTTTATCAATGATTATGTATTCTTATTAACTAGTGAAGTATGATTGCATAACGTCCGAGAGGGTATTGCAGAAAATACACTTGTGCACTTAATTCTTTCTTTCATAATTCGATGGGAATATTTAAGTATCTTATGATATCGAAAGCTTTATTAGCATCTATGTGATGGCCTATATCTACTAGGTGCAATAGGACTAAACTTTTCACCACTTTCACTTCACCCTCTCTGAACCAAGCTGGTAATGCTCTCGTATCCGAAGACGCACGTGCCTAATCTTACGCCATATGTAAGAAGTCCCACTGGGACAGTTAGTTTGATTTATGCAAGATAAAGAGCTAAGATTAGGTAGGTTATCCTTTAGTCTCAGATTGAGCTTTGGCCGACTACTGAATGATATGCAAAACCGATCTACATATTTACCTATTTACCACTCTAGCACTTCCCTCGAATTGTAAGCGCAGAAAACTAAGGTTTCTTCTTCACTATCATCAGTTCTCATTTACGACCAATGTAGTTGATGTCAGCTTTGATGAACTTGTCCGGATATCCGTTTTCACTTAGAATATCATGCATATACAGTAGTTTTTTTTCCACACACTCCTTTGAACAAATCGATCTTACTCTAAAAGCCAGGCACCCTGATTATATTATGTTTTTACCTCACCGGTACGAAGCTGAAGGAGTGCATATACTGTGCCGTAGACGTTAGTTCTCTATATATGCTTCTCCGTATAGAGCCATCTTTTTTTCTTATCATTAGCACATCAAGAAAATGGATCGAAATATTGACTTAATTTTCATATATAAAAAGAACTGATGGATGAGCGCTGTTGAAATGGTTCAGAATAGAATTAATACATCTGCATTTACCAAAGACTAAATAAGTATCATCTTTGTATTGACGGTACAACTCTTTATTGCTAATTCGATCTTTCAAAGGACCATTTTCCAATTTCGCCAAAAAGAATTCTATAAATATTGGTTCCAATGGAGATCTTATAACCACTCCGTCAACTTGTCTTTACAGATTACTGTTTTAGATGAACTGGACATTCATTGTCCATTTCAGCAGCATTTCTTTCGAATTCATAATAGGAATGCTAGTGTCTAATTTGTTTTCCAATAATTGTTCACAAATATAATCGATGGTTTCCACTAGATGGATGTTAGTGAATAAAAACACGACAACTAGGGATTCCATGCATTCGTTTAAAACATTTATTTTTTTAAATATTGTCTACAAACTGGAAGGTGTCTTTGATGCTATATTTTGCTAACTGGCCACCCATAGGTTGAAGTAATCGTACTAGCCACTTAGCGAAAGCATTGTAAGGCGAGTTGGTCACGTCTGGGATAGGACGAAGTGGCATCTTAGGTTTGTGTATTTTTGGTAGACCATAAATCGTGGGATTACGATATCTATAGATATAAAATTTTCAGATAAGGTTGATAAAATGTATCCATCATCTTTCAGTCTATTTAGTGAGGTGATTAGATCCTTTTCTGCTTTTTTGGTTAGTTCTTTCGTTGACTATAGTTTCTGAAATTTCCTTTCGTCTTGCAATATTAAATTCATTTCATGTACATAATCAACTCTGTCCATAAATACGTCTCCAACTTGTTTATCAAGCCATGTGATGTTGATGTTCTGATCCTTTCTGAGTCTTTTGAGAGCTTCACTATGTTCTCTAGTCAATATACCTCTTGATTTATTTTTATTGTTTTTATACTGATAGCAGCAGTCCACTAGAGTTGATTTAAATCTTTCCAATTCTGCACTATATGATGTAACCAAATTGGCTGTTTGTGTGAAAAATATGCTCAAATAGTACATCTATATCGAATTGGTTAATTTCCTTGCGAATGTTGCAAAATTCAATTTCAAGGGATAGAACTTCTGTGTGTATTTTATGGAGTATTATACTGGAATAATTATGAATTTACTACTCTGAGTTTGCGGGAAATTTGTATCTGGGCATTTTCGCTGTCTTAACTCTTCAACAATAATATTCATTTCTTAGCGGACTTAGATTGTGCAATTTGATTCATGTATTCAGTAAATTGCAATCTCAAATCTTCGGATATATCGAGAAGTGCATAATTCATTTTCACTATGTTTTATTCCAATTCAGTGGTTGGGTGCATACTTTTTTTTAATGATTTCGGACTCGTTGGGATTCTATTTCTGCTTAGGGACTTCCAGTAAACTTTCAGGTTATGATTCTTCCGAAGCCAATCTTTGAGGAATTCAGTATGTATTCTAGATTTAGTGACCCTTACGTCAAACTTAAGGAACTCGTTGAGTACCCTTAAAACAATGGGATACTTAAGGCAGGATTGTCTCTCTCAAGCAATTGATAAAGAACCATAATCTGAACGAAGAACATTCTTTTCAATAAATTATCTTCAGGTTTTACGGTTACAAAACGCATTTGTACAGCTTTAAATCAAGCCATGTCAGTCGGATTATGCTCGATCCAAAACTAAAAGATAGCCTTCTTGATCTCTTAGCTCCTCATCCTGCATATATCAGTTTAACTGTCCCTGTGGAACTAATTACATTGGACACACGATTTGGCAGGTGCGTCTCTGGATATGAGAGCATTTTATGATATGCTGAAACTGTTAGTATGTAATTTTTTATGAAGTGGTCATTCTTCTGAAAATGGTGTATAACAAAAATGTTTTTTTTATCAACCTATTCGACTTAAGGCTTATGTGTGACAAATATTTTGCACAGATTATAAGAGCCATGGACCAATTTATGGTTGAAATCATTGTTCATCCTTTTTAACTCGGAGATTTTAAACCGATGTGTGTCTAACGTAAATAATGTTGTATATTAAAATGAATAATGCATCTCTACATAGTATAGTTGCATTTACTGGGCTATGAGCTTTATTGCGCTTGTGGCTTACGATACTAGCGGATTAAAGTAGGTGGAGCAGTGTTGTAATCATCTTAGTGACTCGTAGTGGAATCCAGGAGGGGCCTTTCGCCCCATATGAGTCTTGTCAGCCGGATGTACTTGTACTCTAATAACTGACGTCGCCTCTGAAATTCGAATGCGATACCCAACGCTTCAAACACCAAACAATTGTCCACTAAACAACTGCGCCATGAGACCCACTTCTTGTGCAATGGGTATCAGTTATTGTCTGCTACTCGAGTTTCAGTGGGAATAACGTCATTCACTGAGATCTGGGTACATCCAACTGACTTGTTGAAAAAAGGACGAAATGCGCATCTTGGAATTCACTGCTAGTTGCCAGGACGAACAAAAACATCATGAATATCCGGCATTACCGAGGCATCCCCGTGGGAGCCTATCTCTCAACAGAGATCGAGCAATTCAAACTTGTATAACAATGAGAAATTACAAGTGTCAAACAATAGATGGAGCGGTGTTTGAAGTCAACTCACATTTCTGCACTTCGGTTACTAAGCTTAGATATGTAACTGTTGTTCCTTTACAAGGTAATCTCCAGTTGCTCTTATACATCAAAAAGGTTTTAAGTTAGAAACATATTTCCGTCAACTGTACTCTACGTTAACAACTGAGTTGTTGAAGTGCTTCAGTGTGAAACAGTCTGATTGGATTCATTTATTGTTTATTTAAGGTATTTCCTGTGTACCACAACTATACTACTTTCTGTGTTTGTTATTGTCTAGTCCTTTTAGTAAACTTCTGTTATTCCTATGCCCAGTTTTCGTTCTTTCTTCGAGATTGCCAACGTATTGGGTTTATAGGGAAGATAGTGCAGCGTGCACATCAAGATGTTTTAAGTAGAATAGTAAGCATAGTGCTTTTATTAAGCCTATCTGTAAGTCATTTCGTTTTTATTCCCTATCAGTGAATTCAAGGCATAATGAGATATCTTATAAAACAAGCTGCTTGACGAATTTGATAACTTATCACTAACTGTTAAGATCAGTATGTAGAAACTTCATTTAAGTTATGTGATTGCCTGTCCTCATTAACAATGTTTCTCCAGCTAAACTAAAACATTGTATCAATTCATGAAGTCTCACAGTTCGTTTGAGTTATGAAAAGAAATGCTGAGTTTTGGGTTAGGGTTTCTTGAGATAACTAAAACTGGTTTTTCTCAAATCTCGGCGATATAGCTCAAACAGTGACATCGATACACTCACATCTTATGTTCATCTTGTATCTCATGTCGTTATTCGCTCTCTTCTTTTCGTCTTACGTTTTTCTTTGAACTTCGATTATATATTGTACCTTTCTTTGCCTTTCATCCTTTTGTTATTTATCTTGATTTGCTAATGTGTGATCATTACTCGGTAATATCAGTTTCATTTTGATATTGACTGACTGAAATCGCCTCTGAGAAACTGCATCAAATGACACCCCGTCAGATACACAAATTCGTACTACGTGCTTTAATCGGAGGTATTACTCCGTATTCGTACTACAACTCATCCTTTGTTAGAATTGACAAGATATGGGTACAGGTCACTGGTTATTAACCATTCAGTTGTTATTGTTTGATGAACTCCTTCAATCAATTTCAAAAATTAACATCAATCCAAGTGACTATTTGTCAGAACTTATTCAGCATTCAGGACCAGACAATGGAACGTCTATGCATACTCAGTAATTGCTTCAGGATTCAAGTGTTCATTTCTGTTTCTCTTGCAAAATGATGTGGATGAACGAATCTTTTTTATATTCGTTACTTTATTTCTTTTTTCTTGTAAGAAAAAACTGAATATGCATCATTAGTTTTAAATTCTCATCGATAGACAATATGATAGTAGTGTACAGAATTCTTTCAAATGTACTTATCTACTATCGTGAGTTCTTATGGGTTTTCTTATTGTATTCACTTTTAATAAGTAATATGCATAACTGTTTTTATTGTATCATTATTACTTGTTATCTGTATTTGTAGTACCTCGTTACTCGCCAACATCTCCAACCTCAAATCTGGGATATTTTGCCAACCTACCACATTATGTGTCTTTGTATAAAACTGTTAAGACAGCATATAAAACGTTCAAAGTAAGCTTAATGTTGTTATTGAGTTTCTTCTGATATGTACCTATATATTGTCTACTCTAAACTGGTTAAATTCACATGGATGTCAGTCCAGTTCATCTTATTGATTTTTGTTTATTTACTTGTTAAGCGATCTGAACTCTATTTTTTTGTCTTTTTGATATCATATGTACAACTCTTTCGGTTCTATTCTAACAGCTAGTCATTTAGTGTTATTTTTTAAACGATGGATGCTATAAACAACGATGTCCAGATTAATGGAGTTATCTGATCCATTCGATGCAACAGATTTAGTTCACTTGACTGACAAGATAATACCCATATAGCTTGCATAAAGAATGTATGTTTGACGTTTACCGAATTGTCTCATCTCCAGCTATGATTGATGAAATATCCATCTACCTATCAAAGGATGAGTATGCTTCGCTACAGTCTATCCTGTCCTGCCATAGAACTGAGATATGGCAGTCAAAATTAGAAGACATAAAGCGGTTACAGGATTTCGACCATAGGTGTCTTCGTAGCATTTCTTGCGTTTGATTGAATCTCTGTGAGAGGAATATTGAGGTCAGGCGAAGGGTACTAGGGATAACAGGCACCGATGCACTTATGTGTGAGGCTCTACGTTGATTCTGTCTGTCATCATCATTATTTTAGCGACCCGTGTGTGATCATATCCTATCGTTCAAGATTTCGTTGCATATTTTTATCCTCATTGCTAATCTATAGTTTTCTCCCCGCATAATATGACTGATTGACCTAACTAGTCATAGTGATAGCTATGATAAAACACTATAAGCCTTCTCTTTACAACTCGAAATCGATCATCTTTTCGCACTCTATGCTCTTGATCACAGTTTCAGAAAGAAAACTCTGTCGAGTTTGTTGTCCAAGAAGTAGAATAAAACCAAAGCTTCGAAAATGAATTTTATCTAGTCGCTTGAGTGAAACACTTAAATTGCAAGCTAAACTGTGCTAAGCCTTTTTTACTACTAGGAGATCAATTTTCTCCCTTTAATTTCGAAGACTGCTCTTTTCCAGCGCTAAGCGTTGGGATATTTTAACTTCGTAACGTAAATCGCACGTTTAATCCAATATGGATGTAATTTAATAATGAAAGATAAGCGTTTACTGATGATCAGTTGAACTACTGACACTTCAAAGGAAATAATATTTTAAGTCTGTCAAACCACGGTTACCCCAGATAGTCAAAATTTTAATCAATATGATTCTCCCTCCCCTCTAATTCAGTTAGATTTCGATTAGGATGAGAAGTCCTGATTGCGCAACAAGTGTGAGTATAATCAAGCGGTAGTAACATTTGACGAATTCACATGGTACTCGGGCGAAACCCATTGTGGTTGCAGTGAAATAAAAATCTTATCAACAGTCGATCGTCGTAACTCACTTAGTAGAGCATTGGGCCAGTCGCCGGTGGTCGCTGGCTCAAATCCTGCTACAGTCCAAATTTTAATTCCACCTTCAGTCATCACCCAGTATACGTTGTTCATTTGATTCACACCTCTGTCGTTCATTTTAATTCATTCTGTGTTTAGTACATAAAAGAAAAATAGGATATTCGAAGCATAAATAGAATCATATAAGGTGGTAAAAAGAGAAATTATTGAGCGCTAAACAGAAAACAATACAGAAAAAATATTGGCATTTGGAATTGTACAATGTAATTTACTAAAATGCAGGTGTCAATATTTTTTTCATAGAAGGGATATCTCCAAGAGATTTATGTTGGGAACCAACATAATGCACGTGCCTCATCAACCAATTATCATCAAAAGGGCATGGTGATATATCTCGCTGCACTGAAGCGTTATATCAGCACAGTTCATGCGAATATGTCTTAATAAATACTGATATTCAACAATCTTAGATTGTTCTTCGGGCGTATAAACTTTTTTTAAACTGAAAATTTCAAACCTCCTCAGAAATTTCAGTTTTCCTAAGAATTTTGTAATTTACTTATAGATTTAGTTGTCTGTGCTAGTGCCTAGTTATATTGAAAATGACCAATAATACAATTTAGCCCTTTACTATTTATCTTAGATATCATCTGATTTAACTGGTTCTCATGATAGATCAATGTATTTACTACAAACCTGTCTATACTCTTTTGGTCGATTATTGGAAAATCTTCATTTCAATGAAATCGCTCCATACGCCGATGAATTACTGATGTATTTATCTTCATTTTATAATTGGCAACCTGGTGGATGTTTAGAATTGGCGACTCAGGTATGCCTATAAACATTTCATATGTTTTATTGTTGGCAATTTTACTTGTATAAGCTGTACGAGTATAATTTCGGTGTCTGTATGATTTTTTGATGTAGATATCCAAAAAAATAAACCAGTTATTGTATTCAGTGCCACTTCATATCTTTAGATTTTCACCATTTTTACTTGGTGCCGATTCATTCAGTAGATCATATCAGAGGGCGGAAAATAAGGTCGTAGGATTAAGGATTGTGATAATAAAGTTAAGTGTTTTCGGCGGGACAAAGTGTTTAACAAAATTGTATTTGAAAACCTGGATAAAAATTCTCCTCCGGATTTGTGCTGCTGATGAAGATCTCTTGATGCAAAGCCTTCAATCTGTCAATATCGATTATAAGTTTATGCCATTCAACAAAGTTTCAAGGCGTCTTTCTTACATCAATAATTCCCTTCATAAATCCTTGCAAAGCAAGAACAACAAACATTGTGTAGTGGATCGAATTTATTTCATGGATTTCATGTCTTTCACATACACATTAAATTGAAAATTGTGTCCAGTAAACTACCAATGTCCAGCATAGGTCACTTGATACATTTCATCAGTGAAATCAACACCAAATACACCTTTCTCCTCTAGACATCAGTCGTATAATAGGAACAGGGATGAATGACAAAGCTTATCAACTGATCAACCGATATCTATGATCTAGTAGAGGAAAAGGTTCTCATTATTCGTCTTATAGATGCAATGGAGACCCAGAAGATCAAGATGATAATCAGCAAATTTTAGCTGGTCTGCTCTAGTGAAAAATAAGTATTTCAGATCTCCATCCACAGTGACAGAGAAGAATGTTGATCCGCTTTGATTGGTTATGTGCTCCTGAATCTTTTCTTAACTGCCTACACCAAAGTGGGTTCACGAGAAAATTCACATGCCGGTCAAGACATAGTGTAGGTAAACGAAATCAAAAATATTAGATGCAGCCGTGCCAGATACTAGCAATGGCTTTATGCTGACCAATTCAGCTCCTGTTAACTTCCTAGTCTAAGAACTATTGTTATAAAGCAGAGAATCCTAAGGGTGGTTGTTAGTTAACAACCACCGAGTTACTGTCCAGAAACCCAAAAGCCTGGCCAGCTCAAACTCAAGACAAGAACACTTCAGGGATATTCTTTAAAATATATGCTGGAAACAAAAAAGAATGACCTTCTTGTCACCGAACCATCGACTGATCGGCGTTTTATGGGTTTCCAACACACAAAATATGACGTAAGGTTTGCAGCCTCCTTCAAAGATTCCAAAGACGGAAACGTAGCAAGATAAAATCGCTTCATAAGGATTGATTCATTTTTGGTTATAACACTTCGTACAGTATCATCATTCATCATGAAAATAGAGGTCTTCACCAGTTTCCTTTATTTCATAGTACTTTTAGTACTTTTTTGTGATTCATTGTGTATTTTGATTCGACAGCAAATGGTACAGGTAGTGAGGGCGAGGGGATAGAAAATGATACTTTAGAAAATTGTTGGCCGTAAACCAAATGTTTTTCAACGAACACAAAGAAAGCAATACGACTTAACAATGGTATAGCAATATGATTACAGATCAAGGCGGTAGGAGTTCTAATGAAAGCTGAAGAACAACAAAGATGGTTTGCAAAATGCACAGAATAATGACAAAACAATCGAAAAGGATATAGAGGTAGTATTCATCATGGACTGACATTAGTTGGGGAACCGTTGAAAATCTGAGAGCACTGGACAGCTGTTTTGTCCTCGTATGGGACTCCTCAGCAGTACGCACCCACGACCCGGCTAGAGATCAAACTCAGGACCTTCAGGTTTCACGGCGAACGCGTTAACCATTCAGCCACTGGGTGATGATGAATACTACCTCTAAATAAAAATCCCCATTCATCTCAAGAAAAGGGTATGTTAAAAACCATGATTATAATATCGTGGATTAAAGAAAACCAAAAATGATAGGAATATGAACAACTTCAAGTTAGTACTCATCACGAACTGACATCAGTTGGTGAACCATGATGAATACTGTTAGGGATGCCTATTCCCTCAGGAAAACTAACTGATAATATGTTGATATTATCATTGTAAAGTTCAAACCTTATTTTCGCTCCCTTTTTACACCATGCTATATTATTTTTATCCGCAGTTTAGGATACTAAACGCTGATTCGTCCATTTTACACTTTTTATATACTATTTGATTTTCTCTGGCCAAGGCCAACTAAGGATATATAGACGACTGAGTTTTCAGCTATCATTATTCCGTTGAAGTAAATATACTTCCAATCCCATCGTCTTCTTCTAGTGTCAGCTGAATATAGAGTTGAGAAGTCATTGTTTTATCGTTAGTCGTATCGCATCGGAGCACTGTATCGTTATATATACTGTGGATCATAGCAGTAGCGACGGGGACGGGATCAAAAAGGACTCTTCGAAGGTGGACAAATTTCTCGAATAGCAAATGAAGATTATTGAGTTATTAACTCAGTCGACAATTTCTGTAGCTGAATCATCGAATCCTACGCCTGTTATGAAAAGTTCGTCTCCTCCTTCGAAAACATAGATCAGTATTAGAATATAATACTGCCACGGAACGCAAGAGACCGCTCCTTCAGTGCCACAATAGTAGACCCTAAGACAACATTTTGGTGATCATTCGTCTCTTTTCAATGCCGGATATCGTTGTCTTAAACTGGTTATGAATGAGAATGATGATTTTAGTATATGGTTGTTTTTATATAATACCGTCGTTGATTGAACCGAATTGATCGGTCTGTATTGGCATACGGGATCCGGTGCGGATGCCTCGATATTACCTGTGCTCTTATGTTAGTAATGATGGATAGTGGCTAGCGGTGGTCCAATCAACGACGGTATGATATAAAAACAATCATATACTAAAAACCCTACGTGTCGTACAAGAGGTGGGTTTCGTGGCTGGGTGGTGTAGTGGATAACGCTCTGGCGTTTGAACCAATCGTTCCCAATCCGAATCGCGGTAAAGCCATCACTATCTGGGGAGCGTTTCCTGGATTCCACTGCCAGCCACTATTCATCATTACTATCATATGAGAATGACGGTCTTCTCATCCGTTTCAGTATTGTTAATCGTGAATGCGAAAAATTCAAGATGATGTTGATCACCGATGACCAATTTAAATCTTTGATACTCATATGCAGCTCTCAGTCGCCCCAGTTCTTAGATATTACAATGAGATTGCTAAATTGGTTCGAGCAATGACCAACACTAACGTTGAATGATATCGCTCCTGAATATCAACGATTGATCAACAGCGGGATACAAGTCTAGTTTAATCCGGACACCAGGGTGATCATGAAGTGCATGCAGTTCTCCAGACACCTAATTCCTGTTCATAATTCCAACTGCTCATTCAATACCAAAAGGAACAAGGAGAAAATCCCTCCATCCCCTCCCTGTTGGCATTGTGGTGCATGGCGTTTCGTCAAATCTTGTCCTTATAAGCAGAATAAGTACAGAGATTGTAATGCTTTCGGTCACAAGAATAGTGTCCAAATTATATACGAATAATGAAAGATGAAAGAATAAATAAAGCTGTAGGGAAAGAATAACTTACCGAAGTGAACCACAAACTTCTTTTGCACATATAAGTTTATTTCAGGCGACGATTTCTACTGCTTCTGAATAACGTAGCAATCCATTATTGCTTTGTTCATTGATTACCATGAAAGCTGTTTAAGTTGACAGTGTCGGCGATGCGTTAACCAATGGCATTGCTAGATAGTCTTATACCTCTCAATCTGGAATATGTATTTGGTGTTGATTTTACTGTTGAAATATATTCAATCACTTACGCTGAACACTGATAGCTTCCTTATACAATTTTAAATTTAGTGCGTGTGTGTGGAAGATTTAGAGAACACAAGTTTTGTTGTTTTTGCTCTTACAAAAAATCTCTCTAATTACACTAAACTTTGTTTGATAAAAAATTGTTTCAGCTCCTTAAAAACTCGCATTATTATTCAGAAGACAGTCGAAGGGACAAAGAATATTCTTTTCAATAACTTTTTCATTGTGTAATTTTGCTTTAACGATAGTCTGATACTTCTTATAACAGTTTGTTAACCATATCATACAGTTTGGGGATCCTCTTCAGAACAGTCTTAGGTGGATGGATAATAAGAGAATTAATACTGAAATTGTTTCATAGTTAAATAGCTGAATGCAAGAGAATGACGCCACTGTAGTACAATTTGAGCTTCATGACATGCTTTCTTATTAAGGATTTATTTCGTTTTCATCCTTGGAGATTTTTGTGATATTCTATTGCATGACAACAGTTCATTGATGAATGTTATGATTTGTAAGGAAAAAGATTCAAAGATTTGAGATCATATTTTAAGGTATGATGATTAAAGTTGATGCCTTTCACACCGTCACGGAGACAGGTATATCCAGCTGATGAGTCTAAATTAGGACAAAATGCGCGTCCTTCATTCCCCTGCTAACTACAAACAAGTAAATTACTGTAATAAATATTCAGACAATACCAGGGCATCCGCTTAGGAGCACCCATATGCCAACAGAGGTCGAACGATCCGATCCAGTGTAGAAACGAAGAATTACAAGTATTTCAAGAAATAGTAATTAAATTATTGAATGGTATGGTAAACAAAAAGAGAAATATAAATCGTGATTTTTTCCTGCTAACGGGAATGACTCTAAGTAGTATAGACGAATTTTGTCCAGTAACAGTTTGTCATATCTATGCTGAAAGACTGTGCGTGTATCCTGAACAATGGATATTATCCGTAAACGTCCCAGCATATCCTCCATTGGTATAGGTTTTTTTTCTTTCTGTTTAATATGCCTTTCTAATAGCTACTTCGAGCATTTGTGGGTACAAACCTTTGTAATCAATGGGATGATCAGTTATCACGATTGTATTCAGAAGCCTTAAACTCTACAGTTTTATATCAATGTGAAAAGAATGAAGAGGAGAAATCTATAAATAACAATCATAAAAGTCAGTCAATATAAAGATGCAATTTTTCTGCTTTAACACAGCTGAATATGCAGATCACTAACCTTTTTGTTTTTCATAATGCTTTTGTTCTGTGTTTTTTCGCGGTCTTTTTTTCTACCTTATAGATGTCTAGTGGCTTTTCATCTAAAATCGTCAGTGACTGACATTAACTACTGACTAAGCTGGAAATACGAACTGCTCAGAGATAGCATAGTAAATATTGATCGTAGTATAATTCCTTATATTTGTTCATGTTTGAAGGTAACAATTCATCTGAAATGATAATGAATATCACTCATATTTTGCATATTTGTATACCATTTTGATGCATTGTTACCTCCCCTATTGGGCATAATCTATAGACTTAGAATTTGAAGGTCTCCTCTGACAAACTACTTAAGTTGCAAGGAAATTTAGAGTTCTGAGTTAAACTAGTGTGATAGGCATTACTGGTAAGATAGATATAAATAGTATATGTTGAAAGGGTTGCAGAAATCATAAGGAATTACCAGCAATGAGTAAGGATTCCGTCAAGAGAAACGCAAGAGATAATATGGACGTATGAAGAGCAAATTAAGAAAGAAGCAGAAGAGGAAATGAAGCGCATTCTGCAAATGACGGTTTCCGTGCAAGGTGTACCATATTTAACGATTACTATCCCACTTGTTGATAATAACCATTCCTTCCTTCATACCTATCTTCTTGCTTCTTTCACTAGTTGCTTCTTTTATGAAGCCCATTTCTGCATAGTAAAATAGTCATCTGGTTATCAGATTAACTTCATCTAACTAGCAAACAGTGTTGCTTGCTGATTATGCGATGTGTGTCGTTACATGGGCGAAATATTTTGCTGTTTGGCACTAACTGTCACAACATATTTTAGTGGATAATTTTTATGTCTACTGAAGCATTTTTTCAGAAGGAACTCAAATCCTTACACTGGTATCACAACGTTTTTCTTACACTTTAATTATTGTATTCATTCTTTAGAAAGCGTTTTCCATTGTTCTTATGCATTCAGCGCACTGCTTTGAACATTAGTGGAACTAATAATCGTATGATAATATTTCTGCTTTCAAATATTTGAATTCGAAAAGAATACTAACAATAATTGGAGGATGTTAAAACGGATTCATTTTGTTTCAGAGGCATCTTATCAGCTGCTTACAACCTAGAATATGAGAATATTCAGTCTTACCTGAAAATTTAACGTACTTCAATTTATTGAAACAAAACCTAATATCTGTTAGTGGTTAAGATATATAGAAATAGTCATAGAGTAAAGGTCAATCACTACGGCAAATTCAAGGAATTTTAATAAAGTCATATTTAAATGCATAATCTATTAGAAGTTTCTCAAACAAAGTAGCAACAAGACTAACAATCAAACTGTTGAGGGACTTCACATTATGTGAATAATACTGGATGATAATTTAAGATGAAATGAAAATTTGGATTGTGGCGGTATTTGAACCATGGGATTTCCGGCCTTGTGCTCTACTAACTGAGTTACGATACCCGACTGCTGAGCAGATTTTCATTTCAGTTCAATCACCAATGATTTCGCCCGATTACCATGTGAATTCGTGATGCGCTACTACCGCTTGGTCGTATTCACACTAGCTGCCTAGTCAGGATTTCTCATCCCAATCGAAATCTAACTAAATTAGAGGGGAGGGAGCATCACATTAACTATAATTTTGACTATCTGTGTCAGCCATGGTTTGGCAGATTTGTATTCATACTAATTCAGTTCAATTTGAATTGGAATGAGAAGTTCTGATTGGGCAGCCAGTGGGAGTTTGATCAAGCGTAGTAACGCATCACGAATTCCCGTAGTAGTCGAGCGAAACCCATAGTGATTGGAGTGAAATAAAAATCTGGTCAGCAGTCGGTCGTCGTAGCTCAGTTGATAGAACATCGAGAAGCTAACCTGGTGGTTGGTTTTTCGAATCTGGTCGTGGTCCACATTTCCATTTCACCTTCAATCAGCACCCAGTATTATTAGTAGTCTACCAACCAACGGCTATTTCAGTTAGTCAATATCATAACTACAAGATTACTCAAGTTGGTCATATGGTAAATAAGCAAAATAATGTGTTAAACTCAGTTAGTTAAAATTATCCCTTATGAACAAAAGATGATGCAACTAAATAAGAATGAAGAAATAAACGTCCATGGTTGATAAAGAATGATAGAACCGAGAAACAGGCAACAAAGGTTACCAGGATAGACAAAGGTTGACTATAGCCTTCTTTTGAACTCATAAATCAGGTTTGAGGCGTTTGATGGTTGCGGCCTAAACAGAGTTCAAGAGAATTTAGTTTTTCTGTTTCTTTTTTATCTTGAAGGAATTGAAGACGTTTCCTTAATGTCCAGTGTCAACCAGGTGTCGAGTGGTTGCACTGTTCAGAGTGTTACTTTCCTTCAGTCATAGACTCTACGCAATGTGTTCAGAAAATGTAATATACGATCTTTCTTCTGTTCTTCGTGTGTATCTGCTTCAACAGCTAAAAATAAACTGACATACACAGTTTTTTTTAGGTAACATAGGTAGGGTATCTGTCGGTTTTTGACTGAACTAAAGAGCATATTGTTTGGTACACAGAAATTAACGTAACTACTAAGAAAGTCTCAGCTAATGATGCATTTAATCGCCTGCTAATAGCTCCTAGAATATAATCACCTTTGATATTCAGGTGAATGAATACAGGCTTTTAATGACTGTAGCTTTCTTCGACTTTTTGTCATCTTTTTCTCCATATCTGTTGTTTATGTTTGCGGATATCTGTTGTCCCGCAAATCTTCCTTCACTTTCTCATTGGAACATATTATTTTAACTCTATGATAAAGGGTTTTATCTACTACCCATTTGTAGTAAATGGAACAGAAGCTATTAAAATACAGATCGGTACCATGTCACGTGCTCTTTCATTAAATGGACTTTCGGGGTGTATCATCTGTCTTACGTTGTACGGCGATATCTAGAAAATTGAACTTTACATCGTTTTTATATTCCATTATTGAAACGTTTTAACTTATTAGATACACTGAATAAATTACAACAAAAGATAAAAATGTCTTCGACGTACCTGGTGTAAATATTTGAAGACACCATCGTTTACTGGAGGTTAGTTGTATACCCTAATATACTCGGTTTCATAGACAAGAAAGAATTGCGTGCATAAAATACAGCTAACTGACAAACGATTACATTTATTTATTGACCTATTATTTGGGTCATTGTCTACGGTTTTTGACCTATATTATAGAGTTATGTTCGAATAAAGCCACATGATGAAACTGGTTCTTGTTGTGTGTTCTAGGTTATGTGAATCATACTTGTTCTGTTGTCCATACGGAAGCCAGTGTCTTAACCTGCGACCGAGATACTTAAGTGAAGAAAAAACATATTCTAAGTCAGACAAATATGTTTATAGATTAGAAGCAAACGTGTTATTACTGACGTGAAAAATATGAAGCCACACCCACTTCATATGTATGTCTCATGACGTGACGGATCGATAAAACATATTAAACGTGACCAGTGGGCCAAGCCGACTGGACATGAGGACAAATACTCAACGATGACACTGGGTGATGGTCGCTGTTTATCGTGAACTGACAGAATTAGGAAATATAAACCATCGGGGTCCGACTCAGTGGTAACCTGCTGGGACCTAGAGGTCCTGGGTTTTGTCCCTGGCGAGGTCGTTATAGTGCTCACTAAGAAGTCCCGTCCATGGCTTCCAGGCTTACGATGTTTATGCAACTGGTGTCAATTCAGGATGAATACCAACTTGAAATTATTGACAAAGTCTGAAAAGGAAGTCGTCATTATTGTCATTGTTAATAAATCCCGATGTACCCGACTAATGCATAAACTGTAAATCCCATTCATAGAGGAATCAGCCAATAAGTTATCAAGGTAGACGCTACGGTATTTATTTGCGTAAATTTTAACTTGAGATTTCAGAGGTGATTGTTAAACAAATCATGATTTATTTGATTATGCCAAAATAGTCTTAATGCCAATATTGGTGTCATTTCCATGAATGTTTGTAGGCCTTATTCATCGATTGAAATCAACTAGTATATAATCTTCGCTTACCAATATTCTTTTCAAACCAACTATCTGGACATATTTACTTCCTTTGTGATATTTCAACCTAGATGATCTTCTCACAAATTGTTTCTATTTGATCAACTCATAAAAACAAGCGGACAGTAGACATCTGTTTCATTCTGTTGTAACACTGCAACAATACACCTGTTTAACCCACCTTCTTTAGGTACTTTTGAAAATGTAACGAGTATATTATTCTTGAGTCATTTAGTTGAGATGCAATACTTTTTGTATCCACACATGTACACACACCCCTCGACAACGATATATTTGTGTATATAAAATATATTTGTATAGCACAATGAGATTCCACCTGAAGACACACAAGACAAAGGCAGCGTAGAACCTCTCACATAAATGCATCCGCTCAAGTTACCACACTTCACAGTAGTATACAAAGAACACGTGGTTAGAAAAAGAATGTTATCAAAGTAGACAAAGTTGTGCGAGAGAAAAGACAACTTGAAGAATATGGCTGGTGTAAATATTTAAGGCTAAGAAGATGTCGAGGAGTGAATACATCTGCAACACTGTCACCGATTTCCAGCCATGTCACGAAGAGTCATCTCGGGGGCTCTAACGAGGTAGTCTACACCTCCCTACACTACTCAGATCGACAATAAGAGACTTCATTGACTGATGAAATGTTTAGTATGGCCACTCTGAACCCTCTTCCCACCTAATCCAACTTCCTCCAGCATGATACGTCGAGGTAGATGGTGGTTCGGTACGCCTAACATATATCCAAGCCACCCTACTCGCTAAGAGTTCACAACCTCATCAACTGACCTGTACATCTTGCCTTTCACTTTCCTTCCTGACCTTGACATTTCTTACATGATTCCACCAAACGTGGGCATTACCACAAAGATATATGTGATTAAAACCTCGTATGCGCTTCATATCTTATAACAGGACAGAGTGGACTGCAGCGTAGTATACGCGTCCTTCGAAAAGTAGTCAGTCGGTGACACATACGACGCAATTTCGCAAGTACCAAACAAGCCTTATCTATCCGTGCTGGGATTGATGCGAATTCCCAAGTAATTGAAATGGTCGATGCATTCCACTACCTCACCCCTTATCCTAAACTGAAGTACTTGCAGGGCAGTCCTGAAGCACTATGTGAAGCGCATGCCAAACACATGGCATGTCATATTTCTTTCATCTCAAGAAGCATAAGTTTCTATTCAGAAATCGGGATACCTCAGCAATCAATCTACTAATGTTGAATTATGAAGATTGACCCTTTTTACGGTATGCACACTATACATGCTAACGTTACTCAGTGGTTATACCTATTTTTTCCGTAGGATATTATATTTTGACCTGGTATTTATGTATTTTGTTAAGCAATAGTCAATGAGCGACACCCTTATATAGTAATTTTCTAGCTTATCTTCTATGGCTACTTTTCCTTACTTGAATTGTTCTTTACTACTGTTGTGTCAATACTACTTGTGAAGAAAAATTTATTTCTAATTCATAGTTCAAAGTTATCAGTATGGCTTTCTAGACTATTTTTAACTTCTATCATTTATTAGCCATGCGTGGATCTGAGTTTGCGGAAACTGATTCTTACTGAAATATTTCAATCTGCATCAATTGGTGCAGTAGGTAGGGACACTTCCACCCAACCTATTCTGCTTACACATTTCCTAAAACGTAAACAATAATTAGGTGAATGGAAAAGAGACATGAACACAAGAACTACACCAGAGCTATTCTGTCCACTGTCAAATATTACTGTTAGCGAAAATCATTGAATATAAACCTTTTGTTTAGTGTAATGATAATTCGTTTCTTTTTGTTGGTTCTGACCCTTCGTCGTTTTTATGCCCTCAATTTTACACTACTTACTATTGTTCAGTAGTATAATCTTGTTCTCGTACAATGTTTTTTATTCTCTTCTGGTTACTTCTGTTGTAATCGAATTTTATTCTAAATTTCAGCATCTTAGGTCTTAAATATTTTTCCTACTTTCTGGTCCAGTTGTTCTCTTTTCAGCTGCCTCCTTGATGTCAGATATTCTTCTCTTTAACATTCGTTCATCTTATTCTGCTTACCTTACCTCAAATATCCACTCGTTTTTGATATTTTCGACTGGTTCAACTTTGAAAACCGTTTTATTTTATTGTGTGTTTACTTCCTAATGACAGCTTTTAACGGACAGCTAATGATTTGAGGTAGATTTTGTGCGTGGATCAAGCGCTTAGTTTATTATTCAAACAAATAAGATTGTTGTGCTTTTGAATTTTTGGAACGAAATTCATAGATTCACTTGAAATAATACTTCACTCTCAAATCCACTGAATTTTTAATCATTCTTAAGTGTGATTCTCTCATATTTCAAATCATCGATCTGATTCTACTTACAAATTACATTAAAAATGCCACTACATATGATTCACTTAGCAAAACTCACTGAAGTGGGCGCATACAATTAACATTATTAAGTATACAAAGTTCGAATCCTGTGATGTCTTGCAAAAACATATTGAAGTTGCATCTCCTAAACAAACAGAATAAAAGTAGAAGATATCCTAGTAATCTGTAAATGAATCATAGTTGTTTCATGTTCATATTTCAACAAAAGTAGTTATTGTTAAGACAATTTTCGATAACCTAGGTTCAGCAGATTAATCTCTCCATTCTTATTCAATTTTATCATAGATATATTTATGGAGGTTTCCCTCTCGTCACCTAATTACACAGATGTTGACCTAATCTGAGGAGAATTTTTGTTAGACCTAGAATATACAGATGATATTATCCTGTTAGGTGGAAACGCTGACAACATGCAGAGTTTTCTGAACACTTTGAGTGGGAATTTCAGAATGTTTGGAATGCCGTTCTCCCCACCCAAATGCAAATTGTTGCTCCAGGACTGGTCTTCAGCGGTGCCGCGGCTAACAAAGAGAGTGAAGTGGTTGAGTGTGTCGACCACTTCACTTACCTGGGAAGTAGGGTCAACCCTAGTGGGTTAGTTGCCGATGAAATCTCTGCATGGATAAGAAAGGCTTGGCTGACTTTTGCCAACTAACACTACTTTGTGCGCGGCCATGATATCCGATTGTGTATTAAGGGTCGCGTTTACTGCACCATCACAGAAGTCTGCTTTGTTCTACTGTATGGCTGTGAAACATGGCCATTGAAAGTGGAAGATATAAGAAGGCTTCAAGTATTTGACCAGCGTTGTCTTCGTAGTATATGCCGTATCATATGGTGTCACCATGTGAGTAATGCAGAAGTTAGGTGTAGAGTTTTAGGGAGAAGAGGTAAGTCAGTTGACGAGGTTATGAACCTTCTTTGATTGAGATGGTTAAGACACGTACTACGTATGCCTAGACGCCGATTGCCTCATCACACAATCTTGGTTGAAGTAGGCCCAGGCTGGAAAAAGGCCTGAGGTGGCCAGACTAAAACATGGCACCAATGTATGAAGTCTCTGATTGTTGGTTTGAGCCATATGGAGAGATGAAGACTAGGTGGTTGGGGTCCGCAGGACAAGAGGAACCAGTGATTGCAAACTCTAGAGGATATGGCCCAGAACCGAAGTCAGTGGCGCAGATGTATACACACATTATCCTCATGTTAAAGACGCAATACCGAACCTCACCATTTTGTCACTCCTCTTTCCTTTCTTCTCGTACTTTGTATTTCTTCTGACTGAATTTTCTTCTCTTTTCTTGCACCTCACTGCCTTTTTACTTGGTGTGGCGATATGAGCTGTGGCAAGTAGGACCGTTACGCAGTAATGCCTAGTCCTATGTTGGTATTGATGATAATGAGCAGATTGATCTCAACGAAATGAGGTGATTATTGAAGTTAGATGAGTACTTAGATGTATCTTTATCTGTATTTCAAATTAACTTGCATCTCGCTAGTAAGGCAAGCAAAGTTTTAGAAAGTAATAATTACGGGATTAAGTGAAATGGGTTTTGAGAGTCAATGAATTTATATACAGGAAATCCTGGTGCAACTCAGTTATTTGTAGAAAATCTTCACATAAACAGGATGCTACTTACGAAGATTAAGTAGTTTGTTAGGTACGATAAAAACTTACGTTTAACAGAGATGCTGTTTGGTATACATGACTAAAAGTAGCTAAAATTGTTTACCTCCAGATACTTTCCCATAAATCATGTCATGTTGCACTTATTCATTGTATTTACAATGCTAGGGTTTTTAAAAAACTTAACTTCTGACTTGTGAAAACTTGTTCTATATGACATTAACCTATCTTGTGACTACAGCATACGAACGACCAAAAATAACATCGTGGTAATGAATATTTCTGCATCGAATAAGTGGGACTTTTGTTTCCACTTATTAATCTAAACCTTAAAGAGCGAATGGATTTCCTCAGTATGAGTTGCATAAATTTGTCAGATAAAAGCTAGTGATCGGTGATAATATTTCTGAATGTATTAATTTTATTCCAGTGCTCTGGATACATCTAGACCCATGTGGCGTGCAGTTACCTAAATTTTTGATGAAACACTGAAATGGTTAACCTATCTGATGTTATGGTTTACCAGCAGTAATCTAAGCGTACAGATCACTACACTACTAAATAAATAATGCGGTTTCGAAGGTTTTGTTTTTATGTTGGGCGATTTCATGCTGAATTTTAAAATATGATTCTTATTCTCACTTGTGTGAAATTCTTTACGGTCATTGTTTAAAATCTCAGGTACTATCGATCACCATATTCGTAAACTACTGCTACAAAATAAAACTGTTACAAACTATTTACTCAATCAGAATGCAGTAAAAGAGGATAGGGCATGCTGTTGGATTACAAGGCCAGAATTTCATCAAGCTCCAATTTCCGCTTGGATTCGATTCGCTCGTCAACGTCGTATTCCGATCGGTCTTGAGTATGCTAACAGTGCAGATCGAGCATCAATTCAAACGATGACTATGTCAGCGCTGAAAATAAAAGTGAGGTATTTTTGTTGCTATATGTATTATTGCTGGGAGGGGGGGGGATTGGAGGTGGGAAGAAATAGAGTGGATAAACCTAGTGGTTCCATTTTTAAGGCATTTCCAGTTCAACATACAGGCCTTAGTTCCCTATACCCATCATCCAAAAATCTACTGTAGACATTTCGCGAACTCCTGACGAACTAAGTTGTTCAAGTAGACTCTTCACATAAATTAGAAGTTTTTCTACGATGGTATATGGTAATGAGGAATTCTACTAGAAGTATCATCCAGGGAATAATATATCATTGTGTTGTATGCCAAGTAAACTAATCTTATATCGAAGAACATCAGGCTTCAACAAATGAATTGTCAGGGTTGATGCTATATTCTGGTGGTGTGGCTGCACTCCCTTAGAAATGCTTCGTTTTACTTTACTAACGACTTTGAAGGAAGACTCTGGTAGAACACAACGACCAGCGTTAACTGGATATTCAAGAATCAATCTCCTAATCAACTTACACTGTCCTTGGCATCGCCATTCAGAACAGTGTTCAGCAATATGTTTGGATAGAAGATACTTAGTGCGGCCTATATAAACACCTCCACAGGTGCAGTCTGGTTAGTAGATGCATATGTCGCCGACCCGGAACGATAGTTTTATTTTCCACGCACGTCGAATCATCTTTTAAATGTAGAGAACAGTCCGAATTCGGTCAGAAAAGCCTTTCTCAGCGCTTTACACAATGGATTCTTGAGTATCTCTATCATTGTACCTCGTTTAAATATAGTATTCATGAATATTGTCTTCTTCGAAACCGTAAGAGTTCGTTCCTAGCATCGTTTGGTTTCCATGTCCCTCTCAATGAATGTTCAAGGATAACTGTTTGCACTGAGCACACCTCACAGTACTTCCAGCTTTTCATTGATTGCCTTGTCTGTAAAATTCTTCTGATTCTTGTACACAGTGTGTGAATTCGATTCACTTTTTTATGAAGTCCAACTTTGATAACTGCTATATTGTTCATTCCAAGTATTTTTTTCGGTAAATTGATTCTTTTAAGGAGATATAAATAGAATGTTTAGGGAGTAGAATCCTGAGTTACCCTCAGTTTGCATTGTAAATTTAATTGACCCATGACATTCATTGAACGTCTGTCTTATGTCTTCAAGGTTATTGTTCGCCTAACAGATGATCGTGTGATAAATATGTTTCTTATATACATAGAACTGGTCGATCATTGGACATAGTTTGACGTTTTTCAAACTAGGCATGAAGCACTTAGCTAAGGAGGGACCAAATGGGAACCCACTGGTACTCCGTTCTTTTGTCTCCTAATTTCCTCCTGAAAAGTAAATTGTACATTGAAAATACATCATAAAAGCAATTCACTTAAGAATTCTAATTTTGAAGTTGTTGACATCAATGTTATAGAATAAGAAGCAGATGTTTCCTGTCAAAGATTATTATGATTATTATTTTTCCCTTGGGTTCCTAATGGAACATAAAGCTTTAGTAGCACGCCTCCATTGCACTCTCTTCTCTGCAGTCTTTTGGACCTCGCACCACGACTGCCCAGAAGCTTTCATTTCTTCCTCACATGATCTCCTCCATGTCATCCTCAGATGGGACGCCCAACTCGTCGTTTCCCCTTTGGATTCCACTCAGGGGCCTGTCCTGACGGATGATGTCCCCAGTTGGCCTTCTCAGTGTATGTCCAGTCCAGTCCATCTCCACTTTCTTCTGCATATTTGTTGCGCGACAGGTTCTTGGTTGGTTCGCTCCCAGAGTTCCTTGTTGCTTATTCTTATTATTCTGGACATCTGATCTTCAGTATTGAGCGTAGGCCGCTGTTGATGAATGTCTGTAGTTTGTTGGAAGTGCTTCCCGCGACGCACCAAGTTTCTGAACCATATAGAAGCACTGACTTGACACTGATGTTAAAAATCCGGATCTTGTTCTTTGTGCTGAGTGCAGTAGATCTCCACACTGATTTCAGATTTATGCTTTTCCGATCCTGGTTTTTCTGTCAAAGATACATTTGTGAAATGTCACGTAATTTACAAAGACAACATTTGTCTTTGATATACGTGGACATTGCTTATGGAACTAATGAAATCAAATGAGTCAAGCCTGTTGGCACTGGAGTTCAATTCATCTCTTGTCTTCTTCAGGATCTGTGTTAGTGTTTGTTTTTACGGACGATATACTCAAAGAACACTATTTTTACGTTGAGAAGAATGCGTGTTGTGTAAATTAGATGTATGCAATTTGGGTAATTATCTTGGCAATTTTAACGCTTCGTAAGACATTATCATAGGTTTAACTTGAGTAGGGGACAAGAGAAATGGATGAATTAGCTAACGATCCATTTGATCTGTTGGTTGACAGAGAGATCAACTGTCAAACAAATGCTATATACTCTATAATGGGTACTTTCTCTAAGTTTCTGTTCATCTAAACTACATGCTGTTTTATTTTCAGTCTGATGTTCAGTTGTTTTTTAAACGTCTTGAACACATTGTCCTACGTGGTATAGAAAATTATAAATGGACAAATAGTTATTCACTTCAAGCTGGTATATTGGATTTACTTATTCATCTAATATACTTACGTATGAATTATTGCCAACTTGATGTACAACAGGTATGTCAACTAACTCGTCTGTTTTATTTTGGTTGTATTTACGGTGTTTCAAAAACATATATCCTTCGGGAAATGTATTACGTCACTCTTAAAAATAGAAATTGTAACCTTCATTTTAAAAAGAAATAGCGTTAGATGTTGGTTAACCACTGAGTAGAATTCTGGTAGTAGACGAGTGACTTTAAAGGTCACTCTAGCAACAACTGAGATCATCATTTGCGTTTCTTTATTTTATTAAAAACTTCTTCTCTAACCGGAATACTGAAACCTGATTGGTTATTTCACCAGTTGCTAGGGTGGCCTTTAAAAGTCACTCTTATAGACAATCCCATTCTGGAATAATGTATTTTATTCTTAATTGTACCTGCTACCCACTCCATTGTGGTCAGTAGTGATGATAAAATAGTAAATCATTGGCTAGTAAGTTTGATCTTGAGATTTTAGATTGATAGTGGTTAAATGCATGTATGAAGACAAGCTTTTACTGATATACTATCTCAGTCATGAACAGAACCTTCAATGGTGCTACCGTTTATTTGACAGAAATGATTGATGATGTATATCCTCGTATCTTAGGGTTTTTGGTGACTCTGTTACCGAAGCCAACCTTAAGGAGTTGAAATGTAAATATTTTCAAAATAAGCGTATGTCATCGAAGCAAAAAGAAGTGGTCCTTTCGGCTTTAGTTTCTACGTTGATAAGATGACCACTGCTAATATATGATTTTCAGATATTACAGTTTTGGTAGCCGATGTAATTTTGATGTTTTTCTTAACTTTTGTTCATCATATCCATTATTTACTGTCTTCCTCCCTGTTCTGCGCGCCTCGTTTTGTCAATACTGTCTTTAAATTCCTTGGTATCTGATACTTTTTCTTGCTATTTTCAGGTCCACTTAATAGTGTCTCAATTACTTTGAGACTACAGTTAATCGAAAATGCAGATGTTGAACCCTAATATTATTTATCTTATTTGGTCAGTATAATGAGTTCGAATTCTTTTGGTATTTGGCGATTTGTATAAGTAGTCCTCATTGATTTATAGGCTTATTATTTAGTTCGAAAGCATGCGGTGCAGCCATAGACTGAGAAAAAACAGACTTCATTATTGAAATGGTGGGTAGAAATCATTGATTAAACACTTTACTGGCATCTAATCAATGCTCAGTTCCTCATCAATCATCCATAAACCCGAATAAGAAGTTGACTTCTTGACTCCCGATGAAGTTTAGAAAATTATAAGAAGTCTTGAAAGAAGAAGAGCAACAGATCCTTAGTCTTCATTTATAATCACTGCAGCTTAAAATAATAATAATAATAATGAGCCTTGAAAAACGCCTACAAAGTGATTCATGAAACTACTAACACCTTTATTTACTAAATAAAAATTAGCGATACGAACTTTCTTGTTAGATCGATCCCCTAGTAAGACAAAGTATATTTCCGACCGGGTGATTCACTAGTTAAAAGTCGAACGCATAGGAAGAAGGATGAAGAATATGCATATACTTGTTGAATTCATTTCCATACATGTTCTTTAGTACTATCGTGCACTGGATTCAGCCTCTTTTTTTTTAAGAGAAAGGTGATTTCCGCTTCTCACTTAGTTATCATTCTAAGACTGTATACATCACTTAAAACTATCAGCTATGCTTAGGAAAGTCATTTTAATGTAAATTACAGTATGAATCAAAATAAACTTTTCTTTAATCTACTAATAAATGATAGTTTGTCATATCACTCATCAATAATCTCAGTTCAAAGATCATGAAGACTTGTTATTTTTCTTTTTTTTTTTCAATTTCTCTACAAAAACAAAAAGAAATTTCTCAATACTGTGATTGGTCATTGTGAAAATTTAGCCACAGAAATTCAACGTATTGAAACAATCTCATTGATGAATATTAATTCATTGTATCATCAACAGACTAGCAAAGGAAGTCATCATTCGAATTATAATAAACGTTTTTCGTTATCATCATCATCATCATACTCTGCTTTTCGTGGTGAATGTCATAGTTCTGACTTACTTCTGTTTCCTACAATCAATTTAAGAGAACCAACTATCCTTCATCAGCATCAACGTCTTGTCAATGCTATCTTTCGTTTCTTAATCATTTTAACATATCAAAATCTTACTATCTCATCAATATCATCTACATCATCACCTTCAACAACAACATCCTTATCATCTAAACATACTGATTCAATTAGCGCAGAGAATTCAGTTATTGCTACTATGTCGTCTACCAGCACCATTGGTAATGAAAATGAAGAAGCAGTCGATTCGCGTCTTGTTGAATTAAGTCAAGTAAGCTTGTGTATATTATTATTATTATTATTTATCCCTTGGGTTCCTGGTGGAACATAGGGCTTCAGTAGCACGTCTCCATTCCACTCTGTTCTCTGCAGTCTTTTGGACCTCGCACCACGACTACCCAAAAGCTTTCACTTCTTCCTCCATGTCACCCTCGGCTCGGACGCCCAACTTGCCGTTTCCCATCGGGGTTGCACTCGACGGCCTGGCCTAGCCCGTGATGTCCCCAAATAATCCTTTCAGTACATGTCCAATCCATCTCCACCCTCTGCATATTTGTTGCGCGATAGCTTCTTAATTGGTTCGTTCCCAGAGTTCCTTGTTGCTTATTCTTTCTGACCATCTGATTTTCAGTGTCCGTGTCGAGTGAGTGTAGGCGGCAACTGTTGATGAATGTCTGTAGTTTTGTTGGAAATGCCTTTCGTAACGCGCCAAGTCTCTGAACCATACAGCAGCACTGACTTGACTGGATTTGTATTGAAAATCCGGATGTTGTTCACGCTTTATGCTGAGTGCAGAAGATCTCCACACTGGTTTCAGGCTAATGAACGCCTCTCTTGCTTTACCGATTCTGGCTTTGACGTCCTCGTCTGAGCTGCCTGTAGTTGAAACAGTGCTGCCTAGATAGGTGAAGGAGGCTACTTCCTTTAAGTTTCTCCCGTTGATGGTGATTGGAGCTTTTTGTTGTTGATGGTGGTGTTGGTTGGGTATCTTCATCACCCCTGTCTTCTCTACGTTCACTTGAAGTCCCGTCTTCGCTGCCTGTTCTGTCAACTTTTTGGGTTTCGCCTGTAGATCTCCAAGTTTGTGTGACATTAGACACAAGTGATCGGCGAAATCCAAATCTTCTATGATCTTTTCCGCGGTCCAGTGTATCCCCCTCTTCTCGCTCCTCATGGTTTGCTGCAAGCTTGTGTTTATGTATTCTTGAATTCATACCTTGTTCCATCTTGTATCTTTTCGATTCAAGTTTGGGTAATCAAATTTAGAAGTATTGTACTTTTCAATGTGATGGTACTCATTTCTGCTTGATAAACAGATTTTATTTCCACTTAACTCCCAGGTGATATGTAAAACTGTCTTTTAAACAAAACTTATGCCTTCTTTTGAAGCACTTCATCGCCTCAGTAGAAGTTGTATAAATTCGAGATAGCCACTGATTTATTAGATAGTTAGACTGAGTAGACTTCGTTCGGTAAACTGACTTATTTATGTGGAAGAAATGATATAAAGGAAATGGAAACCGTTCGAATTCCAGTCTCACAGTCCTAACGATAAATTAAACGTTCCATAACTAAAAAATCCTTGTTTCCCGTTGTGCTATGAATGAAGCCTTCTTTTCCATTTTTGCTTCAATCGTTATCCCCTGCACCTAACTAACTGCTTAGTATTACCGCATAGTGTAGAGTTACAAGTGAGCTCATCGACGTCCTGAGAAGACAAAGATTCAGTATTTTCGGTTCCATAAGATGTTGTTTCACTTCTACTTGCCCTCCATTTTTACAGCTATAGCTGATCGGTCTGACTACTAAAGATTAAGTTACAAGTTTAATTTCTATCACGCCTACTTTGATAAGCGCAATCAGACAGTGTGATAACTCCTCAAACATTAAGTGGTACTTAGATCATTGCTTTATTACCGTATCTATGGATAACCATCAACCAAGATTATTTCAATCAACGTCAAGAATAGTTTAAATGCAGTTCAAACCTTGTGGCAAGTAAGTTACTTCAGTTTTAATGCTATTGCTTGTTAGTCTCAGTCACTGATTAGACTGAATTGATCCAACACTAATTGCCTATGGACTGTTTTGTGGATGCCTCGATATTGCTGGTGTTTTCAATTTTGAAATTAATGAAGAATAGTGGGTAGCAATGCGATCCAGGGCGAAACCCACGTCCTAAATTCCACAGCTAGCCACTATCTACCACAAATTGCTCAAGCTTCAGAGTAGTGACCATGACGTTGAAACCCCTGAAACATTCAAATGAAGGGTACTTCCGTCTCAACACACATGACACGATTTTGAAATAAGGGGAAAAATTTCTTGATCAGGATCAAGATGATGGTGACTTGATGTTCTCTAAGCTTTTATATTTTGTCATGAACGTTTCATCACCAGGCTTGGTGACATCTTCAGCACTGACTTCATATTCAAATGTTACACGAATGTTTAGATAGTATTTTGATTGACCTTGAGTGTTGTCCAATTGTAAGTTGGGGAAGACATTTTTTATTACACCCTGACCTATTTGACCTAAAAAATTTTATCAGTGGATGTACATTAGTTGAGGGTGGCGTAAATCCATTCACTGTTTATCTTCATCTAACTCTAGTATCTCTCGCTAGTTCATGACACTTTTGTGTCAGGGATCACACATTGTGATCTTGGCTGAGTGGTTTCCAGCGACAACCTTGTTGACAGCATAGTTTCGTAACAGTTGAAAAACTATTCAGCTGTATGAAATGTCAAGGTGAACCGCGCACTTTGTAAACCATTTGAAAATTGATCATCCTCTGCCTTAATGACATACCGGTTCATACAGATTCAGGTGATCTGAATTAATTCGACTGTATGGTTCGAATTCTTCGGACTCCACCGCTGATGAGCTGCCCCCCCCCCTCCAAAAAAAAACGAGCAAAATGGCCGTCCGGTGTTTAGATGACTGGTCTGGCTGGCGAAGTCCACAGATCAGCCTGAATGATTTTTAATAACTCAAGTTGTTCAGTAGTATAGTACCTTTCTCTAGGACATTTTCTTGTTTTACAACTATTTATTCCACCTTTTTCACTTCCACATAAGATTCTATTCTATTCTTATTTTCGATTTGATATTTCCGTTTAGTTGAGAACTATGACAATTTAATTTTATATTTTCTTCTACTCAACCAGATTAGCAACACTTCTCTCAATCATAATGATTTCTCTGTCCATATATTTCAGGTTGTACATTTAGCAGAAACATTGGCAGCAGAAACTCGAGACCCTAGTGGTGTTGTATTGACTGCTATGATCCCAGTTATTGTTGATCTATTTGTTATTCAACAACCAATAAATCAACGAATGTACAAGCAAGCTGAGAATAATGACTCAAACAAGAAATATAGAATGCTGTAAGTCGCATCATTTCAATATTAATAACTGAAATCATCCTACTGAATATCTTAGTCAGGATAATATTTATAATCCATGAGAGGATATTTAGTGCATGTGACTACATTGAGGTTCGTGTGTATACGCATGCTTGTGCTTGGTTATGACAGTTTATGAGAGTGAATTGAAACCAAGTTAAACTATGTTCTAGTCCCTCGTTCCTATTTCGACTGTTTTTTCCATTCCACTTTATCTGAACGGATTCTCCTTTGAGACTTTCCTTTCTAATTTATAATGTTTTTCTCAATCATTTCAATATGGACAAAGTCAACACTGAACCTCAAATTATAGTATAACTAAAGGGTTTTCAGGCATTCTCAGCTCTACTGGATTTCTAAGCGATCGACTGAAAGCAATTTGGCGTTAATCTTGACTCCACACGAAGTTTGTCATATGCATATTGCATCACAATCTGAGAATTTTATGTCATGAATACAATTAGATTGTGAATCTCGGAAAGTTTAGTTCTTCACACGGACCATGGTGCACAACAATGCACTTGATCCTCTGTTGAATACTCTCATATTCGATTTGTTGAGCACTGTTCTAATTTCACTTAAACTGTAACCAGAAAAACTTAAATCAGATAATCCTATATAAGCTTTGATATTGTAAACTCCATTTTACCATAGCTTCGATAAAGCTGTAAGCGTTAAGTAGCAAAAGTCCAGTTACGATAAATTTGTTTTATTTTCATTTGGGGAATACAAATACCGAAATAATGATAATAATTTATTCAGTGACTAAATTTCTTCAAACCGTCAAGTCCTTACCTGGTTTGGATAGCTATGACGAGAATTCATACTATTTATCCATTAAACTAAGAACTTTTGAAGAGCATTCCCTTCAGAAAAAAAATACTTATTAAATATGATATAAGGCATGCTTACCTGACCTCACAAGTTCCGTAAGATGAAGTACATGAGTCAGTGATAAATGCATCAAAAGAATCATATTAGTAGACTTCCGTGTATAATCGAATCGCAGACTAGTTAACTGACCAACAGACGATGGATCATACAGTACGAAAAATTTAATGCCTTGAACAATTTGTTGAAATACGACAAGCGAATGTCTGAAATAAGACAAAAACGATATGCAAATATTTTATTCTAGTTAACTTTTTACAGTAAAAAGGACAGTTAATGTTGAGTAAGAAACGCGAGTTAAGACAGAAGTCAAGTCAACAACTTCTAAGCGACCAATCCTAGCCCACACTGATCAAGACATTAGGATAAATTACTAACTTCGTCTTATGTATATATATCTTCAGAAAAAAGTGGAGATGGATTGGGCGTACACTGAGAAGACCATTCGGGGACATCACGCGTTAGGCCAGGTCCTCGAGTGGAACCTAAAAGGGGAACGACGAGTTGGGAGTCCAAGGGTGACATAGAGGAGATCGTGTGAGGAAGAAATGAAAGCTTGTGGGGAGTCGTGGAGTCAGGTTGTGAAGACTGCAGAGAAGAGAGGGTAATGGAGACGCGCTTGTGAATCCCTATGTTCCACTAGGAACCCAAGAGAAAAACAATAACTGTATATATATATATATATATATATATATATATATATATATATATATATATATAAATCGGAATTCAGCTTGTAAAAGGAAAAGGAAAGCTACTGATTAGTTTGGCTGATGTGGTATTTTGTTATTCCTTTAAGGAGGACCAATTCATAAAGACAAAATCAATGTAGAACCTCGTACAAAAGTGCCTCCCTTCATGTTGTCTCACTTCACAGTGGTATACAAACAACAATCGGATCGAAAAAGAGTAATATCAAAGTATACAAAGTGATGTAAGAGAATAAACAATTTTGAAATGACAGTTGGTGCAAATACTCAAGCTTTAGAGGATAAAAAGGAGTTAATCTTGACTCCACACGAAGTTTGTCATATGCATATTGCATCACAATCTGAGGATTTTATGTTATGAATACAATTACATTGTGAATCTCGGAAAGTTTAGTTCTTCACAAGGACCATGGTGCACAACAATGCACTTGATCCTCTGTTGAATACTCTCATATTCGATTTGTTGAGCACTGTCCTAATTTCACTTAAACTGTAACCCGAAAAACTTAAATCAGATAATCCTATATAAGCTTTGATATTGTAAACTCCACTTTACCATAACTTCGATAAAGCTGTAAGCGTTAAGTAGCAAAAGTCCAGTTACGATAAATTTGTTTTATTTTCATTTGGGGAATACAAATACCGAAATAATGATAATAATTTATTCAGTGACTAAATTTCTTCAGACCGTCAAGTCCTAACTTGGTTTGGATATTTATAAATCGACTACATTTTTTTAGTTTAAAAGCGCCTCATGCAATTCTCCAGCAATGATGTATGTTAATAAATATTTTGCTAACAGTATCAAATGAGCAAATTGTCTTGTGTTCTTTTATTGATAAATTTATCGAGTTGAGTTGAGTTCATGCTGTGTAATGAGAGCAGCTGAATAACTTATAAGCAGTGGTAGAACAGTAGTCTACTGGTCTTTTTTGATTGTCTGCTAATACCAGCTTACAATAAAAAATCTCTTCGAATACTCATTAAACTTTTTTTATATCTTTGTTGTTTCACCTTATAAGTTGGGATAAACATTGAATTTGTAGATTTATGCACTCACTTGGTCTGCTGTCATGTTGTTACCAGGATCATTTTTGTACAAAACGATCATTTTAAGCCAAAATATAAAGACAAACAAAAGGATTAGCGATCGGATCTTCAGTATCCTTGAACGTAGCAGACATGATTTATGAGCGATTGTGAAGAAATAGCAGAAAATTTCAGTCCACCCCAAAAGCATTGTGGCTATATGTAGATGACACATTTACCGCGTTGAAATCAGAACATATCCAGAGTTTTTCCGCATGTATTAACTTCATAATAGATGTAATCCAACTCACTTATGAATTAAAAACTAGAGCAGGAGAACTACCTATGGTCCATTGGAAAATCTCGAGGAGAGAAGATGGAAGCTTGGATGCCAGTATTTGTAGGAAACCAACACTATTCGAATCTATACAGTTGGATTTCATATAATCTCACCCTATATTTTTCAAGATAGGTTTGGTAAAATGTCTTAGTAATCGGGTTAGGAGTTTTACTGGTAAGTCAGAAAACCTGGATAAGCGACTGAAACATATCAGAGATACACTTCTTCTCAACAACTACCATCCAAAAATTAATAAAATGTTTACAAGGGCTGATCAAACAAGCAGTGTTAATGTTAGTGGTAACTGCAACATACCTGAGAGGTGATTCAGATCCGCCACAGTGTTGCCATCTAACGTAGACACAGGAAATTTATTTGGGATTTTTAACAGTGCTGGTACTAGAGTGGCATTCAAACCGACAAACTTGCGCAGAGAGGAACTTTGCTAACTAAAAGATTCAAATTTATTGAAGCTCTTCCCATTCGTAAATTCAAACCCTGTTTATGTGTACAAAAACAATTTGTACTCCCGCTGAACCTACCTCGGTAGTATTGATTTTAATTTTCATACCAAGAGTGGTGTGATTATGAATTTGTATTTTCTCTGCCCTTCCTATTCCTATGTTTCCGATTAACTGAAGTCATTCACCCTTTTCATAAATTTTCACATAAATAGTTCGACAAGTTTATGTGTGATCAGATTGCTCCAAATGTATAGCGCTAATACACCACTTGTTTAAGATAATCTTCGTCTTCTCACTACGCTGTTTAAATTTTTCATCAATTTACCGTATAGCAAAGAAGACTCTTCACAGTTATTTTGAATTAAAGGGCATCTTTGCTCCTCAAACTCTTTGAAGTCTCCTGTTACATCTTGTCAGCACTTCATGTAGCTTGCTTGAAAATCAGATTAAGCGACAGATAATAATAATAGTAATAATTCGTAAAAACCACATTATGGCTTGGAACCAGTTCACCATACACCTACCAGTCGACATGAGATTTATAAGATTTAATTGCAGTCGGGTTAGGAGTTACGCAAGCTTCATTTATATAATGTTCATAAGATAAGCTATCTGATTGGCTAAACATTCTATGTAATATATCCCAGAATCATTGTTAATATTTCAGATGCCTCATCTTCCTGAAACTCATCATAATCTCTTTAATTCTTCCTCTTTCTTTGTTTTCTTCACTTGTCTCTCAAATTTTGCTTTTTACTCCTTGTATAAACCTCATTATTTCTTGTATTTCCTATTACTGACTTTTCCTTTCTGCGCTGGTGTGAGTGAATTGTGGTAACATGCACCGATTCTATCTTCAGTAACACATCCTGGATCGTTTGTAACGGATTGGATGATTGGTATACATCGTAATTGATCACTTGTGTTAGCGGACAATAAACGTTGACTCAAAGCTCTACTCGCTGCTATTCAAATGTTGTTTAAAGTATTACAACCAGTATAATCTTGCCTTTATACATCAAGATACCGAATATATGCCAATTTACCTGTACGTTGGAAGTCTAATGTTTTTCGATAAAATGCTTTACGATAAAACGTTTGACTTCAGAGTTAAGTTATTGTGTGAATTCAGTGCATATATGCCTTACTGATAAATGTCAGGAAGGATTGTTTTCTGCTGTCTGATCTTAATTACTAAACAATCATTTTTTCATTATATTAGATTTGTACCTAAATTGTTCATTTTTGTCTCGTATATTCCGCTTCAATCTTGTTTGAAGATTGTGGACCTGCAGCTCATTAGTCAGCCAGTCAATCAATCAATATCAGCATAGGACCGGTTATTACTGCACAATGGTCTAGGTTGCCGCACCTCATGTCAGCACAACAAGTAACAAAATAGTAAGATATAAAAAGACAGAAAAACCGGTCAAAAGCAGTAGGAAGCACTAAAAGAGAGGAAGGAAGAATGGGAAAATACTGAATTCAGTAAAGTGGTTAAGATGAAGATAATGTGTGAATACATCTGCCCTGCTGACATCAATTCTGAGCCGTATCACCTAGGGTCTCTAACCACCGGTTTCTGGTTTAACGTGGACCGGCTGGTCTGCATCTCCTAACACGGCTCAAAGCAACAGTCAACGACTTCATGCAGTAATGCCATGTTTTAGTCCGGCTGTTCCGAGCCTTTTTCCAACCTGAACGTACGCGACGAGAAAGACGGCGACTAGACATACGTAACGTGTATCCTAGGCACTTGAGTTGATGAAGGTTAACAATCTCATCTACTGACTTCCCTTTTCTCCTAAAACTTTACACCTGACTTCTACATTATTGACATGGAGACATCAGAACACATGGCATATGCTACGAGGGCAACAGTGATAGAAAATGTGAAGTCTTCTCATGTTCTTTACCTTTACTGATGATGTTTTACAGCCATGCAGTAGAACAGAGCGACCTTCAATACAGTACACTCGACCCTTAATAGACAATCGGATGTCACGATGGCGCCACAGATGGAGTAATTCAACGAAAGCCAACCAATCATTTTGCATCCATACAGAGATTTTGTTGATCACTAACCTACCAGAGCCGATCCGACTTCCTAAGTAGGTGGAGTGGCTAACGTACTCAACCGCTTCACTCTCTATTGTTAGCTCGGGCACCATTGAAGACAAGTACTGGAGTAACAATGTGCATTTGGATGGTGTAAAACGCATCCCAGACATTCTCAAATTGCCATTCAGTGTTTCCAAAAGAATCTGCATATTCTCAGCATCTTCACCTAATACGACTTTATCATCTGTGTATTCTAGATCTGCTAAATATTCTCCAGTGATTGGATCAATCCCTACCGAAGTTTGAGTAGCCAAGTAGTATTATTAACCCTCACAGAATAGATGTGGTTGATTGTCAAGTGCCTGAATATACACTTGACTGCTAAGAATTCAGACATGCTAGTTGGATTTCCATCTAATCATGTAAATATCATGATATACATTTATGTTTTATTATTCAAATAAACTGCTGCATTCAATAACAAGTTGATAGCAAGTTTTTGTTTTATTTTTCAACACCTATATTATACCTTTTGTATAGCATTCAAATTCTTGAAGCAAACGTTTACATGTCATAAGCCTTTATTTATCTTCATAGCTGATTTCAGTATATTTTCTACATTCTCTGTGTTCAGACAAGCAGATGCTCAACGTGAAACTATTTTCAGCTTCCTTCTACGTCGACTTAGTCACTTACCAGCTTGTTATGATCAAATATCACTGATACTTGAAGAGGTCAATATTTCAACAAAAATGTGTACAACTGAAAATGTTATACCTTTAATTGACAGTTTGATTCAGGTACTATTTTTATTGGATTAATCCTATCACTTCACTTTTCAGGCTGTTTGATTTAATCATTGCCTTTAGATATGAAATGAAGCTTATTAGAGTACTTCAGTGTTTTTAAATTAATGTATTCGTCTCAATTCTATACACATAAAAGAAATGATAGTAGCAGTAAACTTACTACTTACATACTTATCTATTCATTTATAATCTGGTTTACTTCAAGAGGTATAAAAAACAATGGAAAGACCTCAAAATTATCATTTACCGTTGTAATTTCTTACTATTTGTTGTTGACATGAAAGGAATATGTTATCCCGCGTGTTTGGCGGATATGCGTTCTGCACTTGTCAAATGCAAGGTGATGCTCCAGGACTGGTTTGCAACCACTTCCAGTTTAACGATAGACGGTGAAGTGATGGAATGTGTCAACCACTCCACTTCGGGAGTTGCATTGGTGCTAACAGGTTTGTTTCTGACGAAATCTCTGCTTGGATTCAGAAGGTCCATTTGGCATTTTACAACTTGCGTTGCCTGTGGTACCGACTAGCGAGATACTTAACTGTCTATCAGAGGACTGGTATACTCCACTGCACTCCGTTTTGTTTTGTTATACAGATGTAAGACATGACCGTACGAAGTAGATATGAAGCGATCACGGGGTTTTGATCACAGATGTCCTCGTAGCATTGCTTGCGTTTAGTGGAATCATCGTGTGACCAATGTTGAGCTTAGACTAAGGGTACTGGGCAAGATAAGCAAGCTGACTGATGAGGTTGTGAATCTTATTTGATTGAGATGGCTTGGACATATATTGCGCATGCCGACCCACCGCCTACCTGGACGTGCCATGGTACGGCTAGTTGGATCAGGTTGGAAGAGGGTTCAGGGTGGCCATATAAAGATGTGGCATCGGTCGGTGAAGTATCCTGCTGTCGGTCTGAGTCGTGTGGAGAGATGTTGGCTGCCTTTGTTGGAGTCCCTGAGATGATAACCATTGGTTGAGGACTGTTGGTGACATGGCTGAAAATCGGTCACAATGGTACAGATGTATTCACTCCTTAACGTCTCCTAAAGCTTGAATATTTGCGTTAACCCTTATCTTTAAATTGTTTATCCTCTATTGCGTTTTTCCATCCACCTGTTATTTGTATGCTACTATGATGTGTGGTAACTTGGAGCGGTTCACTTGTGTACGAGATTCTACGTTGATTCTGTCTGTCTCTCTGACATATATTCAAATGAATGTGTTGGTGAACGAAAAGACAACGAATAAAACAGATAGAAATGACTTTTAGTTTCTTAAAGGCCAAGGTAAGAATAACGTCTGAACATAATCTTTCTGAATGTACAGTTTGGGTTTGACCAACCTTATTGTAATAGCCGCCGCTGTGTTGAACAGTCATTGGTCAAGCTACACGTGTATTGTTTTTTGGAATACGCTGCATGAAACTGAAAGCTTTATTGGCATCTATGTGATACCCTGCGTCTAGGAAGGGCTCTAGAATGAACTGTCTATATACTTCGAACCTCTAGGAGGTTGTTTGAAACCATTTATCTTCTATTCTATTCACAGAATAACCTCTTCAGTCTCAACAAGTATAATCACAAGATTATCAGTATTTTTATCTTCTGTTTTCTTTTGGTTTGCGACTGAAATTAATATTCGTAGTTATCCAGTATATTTTCTTGTTGTTTTTGTTGTATTTTCTTCTTCTTTAGATCTCAGATCATATTCTGTCTCATCAGGCTGCTGGTACAGCTCAAATTGATAACTGTGCCGATTTTGATGCACTTCAACGTCTATTGAATCATATCATTATAATCATTCATTCTTTGGATGGAAATGAATCATCTTCTCTAGTGTGGAATCTTATCACTAAGGTTGAAGAAGTTTACTATGGTGAAATTAATCCTAAAGTGAGTACTGTTCAATCTCGAAATGATGCATTCAATCATAATAATGATGTTAGATGATGAAACATGTATATTGTTTACGGACTTGTGTATAATGTTTGGTTCCTGAGACCTGGGCTAATTTGCTACCACAGTGTAACATGTGCTTTCTATCATAAATATTCCTTTGAGTAACAGGTGGTGGATCCATCCAACGTTTTAACTCATCTTATCCTTCTCCCAGTTATTGGTAAGATGGTTAGAAAATATTACATTCTTGTCGTCATCACTTAATATAACCTGAGTTATATTTTTGTTTGTGTGTGAGAATATGCAAACTTGGACAATAACCATTAGACTTCGCTTCTTGTTGGTCGCTCAGTTTCTCGATCAATGGAAAAGGCGGTAATACGACAGAAGGTGTATTGCAGTGTCAAATATATATATATATATATATATATATATATATATATATATATATATATATATATATATATATACAAAATACGGTGGTTTATATATCTTCACAGTGGCCTTGACTCTTTCCAAGCCTCTCTAGATCTGGATATTCTATTGGTTTTTGTCTCTTTAACTAATCTGACCTCTACACGCTGGTCCATGTGCTTTCTCTTGAAGCTACAGCTTAACATGATTGGTTGTAGACAGCTGCAGGAACTTTGGGATTTTTTATGAAGATCGTGGCAATCTTATTCCACACTATAACAGAAATCAAGTTTTTGATGTCTAGGACCATTGAAACAAAGCATTCCAGGTTCGTACATTAATAAAACCCCATTACTTTGATTTGCACAAATTCTTCATGAAGTTTATAATGCTGTGAAGCCTTTTCATTTTGAAGTGTGTCAGGCGAGAGAATATTACTCATTTGCTTTTTCCTTCGCTAGGCTATAATATGTCTGTGGCTCCGTTTGTGAATAACATTATTTTGAGTACATTGAAGCACTAAAATAATATTACTAATACGAATGTTCAGGTACATTCCTTTATTTTCCTAATAAAGTATGGTCATATATGATACTTTAGAAATTTGCTTGATTACAATTTGAAAGCATAGATGTAGAAAAAAGAAAGTGATAGGAAGAAAACGGCTTTCGTTGTGTCACAGAAGCAATACCAATAGAAATAAATGCTGTTTGATCCTCCAGCAGCACCGTTTACGTGTAGACGACTGATGAAGTTATTACCTTAGAGGTTAAAGAATGCATAAGTATACTATAAGAACCTCATAGTGTATAGTCTACCCGAAGAAGATCATCGGTTGCATTTACAAGCCGTTTTGAAACGCCTTGGGGAGTTTTTACTGCGTACTAACAAGACGAAGTCAAAGATTGCTAAAAGGAGTGTTAAGTTACTCAGAAAAGAAACTGAGTCAGTTCTTAGAAAGAGCACTAGAAACTTCAATGAGATTTCCGCTCAACTTCATAAACTGCTGCGAAACCCGGAAATTGCATAGATGGATGAGACACAGAAAATACTTGACTAAATTAATGAGATCTTAGATGACCACCTAATGACCTTACGTTTTCCAGTACCCAGAAAACCATTAATCATCGCAGATGCTAGTGATTATAAATTGGATGCCATCCAATGAAGACGCTTTTTGATGCCTGTAGAACAGAAGTGTTCAGTAGTCGATAAAGAATCCTTGACGATCGCCTGGAGGTTAAAAATAAACGGAAGCCATATCTCGTCGTACAGCGGTTTCACATTACTTTGAGAGTGAAGAGTTTATATCTTTCCCATGACACCTTTGTATCAAGAGAATAACACCGACTCCTTACTACCCTTAAACTACTAATGAGTTGACTTTAAAAAATAACCGCAAAAGAGGGTAACCAGGAAGCAAAGATGCGATTACTGTTATCGTCATATCAGGTATCCGTGCAAAAAGCAACAATAAAACCGCTGTTTTAGTTCACTTATGGCAGGAAAACTAAACTGCTAATGCATACTTGGTCCTGGTCGCAACCAACCAGGATCACAAAGACCACTCCCGAAATATGAAGACCGGTATATACTTACAGGATATCGTATCACAGTTTAAACAATGAGATGAGAAATTTAAGAATGTATACGAACGCCTGTCAGTTTTGAAAGTTGATACCAGTAAACAAGGAAGCTGGAACACATAAAGGAAGATTGTGGATCAAAATAGCGATCAAGAGATTGCTTACAAATAGATGCCTTGTTGTTATGTTCAGTATTTTTGCCTCTATCAGTTGTTTTTTTCGATGCTTCATCAAACTTCTCTTCAATTGTCAATTATCAAAACAGATAATAGTTAACATATTCAGTAATTTGTAAAACTCATAGCTGTTCATGGAGGAGGAGAAGTTAAGACCTTAAATCCCAATGAAATATGATTACACTGTTGCCAAAGTGTAAGCAAAGAGAATAAAACCAAATAAGATAAACTCATTCTTCAAAATTGTTCCTCCTCACTCCGTTTAAACTGTTGATTATCTTCTGCATTGCACGTTTTGTACATTCTCATACATATAACCTCGGTAGGCCAACTCCTAAGCGTTGACTTTCTAGATTAACTAGCGTGATAAGTAATAAAATTGGGAGGAAGTCACAAGATCACTAACGTGAATAAGAGAAGACATAACTGTATAACAATTAGATGACTTTGGAACCTAAAATCTTCAGTTGGTAATGTCCATAGCAGAATAACGCGGTTTAAGTGATAAATAAAGTGCCTTCAGTTAAATTCCCAAATCAGAACTACTCAAATTATTGCCATATATATGAATGACAGTTCAGTGATTGAAAAATATTCCTTAATAGGAAAATTGCGGACAAATTTCAGGCATATATTCATCAATTACCGTTTCAAAATGATCGAAATATTCTTAAAAATTCTATCTGGAGGTTTGTGGAGATCTGCTTATTGATTTTAGGTTGAAATTCATCATGGATTGATATCAGTTGAAGGGACATAGGAAACCTAGGAGCACTGGACAGCTGTTTCATTCTAGTGTGGGACTCCCCAGCAGTGCGCACCCGTGACCCCGCTGAGGGTTGAACCCAAGACCCTCAGGTTTCGTGGTCAGCACGCTACCATTTAGCTACTGGATCGGAATCCAGTTGTCCATATTTCTAACTTCTATCGGTTCACAATATAGCGCGACTTACATCCAATGTTGTCATTGAGTAACTGTCCTCATATTCGACTTGGTTGACTCCACTGGTCACGACGTAACAGTCTACTCTCGTTTCACTTGACTTTTCAAAACTGTTTAAACTTGTATGATTTTGGTACAAACATTTAGAAATTATAAACTTCAGTTGTAGAATTGTTGCCAGGTATATTTCCAACATCGAGTAAACTCATACTTTTTTTAGCAAATAAAATTTGTGTCATACAGTCCCTCGTCCCACAAGAAGTGGCTATCGTGGCTCGGTGGTCTAGTGGAAAACGCTCTGGCGTTTGGAGCGATCGGTCCCGAGTTCGAAACTCGGTGGGAACAATATCACTCACTTGAATGCAGGTAGACCCAGCTGACGAGTCCCAAGTATGACGAAATGCGCATCCTGGATTCCACTGCTAGCCACTGTCCATCATTACTAGAATTAAAACACAGGTAATATTGAGGCATCCGCACGGTAACCCATATGCCAATAGAGACCGATCCATTCAGTCCAATCAACGACGGTATAATACAAGCAATAATACTACTAGTGAGGATTGTTTAAGGGTTCCTTACTGATTGTTTTCAGCATCGTGACATCAAAACAGTTCATCGAATTGTTGACTACTCTAAACTAGTAGTTAGAGTTACGCACTTTGTAGATAAAATCCAACCACTGAGTAGAGCCAAACGCCATGTTATCACTTTTTATACATGAATCAACCAGTATAGTGTTGACTATTTTTATTTTGTTAACCTGAATATCTGAGTACAAATATTTCTGCTGTATTCTAACATATTTTCTTTGGTGCAAAGACGTATTTTACTCGACCCAACCATCCGTGATAAGATTAAGAGATCACCATGTGAGAAACTTGAATAACATTCGTATTATGCACGGGAAAGATAAGCAGACCGAATGAACCAATGCGCTTACAAGGTAATATAAGTGATAATTGATGGATTGGGATTGCTAAGGGAATGTAATTCACAGAAAGGAAATCCTATGCCTTATTGGTCTTTGAATCAAAGCAGAAGTAAATGATCAGTCTGATTTAAGCATTCCGACTTATAAAAATGTGCATAGTTGGAATTTTTAACTGTAAAAAGGAGCCGACGTCCGTCAAAATGATCAGTGGGTTTCTCCATTCGTGAATGAGAGTTACCGTTTACTTGGACGAATTTACAGTAAGGCAAGTAAATGATTCGCGAGGAGCAGGTCGTGAATCCATTGGTCATGTGTTTACCCTCCCCCAGATACTTTGAAGGCCAGCAATCGCTGTGTTTCTTGACATTAGGGCTGCCTTCTATTCGTTTGACAGAGTTGTGCTCTGAAACCGTCTGTTGGAAAGGGGTGTGCCTGAGAAATTTCTGAACACCTTAAAATCCCTATATAATAACACCTCAGGTGGAGTGAGGGCGCATAACCACCTGTCTACATTGTTCCAAACAAGCAGTAGGGTCAGACAGGGTTGCCCGATTTCTCCATTCCTCTTTAACTTTGTCATCTATGACACTCTTGAGAGAGTTCTGAATGAAGTGTGACATGGTGGTGTAGATCCTGGAGATGACGACTACCTGGAGAACGGCTATTCGACCTTGAATATGCGGACGATATCATCTTACTGTGCGATAACATACAGGCTATTCAAATCGCACTTAATCAGTTGGTCATTGGTGTCCGTAGGTATGGTATATGCTTTTCACTGCTAAAGTGCAAAGTACTCTTGCAAGATTGACAGAAGCTTGTGCCTGCGCTCATCTTTGGTGGTCAGCTATTGGAAGTAGTCGAAAAGTTGTCCGTGTATCTGGGTAGTTGTGTGAATGCTGGTGGAAGTGTGAGTGAGATTTCCAACCGCATATCAAAAGCCAGAGTAGCATACATCAATCTGGATCACGTTTGGCGCCACATCGACGTTCGTCTGACCGTAAAAGGTCGGGTTTACAACGCTTCAGTGCGAGCACTTCCGCTATACTCCTGCGAAACCTAGCTTCTCCGAGCAGAGGATATGCGATGACTGTGTTCGACCATCGTTGTCTCTGTGGAATTGCTCGTATCCGATAGCAACACCATGTAGGTAATCCTAAAGCACGACAGTGTGTTTGGGCATGATGGAGATCGTCACTGAATAAGAGAAGTCTTCTAGAAATATCGGGTTTGGTGGCTTGGACATGTGTTACACATGTCGTCCCAACCGCCTCCACACCGTTCATTGTTTGTTTGTTCTAGGACTAGATGGGAGAAGTGGAGGAATGGTCAGTGTATGATGTGGTGCCATGGGATGAAGGATAGTTATATCGGGTTAGGACCTGATAGTACATCACGATTTCCTGGATTCGGGTCCAAGTGACCACGCAAATCAGTGGTTTCAGGCGTTACCTAATACAGCTGAGAATGGAAACCAGTGGTGGACATGATGTAGCTTCATTCTATCTTCTGCTGCTGAAAAGTAATGAATGTTTCGTTTTGAATCCACCCTAATGGACTACCCTTCTAATCATCATTATTTTATGTGACGTATTTCTTGGTGCCCTTGTTGTACAATGTTTGTATCCTAATAATAATAATAAGTGAACATCTATGAACTATGACATTCACTTAAACTACTACGTCACCCAATAAAGTATGCAGTGTTTATTGTAAGTTTTTCAATTTCATATAAATTAGTATCACTTATCCATAGTAAAGAGCGGGATGAAAATAAGTCAGAAATCTAAATTCTACAAACGACTTTAATGAATTTATCAAAAACAGAAAATATAGTCTAGCTGTTTACTAAACTAGAGATGTTTTCCGTCTACAAGATGAATTGTTCTTAGCTGTGTGGGATGTACATTCTTGATGACAACAAAGTTTTTCAAATTACACTGCTGGGAAACCGTTCTACTCTGACCAGCATGATCACATTACCAAATGACTATCTCACTCATTCGAAGTAGACTTCATTATAACTGAGTTTGACTATCTGGCTTCAATAGATACGCATAGTATAAAGTGAATGATCTGATAAGTGAAACGTGCAAACCAACCTTGATTGTTTCTAAGTATACAACCTGTTCAGTAGTAGTTTTCATTAAGTTATGATGTTTGTCAGAGATATAATTCTGTAATATTGCCTGAGTGGTTTCCATTGGACACAATATCTAGTCGAGGCTACTATTAGGCAGCAGCGAAACTGTAAATAATTTGTGAATTATTCATGCAATGTTGTGTAAAGTCTAGTCCCTAGTAGTCTTAGCGAGAAATAATTTCACATGCAACGGTTTGATTCCCGGGTATCTAATGTAAAATTACTTGAGCATATGGAATACATAAGTGAATAAATGAGTTCACATCTCATGCATGTTTACACCTCGTTCTTTAACTCACTTAACAAGCATAAAATTGAATTAGTGAACCAAACAAGCTGCAGTTGTCGTTAGAGAACAAAACAAAATGAATAATTATATCTGTAATAATAAACTTATTTGAAGTGATCGAGTAAATAATTGTGATATGTAAGGTCGACCACTAGGTCAAGTTAGCAGCTATCGGTTGTGCCTCTAATTGCCATTTCTTATGAACAAGTTTTATCGATTCTCACTGTACAATAAGTATCCTTAAAACAGTAATAATGGATCATATAGGATAGCAATGTTAACTGAACAATTCTAATCACTCTGAGGATGAATTTTAAATCGATAAACGATAATCAACAACAAGAGTTGTAAAATATTGAACAATGAACTTCTAGATCAATGATTGGAGGGTGATTTGTCTTCCTGAGAAACTTGGATTCAATCTTAAAAGGTGTTAACAATATTAAATGTTGAACATTATGATTATTTCGATAAACACATTTCAAATGTAAATTGATGCTGTAACTGATCAAATAGCTGAAATTAACAAAATTATTCATTATATTTACACTTTCCATAATAGTAAGGATATCTAATAAAGCTGATAAGAAATGAAAAATATAATACATACACTAATAGCGCCTTTTCCGAGACGACCAGTTTGAATGAGACGTTCAATACCTTGACACCATGCCATATGAACGGAAAGTGGGTAGCTTAAATCAACAGTAGTCCCTGTACTCAACGATGAACTTTGCTACAAAATAAAAGCAAAAGCAGATTTCGAAAGAACTTATAACAGGTTATCATAAATGATGGGAAAAAAGACACAGTTGAATCAACTATCCAGTTCAAGAAGATGAATAGAGTTTCCAAGTCGTCAGTTGGTAGTTATCAAGCAGTTGTGTAGACTAAACAACTGCGTTACTGAAGGTGTTATTGCATTTAGCTAAGAGATGTTGAAGTGACCGAGTGAATAATAATAGATAATGCCGACGATATTAACACGAAGAGACTCTTGGATTGAATACAATGAGGGACTGCTGTCCCTCAGAACCATTGTACTTCACTGAGCTACGAAAATCACAATGCAAAGACTGACCTGTAACTGTAAGCAAGACACTTAATTCGACAAAAATGCATCATTTATATGCAGTTTTCATGAACATATAAAACCACTAGGTCAAAAGTTAAATAACTTGTTTTGATTGGTCAACTGTAGGACAAAATTGTCGATTAAGGTTTTCGTGTAACGAAAATTGAAATACAAAAACTTTTACTGTAGTAGCTGATGACCTAAACTGTTGATTTCCAGCTAGGCTACTTCTTATCATTATTTGTTGTAAAGTATCTAACTATCGACTGTATAGTAAATCGTTTGTTCATTACAGATCCTTTTAGACTGCTACAACATAACTCATTTTATACGTTGGACTGTAACACAAGTGTACTGTAGTCGTTTCTTCTTTCATTTACTTAATTGTGGAATGAATTCACCTCAACCGGCTGGTTACAATATCTCGAAACAAGTTACAAAAATGTTTGAGTAAGTGCTGTTTTTTTAATATATCGTTTCAATTTACTTTTAAAAATAACTGCAAATATTTTGATGGTAGAAATTTTCAGTCTACTGCCTGCATGATCTTCTTTTTCTCGTGAAATGTTTTACCCTTTTCTTTTAGCTCAACATTGACATGAACTTTTTAAAAATACTAATCACTACAAATCACGGAACAAACTATTCTATAATTTATTAGTTATAAGCTTTGTATATGCATAAAACTTCTCTAATGAATGAACACAGAACCATGCAGAGCAGTTTTAAAGTGAGCAGATAACCGATGTATCATTGGGTCAACAATTTTGGATTATTCATCAATTTAAGTGACTCTCTACAATTTATTACTTTCGTTTTAATCAGAAGTAGTTTTTCCTGTGACATTCAACTAACTAGAGTTGTAGATGGTGTTTACAATTTATATAAGCAATTTCAAGTGTTTTAAGTTTGTATATTAGTATGATCAAACTTTATTGATATCAAACCACTCGTTAATTGTATTCATTTTGGTGACTAGCAGTAGAATTCAGGATGAGCGTTTTGTCTTACTTGAGACTCGTCAACTGGATATACCTGCACTACAGTGAGGAGTGATGTTGTTTCCACTGAGACTCAAACCCAGTACTCATCGCTTCGTATGCAAAAGCGTTATCACTAGGCTATTGGTACACGAGAACCACCTGTTGTTTCTTTCTTGCCACAGTGTACTACTGGTTGTATTACTTTCTACTTGGACCGAGGGTTATAATGCATTAGTTGTTATTATTCGCAGACTATCGATTGATGATAACTAATTATCGCTTAAAAAACAGAATGGAAGTAGGACAGCAATTGATGCTGCAGCTTATCGGCAACTCTTCTAACTGCAACACTGGATAGCATTCTTTGAAGTCTTGTAGGAAGCACGAATTTCCTACTGGTTTCACATACACCTTGCTGATAACCTTCAACAAACATTGAACTGGAATTTAGAGCTTCTCGAATGTCGTTCACTATCCAACACTGAATACAGTGTATTATGATATAGAGTCCTTTAGCTTCGGGGTCGGATTAAGTAGAGTCAAACAGCAATATAAATCAAAACAACAGCAACTGCGAAATGACCTATAAATGAAGAGCTGCTGTGTTTTCATAAGCCAAAACAATATCAATAACACTTTAAATATCACCAAAGATATCTGGGAATGGGAAGCTATGCAATCAAGTGAGTTCTTGTTCTATACGAATAAGATTAGTGAGGTTTTTTTCGCGTTTATACTGCCGGTGACTTTCATCAAATACAAACGAAGAGAAGAATACTACAAAATGAACGAACAGTCATTACACAATAGTTTTGATTCGGTCACTGTTTGGTAGCTTGGAATATTTTTCCATTGAAAAATAATGCTTCTCATCTGATGTCAGTCCGTGATGAATACCAACCTAAAACCAAAAACTAAATCCCCACAAACCTCAAAATTGACCTATAAGCTGTATTTGGTTAGAAGGGAGTTCAGGGTGGTCAGACTAAGACGTAGTACCAGTCGATGAAGTCCTTGACTGTCGATCTGAGTCGTGTGGAGAGAAGTAGGCTACCTGGCTGAGGTCGCCGGTATGAAAGGAATCAGTGGCTGAGGATTGTTGGTGACATGAGCGGAAATCGACCACAATGGTACAGTTGTATTCACTCCTTTTTATACTTTAAAGCTTGAGTATTTGCACTAACTGTCATTTCAAAATTGTTTATTCTCTTACATCACTTTGTATACTTTGATATTACTCTTTTTCGATCCGATTGTTGTTTGTATACCACTGTGAAGTGAGACAACATGAAGGGAGGCACTTTTGTACGAGGTTCTACATTGATTTTGTCTTTATGAATTGGTCCTCCTTAAAGGAATAACAAAATACCACATCAGCCAAACTAATCAGTAGCTTTCCTTTTCCTTTTACAAGCTGAATTCCGATTTATATATATATATATATATATATATATATATATATATATATATACAGTTATTGTTTTTCTCTTGGGTTCCTAGTGGAACATAGGGATTCACAAGCGCGTCTCCATTACCCTCTCTTCTCTGCAGTCTTCACAACCTGACTCCACGACTCCCCACAAGCTTTCATTTCTTCCTCACACGATCTCCTCTATGTCACCCTTGGACTCCCAACTCGTCGTTCCCCTTTTAGGTTCCACTCGAGGACCTGGCCTAACGCGTGATGTCCCCGAATGGTCTTCTCAGTGTACGCCCAATCCATCTCCACTTTTTTCTGAAGATATATATACATAAGACGAAGTTAGTAATTTATCCTAATGTCTTGATCAGTGTGGGCTAGGATTGGTCGCTTAGAAGTTGTTGACTTGACTTCTGTCTTAACTCGCGTTTCTTACTCAACATTAACTGTCCTTTTTACTGTAAAAAGTTAACTAGAATAAAATATTTGCATATCGTTTTTGTCTTATTTCAGACATTCGCTTGTCGTATTTCAACAAATTGTTCAAGGCATTAAATTTTTCGTACTGTATGATCCATCGTCTGTTGGTCAGTTAACTAGTCTGCGATTCGATTATACACGGAAGTCTACTAATATGATTCTTTTGATGCATTTATCACTGACTCATGTACTTCATCTTACGGAACTTGTGAGGTCAGGTAAGCATGCCTTATATCATATTTAATAAGTATTTTTTTTCTGAAGGGAATGCTCTTCAAAAGTTCTTAGTTTAATGGATAAATAGTATGAATTCTCGTCATAGCTATCCAAACCAGGTAAGGACTTGACGGTTTGAAGAAATTTAGTCACTGAATAAATTATTATCATTATTTCGGTATTTGTATTCCCCAAATGAAAATAAAACAAATTTATCGTAACTGGACTTTTGCTACTTAACGCTTACAGCTTTATCGAAGTTATGGTAAAATGGAGTTTACAATATCAAAGCTTATATAGGATTATCTGATTTAAGTTTTTCTGGTTACAGTTTAAGTGAAATTAGAACAGTGCTCAACAAATCGAATATGAGAGTATTCAACAGAGGATCAAGTGCATTGTTGTGCACCATGGTCCTTGTGAAGAACTAAACTTTCCGAGATTCACAATGTAATTGTATTCATAACATAAAATCCTCAGATTGTGATGCAATATGCATACGACAAACTTCGTGTGAAGTCAAGATTAACGCCAAATTGCTTTCAGTCGATCGCTTAGAAATCCAGTAGAGCTGAGAATGCCTGAAAACCCTTTAGTTATACTATAATTTGAGGTTCAGTGTTGACTTTGTCCATATTGAAATGATTGAGAAAAACATTATAAATTAGAAAGGAAAGTCGAAATACGGCTGGCATAACTAACCGTAAGCATGCGTGTACATGCAAACCTTAATTTGTAATCAAAGTATAATGCGCTATATATGGATATCGCTAAATCATTCATCCAGAATAACGCATATCAAGTCATACTATTTTAGCTTGAATACTGTAAATCTTTATGTATTATAACTTTGATAAAGCTATTAGCATTAAATAATGAACCATCAGTTAGAACAAATTCATTGTTACTTGTAATTTCCTGTTGCTATAATGGATGGAATTACTCGACCTGTGTATTATGGCAGCGAGAAACTACAAGTATCAATAAACAATAACTGATACCGTTGTACAAGAGGTAGTTCTTGCGTCCCAGTGGCGTAATGAGTAACACGTTGGCTCTCGAAGCGATGGGTACTGCGTTCTATTCCCAGTGAAAAGAACATCACTCACTGGGATAAAGGTGCATGCAGCTGACGAATCCCACGGAAGATGAAATATGCGTCCTGGATTCCATTACTGAGCGTCAACAAGACTCCAAATATACTTTCTTTGCTTGTAATGGGAAATACAAATGCAAAAATAATGATGATGAATCCTTCTTTGCCTTTTGCAATCCTTTCCTCTGTCTCATACTTCTCCTAGTTCATTTTCTGCTGTATTTATTACTGAAACTAACACACTTATCAAAAGTGCAACCGAAGGAATATATTCGTGTTTCTGAAAACTTATTTTAAGGGAAATATCTCCTAAATCTTACAATGCCACTAGTTATTCAGTTACACCGATATTCAAATTTTGTGTAGGCCTATAAGTTTTTACAAAAATAGGTGTGATTGTAAGAATATTGTCATCGATTTCAAAGCGTAACCATACTTTGTATCAAAATAATCATTCTTATTATTGTAGATCTTTGGAAAAATATTCATTGGGATGTCGGGAACATTACCTCAGTAATTCAAGTAAGCTACTTCAATTTGACTTATCTCAGTCTAAATGAATACAGTTATGTTTTCGAAGATAGCCATTGTTTTCTTTTATTTCTATATAAAGATGATAAGATACCTTGGAATTATTTACCATTATTCCGCGGAAAGATATATTTAGAAAACTGACGTATTCCATATCTAACTCGCTACAATCAGATAAACGTATCATGTAACTACATTTGGCGCGCTTCATTCTCTTTTTTTTTACAATAAGTACTGTTACTTTAACTTTTTTTTTAATCTTTAAAGTGATTTCTTGTACCTGTCGTGTGATTCAGTTGCATCTGCTGTGCTCTTAGTACGAGTTATCATTACTTATAAAATAGCACACCTTCGTATCGTTGTTTACTAGCGTGGTGAACACTGTTTTTAGGGACTAATGATGGATAGTGACTGAAGGTGGAGTCCAGGACGCGTATTTCGTCCTATTTGAAACTCGTCGGCTGGATGTACCTGCCTCCCAGTGATACAAACGACAACATTACTTTTAGGAATGTTTATCAGAAATATTAGAAACCACAAGAAGTGATAACGATTGACTGAGTAAGATTCTAAAGGGATGAAAACAAAATATTGAGTAGAAATGTAAAGGATAAGAACACTGCACACTGATATACCGAAAAGGAAAATGTCTGCTAGTGTGACTTTATTAAAAGGCTTACTATTTTTATCAATATTGATTTTAGTTTTCCAAAAGATAATTACCATTCTCCCATTGGAGTTTTCTTCAGTTGTAGCATGTGGTTGAAAATTAGTTTTCTAATATATTGTCAAAGCTGAATAAAGCAGCTCCTTGTAATTAGCTTACACACTGAACTATCTATATCCCTATATGATACCTAATTCGAATGTTTCTCAAGTGTATTCACACAAATTGAGTTTTATTTTCAACATTTAGACTAACTTAGTAGATTTAGATAACAAAACTAAACTGACAAGACAAGAAGAAAATTTTCTTTCCAACGAATCATTTTCAGAAGCTGTACATTCGTAGTTATAGTTGCAACAAAGTTATTTGTCGGTCAGTAACCATTGGATCAATACAAGGTCATCATTATTTGTTTATGGAATTTCAAAGCAGTGACTGAATGGTCAATACAGTGTGATCACGTAATAATATATGATTTGATAGGACAAGTAGGAAAAGTGGAACAGTCTTACTGAATCAGTAATTACGGAGTAAGGAAACGAGGCGAATACAATAATGTTGACAAGTGAATAAATAAAATCTGTTGGAGAGATTGAACGTGCCTTTTTTTGAACAGAACGATGAATCTTGAACCGGTGAATTCCCAAGGCTTCTGCTGCGTTCCGATGGTGAATCCTCACTCCCTTCGAAATGTTTGATTCGACTGTATATAAATGATTTTGAAGGAAAATTCTGATGGAGCGGAGTGATCGGAATTAACCAAATATTCAGCAGTCGAGCTGTTAATCGCTTTGCACTCTATTTTAGGCAACTGTGCAGAAGATTCGTGTGGCCTATATAACCACCTCTATGAAGACACACATGGAGGTGATTTTAGTCGTTCAAATAGCTTCGCGCTGATGATTAATTCATCTTCTTCAGAATTTTTGGCTTTGAAGTTTGGCTGCACTAATATGAGCGTTGACTCTATGAAAGTATTGATAGAAAGCATCTATTAGTTATATTAATTCTGTTCAGCAAATCAACTGATCCTTGCATGATATCCTATAACTTGAAGCACAACATTCTGAATTCTTGTCTCTATCGGAAGTTTAACCATACTGTTGATCATTATCAATCTCTATCAGAAAGGTTATCTTATATTCTGTTGTATCGTTCTTGTTTCAAATTCTCTCATTTTCATCACCTACTTTTAGGATATTCATAAACAAATATATACACTTGGGAAATATGAACCATTATTGTGTGTGTTATGGTATCATCTGATCTATGCAAAAGAATTGGATTTTATGAATATGTTGACGAGAACTCCTCGATCTGGTAATAATGATGAATACCATTATATCTCAACTGAAGTATTCTTGCCAAATTTCTTTGGTGATTTAGAATGGCCCAGTATAAATTCGGAAATTGTAAATCAGTCATTATTGATATATTATATCCAATCACAATTAAATATGAACACGGAAGTAAGTTATTTCAGAGATTCACTTCTGTTTAAATATTCAAGTGGGAGAAATTAGACGCGATGATTTTTGCATCTTATAAAAAGCAGCAATCTGAACGAAGAATATTCTTTTCAATAAATTCTCTTTAGGTTCTACAATTATAAAATGCATTTATACAGCGTAAAAATAAGCCATGTTATGACCAGTTGCATTTTCAAAATGGAGTAAGATCTAGAGATTGTCAGGAAATCGACTTATCTTTTTTAAAATAGTCAATATTGAGAATGATACATATATAGAAGAATGATATGATGGTGAACAAAAAGATAACGAACAAAATGGCAGGAGTGGCCTCTAGTTTACTGAAGGCCAAGGGAGAAGTAACGCTTGAACATGTTCTTTTTGAATGCAGAGTTCAGACTTGATCAATCTTATTGCAACTGCCTCCCCTATGTTGAGCATTCGTTGGCGAGCTACATGTGGCATCGTTTTCGGGACACGATGAATGACATTGAAAGCTTTATTAGCATCTATGTGATTCCCCGTGTCAACTAGGTGCGCTAGGACTGAACTTTTCACCACTTTCACTTTGCCCTTTGCATATCAAGCTGGTAAATGATCTCGTATCCGAAGACGCACCTGCCTAATCATACACCCTATGTTACTAGTTCCATATGAACAGTTAAATTGCATCCTAGTTCGCATGATGATTACTTGCAGTATGAGATATGATATCAATTTACAAGTCACTGGATAGATAGTATAAAACTTGGAAAAGTTATGTCACTTTAAACCTAGTAGTTGGCTGAAGACAATCAGCAGGAAGCTCTGCTTTGTACCGTTGATCAGCAAGGTGTATCTGCACTCTCGAAAGTATTGATGCCCCTTGTGAAATTCGAACCGACATCAACCAGTGTTGTAGTCACCAACTGACCTGTGAAGTTTTCACTTTATTCAATTTAAAGGTTTGTGGGAGTTTATTGATTTCAACTTGGTGTTCATCATGTACTGACATCAGTTAAATAATAACTGAAAACTTGGGAGCAGCTGGGAAGCTGTTTCGTCTTAGTATGAGACTCTTTAGCAGTGTGCGCCCAGGATCAAACTTAGAACCGTCACTTTTCTCGGTGAGCACGTTACTATTTAGCCACTAGGTTGGAATCCAATGGTTTGCATTTCCGTACCTCTGTCGATTCACGATATAGCACGATCTCCATCCAATGCCGTCGTTTAATAAATATCTTCCTATCCAACTTCGTTTCACTTTATGTTTTCGTACCACCTATGCTCTTCTGTGCAAACACAATGTAACCAAATGTACGGTATATTTACTAGTTAGTCATTTTAAATTATTTGGGCGTTCTTACGTATGTGTGTGTAACCCTGAAAATGCAAACAACATTTTAATGATTGTTTTTGAAATACTTCTTAACCGGGGTTTATTGTCGTGAATATTAAGTTATTGTTACCTGTTAGACCGATGAGTATTGAATCCACTCTAACTTGGCTAATCAAAAAACAATAGTTATGCCGAATGATAACCGTTATTCACAGTTAGATACTTTGGAATAGTCGATAAACTTCACTACATCTAGACGCTGTGCTCCTTGTCACTGCAGGATGTATGCTATAACTCCGAGGAAATCATCATTCATCTAGAGATTTCTGTCTATACCTAAGACTTAAGAGTAAAAAGTACTTCTGGTTTATTTAGGCCGTAAATAATCTCTTGTGTAACTGAACTTTACAGATAACATTTTTCAGGTTTCAGGCATTATGTAGGGAAATGTCTTGACTGTCAAATCCCATAGGGCATTAAGACTGACTCGGAAATTTTCGGTCCATTGTCTTCAAGCGTATAATACCATGTACAGTGTTTCACATTGTTACCTGATTTATTATTAATGATAATGATAATAATAATCACTTTATTTTGCACAATATTTTGATAGTTTGCAATTATCAACACGTAGTAATTGCAACGAGAATTAACTACTTCACAATATTTTCAATAGTAATAACCATGCGCTTAAATTATGTAAATAACATTAATAATAAAGGAAATAGTACATGAGTTGTTAGAAGATTGAAATAGCTGCTTATTCATTGTGACAAAGTTGATGAGTATTGTCTGATCTAGCATTTTCCCTCCACATAAGATACGTGCTCGATAGGGTACAGTTGGATGTTTGTATATAGCCGCACGAGCAGAAAGTTTTGAGTAATATCTTCTTGTTCTTGCTGTGGAAATACAAGGAGAGAACAAAACAGATGCTAGGCGTCCAATAAAATGACTTTAACTGGTTGCCTACTTGAATTCAAAAGTCTTTCAATTACGGTGTTATTCGGTTTGGGCCAGAAACACACCGTTAGTTCTACTGACACGTATCAAGGCTTCTTGCAATATAGCAAACTAAGAAAGATTAAAAGGTGAACAGTAAGCGGGAGTAGACAAAATAAGGGAGTTGATAAATTTTGAAAGTAAAGGCTGATTAATGCCAGAAAGTCTCAGTTTCCTTATGTAATATGTCAAACGAAAGATTTATTTGAAGTCAACAAAGGATGAGATGACCAACCATAGACAGACAAACAAACGAAACCTACATGGGACCTGGAATTACTGCTTAATTTTTCAAGCAGCCACATCCCATATCACAGCATCAAACCAGAAGGCATCAAAGTGTTACATAAAGAAAGAAAGCAATCAAAGTGCTAGAAAGTCATCAAAAGGGAATAACGAAGATTGAGATAATACCGAATTAAGTATGATGTTTAAGATGACGATAATATGAGGATATATCTGTGACACGGAGATCGACTCTGAGTGACGTAACCTATATTCTTCAACCACTGGTTCCTGTTGTCACGTGGACCCCGGCCCGGGAGGTCTGTATTCCCCTGCACGACTCAGACCAAGAGTCAGAGACTTCATTGCCTAATGTCATGCTTACGTCTAATCACTAACCACATGTAATCTTTTTCCGCTCTGAACCTAATTCAGTCAACATTGCGCGACGAGGTTGTCTGTGACTGGCTATGAGTAACACATACCCCAACTACATCTGTCGATGAAGGTTCACAACCTCATCGAATGACATTCCTCCCCTCTATAAAACTCTAGCCCTGACTTCTACGTTACTGACGTAATGATACCACGACACACGGCTTATGCTGCAAAGGCTATGGTGATCGAACACCTAAAGCAATCTCATATCTTCTACTTTGAATGATCGTGTTTCACAGCCATACAGTGGAATAGAGTGAAATGCACCTGACCCTTAATAGACAATCAAATATCATAATGGCACTATGATTGACGTATGCTGACGAAAGACAATCGAGCCTTTTTTATCCAATCAAAGATTTTGTCGGTCACTGACTCATGAGGTCTCATCCGACTTCCCAAGTAAGTGAAGTGGTCAACATACTCAACCATTTCACTTCATACTGTTAGATATAGCATCATTGAAGATCAGTCCTGGAACAACAACTTGCATTCGGATGACGAGGGACACATGGGAAGCATGCTCAAACCGTCACTCAAGGTGTCCATAAAACTTTTCATCTTGACAGCTTCTTCAATTGACAAGAATATGTTATCCGCGTAGTCTAGATCTACTAATGATTCTTTTCTAAGAAGGACAGTCTGTGTAAAATTAGATGACCGAAGGAAGACCTTCATAATTACTTTTATGGTAAAGTTGAATGAGAATAGAAAGAGTGGACATCCTAGTCGGACAACACTCAACGATTGGTAGAAAAGCATAACCCAAAAGAGATAGCATTTGTTTTTCTTTCTACAATAATATCATGACTATTACAAGAGTTATGAAACTGAAACACTTCACACAAGTCTACTTTACGCCCCGGACTAAAATTAGCAGTCTGACGTTTAGAAGAGTTAAGAAATAAAAGAAGGCCACCGGTAATTTCAGATAAGAAACCATTCAATTGATAACAATTTATTTGAGAAATAACTGGCATGGAAACTATCAGGTCATCAGCATACCTAATGAAGTTAGTTTCAGCAGAACAAGGTAAGTCATGAAAAAGCAAAAAGTGACAGCACAGCAAGTTGACGCGGACTGGCCTCAGTAAGTAACAAAGCTGAACGCTTCCCTTTGTGAAAAGTATACTACTGCTTTTCAGAAAAATAAAAATGGGACCAGTTTCTGATCCAAAGTTTAACACACTATGGCAAGCTTATTTACCAAGAGTGGTCTAGGAATAGAGTCAAACGCGGATGTGTAATCTAAGGCACACTGAACGTACTTAGCACCTTTGTCTAGACTGAAAACAATCTTATGATGCAAGAAAGTGACAGCATCTAACTTGATTTTGTTGTGTTTTTAAGAAGACTGTCTCGGATCTTTAAAAGCCTTCAATCAAGGTTTAAGCACAAGTAAAAGTAGCCTCTCTATTGTTTTCAAAAAAAGAAAGGTGATTCCTGAAGATGATTTAGATACAAGTACAACCTGTACATAACAGAAACTTGTACATCGTATCTGGACCTTTTATATCGAACTGAGTTAAACAGCTAGGTCTTCAAACATCAGGCTTATCACCCACTTTATGCAACTCTTCCTTTGTCTCTTCGAAGGTTCTTTTGATGCCTATCAAAATGGAAACTCAGATAGCCCGTGAAATTAGTGATAGTGTTATTGAAAACTTCGTCGAAAAGTATGTTTGTTATTTGTAATATACTTCTCAGGCAAAGCATGTTGTCCAGCAAATAACATCTGTGTTGGACTTTCTTCGATAGGTGTGCAAAAACTAAATTAACTCTAAAAGTCATCCTGGCAACTACTTAAGTAATCAATTCCGTATTTCCTGAAAAAGTTATCTTTCCAGTCGAAATAAAGAAACCTACGGGAGAGTGTTCAGAGACACGTTTGGAAAGTGTCCGCTTTATGAGGAGCAAGTAAATTTGTAGACACATATTGCGGTGGCCCAAAGAGGCAACTTGTCCTCAACGCACTCCGGGAACCAACTGCTGACTAGAGAAACTGATCTGTAGCTTCACAAAGAAGAGTGTCTTCAACGATATGAATAGCTAATTCTTCAGGATCTCTACTGCCATATCACCTTTGAAACCAACGTTCATAGACAACGTCTTCTTTAAAACTCAGTAATTGCTCTGTATTCTGTTTTAATTTCAAGTTCTCAATAAATCTGGATGGGTATCCATTTTGTATGAGAATCTTCCATAGTTTGCCTAATGCATCGTCTATAGTATCACTCCTACAGATCTCTCTGATTCTTGAAGATAAACAGTAGATCAGATTCCTTTTTATGCTAGGAGGCATCCAGCTATGGAAATTCGAATATTGTGCATTCCATGTAAGGTTCCTATAAGTTGATCTCTGAGGAGAGCTATCTGGTCTCCGTTTCAATAAGACATGGAGAAAATGGAATTCTGAGTTCTCTTCGAATTCTGATGTGACGTTGATCGATGGATGGCAATCATTAAACTTCTTAACTTCGATCCCAATATCTGTATTTTCATCACATATGATGAATGTATCATCCATATATCTTTTATATAGGTAGAAACTATCATTGGTTGAATGAAGCACACTACTATCTAGGTTCGCCATAAAGCAGTCAGCCAGCCTCTGCCCAACTGGTGACCCCATAGCAACTCCATCCTTTTGTCCATTGTCGAATTTGAACTGCACGTTGAAAGTACATCTTAGAAGCAATTCCTTTAAGTAGTGCTTTGGGATACTCATGTGAAAATTATTATCTTCGATGAAATCACATACAAGATGGATACTTTCCGTGAGTGGGACATGGGTGAAGAGCGGGACCACATCCAGAGAAATCATTTGCTTACCGGATATACTGAAATTATTAATTTATTTGACAAAGTCGAAAGAATTCAATAAGCTATGCATATTTGGCTGGTTTCTGACTGGCTGGAGGGTGTCCGACAGCCGCTTGGCGATAGAGTGATATGATGAATTGTTCATGTCCAAAAGTTTACGAAGAGCAAGACCTTTGTGTACTCTCGGGAGACCATGTAAGTGAAGAGATGCAGAACCAGAAGGCGCAACTGCTCGAGTAGTTGAGGGCTGATGATAGACTCATTCTTCATTTTCTTCAGAATCTGGGTCAGCTTTCGTTCAATTTGTTCAGTGGTGTCATTTTTGGGCAAACTCTGGAAAATTTACTTATATCTGTTAAGATAGAGACCATTACCGCGTTATATTCTGAATTATCCATAAGGACAATACCAGCGCCTTTATCGGAACGAACTAGCAGCAAATCTTTATTTTTCAAGATTTCACACAGTTACTTTCTATACTCCTTTGTCAACAATCGTTTGCAATGTGGCTTCGTATTAAGATATTGATGACAGCAATTAAATACAGTTGAATTGAATCGGCAGGAAGCTGTGGACCTAGATCTCATGTTTTTTAACTCTCATCACCAAAGTGTATCTGCAAACATCTACAGATCTGTTGTCCCGCATGAGATTCGAACACGCATCACCCAGTGCTACAGTCAGAGGCGTGACCACTGAGCTATATGAACTGCGAACGGCCTCCTATAGGATCGTAATAGATACATTGGTTGGTTACTCCAGTGACTAATCAATGTAAATATCTTTGTATTTGCCCAAATGGTTAATTTGACATTTAACATTAATGCAGTCAATATTTTCATTGCTGAAGGTGAAGCATATATAATGGGACGTAGATCAGCTAGTACTGATAAATGCAGTTACACTTCCACTACAGTATAGCTGTGGCTCATGAACTAGGCACTTGACCGATGGGTTACAGGTCGGGACTCTACCGCACCTATTGAGGACTCGACAGCCAGGATAATTCCTGGCTGCAGTCATACAACAGGTGTAGTTTATTGCTTACTACAAGAGCGGGCACAAGGTTGCTGACTTTGTTTCAATTCGCGGTTTCGACCTCTGCCACACTTCTTAAAAATAAATTGATCATGTCTGTCGAAATAATGTAAAACCTTTTGGACAAACTAAATTATCATCATACAGATTGTGAAGTTCAATTTCTTACTGTGTTTTTACACCTGAATTACGATAAGTATTTGTGGGGTAATAGTGACTGAGGGCAAACAACTTTTTTCAGCAAAGAGTTACAGTTCGTACAAAGCATTTTAGGAATGATCATTTGATCTATTGTTGTAAACTTAGGAGTTTGTTGCCATCCACCATGGTGCCTTTTTTATCTTACAATGAACTTGCAAAGTGATGGCTTGAAAAGATTTTTAATATTCAGGAGAGCATATAATACAGTTAGAGGACATATTTGAATTATTAAATATAACGTAGAAAGAAGTAATTTGGTGCAATTGGTACTACTGTGTAAATATCTGGTCTTCCACATTTCATGCATGAGTACGTGAAGTTATAAGACAACAAGATAAAAGATAATAAAATGGAAATTATACGTTCAAAAGTCATAGAAAGCAATATAACGAAAGAAAAGTGATTAGAGCGAGAAGAAAAATTAATATAATGACTAAGATGGAGATAAGTTATTGATACATCTTTACCACTAAAAATGATGTTCAGTTGTATCCACTAGATTCATGAACCACTTGTTTTATTTTTCTCCCAAACTAAAACTCTGAAGTCTACATGGCTAAAACCAGCAGTCAAAGACCTCATTGATCAATAACATATTTCAATCTGTCTATCATCAACTTTTCAACTTAACCGCAATTCAACCAAAACATCACATTATGATAGACTGCTGGTAAGCATTCGTACCACATGCTGCTGTTATCCCGCTCGATGAAGGCTCACAATCTCATCGATTGATTCACCTCTTTTGTCTGTAGCATTCCTCTCAATTTCTACATTCTTTATATGATAATTCTACGACTCATAACCAATGCTACGAAATCAACGTTGGTCGAATATTCGCAGCTTTCTTGAATTCACCACCCCTGATGACGACTTTCTACAGCTACAGTAAAAGACACAGCGAACTACAGAACAATACACTCGACTATTAGTAGGTTGTTAAGTACTACAAGTAGCATGAGTTCGTGAGGGCTAATCAATCATTTTGTTTATGCACTGAAATTTCATTGATAGCCTATCGTACTTCTTATTGAAGTGGTACGGTCAACACGTCTTACCATTTCGTTGCCACCTGTTAGGTAAGGTATCTATACAGACCACTCATGAAACAACAATTTTCATTTGGGCCGGAAAAACTGCCATCCAAAATATTCTCATTGTATTTAAAAGACTGTACCTATTTTATTTGCAGCATTGTAAGCTTTAATAAACCACCATTTATGATTTAGCAATCAGTTTTGTGAAGAACAGCCTACTATCTGTGAATAAAAGTTAATAGTTGGTGCATGGAATTTCATATTTTTATATTCTAGGTTGGTTCTATCCTCCAACATCTTTTACTGCCAGTAGCTGACTGTTATGAGAAATATTCTTCCCGAGGGAAAATTCTACGAATACTAAATATGTGGTATCTTAATGAGCCTGTAATTTGTACGTTTACGGCATTGTTATTGAAATCGAAGACTGCATGTCAACGATTTCATAATGCGTGTATGGAGAACCTTTCTTTCATGGTAAGATTTGATTGTGATATATTTCTTCTGTACAAAAAAAAATAATAGTCAATATTCTTAAGGTAATATTCATCACGGACTAACATTAGTTGTAGAACTTTTGAAAACCTGGGAGCACTGTACAGCTGTCTCGTCCTAGTATGAATCTCCTCGACAGTACGCCCCCACTATCCACCAGGGATTGAACTGAACACCAGGTTTCATGGTGAACGCGTTAACCATTCAGCCACGGGGTCTGTTTTCAGTGGTTCACAGTTTCCAACTTCTATCAATTCACGACATAGCGCGACTATCACCCATGGTCTCCAGTCGACATCCACCTCTCTTCTGACTGGTTGACCCCTTAGGTCACGTCTTCTCATTAGAACTTAGCGATATTTATCTGGAAGCAAGTCACTAATGAGCATCATATAGTAATGTATTTTTGAGATGAGTGGGGATTTTAATTTTGAGGTAGTATTCATCACGGGCTGACATCGGTTGTAGAACCGTTTAAAAGCTGGGAGCACTGTGCAGCTGTTTCGTTCTAATATGGCCCTCCTTGGCAGTACGCCCCCACTACCTCGCCAGGGATCTGACTGAACACCAGATTTCATGATGAACGCCTCAACCATTCAACCAGTTAGTATTCCACTTACGCTAATTTGTCACTCCAACAAACCATTTGTTGTCAGTTGTAGGCAGTTGATGTGAACAAACATGCTACTCTGTTACCGAAAATTTTCAATCTCCTTATTCCTCTAAAGTCTTATAATAAACTAAATCGCATATTATTTCTAACTGGATATTTAGTTAATAAGACTTGCAAGACTTTTGCCTTTTCGAATAATATTTTATGACCTGAATATAAGGTATGAGCCTCGATGGCAGAATTTTTTTCAAGTTTTTCTAAATCATATTCATTTTTTGGTGGTTTCTTGTAACCTCGACCGTATTCGGTTAGACGTGTTAGTACTTAATGTGATGTCTCTCATATGTATGTGGCATCGCATTCACTACAGTCTACCTTATGAACACGGTTCTGTTGTTCCAAATGAGGAATCGGATCTTTTAATTCACACATCTGTGAGTGTAATGTGTTCGTCACCTTTAAGAATACTCTGATGTTGCAACTATTAAGGATACATCGTATTTCCTCTGATGTGGATGTTCGATAAGGAAGTACTATAGTACTTATCCAATTTTTATGGCTTGGTTTTTACGTGTCTTTTCCTGATAAACTTTCTTCTATCCTTTTTAGTAAATTTTTCAGATAGTTTTTAAGACTTCTGGAACAAATTGCCTATCTCCTTGTTGAGATTCCACTTTATTAGGTATCCTTTTTGATCTCATCAACATATTTTTGGCAACGTTTTGCTTAGTTTCCAATGGGTGAGTTGAATCGAAGTCAAGATACTTGTTAGAATGTGTATCTTTTCGACAGACATCAATGTGAAGTGTCCCGTTGTTGTTTCGCATGGCCCTGCAGTCTAGGAAATCTAGCCTTCTGAATTCTGTTTCTAGTTCATAAGTGAACTTGATGGAATTAAAACAGCTGTAAAGATATTCGAAAAGATTTTCTAGATTTTGTCTTTTGGTCCTGATTAAGGTGTCATCAACATACCTATATTCTTGGTTTTCAATCATGTTAGTTAACTAGGTTCGATTCTGTTTTGTACATGTATAGATTAGCTACAATAGGTGAGACGGATGAAACCTACTGCTTACCCACTAGCTTGACAATAAAGATTTCCTCGAAAAGTAAGAAAAAGTTGAGGTCAAACAGTCTCAATGCATCACAGATTTCACTGATGGAAATATTGCATCTAATAGACAAGGAAGTATCTGATTCTAGCAAAGATCTAACATCGTGTATGCTTTCATCAACCGGAATATAGGTATGCAGATGACAAACGTTGAAGCTAATCATTGTTTCATCATCTTCAATAGTTGTTTGTAATAATTTATGTTTCAAGTCTGATGAATTTTTAATGACACTTACCAAGTTGTTTTCTAATGGTTTAAGGATTTTCGTGGGGTATTTGGTAAAATTATATGTTGGGAAGTTAATAAAATCCGCAATTGTACTAATCGGAAAGTTGGATTTGTGAATTTTGGGAAGACTATAAAAGTGTGAAGCGACATAACTTTGCAAAATCGAACCACAAGACATTGCCTAGTTTCGATTTCAGATTATATAGTGATTTGTTAATCTGTAGTTCTATTTTCCTAAGTGTAGGCTTATGCTTCTTATTCTCTATCATTTCATTTAATCCACTGGATAAGTGCTCTATGACTTTTTGTTCACAGTCTAATGTGTTTATGACAACAGTAATGTTTCCTTCGTCAGCTTTCATAATGTATGTATACTTATCATTTTTTTTAAAGCGCGAAGTGCATCTTCCTCTTTCTTCGATATGTTCATATTTGACAGTTTTTGATTAATTAGAACATCTGAGACTTTATACCTCACTTCTTCTTCGATATTTTGCTAGATTAGTTTCAGTGCTGGTTCTAAAGATGGTGCAAATTCGACTATGATCATTGGTGGGTGATTCAAATTCAATTTTCATTTATTTTTCATGTATAGTCCAATATCTTCATTGTATTTTCTTTTTTCTATTCTGTTCAGTCACTTGGCCAAATACGCTTTGTTCTGAATAACATGTTTAATGAAATTCATTCAGAGTCAGTGAATTATCAACTCGAAACATTATTCAGCATATTTCTCACATCTCAATGTAAAACTGTACAGTCTGAAAAGAATAAACATTGTGCATCTTGTGTAAGAAGTGGCCTACCGATTAGTCTACGAATAATTGCATCAGCTAAAACTTGTAATATATTGGAATGGATCATTCAAAGTAATAATAATCCCGAGGTAATTTTTATTTTTGTTACTATTGTTATTGTTCACTCTTAGTGATCATATAATGTTTTAGTGTTTTCACACTTATATACTTGCAAGGAGTGATGTGATGGTGGAGATTATCTGATATACATGTGATGTATTAGCGACATACTTAGAAATGAGATGTAGTTGCATAATACATTTAGAATAACCTGATAAAGCAGTTACTTATTTTCTTATTGCGTCATCCAATTACATCAAAGAGAAATAACGGCTTGGAATGCATAAACTCGTGAAATTACTGATATGAAAATTCACGAAAGAGGAAAAGCAGAGCCAAAACAAACTTTGAATCGAACTACACTACTATCAAAGTATATTCAAAGTAGGCAGAAATGATTTTGGTGTAAGCATAAATGGGGGACTTAAATTAACTGACGGCTAGAGCTTAGATAAATGTAAGCACTTGTCTCTGACGATCTTTATACTTCTCATTGCTCTGGGTAAATTTATCAAGAGGACTAAATGCTCTAAACTTATTCACTTACCATTGGCGTAGTAATTTTGAAGTATTCAATGCTTTTTTTTACTTCAGAAAGTTACATTGGAATATCGTATTCTATCTTTCCAAATCCTTCAAAGTTCATGAAAACATTTTTTGAGAAATATTTGAGTTACTAACAAATTAATCAGTAGTTCATTTATTACCACTATTGTTGACATAATTATCGTTGTCATACTGCATCGAACTGATGGACTTCTGTTGGCATATGGACTCCTATGTGGATATCTCGATATTACCTGAATAGTTATCACCATAGTTTATTTGGTTGTGATTAGCAGAGGAATGCAACACGCGTTTCGTCCTACTTAGGACTCGTCGGCTGGATATACCTGCACTCTGAATAGGACAAAACACGCGTCCTGGATTCCTCTGAAAACCACAACCATATAAATCATTTATTACGGTTACATATTATTTTCATCTATTACAGAACATAATAAAACATCACGTCTTGGTAGACTATCGTTCACGTTTGACATCACTGGAGAATAACTTAAAGTCCAATCGACTTCTCAGTTTACTTGACCAACTTGTCGCGTGCGTAAGTAAGAAACGTGAACAAAATGCAGAATATAATCTTGCTGGGAAGATGACGCATAGCAATATCGAGTCAATTTTAAAGGTGAGGAAAATTTGTTGGCCTAAAAATGAAATTTTAATATTCTTGATTCGCTAATTTGTTTCGAAGGGTCTAAACAGTTGGAATTTGTATTGATATCTTGCTGAAAGATAATGAATACTACACAGCAAAGTTCGCTTTAAGTTAACAAACCGTTGTATCATCTGGTTTTTCTGAGGGTCAAATGTAATCCTTTGAAATGTTCCCGTGTCAGAACACTCTAAAATACATGCTAAAAACTTTAGTTTTTATATATATATTTTGTTCCATTTCTGACACAAGTGCAGTGGATGCTACTGATAAGAATGTATATAAGTAGCATATTTTGAGAGGTCGGAAGAAGTCATAGGCAATTATGAGCGATGGACATTCTGCCCAGAGAAACATGAAAGATGACGTAATTAAGTGTACAAATTTTCACCATAAACAATCCTTCTACGATTCACCCTTCACCCTTTTCCTTCCTAAGTACAACCTATTCCAGATGAACCAATGTACTTAATACTGAGAAAATTCAGCTGTTTTGCGATATATACAGAAATATGCGTGAAGATAAGTATCGCAGATGTCAAGTATAGTGTGGATATGAATAATTCCTAGTCGAAAATTTCAAAAGCTGCTTTGCATAACAACCTTCAAGCAGATGTCCATTGAACTCCATGGTCACTTATCTATATCAGACAAGCCATCTTTACTGTAAGAAGAAATTACCTTGCATGATGTAAGCAAGTAGGAAGTTCCAACCATTCTCATAACTATAAGCATCTGTACTACTGTTTTTCCTCTTGTTCTGATGTAGAGCCTTGTTATTTGAACCTCCACACAATCATGACAAGTTCTACTTTACATTTATGTCTGTTTTCAAAACGTTAAAAAGTATCATAACATTATTCTTCATTGATAGACAGAAAATAGAGCACATCATCTTCAAAATAATAGTCTGCTTCTTTTTGAAAATGCGAATCTCTGTTTCATTTGTCAACTGTGTCAACATATATTGTTCACCGTTTTACCCTGACTTCAAAGTAATCAGATCATTGTATTACATTATTTCAGTGGTATAACGAAACTGTCAACCCAAAAATCACTTCATAATGAAATTCAGTAGCTGTGGGTCTTAGTCGAAATAACACGAAATCAGTTTCACATACACTTATGTTCTATTTGGTTCCAAATACTACAAATAATCTTTATAATTCGTTTCACCGTGTTCCCCATCTCATGTCATTTCTAGATATCTCGCTTCAATATTGTTTTACATATTAGTATGATTACTTGTAATGTCCTGTCTTTGATTTGCTCGAACAGAATCGATTAGCAATTGTTTACGACTCCATTGGTCTTCAACGGTACTGCGACTAACTATAGAGAGTGAAGTGGTTGAGTGCGTTGAACAGTTCACTTATCTGAGAAGTTGGATCAACCCTAGTGAGTTGGTCAGTGGCCGACGAAATCTCTGCACAGATACAAAAGGCTCGGTTGGCTTTTGACAACCTACACCATCTTTGGTGCCACCGTGGTGTCCGATTGTCTACTAAGAGTCGAGTGTACTATGCTGCAATTTGCTCTGTTCTACTGTCTGATTGTGAAGCATGGCCATTAAAGGTGGAAGACACGAGAAGGCTTCAGGTGTTTCATCACCATTGCCTTCCTAGCATAGGTCACGTTTTGTGATGTCACCACGTGAGTAACGCAGAAGTCAGGCGTAGACGTTTAGGGATTAGAGGTAAGACATTTGATGGGCTTGTGAACCTTCATCGACTGAGATGGCTGGGACATGCGTTACGTATGCCTAGCCACCGTCTGCCTCTCAGCCCAATGTCGGCTGAAGTAGGTTCAGGCTGAAAAAAAGCTTGAAGCAGCTAGATTAAAACATAGCATTAATGTATGAAGTCCTTGACTGATGGTTTGAGGCATGTGGAGCTATGCAGACTAGCTGGTTGTGGCCCCGGAGACAAGAGAAACCAGTGGTTGGAGACTGACTCTAGGTGATATGGTTCAGAAGCGATGTCAGTGGCGCAGATGCGTACACATATTATCCTCATCTTAACCGCTATACCTAATCTCATCATCTCATTCTTCATTCCTCTCTCTTACTACTTTCTACTTCCACCTCTTTTGATCGGTTTTTCCTTCTTTCTTCACCTTCCATTTTATTGCCTTGTTACTTGATGTTTATCTTAATGATGATGATTCTTTACGATTCAGGCTTCATGGGCTGTCTCTATATTGCCGGTAATTTCACTTCGATAAGATATGCATTTCATATTGTTTAAAACTCTTTAGTTTGACATACTGACCTCCTTTTGAGTGTTTTCTAGTAGTTCAATCTGTGTTATGCAAAGTAATGAGTGGTTTATTTTAGTATTAGGAAAAACAAGGAAGTCAAGAGATGAAGTATGCTACTCACGTTGTTTAGTAGTAGTAGTATATGTCACTAGTTCACGACATTTTTGTTCCAACAATCACACCTTGTAATCTCGATTAACGGATGGTCTACAACGGAAACCCTGTTGACACAACAAATGGGTGGTAGTTGAAAAACTGCTCACCTGTAAGATATATCCAAGTGAACCATACAATTTGTAAATCATTTGCAAATTGATCATTTTAACTTAAAGAGACGGCAGCATCTAGCTGATAAGTCTAAAGTAAGATGAACTGCACATCCTGGATTCTGTTGCAAGCCATTATCGACTTTTATTCCTTTTCCTCTTCATTGATTACTTACTGGTTGGCAGTCACTTAATGATTTTCTAGTTTTTCCATGCAATTATATAACCCACTAGCTCTTTAACAATCCCTTCTTGTACACTCCTCTTTGTTTGTTGTCCCCCGCCTTTTCCACAGCTCCAAAATTTTCTATCTCATCAGATATAAATTGCTATTGATTTTAACTAAAGTTTGTGATTACTAATCTTGTGTTTCTTTGACTCACTCGCTGCCTTATTAATAACACTGGGTTTCAAATCTTTATTTGTTTTTACGTATTCAGAGTGTTTTATGCCATCATTACTATGAAGACTTCATTTAAATTGTTGGCTGTTTGCAGTTGATGAAAGGGTGTTAATTAAAATGATCTCATTTTATTCTCCAAATGGCTTTCTTCTTGCTTTGTTCAAATAATCCTTTTCAGATTTCCTTCACTTTTTTGCTTTGATATATCATTACTTGGTGGAATGCACTATTGTACAGGATTTCATGGTTTTGCATTATTATTATTATTATTATTATTATTATTATTATTATTATTATTATTATTATTATTATTTCATTACAGCAACCTAACGAAATTAGTTGGTTATTGAATTCAGCAAAAGATCTATTAAATAATCGTGATTTGTCGGCCACATTGAACGGTATTCGACTTATTCATGCATTGTTAGAGTGTACTACTATTAAAGAGAAGAAAATTTCAACTATTCTTAATTCAGTTTGTCTTCGATGTTCACCACGAATGCTTTATTATGCCTTAGTACGGGGTTCTTCATCTGCATCTACATCATCGTCTACTTGTATTCCTTCAACACCTGATATTACTAGTCTGCTGCCTAAATCTGGTCCAAAAACATCACGTATCACTCCTTGTGTCAATGTTCTATTCCGAGTTGCGTAAGTTTATTTCGTTAATAATTTAGTGGATAATTAATTTCTCATGGATAGTGTCACTAGGTGAGTTTGATGTTGGAACTCAGATGACTAAAATATAATTGCTAGATAAGGTTATATAGTACGTTAGTTAAATAAAGATAATCGACAGGAGGCCCTAGGCGTAAGTTTCGTGCTTGGTGGCACTCGTCAGCAAGGTATATCTTCAACCTCTACGAAACTCATGTCACGTCTAAGATTCGAACACGTGTCACCCAGTGCTGCAGTCAGAGGCGTTACCACTGAGCTATAAGAGCCGCGACTGACAGCTTGTAGACCAGACCAGACACATTGATTGATCACCAGCGGGTAATCAACTTCATGTTGTCTAGTCCTAAGTGCTGATCGAATTCTATCCATCTCCTTTTTGTAGTATGCTAAACCGCAATTACTTTTGTAGTGGGTCATTGTTATTTTTTTCTGAGAGAACTGTGCAGTCAAATCTACTCGTAATCTAGTTGTTTAGGCCTTAACTGCAAACATACTGAATACGTTATTTTTTACTCCACTAGTTTACACTAATTTTTTTTAACTAATTAGTTACTACAGATGTATGCTTATTTAATCTTCAGCACCAAGAAGTCTGCATTTTCGTACACGGTTTAGACCAACAATCAAAGACTTCATGGACTGCTACCATGTTTTACTATGGTCGCCTCTAACTTTTTTCCCCCACACCTAATTCAGCCAACATTGTACGACTTAGCAGATGGTGACTAGGCGTATGTGACACATGTCCGAGCGGGTCGATGAAGGTTCATAACCTCATCGTTTGACTTTCCTCTCCTCCCTAAAACTTTACACCTGGCTTCTACATTACTGACGTGGTGATACCCACGACACACGGCCTAAGCTACAAAGGAGACGATGGTCGAACACCTGAAGCCTTCTCATGTCCTTTATTTTTAGTGACCATGTTTTACAGAGTGAACTGCACCTCACCCTTAATAAACAATCGGATATAACGATGGTACCATGAATGGCTTATGTTGACGAAAACCAATTTATTTCGAAGATTTCATCGGTTACTGATCCATCAGGGGCCGGTCTGACTTCCCAAGTAAGTGAATTAGTCAACACGCTCAACCATTTCACTTTCTGTTATTAGACGTCACACCACTGACAAGCAGTCCTACATTTCACTACAACTGTCACAAAATGTTGTCAATGCCTTCAATATCAAATTACATGATCATCATTATAAAGCTAACTCGATAGTGCATACTATCAACCTTAGTTTATCTTTATTACAGCGAGATATACTTACCTTAACTTATAAGATAAGCAGATTTTTTTCAGTAGTTAACCGTGACATTTTCACATTGGTTTTTTTTCTAACAAATATTTAATTTAGTCAAAAACTCCTCTTCAAAAATATACAAGATATTGTAACAAATCCTATTGAATTATTCAAAGAAACTTCAGGTAAGTTCTTTAATTTGATTTAATTGTGATAAATATGTCTAATTTTAAACATATATAAATGATCCTTTAGAAATGGAAAACAGCTGTTTTTCGATACATATTTAAAATAAGCAATGAGTGTGAAAGGAACAGGATTTAATGAACTCACAAATTTCAGTAGTACTCGTCAACTGGATATTCTACATACTTGATTATATATACCGTTAAACAATACAAAAGAACATTCATACATACACATATATAACGTAGACTGAGACATAAGTTTAGGTGTGACAGCATAGAAATGAACAGTTTTTACAAGTCATGTGATAATGCAAAGGGTAGAAGTGGATATTCAGAATTGAATGAGTTGGAGATAGATTACATGGTTAACTATGAGTTTGGACGATATTGGATTTCAGGTAGGAAAATAATGATGATGATAATAGTAATAATAATTATGATACTTTGCTCTGTTGTGGCTAGCAGAAGAATCCAGGAGGCGCGTTTCGTCCTACTTGAGACTCGTCAGCTGGGTGTACTTACACCTCAGTGAGTGTTGTTCCCACTAAGACTCGGACCTCGTACCAATCGCTCCAAACGTCAAGGCGTTATCCACTATACCATGGAGGCAACGATAGCCGCTTCTTGTACAGCGGGTATCAGTTATTACTATTTATTGATATACTTGTAGTTCTCTGTCGTTATACTTGACCTAATTGTTCTACCTCTATTGACACATGGGGTCCTATGCGAGTGTCTCGATATTGCCTGAATGTTAATTATGATAGTTTGGTTGGTTGTGGCTAGCAGAAGAATCCAGGAGGCGCGTTTTTTCCCATTTGGGACTCATCAGCTGGATATACTTTCGAAGCCCATGTGCCCATGACAATTCGATCAAATAAAGCAACGGAGAATTACAAATATATCAACAAATAATGATGATAATAATGTTGATACAGATGTGAGAACTGACTTGATTGAGCGTCGATTATGTCATTCAAAACAAGATAGTTAATAATACTTATGCAGACAATAAGAAAACCAGGTGTATATTGAGATTAATGGTAGTGATAACAATGATAATAGGAATAAGGTTAATTAGGCGAAGCAAATCAAGGAAGGAAAGCAAAAGATAAGATGGGTGACAATTAAGAGTGAAGCACAAGTAAGAAAGATTGAATATGACTGGACGACGTTGTGATTCCTATCATGGCAGATTCAAACTGACTACCATTCCCCTCTGAATGCATAGGTTTGGTTTGATAACTCGTATTGAGCAGCTTCTACAATTCCAAGCAGTCTCTTATTTTGCTGTCTACTCATAACCGTGAAAAACTTACAGGTATCAATGTCATGTCCATAATCCATTAGGTGTTTCGTTATCGAGCTCCTCGGTTCTCACTCCTGTGTAAACATTATTATTATCACTATCCTCATCATTATTTTCCTACCTGAAATCCAATATCGTCCAAACTCATAGTTAACCATGTAACCTATCTCCAACTCATTCAGTTCTGAATATCCACTTCTACCCTTTGCATTATCACTTGACTTGTAAGAACTGTTCATTTCTATGCTGTCACACCTAAACTTATGTCTCAGTCTACGTTATATATGTGTATGTATGAATGTTCTTTTGTATTGTTTAACGGTATATATAATCAAGTATGTAGAATATCCAGTTGACGAGTACTATTGATAATTTATGAATTCATTAAATCCTGTTTTTTCCACATTCATACTAGGTGATGATTGAAGGTGAAATGAAAGTGTAGACCTTGACCGGACTCGAACCAGTGACCACCAGGTTCCTTGCCCAATGTTCTACCAACTGAGCTACGACGACCGACTGTTGGCCAGATTTTTACTTCACTTCAATTACCATGGATTTTGCCCGTCTACTATGTGAATTCGCGACGCGTTACTACCGCTTGATCGTATTCACACTGGCTGCCTAGTCAGGACTTCTCATCCCCAATCTAAATCTAATTGTGTTACATTCGTTGCTTGTCTTCAATATACATAAGCCATTTATTTAATATCCATTGTATTTCATTAACTGCATGCAGGTCTCAAGGTGTAGTCCATACTTCATGAAATGTCTGACATAAGTACTTTACTCCTCTGACAAAAGTAGGTAATGTACCTCTTAGATTGACTTCAGTTGGAGAAACACTGTAACACCGGGCAGCTGCTTTGTTCTGGTATCCGACTACACCTCATTGGGCGCACCATTAGACCTCTTAGCGAACACGTTACCATTTAATCACTGGGTTGGAGTTCAATGGTCCGCATTTTTCCACTTTTTTTCAATCTGTGATATAGAGTGACTATCACCCAAAACGAGTATTTTTTTGCTCCTTCGATGTGGTCGACTTCCCTTAGGAAATTCGTGGAGTTCGAGTCTTCCATGAGACCATTTTTAAGAGTTGAGCATCTAAACCACTGGAAATGATTCCTTTTTGCACCCCCTTATCGTTTCTGGTTCATCTTTGTTAAAACTTGACTATAAGTGCAACGTGCTGAAGTTTTCTGCACTAGGTTACGAACCATGTCTATCATATCACAGCTTTATGATGCTGTCTGTTTCACCAGGTCAAATTAGTTAAAGTAGGCTCCAATCTGCGACCCAGTGCTTTGTGATTGAACCCATGAACCAATGAGTTACAAACTTGACTATTAACAGAAATGTAATCGCATCTTCTCTTCACAATATACACTAAGAAGTCTATACGTAAAATTCAAGTAAAGCATAGGTTCGACTCCTGCCAGTTTCCACTCCTCTATGAGAAAGCTATGTAATTTAGAATCATCTATCCTATTCCTAATTCTTCTCATTAACAGAAAATTTCAGCTGTATCAAATCCCTTCAAATCTACAAGTCAAGAAAAAATTTAAGGTTTTGATGGTCGTCTGTCAATACCTAGAAAACAATAACTACAATAACACTTATGGGGCATTGTCAAAAAAATGTTTTGACAAGATGACTAGCCTGTATTAGCTTTCTCTGTCCTGGGAAAATATCCATTTCTTATGATCGAACAATTTTTCATCTTAAGCTGTAACATTTCTTGTAGATATACTGAGTGAAGTTAGTGCCCACAGGATAGTATCTGCAGCTTAGCAGGGCATTCTTAATTGTGTTCCATTCCTTCAGCTAGACAGTTTAGTTGTGAAGCGCTCATGTTTTTTTTGGGGGGGAATAATATCAGTACTAACTTCAGTATATGAAGTGAACGACAGAATAATACAAAATACGAGAACGCTACTAACGCAATGAGATTATGAATAATCATTGGTTGGTCTCACGATCCTTCCTAGTCCTTACAGATCCATTCAGTCGAACAACACATAGATGACTATTTACTAGAATCCTGTTGAGAAGCGCACTTTATGCTCTACAACTCAATGTTATGCCTTCACCAGCGAGTCCACGAGACCTAGCCATTTGGTTATCCAGATGCTGTTTAAGTGAATTTTGAAAATTCAATACTATGACTAAGTGAGGTCATTTTAATAACCTCACTCGAGTCCTGTATACGTGTCTCGGAGATACAGCGCACACCCATGTCTAGAGATTCCAGAGTTTTCGCAAGCGATGCTTGCTGTCCGATTTGGTGTAGAGTTTGAACGTTGAAAGCTCCTACATAAAACCGATTACGGGCGGGGTCGTAGGAGACTAGGAATGAGGTTTCGATGACTTTGATTGTTGGCAATGTTTAAAGAGCGAGAGTTTTGGTAAGGCATAAGAGCTTTAATATTAGTATCAGAAGGCGGAGGCAAGGGAGGAGATGACTTAAGTTGGTAAATGCATAACGGTCCTTCTGTGTCCCATCTGAGATTTCATCAGTAACCAGCCCGTTCTGACTGATACAACTCCCCAAGTAAGTGAAATGGTTGGCGCTCCCCACCATTTTGTTTCGTATCCTTAAACTAGCTGTAATTTCGGACCGATTATGAAACATTATCTTGCATTTGACTTACACGAAACGCACACCAGATGGTAACCAGTACAGATTTTTCGACCGCTAACTTAATTGAATTTTGATCATAAAGTTTACTAGACTAAGCTATGCAATAACACAGTACAGTGCACTCTGCTGAAGTTAAACCTCTAGAGCTAATCGACGGGGTGCGTCGTATAGTCTGCGTTTCCTACCTGTTGACACTCGTCACAAAGGATATTTTCAACCCCGGAGAAATTCATACAGATTCGAAGCTTCAAGACCACATGTGTCTCCACAATGTTACAGATATACCTTGCTTATCGCATAATCCATGCCCAGAAATTCTTTTGAAGAATTCTAGGTATCAAACACAAATTATATATATATATATATATATATATATATATATATATATATATATATATAATCTTAATTTTCAGTCTAGTCCTACTAATCATTGTGTCCTTTCACATTTTTTCTTAGATTCAACATTGGTGGATTCTGTACAAGCCTATTTGACTGGTTTATCGTCTGCATTATTAGAATTTCTTCGAGTCCTACCACATTTACCGTCAGTCGATCTAGTACCAATTGAAAGAGAAACAGATGCATTAAGTTTTCTACTCGTTCTTATTGAGGTACGCAGATATTCACGATGTCCCATTATATTTGTCATTGTCTATCAATGAAAAAACTGAGTATCAGTCATTTATCTAATAATCCTTTCATTTCGGAGGTTTGTATGAATTTATTGACTTCATCATGGAATGACATTAGTTGGAGGAACATTGGAAACGTGAGAGCCCTGGACATCTGTCCCCTCCTGTTACTGGACTCCCCAGCAATGCGCACCCATGACCCCGCCTCGCTAGGAGTCGAACCCAGGACCTTCAGGTTCCATGGCCTGCACGTAGCTATTGAGTCACTGATCCATATTTCCTACTTCTGTCAGTTCACGTGCTGGCCGCCGAACTAGAGGGTGCTGGGTTCTATCCCTGGCGAGGGGACGGGTTCGTGGGTGAGCACTACTGAGGAGTCCCATACTAGGACGAAACAGCTATCCAGTGCTCCCAGGTTCCCAATATCCCTCCAACTAATATCAGTCTATAATAATCCTTTGTTAATTCAGGTGAATAAAAATATCGAAGCTTCATATCACAGTGGGTGGGATATTTTTCCTTTGTTGGAGGTTCTATTGTACACTTTGGTATATTTATGCCCTTTTCTATTTTTGGGAGATGCAGAGATGTCTATAACAATACTGAAGTCGTTCGGTGATCGACATAGTTCACAATCTACTACTGTGAATTTCTTTCCAAGAAATTCGGCATCAAAGTGAACAAGTGACTTCCCAACAATAAACCAAATGCTCGAGTTAGTCGTAAAACCTGAAACATAGGATTTGTTTGAAATACCGTGCAATATTGAGTAGTAAGATAGAAACCTCAAATCGTGAGGTATCTGCGGATTTATCGTTATCAAAGCACTTTACGGAGAGTATGTCAACAGCAAAGTAGGTAAGCTGTGTCCAAGCTTCCTGAAGGGAATATAAAGGTGGAGCGTAAGTTCTCACGATGAAGTAAAGACGCAAGATTATCAAACGTTCAAAGTAAAATAAAACATCAGGGAACAACGAAAAAAATTACAACCTCATCATGAACTATGAAAGATACTAATATCTACGGATGTTAAATGGTGAACGTTACACGATTCAACATAATGAACAGTCAAGGCTCTGCATGAGGTAACACTATAAAGAAATATGAATATACTACTCAATAATAACAAGTAGTATAAAACTGAAGTACGAAGAAAACATCCTATAGCATAAACGAGAACAAGAGAGCGAGGAGTTAAGAACTACGGTAATTCCATCTTATTTCTCATTGGCATGATTCTTTTTTCCCGGGTTTTTTTAAATAATCATCTCAGTTGACTCATCATTGTGTCAAGTTTTACTTTGTTCATTGACAGTTTTAAAATGCTGAATAGAAGCCTAATAAAAATGTTTGTCTAAATGTGACTTATAAAGCACATACAGAAGACTATTTAGCAAAAATAATAAGCTGTATTCATACTGCATTGTTCCTTCATGGTGGCTAGCAAGAAGTCCTATCCAATAGTCGACCACTCAGGCAAACAAAATCAACTTAGAACCTCGCATACAGGCCCATAGGTTCAAGTTGCCATACTTTACAGTATCATCTAAGGAACAAATGGATAGAAAAAGACTGATATCGAAATTGACAAAGTTGTGTAAGAGAACGAACAATTTGAAGATAACAATTAATGCGAATATTCAAGCTTTAGAAGACGTCATAGTGACCGGTTTTCAGCCGTATCGTTAAGGGTCCTCAACCAACTATCATCTCGCCGACTCCAGCCTAGTAGTCTACATCTTTTTACACGCCTCAAATCCAACATACAAAGTCTTCATGGATTGGTGACACGACTTTGTCTGGACACCTTGAACCCTCTTCTCGATAATTGGACAGAGGGAAAAGTATAGTATGGAGATGAACCAATCAAAATGTATTTTATGTCAATCATGTCTACAGTTAGACAGATCGACTATCGGTCAGTCATTCGATATCATTCTTTTGAACGACAAACTATGTATATATTTAGATGTATTTGTTTGTTGGATGGAGCCAAGTGGCAGAAAGCCCTAGACCTAGGTTTCTTGCTTTTTGGCTGTCGTCACCAAGGTGTATCTGCAACATCGAGTGTAATGATGTCCCGCCCGACATTCGAACCCGCATCACTCAGTGCTACAGTCAAAAGCATTGTCACCGAGCTGTTCGAGCCGTAACCGACCTCCTGTAGAACTGGATTGGGCCCGTTGACTGGTCACTTGAGAGTAATCAACATTTTGTCTAGTCCTTAGTGCTGATCGAATTCTATCGATCGAATATGTTCTGCTGTTTATTGTCTCTCCTCTTCGGCTTAAATGCGCGTTCATTGTGTCTTCACTAATTAGTCGAGTCGGGAACCAACTAGGAAAGTGTTGGACGTTGGTGGCTGACAATTGATATATGTATATCGTTAGCGGCATATAGCAGTTTTCAAATCATAATGCATTTCAACCTTATCCATATTCGCCTAGCACAGCACGGGGAGTTAGGCGGTGGCTGGGCACGTGCATGATATCTCTAAGCTATCTCAGTCGACTGAGGTTGACAACCTCACTAATTGACCTGCCTATCTTGCCTAGCACCTTTCGCGTGACCTCAACACTGCTCACACGATGACTGCATCAAACGTGAGCAATTCTGCGAAGACATCTATGATCAAAACCCTGCAATCGCTTCATATCTTCTGCTTTTAATAACCATGTCTCGTACCCTTATAACAGGACAGAATGGACTGCAGCTCAGTATACTCGTCCTTCCAATAGGTAGTTGGATATCTTTGCGCACAATCTAGTCCACCAGAAAAGTTGTGTTAACTTAGTTAACTCTTGGAGAACACTTTGCATACGCTTATGAACAACTGTAAAATTATGACGTACACCAGATAACTCATGTGCAGTCTTCATCATTCCTATGTTTTTATAAATCCAACGTTACTGATATCTGCACATTGAAATACATGAAAACCAACTTTAAATTACTATAGAGGGTAGTCATTCACAAGCGATAGTAAATAATATTAACTACACAGTTTTCACTTCACAGTTCGTTGGAAATATATTGACTGCCCTGGGTTTCTTGTCGTTCCCATCAATTCCGTAGTGCGTTGATATTCGTCACCTAACCTTTTCTCAATCTCAGTTCAGCTTGACTTTGATCAACGTTTTCGCTATCTTTTTTCTATGATTATTTTAGTTCTTCTTCTTCTCAATGGGTTATCCATATACTCAAGTAACCAGTGTTTGTTCAGGTTGTGGTGGTGGTACTGTTGCTGGCAGCGATTCAATAACCCAACCACAGACTATAGACAAAGATACTAATTATATACCTAAAAGACACTTCATGATATCTGTAACTCTGATACAAAATACTCTTCGATTATTGAATTATGTTTTACAAACAGCATCAAATCGTTCTGCTAAAGGAGTTGATTTATTCGGTGGAGATGGAAAGAAAATTCTGTCAATTTTCCTTGTTTTTGTTTGGATGATCGATAAGTCAGGTAAATAGATTTCTTAGGTCAATAAAGTAAATGTGACCTTGAATATGTTGTACTTTAAGTTCCATGCAGGTTGAATTAATGATACCTAGTTTGGTAGTTGTTGTCATTTGAGAATCATAACACTCAGAACAAATAATGTCATCCAAGTAGGTTATCTTATCTGTATTTGGTTGAAATACAGCTAAGGCATGTACATGTTTATGTGTTCAGTATGTTTTCTTTGAGCCGGGGGATTTCTTCGTTAAACGTTTCGTTGTCATGTTAAACGTCATCAACGTATCATATCTTCACAGGGGAATAAAGTAATTGGTTATACATAGACATTTATAACTTACTACTTTGCCTGAGTGTAATCTGATTGGTCGTTTAGTGAATGTGTGTGCGTACACTGAACCTAATTTTTCCCAGAGGTGCATGGAGCTGCGTGATTAGCTGATCTCCTTTATTTGCTTGTGGCACGTTAATGTCCCTTTGTTGTTATTGGTTCAGCCCCTTTGTTCGAATGAACTGATGAAGGTTACTCTGCTCTGATTGGCTGATTTTTTGTGTAACTGAGTTGATAAAGATTGTCTTGACCTGATTGGTTAAACTCGTACATACTGATGAGAATGCTCCACGTTGATTGGTTAATTTGCTTCAACGAGAGGTGTCGTTTGCTGCTTCTGCTTGGTTAGATTTTACTAGAGAGGAGTTATTCATTTGGCAGTGATTGGTCGAATACTGGAGTTTGGTTAGTTGCACATGAATTATCTTGTTCTGATTGACTGATGATCCCTTTTCTGTTTGAGTCTGGGGTTTCCTTGCCTCTGAATCCGTTTATTCGTGTGATTCATTTATCTCGAATCGGCCGGTATATTGCATCCGCATTCCTGCACACCATTCTCACAGAACTAGATGCTGAGATTCAACTTGTTAGGTTCAGCATAGGCCCATGCACTCACCTAACGACCAAGCAGACTACGCTCAGGCAAAGTTTCACGTTATAAATGCTCATGCACGATCAATTACTTTACTTTCTCATGAAGCTATGATGCACTGATGATAATATCTAGCATGACACTGAAACGTTTGCCAGCTAAAACCCTAACTCAGAAAACAACTCACTCTGAATATTCCACACCTCGAGGTACAAACATTCGCCACACGTTTACGTATTGAACCATGAGTCACACTTATTCTGTGAGAGCTTATGATACTAACCACTTTCTAAGCCTAAACAGGTGGAGCAGAGTTTGAATTCACGATATGTTACTTGAAATTTCTATACTTAAGCCAGCTAGTCACATCTCTGAGTACAGTCAAAGTAGCTATCGAAGTGCTATACTTTACCACTTTCATATTACAATTATTTGTTTTCGAAAAAAATTAAAGGTCCTTCCTTAAATACTGAGATGTGCATATTTTATTAATAGGTTTCACTTCAAGGAATACTCTTGTTTTTTAAAGGTTAGCGAATCTGCATTCATACTGAATTTTTACTGAAGGAAACTAGGTTGAGTTCATTTTTCAGGAAGCGTTAGCTTGAAATCGTATAAAGTAATAGTTCAACTGCTTATCACTTGTGGAGAACCCTAATACTCAACATTGTATGCACCCTCATCATATTTTAATACAATTTCTCTGTCACTTAGGTTGTTAACACTTCAGATACCTATTTAGAGTCTCGTAAATCAGCATACATTGTTTATATTTTTTATTCAAATCTTGCGCTTCACACTTAGTCCAGTCGACTAAAACATTTGGTTTTATTTATTACAAATATGATAGTTAAGAGAATGGAAGTGTTGAGAAAGATAGAAAAGGCGATGAGAAGATGCAAGACGCCAGAAAGTTACATATTCTTCTGAAATGCGGTGCTTCATGTCACCAACAACGATAAGAACGAAGAAGTGAAAATATTTATTGATTATCATTTTGACTTTCTAAGGTAGCCGTAGTTTGGCATTCTAGTAATCATGCTGGGTGATGAATGAAGGTGAGATGAAAATTTGAACCACGGTCGGATTCGAACCAGCCGCCGCCGCGTTTTCGGCCTAATGCCCTACCAACTGAGCTACGAGGTCCGACTGCTCAGTTGGTATAACGTCGGGCGTGGAACCCGGTGGTCGCTGGTTCCAATCCGACCGCGGTCCAAATTTTCATTTCACCTTCAATTAGCAGCCAGTAGAAAATACTTATGCCAGTAGTAAATATAAATTTAAATGGATGATTGGGAGAAATACGACAGTAGATGAAACTAAAAGACATTGAAGTATCTAGCTTGATCAAAGGTTCTGAACGTCAGTTTTAGGTAAGTGTACAACCCTTTATACAATTTTATCTAATAGTCAAGGAGCTTCATCGATTCCACTTTTAACTCATCTAAGAATTTACACGGTGGTAACCTAAGTTGGTGAAGTTTTAGTACCATCATCAACTGATGAGCCTCCTTTACTGTAAACTAAGCATCAATACTAGTCAACCGGTTTGCCGATCACTTAAATAATAATCAGATAAGGTACAACACACAAATTTTATGATCCCATTTTTATCTGCAGTGCAGAATAAGTTGCCCTGCTACATATGACATTGGATCTCTAATAGAGACATGCCTAAGGTGAATGTTGATGAAGAGTAGCACAAAAATACATAAAATCATCTCAATAATTTTTATTTTTCATCGTTTATTTATTCAACTGGTGTAAAGTTGTTATGAGAACTATCTACAAACTGGCTACCTATTGTGTAATTATTGAATTCATTAGAGGATGGTACATCTGTACAATATGAGTACTCCGTTAGGTTACTGGAGAATAACTAAGGCTGGTGTCATACCTATTTTTTGATGAGTTTCTAGAAACAAAATATATCAAGCAACAGTTCCAGCTATCCTGATTGGGGCAAATTGAACAAGAAATACCCATACCATATCACGCTTGTCTCTGAGCAAATATACAAACGTTTGCCTAGTGGAGAAATTAGATTTAACCGAGTTTTTTAATACATACCGCACAGCTTTTGCCTGCTGTTTTACTCATGACCTTGAAATAACCTACATGACTTCATACCGTCACCAGATTTTCTTCCCTCCGCTCTCAATGCTGAACTCTCATTGGTTGTTAACTATTCTTACCTATGTGTGGGTTTAGTGTTGTCAAGGTCATTCACAAATGTATATATTCAGTGTCGGTGTCAACTGTAATGGCTGTTGTTGAGATAGCAAAGAGCCCTGTGTTAACGGTCTGTTTTCTCCTGTCTTCTCACGTCATGGTATTGTTGTGATGGTGGTTAACGTTCTGATTTGCGTTAGAGTCGATTCACTGCGTGTTATGTTACTATCTTTCGTAGTCTGCTAGGCTTGTATCGCTGGTAGACTGTTAGATCGTACTACCGGCCATAGTACACACCTTAAGTATATATATATATATATATATATATATATATATATATATATATATATATATATGAGTTCATCTTTTTTTTATCAATTCCTGTCCTTTGCTATGCAGCGTGTCTTTCTGAGTACACCACTTTCTGGTCTAAATCAACAAATGAGCATATGATGCAAGCTGTACATAAAATACTAACTGATTGTACTCAACGGACAACAGCAGTAACATCGTTAACAGAACTGTCCACAACAATCCTATTGAATAATTTACTCATTCCTATCTATCCACCTACCATGGGTATATGGTGGCCTGATCCTCTCTGTGCATCAACCTTATCACAATTCTGTGCAACAAGTGTAGCATGTGCATCATTTGCTGCACTGAATTCTACATCCTCTTCGAATTCAACAACGACTCATCAAACTAGATCAGGTAATATAAATCTACAAGGAGGTTTAATTCAACCATGTCAACTAATTGGAAAGTGTAGATTGATACGTTCTAATTTAGACCTACCAACAGGATCGGATACAGTCAATCAATTGAATATTTGCACTTTAGGTAAGAGTCATGTATCATATAGTTGCATTGAGAGTTTATCAACTGATGTTATTGTCTTCAAATTGATTTTTTTCTTTTATTTAAACTGTTTAACCATCCACGTGCTCAAATACCTTTTCAGGATTGAAAGTGAGATTCAAATATAACTGGTGAAAAGCCAGAGAACATTTCGACTAAATATCACGATATCTGATAGTTGTTTTTACTAGTCAATTATCCTACTATTGATACTGCGATTTGATTGAAGGTGAAATGACAATCTAGTTCGTGGCAGGGTTTGAACTAACGAAACTCTGGTTACCAGCCTGGTGCTCTACCAGCTGATCTATGAGACCTAACTGCAGATCAGAACCTGTAAGTCGCTAGTTTCACCTTTAATCATCATCCAGTATCAATACTTGTCTGCCAAACCACAGCTATTTCAAATTGTCAAACTGACTATCAATATGATGCTCTCCCTATCCAAATCAGTTTAGTTTGCATTGAGATGAGAAATCCTGGCTGGGTAGCCAGTGTGAATACACAATGAATGGATAATTACACATCACAAGTTCACATGGCAGTCGAACAAAACCGTTGATTTAAGTGAAATTAAGATCGGATCTGCAGCTAAGTATCCTACAATTGACATAATTTTTATTTCTTTGTCTTGCATCTCATACATTCGACCGTGATATGTCGATATGATATTTGAAAACTTGAACTAGTAGGTAGTTATGCCAAGTTCTGTGTTATCTATGTGTAATGATTAGAATATTTATGACACTCAAGCAGAGTGATCTTACTGTGTCATGAGTTATTATCACTATTATTATTATTTGTCCCTTGGGTTCCTAATGGAACATTTGTAGGTGCGTAGCATTGTATGATTGTGACCTTCCTTCCTTTTTAGTTGAACCTTGCTGTCATGATCCTGATACTGGAGGAGATTAGTTACCACTGCATGAGAGTGAGCCTTCGATGCTCTTGGGGACATCATGATAGCCACTCCAAAACTCAGTGTGCTCCTGGTTGTCGTCTGAGTGACCGGAGTAGATTACTGATTCTCCAGTTGACAGTTTGGAGAGTCCACTCCCATTCCATCTGCTTTCTCAAATTCCTAGCACTTCAATATGATACCTTCCCACCTCGTTTGCAATCTGGACTGCCTTGCTAGGTTCAAACATGGTGCGGACATTCCATATCCCCACGTTTACTTTCGCTTTCATCGAGAGAGAGAAGACACATCTGCCAACTGGCTTCCTGAAGGCAGGCTTTCACCAACCGGTGTCATTTCGCCTCTCCGATTCCAGTGAGGAGGTTGGTAACTGTGAACCACTGAAAACCGACCCAGTGTCTGAGTGGTTGATGCGTTCACTGTACAATCTGAAAGTCTTGAGTTCAGTCTCTGGTGGGGTCGTGAGTGCACACTGCTGAGGAGTCCCATACTAGGAAGAAACAGCTATCCATTGCTTCCACGTTTTCAATGTTTCTCTAAATGATTTCAGTCTGTGATGAATACTACCTTTGAAGTATGTATCTCAGTCCCCTGAAACCTACTATTCGAGGTTATTTATTGCCATTAGATAATGAAAATAACAAAATATATATATTCATCAATGGCAAATGAGTCGATATTAGGTCATCAAAAAAGGGGAATAAAGTCACAAGGTCATCAAAATTTGCTTATAGGATTGTAGTAAATAAACCATCCTAGGGGAGACTACGACAAAGGTGAAATTAGAAATTGAGTAGATCTCTTTTAAACACTAAGAGCTGGCTTGTAATGCGGTATTACCAGAGCTGCTGCTGTTCTGAAATGGAGAATATGCACTCCCTTCGAAATGTTTGCCTCCACTTTACTAATGACTTTGAAAGAAGACTTTCGTGGAGCACAGTGACCAGATGTAACCAAATGCTCAAGAATCGAGCTGTTGACGACTTTACACTGTCCTTTAGACATCCATACATTTGGATAGAACACTCTTTATTTGGCCTACTTAACCAGCTCTACAGTAGCAGGTGAATTGGTAAACACACATGGAGGTGGCCGGAAGCGGTTGTTTATCTTTTACACACCCTCGAATCAGTTGTTAACTGGAGAAAATAATTAGAGGCTGAGCAAGAAAAAAGGTCTTCTCCAATGCTTTGTACAGTTGGTTCTTCAGTATCTCTGCCAGTGTATCTCTCTTGAACCCAATATTCATGAAAAGTGTCATTTTTGGAACAGTGAGGGGTCTTCTTCTTTAAAATTCTTAAGCCTCATGTTCCTGTCAATGAATATCGAAGGATAACCATTCTCGACTAACACTCTTCGAAGTATTTCCAGCTCTTCATTTACCCCATCATCTGTATAATTTCTTCCAATTCGTTTGAATAATGAGTGGATTAGATTTCTTTTCTTGACTAGAGGAACCCAGCTTTGAAAATGATTACGTTGGCCATTCCAGCTTTATTTTCTATAAATCGATCTCCTTAGGAAACTATCATGTCTTCTTCTCAATAGAATGTCCAGGAAGTGGAACTCTGAGTTGACCTTATATTGACCCATTTATCATTGATGGTTATATATATTTTGTTGTAACTATGATTACGATTACGACTACCTAGACTTCACTCACATACTACAGACTCAGGGAAAACTACTTGTAATTTCCCGATCGAATTGCTCTATCTCTGTTGGTAGATGAATTCCTTTGCGGATGTCTTGATACTACTTGAATGAATATCCATTATGTTGTAGTTTATTTGGTGGTAGCCAACAGTGGGAATCCAAGATGTGTATTTCGTCTCATTTGGGACTAGTCATCTAGATGTACCTGCATTCCACTGAGACTCGAAACCAGTATCTATCCCTTCAACCATCAAAGCGTTATCCACTAGGCCACTGGGTTACAAGAGTCAACCTCTTTTGCAACGTGTATCAGTTATTGTTTATTGATACTTATGAACAGTACTTGATATTTTCATGTTCCGAATTCAGTTAACATTGGTGAATTCCTGCGAAACTCTAATTTCAACTGCAGATAACCTTCATTCCATTAGTAACACATTCAAAGGAAACTTTCACATGATAAGCTTTCGGCTATTATTCTACAATATGACTATATTTGAGAGGAAAGTAGATATCTGTTACAAACCAACAAAAGATGAAATCACTTGGTCTGTATTGAATGAGAACAGGAGGCAAAAGGCATTATAGCACCGCTTATCCCATTAATGTATTTCATTAGCACAAGTTTTCATCTCTGAAAAAACTAAACTGAGTTCAAATTCCGCTCTTGTTACTTCATCCTGGATGACTATACCGCATAAGAAGTGCTCACATAGTAAATGTGTCTCATGGCGTAGAACATAAACGTATAACAACAGGTTAATAAGTTCCAACGTTATTATTTTGTGGTTCATTCATCTTTTTTGGCATACTTTACCAAGTTTGTGTTTTACAATTATTAAAAATGAAGAGCGATACCTAAGTTACTTGAATGGAGATGGCATGAATAGTAAGAAATTTGGTCACTCTCTACCCAAAGTAACTACCTGGCCAGCGATTATCAAATAACTTTGTATCTAGGTAAGTGTTTGACAGCAGGAAATAGTGTATAGTTTTACTGGCCAGTCTTTCTAATTCTCTGAGGTCAATTCAATTAAGAGAAAAACCACTACTCGACCACATTATCAAAGCGGCTTAATCTATCAGCATTATAGCAGTAGTGTGTATATTCATGAAATAATTTTCATTAGTATCTTCAATGTTCTACCTTATTTGATTCCATTCATTTTATTCATAAATCTATAAAAATCTTTATCTGATTTTACGCTTTAAATTTTCAGGAATTTCTCGTCTTCTGCATACTTTGGATGTGTCAAGTTCACATGGTTACAGTTCAATGAATACATCATTTCATGAATCAGATCATGTTAAGAGATCAGATTTTTTAAATTCATTTGTAAATATGGATTTAGATCATTTAACATTGAACATTACACATCTTAGTGCTATGGGTTGGTTGGATCGTAGAGAATTTGAACGTATATGGACAACATACTTGGAATTATTATCATCTGCATCAGATACAAATCAAAATATCTATTCAGTTTCCTTAGAATCGAATAATGCACAGTTGACAAGCTCCGAAGTGAGTTATTGAATGATAAAGTTGCTTTTTTTTCCCCCATCTATTTAGATCCATTGATAAATTTGGATAGGACAAGAAGAACAAGATTTGTAGAATAAAATGATATCATTTTACTTTACGAATACTCTTCAGTTGCATACAGTCTAAAAGTATATTGGTTATTAGCACCTAAGTTATTTCAAAATTGGTAATTGAATACCATAAAATCAATGATAATTCATATACAACACGTAAAAGAATTAATTGTACAGAAGTTAGAAATTTAATAAACGAAAAAAGTAAAGCTGGATAACAACAGATGACTAAAATAGAGAGTTATGTAATTAAAATGAAATCGGACCAAGGGAATGAAAGCTTAACCACACTTTTCTTCTATATTCAAAGGTCAAGTTGGAAGTGCCTAATAGCGACCGCTTCCGCTAAGCTTAGTAATCCAGACATTTTATATACGTTTATTATTTTAAAAGTACTCGAAGTTTCAAACTGATTTTCTATGTTTATGAGGTGTTTGGTAACTTCATTGGTTAGAGTTTTACTTCCTTTCAAGCACAAATGATTCTTGAGGGATATGTTCAGTGAACCAAATGGATGCCCTCTTCTTAGTCTTTACAATATACTTGCTACTACAAGTACAAGTGACTTCATAAACACCATTAGAAGTGATATAAGCAGGGTAAATATCAAATTTCAACTGGTTCAGTGAACATGTGGTATTGTATACTGATATATAAGTTAAGCTACAGAAAGTTCTTTCTCAGTGCTTCTTTGATTCTTGTATCTATTCACTTGGATACTGCATCTTCGTTGAATGTAAGGCGAATAAAAACTGTACACTTCTTCCATGCTCACCAGCAAGATATACTTACAACATTGGAATGGATTATGAACAATCTCCACTATTCGTCTGGTGATAATAATAATAATAACTTTTTTGATACAGTGTAGAATTCTGTGTGTAATATTTCAACAAATCTACTTCTTATACAATATTTTCAGATGAAATAGTTATAACATATAAATAATCATTTTGACTATCTGAGATAGCTGTGGTTTCAAAAACTAGTATTGATACTGTGTGATGATTGAAGGTGAAATGAAAATTTTGGACCACAGTGGGATTCGAATCAGCGACCACCGAGTTTCTGGTCCTGTGCTCTACCAAGGTTAAATAATCCTTAAAATAACAGAATTATAAGCAGGAGGATGTAATGACTAACTATTGTTAAGCTATCGTCTAGTCGTTATGTACCTTTTTGCAGGGGTGAACCAATGGAAAAACATCCATAAGTTTGGTGCTAATGGTGGTGGTCTATTTAACCAGTATGAAAAAGAAGTAATTTGATATTACATATTCGATGGAAAACTTTTAGCAGCCGAAAATCTAATCACATCTCCAAGTAGATCTCTGATTAAGTATTAGATATGCTTATTCATTTATCCCACGCCAAGATCTAACTTTTTGTAGTGTTGTTTACCCTGAGGTAGTGGATGACTTAACCATGAAGACTTCACTTGTCATCTTAAGAGAACATCGTCAGCACGAACTTTGGATGTTAGTGATGTTCTGTAGAAATGACGAGTGAGAAAACGAAATACCACAAAAACTATCCTCCTGAGTCACAAATATTTTCCATCATCTTAAGATTTTCATGATTACTGTCGGGTTAACCCGACAGTAAGAGGTGATAATCACCTTAACGGAAGGAATACAAAATAACATAATGACTAACTACTGACATTTTTATCCCATGAGTGAAAAGTTTATCTATTTATAAAATATGCGACACAAAATAAACATGATTGGAAGGTATTTTGAATGTCATCAGTTGTTAACCTAAACTAAACTATAGTCACCGATTGATTAAATAAATTATGAGTCTAAATATTAATTAAAACGTCCATCATAAACCCAAATATATCAACTTTATTGTTTCCGAATTGAAGCGCTAAACAATGTAGGTTTAGATGGTACTAGTAGGAGCGATGTGTGTGTGTGTGTGCATGTACAGTTGTTCGTTGGTCGACTTGTTGCCTTGAAAATCGCATTGTATTAAGGGAGGGTTGTTTTTCCGTCATGAGTGTCTCAGGTGTGTAGAGTGTTGTGTAATTTAAGAAGTGGGTTTGGTTGCGTGATAGTGATGCGTTGTTAGAGTGTTTGCCTTTGTCTGTCAGTTACTGATATGTTTAGCCATGTCGGTTATCATTCGGTTTGATTGGTTCATTCCTTGGGAGATATTATCGACAAATGGATCTGTCGACCGACTCGACCCGCGTCGAACCGATGTGTTGATGGCGATTGCTTTGAGCCTCTTTGTCACTATGATTAGGATGTGCGTGTGGTGTTGAAAGACACGGTTGTGAGCTATTTGTGTTGTCTGGGGTGTTAGATTGTCGAATGTTTGTGGTTGAGTGATTGATTGTCGGTGATATGTGTTTACGTTGCTATTGTGTATGTGGCCTACTTGTCGGGGGTATAGCTCAGTGGTAGACTATTTGATTTCACATCGAGAGGTCCCCTGTCCAAACCCGGGTGCCCCCTTCTGTTTCTCATCTACACAGCCACCCTCCTCCGGTTTCACTTTTGCTAATTACGTGGTTCTACTGATTCAGCCGTCCCATCCGCATACAACAGAACACAATGTCTACTGCTTATCGTCTGTACACATCAGGCGATCCCATCCACGATTCAGGATTCAAACAAATCACCTAATCACAACGCCCCATAGTTTATCAACATGAAATCAACAAATTCAAACGCAGAATACGATATGATGCATATTAATGCATTTCACTGAATAAGCAATTATTTCCGAAATAGATGTCATACACAGATGATGAGGGGTCAATCCAGAGGTCTTGAACCGAGCTACAAAATAATCTTACCAATTGGGTAATCAGTAAATGACATTTAAAATAGATTGAATAATGCGACCAGTGACACTTACCTTTCTCGTATTTTGGTTGATAAACACCGATAGCTCAAAATGTCATCATTCACTCACACACTGACTATCCACCATAACACACTACACAACCGGGTCAAAACGCTCACCCTCTCCCCCGTTAGCTCACTCGCTTGCCTGGGTCCGAGTCCTAACTGGGACATCACTCACTGGGAGGCAGGTACATCTAGCTGACAAGTCCTGAATAGAACGGAACTCACATCCTGCATTCCACTGTCACAGAAAACCTAACTGAATTTAAACTCCTAGCCTCCCAACTGCTAACCTGACACTCCATCGACGGGACGATGAAAACTATTGACCAATCATAGCTTAATATTCACTCAGACACCGAGTATTTTACCCAAAGATTTAAAATATGGCCACTGTAGTCGAGTGCAGTTTCAAATTAGGTTGTTTATTCTATAGAGCACAACTTGATAGAATCATAAGCAATAAATTATACTCAAACAGTCTGACACTGACAAAATATCAAAAATTTTCTATCTGAAATTGTTTACCTAAATTTTTTTCTTGTTTATCGTGATTTCTGAATGATTAACTTTTTAATGAAAATATTTCCTAGGAACTGATTGAATGCAACCAATCTATTGTAATTGGTCTTCGTGGTTTAACACGTTTACTCATGGATACGTCTTTGAAACCTCAACCCGGTGATACACTTTACTCTCGAATGCATCATCATTCTCGTCTCGGTATACCACATTTCTCTCACACAAAGTAAGGGATTGTTTTTATGTTTATATATATACTGCTCAGTAATACCAAGTAGTATAAAACTGAATGTCTATAAAGAAAACGAGAACAAGAGAGGAATCAGTCTTCAACCTGTAAACGGCCCATTTTTGATTGTTATAACTAAAGACGAGTATGGCATTGAGACAGATTTAGATCTACGTGATTTTTAGAACTCAAAAAGAGTGGTCTTAGTTAAGATATGGCAAAAATTATCAAATACCGAATTACTAAGGAATCCAGGCAACTGTTCTGAAGATAACTGATCGGTAATGAAACTTACAGTGAACCCAGACCCAAGAAATCTGGCCTACCATTCATGTATGGACGACCGAAAATGTATAGAAAGGATTTTTTGGTGATATCTATTCTACGTATGACGTGCTTTCCATACCACAAGCTTTCCTGTTGCCTAGTGAATGCAACTGTATACTTTAAAATACTTTCAATTCACCGAAAAATGATGATATGGACTTACTGGACAAATCCGTAACAACCTCGTTACGCAAAAACATTTCTTTTGTTTGAAACAATACTGTAAGCTTAAAGCAACTGGTCCCTTTGATATTAAGAAGATTAAGATTATCTGAAACATGTAATGTATTAGTGCTATACATTTTGAACAAACTTATCACACATGGACTTGTCGAACTATTTATGTGAAGCCATTTGTCAACACAGAAAATACGCCATTATTAAAAATGAATATGAAGCGTCTTCTGCTTATGTGCACCGAAGACGTCCAATCTCAGTTGAATGGTATGATATATCACCAAGCTAATTTTAGGAATGACGTCAAAGCCAGGATCGGGAAGACAGCAGGACAGGCGTTCATTAGCATGAAACCAGTGTGGAGATCTACTCCACTGCACTCAGCATGTGGAACAACATCCGGATTTTCAACACCAAACCAGTCAAGTCAGTGCTTCTGTATGGCTCAGAGACTTGGCGAGTTACGAAAGGGATTCCCAACAAATTACAGACATTCATCAAAAACTACCTACGCTGGCTCACTCGTTACTGAAGATCAGACGGCCAGAATAGTGAGAAGAAGCAACAAGGAACTCACTACGGTTGGCAACGAACCAACCAAGAAGCTATCGCTCAACAAATATGCACTGGAAGGAAGTGGAGATGGGTTGGGCATAAACTGAGAAGGCCGACTGTGGACATCATGAGCCAGACCAGTTGCTCGAGTGGAACCCAGATGGGAAGCGACGAGTTGAGCGTCCGAGGCAAGGGTGACATGGAGAAGATGGTGTGAGGAAGAAATGAGAGGTTGTGGGCTTTCGTGGAGCTGGGTTCAAAAGATTTCAGAGAACAGAGTGGGATGGCGACGTGCTACTGAATCCCTATGTTCCACTAGGAACCCAAGGGGCAAATAATAATAATAGTATGATATAATAGTAATAAAAATTGTAGGAGTATGAGTTCACTTGAACTAGTAATCGCTAAAATTATGTTTTATTCAAGATATGTTTAAAATAACTTAATTATTTGTGAAAACAGTCAACTATCAAAAAAGCTGTTCCAATATTTCAACAATTCACACCTCAGTATTATTTTTACGATGGATATACTCGTAAGAGAGAAACGACAGTTGAATCTTCGTAACTTATGCTTGGCACGTTAGAAAAGTTGTTTAATCGGTAGAACCATTTATCTTAAAACCACATGGAGTGGTTAGATTCTGTCTAGTCAGCTACAAGAGGAGTTTAGTAAAGAAGTCATGTAAGAGAGCAAGGAGATATTACTTCCAAGAAAAACTCCAAGCAACACTTAAACTGGTCGAACAGTGTCTACTGATCCCTTGAAGTTTATGCAGAGAAATACTGTAAAGTAAGGAGAAGAAAGAGAAGTGTAACTATTGGGAAGAAATCAATGTTTCCTACATTGGCTTTCAAATAAGATGATATTGAGGCAAGAATGAACAGACGTGCATTGTCTGAGATCTATCGATGTTTCAAGCAAGGTGTGCAATCACACAATTTCGACTCTTGTTAACTCTAAATGCATTTATGAATTCACATTTTAAGTGAGGATTTGTGCACGTAGAAAGAACAAAAGTGATTTTCTACTTGGATCGCGAACACATACCTTGAAGTTTATGTCATCCAACCTCTCCGGTAATGTCGACGCCTTTATTTTATGCCTATCTCCTAGATACATATTGACCATCGTTTCATTATTATTGTATTTCAATGTGGTATTCATCACGAAGTGGCATGATTTGCAGAACCATTAGAAACCCAGTAGCCGTGGATGATTGTTTCGTCGTGTTATAAGACTCTCCAACAATGATGACCCATGATCCCACCAAGAGTCGAACCCAGGGCAATCAGGTCTTACGAGGAGCACATTGCCATTGAGCCACTGGGTCAGGACCTAATGATCTACATTTCACTACTTCTGTTAATTCATGATGTAGCGCAATCTTTATCCAATACCATCACTAAGTATTTGTCCACACGTTCGACTTAGTTTTCCCCCATAGATCACAACTTCTCATTAAAACTTTGGGACATCTCATGTCGAAGCATTTCACTAGTGAGCAATGGACAGTAATTCACTTTGAAGTTTTATAGGGCGCTATTAATTTCATCACGGACTGACATCAGCTGCTGAATCACTGACTGTTTCACATAGTTTCCATTAAAGCCAGTGTTATATGATTCTGTTGTTTGTCACACTAAATTACCAAACTGAGATTTTTTAGTAATGATGAATTACCAACGCAGTTACCCCTGAAGTTCTTAAGTTTAATCCCACCAAAACCCAGGTGTCTATTGTTCTGATAATTCACTTGGTTATGGTTAGCAGGTGAATCCAGAACAAACGTTTCATCCTACTTGGGACTCGGCAGCCGGATGTATCCGCACCCCAGTGAGTGATGTTATCCCCATTGAGACTCAGGCCTCGTATCCATCGCTCCAAACGCTAAGGCGTTACCCACTAGGCACGATAGCTACAACGGGTATTAGTTATGACTATTTGTTGTTATGCTTGTAATTCTCTGTTGTCGAACAATTCGTTCCAGTAAAACAACGAAGAATTACAAGTATACCGAAGAACAGTGATGTTTTCTATTAGTTTGAGTCATTATTCATGTAGCCTTTGTTTTTTAAACTCAAAAATTCTTGGTGTTTTTGTTTTCTTCGTTACATTATTAATAAAGACTTGGTCGAAAATTGATCTCAATGTTATCTTTCATTGAACAAGAACGGAACTATTTAAACAAGTCTAGTGAATATTCTATGAATACATATTCAATACACTCAGAATATTGTATGAATCAATTGAATGAAACAGTTGACATAATCAATTTAGAACGTTTAACTAACTCATTCATAGATGGTCCAAGTCAATTTGCAGTGGATTGGTCTATTCAACGTTTACATATGCGAGAAAATTTGAATACAAAATCAGTTTGGTCTAACAATGAATCTGTTCATGAAATAGATAAACTTCAGTCTTCAATAAAATCATCTACTAGTCGTCAATCTCTTATCACTAACCTTCCAGGTGAGTTTCAGTGTAAAATTCTTCTCTATGTTTGTCTATTTTTCAAAGTGTTCGTTTTATCTGTTTCCCTTTTTAAATACACAAAACTAGACTGTGGATCGGACGACTCTCACTTCTACTGTGTCTCTTAAAATGCCGTGCTTGATTCCCTCGTACGTTTTACTCCTCAATGTTTCCTAGATGAAGTAGCTCCTCGTACGGGTTCAGGTCTCAGAAGTTGAATAACTCATCTCGAGGAAAAGAACACGATTTACTTGGCGGTGGTCAGAAGTGGAATTCAGGGTGCACACTTCTCCCGTTAGGGACTCGTCAGTGAATAGGCCTGGGATTTGAAGCGATAGATACAAACTTTAAGTCTCAGTGGGAACAAAATCACCAACTAGGGTGTAAGTACATCCTGCTGACGAGTCTTTAATAGGACAAACCTCTCATCCTTGACTCTACTGGTAGCCACCACCATCAAGTAAAATGTAGCGATTAATATTCGGGCAATATCGAGGTATCTGCAAAAGAGGTCGATCGATTCAATTCAGTATAACAACGGGGAATTACTAGTATATCAACAAATAATAATAATTCCGAACAATTTTGCCAGTCATCTCTACCTATTGTAATTAATTAATGATGTTGATCAAAAGAAGTTCACATTTTGAGATACGAATTCAGTTTGGTAAATTTCAAAAATTCTTGGATAAATGAATGGCGTAGAATTTCTACAGGTAACACTCACGTTAATCAATCAATCACTTTCAACATGCGATAAGACAGTATTGCATGACGCTTCAAGTTGCCACACTTCACATTAGCACACCCAAGATATAAAGCATGACAAGATGAAGGATAAAGAAGCGGCCACAAAACACAACCAAGTTATTAAAATAAAGGAAGAAGGGATTCAACAAATAGAGGAATGCGACAAAGCGATTAAGAGGGAGATAATTCGTGAATATATCTACGCCACTAAGATCGATTCTGGTCCAGACTACCATCGATTTTGTATGGACTCCAGTCTGCAAGCCTATGTTTCTTTACACCTCTAAGACCAACAGTCAAAGACTTCATGGATTAATCCCATGTCTTATTCTAGTCACCTCCAACTTTTCTCCAATTTAAACCCACTTCAGTTAACACTGTATGGTGAAATAAACTCTGACGAGACATGCATAACACATGCCTCAGTCATCTGAGTCGATGAAGGTCCACAACTCCATCAACACTGATTTTCCTCTTCTGTCTAAAACTCCACACTTGACTTTGACATTATTGACGTGGTAATACCAAAACACACGGCCTATGCTATCAAGGCGACGATGGTCGAACACTTGGAACATCGTCACATCTTCTGCCTTCTAGCAATCTTGTTTCATAGTCATATAGTGAAGCAGAGCGGACCGCATCGCATTATATTTAACGGTTGTTAAGCATTCGGATATCACAGTGGCTACATAGATGGCATATGTTGGTGAAGTCCATCTGAGTCTTTTATATTTGTGCCCATATTCCGTTGGTCCACTAACCCTATCATCCGACTTCCTAGGTAATTGAAGTAATCAGTGCGCTCAACAACTCCACTCTCTTTGTTAGATAGAGTTACTGCGACCAGTTCTGGAGTAACAATTCGCATTAGGGTAGTGAGAAACGCATCCCAAACATTTTCAAGTTGTTACTCAAGGTGTTCAGAAAACCCCGCGTTTTATCAGCATCTTCACCCTACGTGATAAGGTAAGGTCAGTTATGGTAATACTAGACAGGGAGAGAATTAATTTCAACCAGGAAATATTAGGCATACTGATATGGATCCATTCTATTAACAGGCATGAAAAGCGGCTAACAGCTCTAAGTTTAGAGATCTAGTTAGCAGACAGTCATTTAAAATATATGTGCCAGTGGAAACGATGCAGATGTGGGAACACTCTTCTTCCTCCAAGGTAGTTAAGACTAGCTAGTAAGCTAGTTATGGAAGGAGTTTTATAATCTGCTTCTGTCTTAGTTGGTACTGACGATTTTCCCTAGAATGTCTTACCTTTTCGTTCAGAAAACTCACCACTGGAATTAACATTTTCGGTTACGTATCCTCACAAATTAATAATGGTACAATACCTCTTGCACAAAAGGTGGCTCTCGTATCATGGACTCCACTGTTAGCCAATACCAAGTAAACTACTAAATAAGAAGTACTCAGACAGTATCGTAGCATTCACACAGGAGCCTCTGTGCCAACAGTGGTGGAAAAATTCGACCCTGTTTAGCAACAGGAAGTTACAAACATCAAACAATAACGGTACATTACCTTCACTTTCTTCAAAGAAACAAGTAGTTCCCAGTTCAGTACATGAACACCTGCAAGTGGTTACCAGGTTTTATTTATTTTTCGTAATAGTTCTAGTTGTTTCTGCGATGAGTATCCAATTTAATCTAAAGGTGATAGTGTAACTTTAAATATCCTTAAAAAACTTTGATTCACCACATGTGCCCTAATGCATAGACAATTAGTCCACACTTGACCTTGACACATATTAAACTTATCAAATGGTAAGGGTATTATTATTTCTTCGTGTTTTTAACTTTCTTCTTTATCTCATCTTGTCTTTGTTTACCTGAATTTTGTAGAAATTAGACATAGACATACTGATGACTAATTTCTTTTCTCTGTTACCTTGATACGACTGCAGTTTATGAGGATCGTTTCTTTCTTTCTTTCTTGCTTTCACTTGCTTTTATTGTTTTATGTTGTATATGTTTGTGTACGTTGCTTATATTGTCGGACATTTGTTTGTTTGTTAAAAAGTAGGTAAACATGAATCATTGGTGTTTACTCGTATTTATTAAATCGTCTAAACGAAATGATAAATAGGTTATTATTTTCATTACAATGTATTAAGTTCGTAGGTTTATTGGTGACCGTTGTGAAGTATAAACTTGTTGTTTTCTTACTGATGGGAAGAATTTTAGTTTGTTGACACTATAAATTGTTCATACTTCACCTTCTGAAGTCAATACACTGCTAGTCACAATTAAATCAACAATAACAATAAATATTCTTATTGGGTGATGATTGAAGGTGAAATGAGGATTTGGACCGCTGCAAGATTCAAACCAGCGATCACCGGGTTTCCGGCCTGGTGCTCCACCAAATGAGTTACGAGCGTCAGGCCAGAAACCCGGTGGTCACAGGCTCGAATCCTGCCGGGACCCAAATCTTCATTTAACCTTCCAAACCACGGCCATATCATTCAGATAGTCAAAATGATAATAAGCATCCGGGCAATATCGAGGCACCTGCAGAGAAGTCCATATGCCAACAGAGGCGGTCCAATATAACAACTGAGAATTACAAGTATCAACAATTAATAATAACTAATACCCGTTGTACAAGAGGTAGCTGTAGTGTTTCAATGGCCCACTGGATACTGCCTTGGTATCTGGATCGATAGCCACGAGGTTCAAGTATCAGTGGGAACAACACCACTCACTGGAGTGCGGACACATCCAGCTAACGAGTCCCAAATTGGACGAAACGCGCGTCCTAGATTCCTCTTCTAACCACTACCAGGTAGAGGTGTAAGGAAATATAGACTTGCAGACTGCAGTTCATGTGACAATGGAACTCGATGGTCGGAGACTGTTATTAATGTGGCTCAGAATTAATCTCAGTAGTCCAGATCTATCCGCACACCATCCACTTTTAACTACTTTCTTCCTTATTTCTTTATTTTTCATTTTGATATATTCTGCCTTCATACACTGTTATATTGAACCGTTACGCAATAATGCTGTATCTGATGTTGATGCTGCCTAACTGACTGGGGTAGGTGGAAGCTAGACATGTGCTACAAATATACATCTAAGCAATCTGAGTCGATGAAGATTCGTAATCGCATCGACTGACTCTCCTTCTTGTCTCTGATACTTTGCGCCTACAGTTTATATTTCTTACATAACAGTTACACTACATAAAAGCAATGCGGTGGTGTCTGTGATCTAAAACTTGTAGTCTCTTTATATCTTTCACTTTAAAAGGCTATCTCTTACAGCCATACAATAAGAGGGAGCGAACAGCCACAAAGTATACTCATCTTTGATAAGTAGTAGGATATCTAAGTAATATTGGAGATGACGAAAGCCGGTAAATGCCAAATGAACCTTTTATATCTCATCTGGAATTTCATCTCCAATCAGCCGATTAGAATTGGTTCAACCACCGAAGTAGGTCGAATGGTCAGCGGATGCCACCAGTTCACTAGCTATCCTTAAACTGAGCTTGCAGTTTGGTGCACACCAGTTTTAAAGCATCTTTTTACGTTTGACTGATACCAAGCAAACTCAGTTTTTTGCCCAAGGTCTTCAGAAAATTTCACATTCTATTATCGTCTTCACGTAACAGGGAAATGAAGTGACTGACTACTAGGTCATTTGCATACATTAAGTCAGTTGCTTTCTATGTAGTAAGTTCATCTCTGAGAGGTTGAACGTATATAAGATCATGTCGATTAGAATGTCTATAATACCGATAAATGAGACTTATGATACTAGACATTCATACTTCGTGAACACCACTATTTGCCATCACGGTAACTCTCTATAAATCCTTACACAGTTATCAGTTCAAGTAGAGAACCCCGATGAACGTTCTGTATTCTCCCGGTGCTGCCATAACAACGCTTGATTGTTAGAGTCAAACAATACTTCCAGGTCAAGAAATATGACAAATATCGGTATGTATACCTAACTGTGGTCACGAAAGCTGAATATCTGACTGATCCACTTCTGCTCACGCCAAAAATCTGTCTTGTTTTCCCGAGTTTGTTGTTCCAGAGCTCTCGTTAGGTATCATATGACAGTACACCCTGGGATCTCAGGCACGGTCTTAACCAAACTGCCTCTCTTATGTTTATCATAGGAAGAATTTTTCCGACTCAGTATTTTGCCCCAGGTAATTCTATATATCAAGGTAGATTGTGTCTCTACTTACTTATCATATATTCTAGTTGGCTCAGTTGCTACAGACCTACAATTGAATCGACTGAATTGCCTTCTCTGCCTCTGGTTGGAACGTAGTGACATTACTTAGCAAGTGTAATACTTAACACCAGATTGTTACATGTCTTGAATATACCTGTTTGAAATTCAGATGTATACGGAATTCATTTTTTTTACTGTACTGATTCGCTTCTCATTTCCTTCTAGTTTCAAAGATTAATCCTCGAGCACCTAGTATTGTGACATTGCAAAGTTATGAAGATCCTCTCTTCTCATGCCTTCAATCGTTACAATTATTTTACCATTCGTGCCTTAAACCAGAACCCTCCCCTTTAAGATCTGATAATGAAGATATAAACAGTCTACTATGGGGTAATTCAAAAGTTGTCGATCTGTTCACATCGAATCCAACTACTATCTCCACTTCTGTGTTGAATAAAACTCCTACCTCTAAACAGACTACACGGAATAATACACCATCGATAAAAGGACCAGCTTTTGATGTTTGGCAGTCAATTCTTCAATCAGCTATTATCCTGTCTGATCTATTTACAACACAAGAACAATTTATCTGGTTAAATGATCATTTACAAGATGGTAAGGTGCTGTTTTCTGTTCTTGCTTATTAGGTTATTTTGTGTTGTGTTTTTTTATCCCTACATGTATACACTCAGAAAGATAACTGAACCTACACATTATCGGCTAAAATTCTAATGAGAATAATCAAAAGTGAAAACACTAGGAAACATCCTAACCGTTTCCGACATATATTGGTTCAATCATTGTGAAACTGACTTCAATATGCTGTTGCCACAGCCATAATCGTTTATGAATGGTGTCAACGACTGGAGGATTAATGACACTTTGTCATAACCATCTTATATGAAGAAGATTCATAGTTTTATGAAACTAACCTCTCCTCCCTTCACTTGCCTAGAATTTCTCCGCTAAACAATATCACTTTATGATAAAGAATGAGGATGGTAAATTTAACATCACAATATGAGTTTATTTTATTGCGTCAAGTCGTCGTCAGTTGCTAACACTATAATATTTTCATACTATACTATGCTATACCATATTATATCATATTAGAACTTGAATGCAAGTCAACTGCTAGACACATCACATAAGTTCAAGGGGAATAGAATCAAAACAGTAATCAACCTCATAACTTTCATTGTCGCTTGAAATTTTTTAGCAAAGCTAGAACAACAAATTTAGCAGAATACGATTAGTCCATTGTATTTCGTCGCCTTCTCTTTAACTCCATATAGGCTACGAAATCATTATATATATATATATATATATATATATATAGCGTAAGGTGAAATGAAAATTTGGACCGCCGCCGGATTCGAACCAGTGACCACTGAGCTTTTGGCCTGATGCTCAACCAACTGGGCTACGAGATGAGTCAATGATGTAAATATGAGGTCAAAAATATTTCACATGGGTTCAAGTCAAGTCAGTCTAGGCTAAATAGTAAATTTGTAGCGATAAAATAGGAATTGATTATAAAAGGAGATGAAAATACAGAATTTTAGAAGGGTTTATACTTGAATGACAAAACAAATCAATGGCTACTATTGAAGTTGATGGCTAACAACTGCCTCTTTTTGAATACATAAGTTCGATTTAATTCTTTCTGATGACAACTATTACTGTCTTCGAGACTTAGTTCATCATGTTCTGTATCCATCACCCATGCAAAATTTTTTCGACCTGATATCTACATTGTTAACTTATCACACACTTGTATAATACCACTTTAATTATCTGGGTGTGATAGCCGTGGCTTGGCAGACTAGTATTAATTACTTTTATTATTTATTTATCCCTTGGGTTCCTAGTGGAACATAGGGATTCAGTAGCACGTCGCCATCCCACTCTGTTCTCTGAAATCTTTTGAACCCAGCTCCACGAAAGCCCACAACCTCTCATTTCTTCCTCACACCATCTTCTCCATGTCACCCTTGCCTCGGACGCTCAACTCGTCGCTTCCCATCTGGGTTCCACTCGAGCAACTGGTCTGGCTCATGATGTCCACAGTCGGCCTTCTCAGTTTATGCCCAACCCATCTCCACTTCCTTCCAGTGCATATTTGTTGAGCGATAGGTTGTTGGTTGGTTCGTTGCCAGCCATAGTGAGTTCCTTGTTGCTTCTTCTCATTATTCTGGCCGTCTGATCTTCAGTAACGAGTGAGCCAGCGTAGGTAGTTTTTGATGAATGTCTGTAATTTGTTGGGAATCCCTTTCGTAACTCGCCAAGTCTCTGAGCCATACAGAAGCACTGACTTGACTGGTTTGGTGTTGAAAATCCGGATGTTGTTCCACATGCTGAGTGCAGTGGAGTAGATCTCCACACTGGTTTCATGCTAATGAACGCCTGTCCTGCTGTCTTTCCGATCCTGACTTTGACGTCCTCGTCTCTTCCTGTGCCTCCACCTGCAGTTGAAACAGTGCTGCCTATATAGGTGAAAGAGGCTACTTCCTTTAAGTTTCTCCCGTTGATGGTGATTGGAGCTTGTTGTTGGTGGTGGTGGTGTTGGTTGGATATCTTCATCACCTCTGTCTTTTCTATATTCACTTGAAGTCCCGTCTTCGCTGATCTGCCTCTTCTGTCAACTTGTTAGTTTTCGCCTGTAGATCTTAAAGTTTGTGCGACATTAGACACAAGTGACCGGCAAAATCCAAGTCTTCTAGGTTCTTTTCCGCGGTCCAGCGTTTCCCCCCTCTTCTCGCTTCTCACTGTTTGTTGCATGATCCAGTCGACCACAATCAGGAATATCATGGGTGGTAGTAGACAGCCTTGCCTTACTCCTGTCTCCTGCCTTCACTTCAAAAACATCACTGAGCTTCCCATTGTGAATTTCTTGGCATGTCGCGTCTTCATATAGTTCAGTTGTTGAATGAGATTGATAAGGTTTGTGGTATTCCGTATTGTTGAAGCAACTGCCAAATTACTTCTCGGTCGACGCTGTCAAAGGCCTTCTCAGAGTTGATGAAGTTCAGGTAGAGGGTTGACTGCCATTCAATACCTTGTTCTATGATGATGCGAGGCGTTGCAATTTAGTCCGCACATGATTTGTACTTCTTGGAGCCAGCCTGTTCCGGTCGTAGTTTTGAATCCAGCGCATCCTTTAGTCTCTCCAGGATGATGCAGCTTAATATTTAACTTGCTTTGGGTAGACAGGAGTGTGGTTTCGCACCAGTTATTGCAAACACTGAGGTCTCCCTTCTTCGGCAATTTGACAAGGTAGCACTTCTTCCAATAGCCAGGTACTTTCCCTTCCTTCCAGACCTTCTGCAATAGAAGTGGTGTGAGCATGTCCACTGTTGTCTCTGTGTCTGTTTTCAGTGCTTCAGGCGGAATCCCATCTGGTCCTGCTGCTTTTCCCCACCTCAGTAGCTTTATGGCGTTCAGGACTTCGACTTTTGTCTGAGAGCCTGTGTTCACTTGTAGTTCTGTGGTTGCTGGTGGTATTTCTGGACGAAGTCCAGGTGGTGGTGGTCGATTCAAAAGCTTCTTGAAGTGGTCAGCCCATTGTTTCCTTTGTTTCTCTTCTCTCGTAATTAAATTTCCGTCATCATCTTCGACTGGTTTCATCTGCGTTGATCTCTTCCCTCCCAGATAGTAACTCGGTTATTTGATACAATGTTGTCAGGTCTCTCTCCTCTATCTCTCCTACCTGCAGCCAGTCTGTTCTCCTTCACTTACCAATGTGTCGTAGAAGTGTATTTTGTCTTTGCGCGCATTCTTCTTCTTCACTTCTTTGTCCAGTGTAGTGTTTTATACATTGTACATTGTTCCTCTTGTCGTTGTGCATCCTTTCACTGCACTGGTTTATCTTCTGCTTCACCATCCTCCTCTCCCTACCCTATCAGCTTCCATGTGTCCATCGAGATCCATTCCTTGTCCTGACTTCTTTCTTCTTCCTTCTTCATACGGCTGTGCAGGTTTCTTTCCACATCCCTTTCAAAGAGTTCCAGTGTTCTTCTACACAGGTTTCTTCAGGAATGTTCCTCGATATCTACCATTTTGTCTTGATGGCTGCCGTGAAAATTTTCTTTGTAGTTTCGTCCTTCAGTTTCCGAGTGTTGTACTTGGATTGTGGTCTATCACCAACTTCCTTGAAGGCTTTTAACTTGATTTGGAAGGTCCCTTGCACTAGATAGTGAGTGGTGTGAACCTACATCTGCTCCTCTTCGTGATCCGATCTTTTACCCAGTAGGCTGAGTCTCCACTTTCTTGAGATTGAGATGAAGTCGATTTGATTTTTAGTGTGTCCTAGTGTCTGGTAAAATCAAACCCATGTCGGTGTGTGAATATCCTTGTGCTTGAAGACACTGCCTCACTGCAATCAGCAAATCATTGAATGCGCAGAAGTCTGCAAAGAGTTCTCCATTCTCGTTCATTTTGCCGAATGCTTCTCGACCCATGATGAGTTCTCTTCCTGTGTTTCCTTGTTCCCAGTTTGACATTCACCTCACCCCACCCATTAGAATTTTAATGTCGCCAACTTGAGTGGTGTCTTGTCCAGTGTTGATTGCAGTTGTCTGTAGAATTCCTTCTTCTTCTCTTGACCTGCTTTATTATTTGTAGGTGAATAGGCTAGCATTGTATGATTGTGACCTTCCTTCCTTTTGATTTTAACCTTGCTATCATGATCCTGATACCGGAGGAGATTGGTTACCACTGCATGAGAGTGAGCCTTCGATGCTGCTGCGGATATCATGATAGCCACTCCAGAACTCAGTGTACTCATGGTTGTCGTCTGAGTGACCGGAGTAGATTACTGATTCTCCAGTTGACAGTTTGGAGAGTCCACTCCCATTCCATCTGCTTTCTCAAATTCCTAGCACTTCAATGTGATACCTTCCCATCTCGTTTGCAATCTGGACTGTCTTGCTAGGTATAAACATGGTGCGGACATTCCATGTCACCACGTTTACTTTCGCTTTCATCGAGAGAGAGAAGACACATCTGCCAATTGGCTTCCTGAAGGCTTTCACCAACCGGTGTTATTTCGCCTCTCCGATTCCAGCGAGGAATAAGGTTGTTTTTGTGTTTGATATTTTGTTTGTGCTTTGAAGTTTCCGAAGCGGTTGCATTTGTTCTACGGGGTAGGGTTACTAACCCTACGCCCAACTTTCCCTCTTTACACGGGCTTAGGATGGGCTACTTGGTGATTATTATTATTATTATTCCCTTGGATTCCTAGTGGAACATAGGGCTTTAGTAGCACGCCTCCACTACACCCTATTCTCTGCAGTCTTTTGAACCTCGCTCCACCACTGCCCACAAGCTCTCATTCCTTCTTCACATCATCTCCATGTCACCCTCGCCTCGGACACCCAAATCGTCGTTTCCCATCTGGGTTCCACTCGAGCAACTGGTCTGGCACGTGATGTCCCCAATCCGCCCTGCTCAGTCTATGCCCAATCCAATCCATATCCACTTTCTTCTGCATATTTGTTGGGCGATAGGTTGTTGGTTGGTCCGTTGTCAGCCACAGTGAGTTCTTGTTGCTTATTCACATTATTCTGACCATCTGATCTTCAGTGTCATTATCGAGTGAGCGTTGGTGGAGGTGTCGATGTATGTCTGTAGTTTGTTGAACATGGTTTTCGTAACGCACCAAGTCTCTGAAACATCACATTGAAGCAGTGACTTGACTGAATTAGTGTTGATAATCCAGATGTTGTTCACGCTTTATGCTGAGTGGAGTGGAGTGGAGTGGAGTGGAGTGGAGTGGAGTGGAGTGGAGTGGAGTGGAGTGGAGTGGAGTGGAGTGGAGTGGAGTAGATCTCCACACTGGTTTCAGATTGAAGAAAACCTGTCTTGCTGGCCTTTCGATCCTAACTTTGACATCGTCATCTGTTCCCCTCCCTGTAGTTGGTTGGAACGATGCTGTCTAGGTAGGTGAAAGAAACAATTTCATTCAGGTTCCTCCCATTGATGGTGATTGGTGCTTGTTTTTGTTGATGTTGTTGTTGTTTTGGGGGTATGTTCATCACCTCAGTCTTTTTTACATTCACTTGAAGTCCCGTCTTCGCTGCTCTGACTCTTCTGTCAACTTGTCAGTTTTCGTCTGTAGATCTTCGAGTTTGTGCTTGAATATATTAGACATAAATCATCATTGGCGATGAGATCCAAATCTTCTTCTGTGGTTTTTCCATCGGTCTTCTGAAACAGCGTTACGCCCCTCTTCTCACTCTTCACAGTTTGTTGCATGACTCAGTCTAGTCCAGTTCAGTGCAGTCCAGTGGACCCCAATCAGGAAGATGATCGGTAATAGTAGGTGGCAACGCCTTGTCTTACTCCTGTGTTCACTTCAAAGACATCACTGAGCTGAACTTTCTATTGTGAATCACTTGGCATTTAGCGTGGTTGTATAGCTGTTGAGTGAGGTTGATAGGGTTTTGTGGCACTGAAACCGTAGTGTTGAAGCAGCTGCCTGACAAGTTACTTGTCGTTCGACACTGTCGAAGGCCTTTTCAAAGTCGGTGAAGTTAAGGTAAAGTAACCCATTGTTTTGTGGAAATTATTTTTTGAATATAAGCATGCCTATTGACGCTAGTTTTTTTTCATGACATGTGAATTCTTTAGGTGAATTCATTTCAAATTCCTTCCTTAGTTATTTAACTGCTGTAGTAGTTAAAATCAAGATGTAAATAGATATTTATTATATTATGCTATTTCACTGAATATAGATTAACTATGCACTGCATTTCGGGCATGAATCAATAATGAGTGGTCATTAAATCATTTTCGTTGATATAGCTGTGAGTTTTATGGAAAGAAAGTCTTGGAAATAGACTAGCGAAGAACTTAAGCAGTTGGAAATTCTTCAGGTTGATCTGTAAATTTTTGCATGAAACACATCAGAGCGACCTGAACACTGAATGGCGGTTTCACTCGTCTGGAGTCAAGCTCATCACTGTGGGTATCCAGACGAATTCAGGTCATAAAGCTAGATTTTCTTAGATCATTTGAATTTGGCTAACTGACTTGTATACATCAGTATGCCTTTTAAATAATTTACAAATGATTTACACGTGATACGATTCATGTTGACACAGTTGAATAGTTTTTCAACTGCTACCCAAACTGTAGTGTGAACAGGGTTTCTATTGGAAACTAAAAAGTTTCATCTCTGTTATTTACTGAATATTGCCTCTAATTTTCTAATGTTTATTATATTTACTTTTAAATAGAGTGTTGCATTTCACAATTGACTTATTAGAAAATATGTATTAAATTTTGAGGGGTTGTGGAGATTTGGAAATGTTTCAAGTTGTTATTCATCGAAGACTGACATCAGTTGGAGGAACAAAGGAAACCTGGGAGCATTGGACAGCTGTTTCGTCCTAGTATGGGACTCCTCAGCAGTGCGCAGTGCGATGACATTGGGTGGCGGTCTGCGCTATATCGTGAGCTAACAGAAGTTGGAAATATGGGGCATTGGATTCTGACCCAGTGGCTCAATGGTAACGCGCTGGCCGCGGAACCTGAAGGTCGCGGGTTCGATCCCTGCTGGTGGGGTCGTGGGTGCGCACTGCTGAGGAGTTCCATACTAGGACGAAACAGCTGTCCAGTGCTCCCAGGTTTCTTTGTTCCTCCAACTGATGTCAGTCTTCGATGAATAACAACTTGAAAGAAAATATGTATGTTTTTAACATTTCACTAAATATTTTATCTACTAATTTTCTTTTCATTCTAATATCAAAAATAGCTGTGAAACAATTACCAATATGGAATGAATTTCAATCACCTATTCATTCATGGTTAGCATTAGGTATTGCAAAGTGTACTGCAGTCTTAGAGTTAATCAATAGTTCACCAAATAATATACATGTACTTCAATCAAATTCTTTAGAACCAGCTGTTAAACAATCAATGAATGCAATTAATTCTAGTTTATTAACAGTACAAAATGCTGGTTTACATAGTTCAATGTATTTATTACATACTGCATTATTGATTAGAACACAACCATATCAACAACAATTACAACAGCATAGTCCACCAACTGGTTCAATATTATTAAATGAACTTTATATAAATGTAAGTTTTGAAATGATGTTATTTATTAAATGTGTTGTCAGTGTTACTTTTTTTTTCTTCTTCAAAACATCATAATCGTCGTACACAGAATGGCTACATGACTGAATAGCTTGGATTGAACCTTAACGAGAGATAAAATCACTTACTTGGATACAGATACATTTAGCCCATCTAATGAGTAGTGAGTGCAAAATAGGATGAAACATGGATCATAGATTCCACTGTTATCCACTGTCTATTATTACTACTGTAGGAAATGATAAAACTGAGATGCAGGAAGGAATGTTTATTATTGACATCTTGCGCGGTAGTGATGAAATATTGTACACTTTCCACTAAGACAGTCATTTCCATAATGTGCTTCATTTCCTCTTCTGCTTCTATCTGGATTTGCTCTTAATACGTCGACACTGTCTCTTGGGTTTCTCTGGACAGAATCTTTACTTATTGCTGGTAACTGTCTATGATTTTTGCCGCCCTCTCAACATATTCTACTTATATCCATTCTGATTATCATCGCCCACTACACTACTACCAAGAAGGAATATTGTTGATTTTTTTTTTCATTTTTGTTAACCCGATTCATTTTCTTATCTGAATTTTAACTGTAAAATAGACTGTTTATATCCTGACAAAGTAGCTATTGTTTGATGTGTTGTCGGCACTACTGATGAGAATGGATATAAGTAATATATGATAAGATGTCGGCAGAAGTCATTGGCAATTACGAACGATGGGTAAGTATATGGCACACTGAAACGCAAGAGACATTGGAGGTGCATGAAAAGCAAGACGAGATAGAAGAAGAAGAGGAAACGAAATACATTATGCAAATGAATACTTCAATGAAAAGACTACAATATTTCATCAGTAGTGTACAAGGTATCTTAATAAACATTCTTCTGCGTTTCATCTTTTGTCATTTTCTTACAGATGTACTGTTCTGTCACAAACGTGGTTTGTAATGATGAACCGATCACATCAACAGTTATTATTACTCCATATTATCCCTTATTGTTAACTTGATTGATTAGGATTTAGTCCATATTGGTATATTTATTAACAGAAGTATACAACCGTACAGGAATTAGGTTTACCATAGACTACCTCAACATCTTACTACTGAATTTCCTTCCAATAATGAAAATATTTTTGCAAAAACCAACTATTTATTGTTTGAGATCACTCTTGTTGTTCAGTTAAACATATGACAAAGGTTTTAGTATCCCTGACTTCAAGTTAACGATCAATACAGATGAATCATATTGCCATAAACCATCATCAATGAAGGATTTTGGTTTCTCTACTTCATAAAAATTTCCTGAAATTTCAAGCAGAACACTTTGCGAAACAGCTTATGTAGCTTACAACCATTCTACAGTTGTTCATCGCCTGAGTCTAATGTAAATCGAGTGTAGATACTGGTCTACCAAACAAACTGGGAAAGGTATTTCAAACTTGAAACCTAATGAAGAAACAGGATCTGACAGTTTGCTGTTAGAAGTCTTTAACATGGCAGACGATATGAAACCTTGTAAAAGGATATGCTTAGTAAAGATTTATGCTTCTTAAGCTGATATCTCATGATTACATCTATTGTTTAGTGACAATCTTCACTACACCTAAAGAGATCGTCATTTCGTATGTATGACATACCAATATCCTGTTTAACAAGCATTGTTAACGTAAGTATGATTAGATCTGAAGAAAATAGAGGGTAGTCAGTACAAAATGCTGCATCAGTGCATGAATTTTCTAACGAATAATCTGAGATGTATATAGGAGTGTAGTCTGTTTCTTTGGGTACCTTGAATCTTAGAAATTATTGGTTGTGCGATGTTATATCACACAGTGTAAAACAGATCATAGTAGCTTAAAATGTATTCAATTCTTATCGCTTTCAAACTTTTGAATATTGTTGTACTCTTTATTCATTTGTTTTATTGTACATTCTCTTCTTTTTTCAGTCTATCTATTTCTGTGCTGTTGCTAAGTTAGACAATTGAAACCGATGCACTTCTACGCAAGGCTTTACATTGTTCTGTTAAGCTGTTTATATTCGGTTGTCGCCATGGCGTATCTATAATATACGTGAGCTAGATACATAAAGACCCAGGAGACGATAATGTGTATCCTGTTGACTCGATGTATTATTGTCACAATGACGTAGAAGTTTCAGTTTTAGTTCATTCCATATCAAAAGCCACAGTTGACTACTAAAGTAGATGTCGAAAAAAATCAATTTTAGATGTTTTGTTGGAAAATTATCTTACAGTTAAATCAACTGAGTTTTTTCCTACTTGTTACTTGAAGTTGTGCATACGAATCGCCGTCAGTTTCCGTTTTTACGGATGTTTGTTTCAGATTGTCCGTTGTAAAAATACTTGAAATTTTAGAGTTTATATTTCCTTTTGACTAGCATTCATCTTCTGTAACTGTAACTAAAGCTTACTGTCTAGTTTTGTCTGATACTGTGTGAGTAATTAATGATTATCAGAAAGAGGAACCAAAACGCTGTTATGATGTGGAGTTGTGAGAACGAATGAAAATATTTAACGATTGATAGTCGAGAGTTGAAACGATTCAACCCGAGTGATTCGCAAAGAGAAACTGAAAGACTGGAAATCAGTTGAGTTTATGGTATCTTGGACTGAAAACTTTTATGAGTGAAAACGGACTCTATTTATAAAGTTCATAGTAGCCTTGAAAGACAAGGAATAATTAGTATAGTTAAAGAGGCAGGAGCCAATCAGAACAATAGCGGGTCATACGAAATATGACCTATGTGCGGGAAAAGAACGCGAAATAAACCAGTTCAAATATATAAAAACTGTAAGTATGGAATATAAGGGATATCGGCATCCCTAACAGACACACCTTCTTTACTATCCGTAACCCATGAGTTAGATTTAGCCGCATTTAAATATACTGGTGTTCTCAATCAGATTAGAATGCCAACAACAATCCAAATCCTCAATATTCTCCTTTTTTCCCACTCCATAGTTATGCAATTATCTGGAAAAGAAGATAAACACCATTTTTTCTAATTCAATAACAACAGCATCAAATTTATTAAGCACTGAACCATCAACTAACAATGAGCTGTCGCTTTCATTAACTGGGTCATCTGGTATGAAACGATTTATGCAAGCTGTACTTCATCCAGGTGCTGCTAGTAAAATTATGAATATTCCTAATGTGGAACGTGAATGTGAGTCTTCATCCCTTTTTTTAAATCTACATTTTATGAATTATCAACTAAGCAAATATATGCAGGTTTGTACAGTAGATCTCAATTCAAATCGGCAAAACTAAACGTTATCGGACAATCAATCAGTTTCAAGTATGCATTGACCAATCAGAATCGAGCATATGAAGGACAACATAATTGTTGACGAAAATGGTATTTTATGTACAATTTATAAATGTTTTATAGGAAAAATAAAGGTATCTAGAATCTCAATAATTTTATTACCTTATTTATGGTAATATCGAAAACAAGATATTCAACTAAGAGGGACTCTTTTCATAATAACAAACCAACAAATGAGTCCACTATTGTCTAAAAAGTCAACATTAGATCATCAAAACAGAATCCTCCAAGGTGAAATAGTTTGTGATTTCTGGAGTTTAAAAAGGATTACGTAATCAGGTATGTTTGAGGGCAGTGTGTAGTAGATTAAAGTGATGACCAATAGATTAAAAATTAAACGGGTCAAAAATAATAGTACTTAGTTATAATCGATAGTCGGAGTAAAGTATTATGAAATTTTTTTATGGGAGATTGGAGCTAACATGTTAATATGTGGGAAATTAAACCGCAAAGTAAAAATAAAAAGTAATGATAATTAGTCAGCAAGAGTAAAATGAATATCGAAGTAATAAAGAAACTCATGGGTGGATTATGACCACGCTGAAATAAGAGAACGGACGTACCTCTTCTCTACCCACAGCTCCATTCTCCCGTCAAAATTCTCATAATACTTTATTACGATTCTCGATTATAACCAGTACTAGGATTTTTGACCCGTTCACTTTTTAACCTATTAGTCATCACGTTAAGCTATTGCATATTACCCTAAAACACCTGATTACGTAATCCTTTTCTAACTCCAGAGACTACTAACTATTTCACCTTGGAGGATTCCATTTTGATGACCTAATGTTGACCTATTAGCCAGTTTTATCATCTGGCATTGTCTATATTGCTACTCTTCCACATGAGACTAGATCGTATCTCCTAGGGGATCACGAGGCCTCGTGATCCTACTAAAGGTCTTGAAAACTTTCTAAAATAACTTCACATATCTTCAACGTTGTTTCTCTCCACCCCAGTCGTCCGATCAATGAAGTGCTTCTTGGTGGAAATAACTTGATGGTGTTGTTGCTTGTATAATTCCGTCGTTGGTTGGACTGAATTGATTGTTATCTATTGGCATATGGGCTCCTGCGCAGATGCCTTGATACTGTCTATGCTTTAATTAGATATTAATGATGGGTAGTGACTACAAGTAGAATCGAGGATGCTCGTTTCGTCCTATTTGGGACTAGCACAAGAAGTGGCTATCGTAGCTTGGCGATCTAGTGAATAACGGTGTGGTGTGTGAAGCGATCGGTCCTGGGCTTCGAGTCCCAGTGGGAACAACACTCACTGGGAGATAGGTACATCCAGGTGACGAGTCCCAAACTGGACGAAACGTGCGTTCTGGATTCCACTGCTAGCCATTATCCATCATTAATAAATAACTTGACGGGATAAACCCATTTCGGATAACAGTATGCACAACTTCTAATCATCTGTGTATTTTGTAGCTTCCTGCCGATTACCTCCATCCAACTAACAGTACCCAATCCAACCCATTTTTTTATAAGCAGAAGGATAGATTCTTTCTTTCGATTGTATATACCAAGAATCTGTCATTTGTCGAGACATATCTGTGTAACTTACTCATTCCTGTCTAAGTCGTCTTCCTTAGCTATATTTGCATTTGGTACGTCAGGTAATCGGTCTATTACAACACCATATTCAAGATTTAAACTTCTCGCAAACAATCTAACTCTCTACAACTAGCAGGCAACGTAATCTTCGTCACAGTTCATAAATAACTTTTGCAAAATCAACAAAATGGTAAAAGGATCTTGATATATTTCATCTCCAAACTGATTGATTGTCCTTAAGGTTTCCTAGTACTAGAGTTCAATCCTACCGCCCAATTTGTTGTTTGAAGGCTTTGTTATACTATCTGGCTGCCCAAATTTTAGTAAGTAAAGTATGCGGTAGGGGGGGGGGCTGGAGCCGATGACCTGCTAGTTGAAAGTCAACTGGCTACACCAGCGAATCATATCGCCACCTAAGTTTGTATTCATGGGCATATGTTTCACATTAGATTATTTAAATGAATGTTACTTACACAATTCGAATCGAAGTTCTTTTAGAGAAATTGTTTCACAAGTAGTAGCTATTGATTCAGGACTGCCAGTATTCTGGTATTAAATAAGAAATTGATACTAGTTGACCTGCTGTTTGATGCTACGATTATTTTTGAGAAAAAATTAATTGAGAACTCTGGTCGACTAAGTAACTAATGTTTAGCGATGTGAATCTCAACAGAAATTGCAAAAAAGTACAGTAGCTAGGTTAACTAACGTTCTACTCATATTTATTTTCCCACTTTTATAATTAAAAAAAACACCTAGGTGAATACGATTTCTTATGATTCTATGATATATCTGAATTTAACGTCCAAATACCTTCAACACTAAGATTTTATGTGTCATTAGTTTTCATTGTATACTTATTGTCCTATAATGTCTCTATGTTGAGGTCATATCATCATTGTTATCAAGGTGAACAGTTTTCAGGAACGATGAAATTCATTACTTTGTTACAACTACTAACATACATACTGTAGTGGACCCAAAGAAAAGTGTCAAGTAAACCAAAGTGTTAAGCTCAGTATAATTAACAAAAATAGATTCAATGACACACGAAGATGAAAAATTATACATGATCATAAAAAACAGTAATATCAGTGTTACTCATGACAATAGGTTATTACTATTTATCGACATACTTGTTATTCTCTGTTGTTTTGTTGGATCGAATCGTTCGACCTGTATTGGCATATTGGCTCCTATGCGGATGCCTCGATATTGCCTGAATGTTAATTATGATAATTTGGCTGCTTGTGGCTAGCAGAAGAATCCAGCTTGACGCGCGTTTCGTTCTATTTAGGACTCGTCAACTGCATGTACCTGCACCCCAGTGAGTGATGTTGTTCCCTCTGAGAATCGAACCTCCTACCCACCCATCGCTTCAAACGCCAAGGCGTTGTCCATCAAGCCTCTGAGGAACTATAGCCAACTCTTGATTCAACTACACAAGTAAGAGAAGTGGCTAAAATATTCCACCAATTCACTAACCATCATTTAAACTCGGAGTCCTTGAAGACAAATCCTAAAATATTCACAACAAGTGAAAAACGCATGCAAAACATGCAATTCTGGGGAAGGTTTTTGAAGATCCTACATTTTACCATCCTCTTTACCTAACAGGACTATATCATCTGTCTACACAGCAAATAAATCATCATCTTCTCTCTTGACGTTATATTATTAATTGCTTGGGAATTCAAACAAAGATAAGCAGGGTGACTGTGTAAATTCAAGTAGACAGCTATGATTAGCACAATATATTTGCTCACTAATCCCTTCACATTAAGGTACTGTCATAACAATATGCAACCGATGAAGTTGAATGTCACCTTCAGATCAAGAAATATGAAAAGTACTAAATGATATTGGGTATGTTTGTTTTCACGAAGGCTGAAGATCTGACCAATGCAATCCAACTCAGGTCTGGAACGTGTCTGGTTCTCCCGAGTTTATTGGTCTCAAACTTCAACTAGACATCGAATGACTATGGACTCTGCCACTGTAAACAGTATGTTAACCTAGTCACTTTCTTTGTGGTTATCGTAAGTATTGTAAGGGATCGAAAGCAGGAAGATATGAAATTCGGCATATTTCAGCCAATTAGTTCATTTCTTTTTAAAGGCAATTCACTGAGATATCCCTTCTCAGTAGTCCTTCCTAACTATTGTAACAAGTTTTCTACAGACTTACTGTTTATTGTTTCATACCATTTCATTGAAAAGGAATAGCCAATTGTTGTTGCTCAAATTGCTTTTTGGAACACTTGTAATCTGTTATATGCTGTCGACATACTACTCATCTAAAGAAACTCATTAGCTACAAATCTGACAGAAAGGAAATAAAAAACTGCTGGTAAAATGGTTATGGATATCTTATCTTGTGCATAGTTTAGCCGGTGAATACTTATAGGCGAAGTATAGGCTAATACGGAGACATTCACATATTAGGGTGTGAATAACGGAGTGAAGACAATCAATGAATATTCACATCAGACAATAGTCAATGGAGGCAGAAGTCGAAGTGGACAGAAGCACACTATATTCACACGTTTATAACTAGAAACCGAAAAATGATATCACTACAACCAAAAGTTCAACGTTTTAAATTGTGTAGATAAACAAGATTCGTTTTTACAAGTATTAGAATGAATGTAAAGAATGTGTAAAAATGTGATGAGAAGGAAACATTATTTTTAATTTAAGTTGTTTATGCATAATTTCGTGCAGTCTACACAATGTTTATATGTGATCATAGGAAAAGACAAGACATGGTTGGAGCGAAGAAAAAAATTTTCTTTTCAAAGAAGTCATTTACTAGGCTGTACACATTCGTGAATAATTGTTATAGTGGGCAAAACGTTCCAGAATTATTTTCGGTTAGGGGGCAAAATATATTGAATCATTAAATGAAGTTAATCAACACACATTTGGGTTTAGAGTGAGAAAATAGACAAGGGATTATGGAAATACATATATAGTTACATGATATAGGATGAATCTATGACAATCAACGCTTTATGATGACCATGGCAAAGATAAAAGTTGGACATACCTTTTTTGGATGCAGAACCCTGGTTAAAACTTCTGATGGCTGGTACTTCAGCTTTCGACAAATGCCTTGATCTTATTCCCTTCGAGTGGTTTGATCGAGCCCTGTAGAGAGTCTTGAATGAACTCTCAAAAGAAGTTAAATAGCCTGATTGTATTTGTTGTCCTTCATTTTGAATCACAACCTTTTTTCAAAAGTATACCAAGAAAAATTTGGAACATTTTCAAGTAAACAACAATTAAGGTGACATTGATAAAATGACTGTAAGAGATGTAACTATATCCCGTATGAATCGACTTTGCATAGTCCTAATATTTTCTATCAAAGATCCCAGTCAAGTTAAAGAAATTTTCGGACGTTGTTTATTGACATTCATAATTTCCTGCTGCTCTTACTGGGTCGAATCACTCGACTTCTGTTAACAGGTGAGCTCCTTTGCAGATACCTTTGTACTCTCTGAACATTCATAATACTGTAGTTTATTTGATGGTGGCTAGTGGTAGAATCCAAGACACGTGTTCTGTCCTATTTATGACTCGCCAGTTGGCCTAGTGGGTAACGCCTTGGCGTTTGAAGCAATGAGTCCTGGGTTCGAGCCCCAGGGAGATTATCATCACCCATCAGGGTGCAGTTACATCTAGATGTCGAGCTCTGATAAGAATGAGGTGTGTATCCTGGATTCCACTCCTAGTATATTTTCGCATGGTTCAAACCAAAGTTGCTTAAGTTTATAAGTTGACTGAATTGTATGTGTACTGTGACGGGGATTATTGAAGAAATTTTGGTCAACAACAAGTGTTATATGATAAATACTAACGAAAGCGAGAAACAGTTTCCACCATCATCTTCTATGGCAACTGTATTGTTCATATCAAAACGTTTAACCTAATTAACGCTCATAATGAGGCATAGAAGGTAAATTTACTGTACAGAAGATACTTTTAACCTATAAATAGTAAACACAGTAAAAAATAACTGCAGTAGACGATGAAATAGTTTTCGACTTCATTTTATACTGATATTTTCTTAAGTAGCACATACACAATGTTATATTGGTCTTGGTGACTAGCAGAGGAATCCAGGATGCACGTTTCGTTTTATTTCGGATTCGTCAGCTGGATGTACTTGCACCCCAGTGGGTGGTGTTGTTTGCGCTGGGACTCGAAGCCGAGGTCGATCGCTTCAAAGGCCACAGAATCATCCATCAGGCTATTAGGATGCTATAACATACACACATTTACTATTACTATTATCATTATACTTAAAGCTGAAATATATTCACTTCTTAATATGAAACCTATTTGTTTATCGATAGTTACTAATAAAATACATTATTTTTATGGTTATATTCATCACAGACTGACATCAATTGGAGAACCATGGAAAACTTGGGAACACTGGACAGCTGTTGCGTTAGAAGTGAAAGAGAAGCCAACTGAAGATGTTGTTGGTTAGTCGCGCTATATCGTGAATTGACAAATGTAGAAAATTGTGAACCATTGAACCCTGACCCAGTGGCTGATTAGACTTGAAGGTCTTGTGTTCGATCCCTAACCGGGTTGTGGGTGCGTACCACTTCAGAGTTAACAGTGGTTCTCCAATTGATGTCAAACTAAATACATTATTGTTTAAATCCTTTGTCTTCTATTTTCAGCGTCCATGATGCATATATCAAATGTTGACCTGACTGATCATATAGAAAGTCACCAATTAATTGTTCTGTCAACTGCCTTCTTTTTAACTGAACATTTTTCTGGCCCACCAGTATATCCGATAGTAACAGACTCAGGTATGGGTATTACAGAGATGTTATCTGGTCTTACAGCGAATCTCTTCCGATTAGCTCCATCAATGCTTGGTGATACCCCTGTGGTGAATCGATTAAAAAGTGTGGGATACATTGTAAGTGTTTAGTAGAATAAAAATTTTTTTTTTGTAATGTTTATTTTAAGTGGGATTTAATTGTTTAGTCGGAGGGAAATAAGTGTAACAGCCTGTTTTCGCTTACGTATTATCTTCATTTGCTAAGAATATAAAAATATTCACAAATAGGCCACTGAAAGAAGGGTGGTAACCGATTTAATCATCAGTCTTGAATTATCAGCATTAAATGAAGTTTTCAGTCAAATGGGCAATATGACCACCACGGTAGGTAGTGTAACACTTTGTTGCATTATCAAACAGGTTGAAATTCATCATGGACTGACATCAGCTGGAAAAAGATTGGAAACCTGGAAGCAATGCACATCTGTTTCGTCCTAGTATGGGACTCCTCAGTACTGCGCACCCATGACCCCACCAGTGATCGAATCCCAAGACCTTCATATTCCATGGCCAGTGCGTTACTATTGAGCCACTGGGTCGGAATCTAATCTTCCATATTTCCTACTTCTGTCAATTCATGATATAGCGTGACCTACACCAAATGTTGTCGTTGAGTAACTGTCCTCATGTTCGACTTGGTTGACTCAACTGGTCACGACTTCTCATTAGGACTTCAGGAATCACCTCGCGAGGATAGTCATCAATGGGTGCTAGATTAATTCTATCTGCAGGTTTGTGGAAGTTTATTAATTGATTTTAGTCCATGATGAATTCCTACCTAAAATCAATCAATTAACCTCCACAAACTTCCAAACAGGAGATTAGTTGACGTCTAAACATTTCTAACTTCATTACTGAGTGATACAAGTTTGAACTAATGAGGGAACACAAGTCTTGTGGTGACGGATATACCCTGCTGGCAAGTGTCAAGTAGTGTTAAACCTAAATACAGAACTTCCTATCAACTTACTCCTTTCATATGAAAGCGAGCCACAAAACCCTATATCCAAATGAATGCATCCTTTAAGTTAAATGCCCCAAAACTTAGTGGTAGAAACATAAGATAAAAGATGATTATGAAACTTTTTTAATTGAAACCGATACCAAAGAAAGGTTGAAATCCAATCTATGTATCCGATGAAGTAAACTTTCCAGTTTTACTTGGCTTAGGTGGTAGTACTTTCCCAAAATTTATCCAAAGTTTAGTTAACTCATTATCATCAATAGTATTTCATACATTTTAGTACTCTTTGATTTTATCTTCTTTTCGATGCCTATCCTCTAAATCCTCTTATCTTAACTCTGTTTGTTTCCCCTGCCTATCAAATTTGAGTTCGCTTAGTAGTTTAGTTTCACAGGATCTACAATACTAACTCCCCAATCCTAGTCAATCCTTGTCGCCAAGGTTCGATCCCTGGCGGGGTGACGGGTGCCCGTTGCTGAGGCGTCTAATACTAGGACGAAACAGCTGTCCAGTGCTCCCAGGTTCCCAATGTTCCTCCAACTGATGTTAGTCTATCTTGAATACCAACTTTAAACAAGTTTTGTCAAAATGTTTTAACAACTTTGTCCACTTTAGTTAGTTTTGGTCATTTTACTTCTACATTATTGGTATTGGTAATTTCTGACTAGTTCAATAAAAGCTCTTAAAGTCATTACTGTTTGTAATGTATACATCTTGATATTGTTGTAGTGACCAGAGACAATCCAAAAACATAGTGAATTCATTATTTATGACTTCACTTATTGTTCTAACTCTGTTGAGAGAACTCAGACGTCACTGGTTCGAATCTCACCTCAACCTAGACACTTTCATACCTGCATTAGTATATCATAAGTTTATGAATGTCTAAATGTGATCAATAAATGTGGATAATTTTTATTTCCGAGGGAGTTGTGGAGACTTGGAAATATTTCAAGTCGTGGGTTCGATCCCTGGCGGGGTCGTGGGTGCTCACTGCTGAAGAGTTGCATACTAGGACGAAACAGCTGTCCAATGCTCCCAGGTTTCCTATTTTCCTCCAACTGATGTCAGTCTACGATGAATAACAACGTGGACGTTTTATTTCTGTGTAATCGGCTTGCATGAAGTTTTCCCTATCCCGTTATAGTAAAGAAACTACGCTTGTCCATATATGTCTTTATACACTACTCCTCATCATATGGTCTAGTAGGATTTGTACAGTTCTTTCATTCATCGGTTTAATTTCCTTCAATTAATATTCATTCCAGTTATTTATCATAGAGACAAGCATAAACAACATTAAACGTAACAGTTAGTTCGGTATCAGTCCAAGTTGTCATACTCAACATCATCATATCACTGTATTAAGAAGGAAAGTAGAAAGAGAAAATAAAACAACATAATAAATAATCTTCAAATACCTGCAAAACAATTATAACAAGAATGAAGTGCAAACCTAAAGTTGTCAAGTCTGATGTTACCATCTGATCAGAAGTGGCTTAACTGGAAATCAACACTTTAAGTCATCAGCCACTAAGTTAGGAGTTATCGTATTTCACTTTTTGTTATGCGAAAACCTTAATAGACAATTTTGTCCTACAGTTGACCAATCAAAACAAGTTATTTAACTTTTGACCTAGTGGTTTTATATGTTCATGAAAACTGCATATAAATGATGCATTTTTGTCGAATTAAGTGTCTTGCTTACAGTTACAGGTCAGTCTTTGCATTGTGATTTTCGTAGCTCAGTGAAGTACAATGGTTCTGAGGGACAGCAGTCCCTCATTGTATTCAATCCAAGAGTCTCTTCGTGTTAATATCGTCGGCATTATCTATTATTATTCACTCGGTCACTTCAACATCTCTTAGCTAAATGCAACAACACCTTCAGTAACGCAGTTGTTTAGTCTACACAACTGCTTGCTAACTACCAACTGACGACTTGGAAACTCTATTCATCTTCTTGAACTGGATAGTTGATTCAACTGTGTCTTTTTTCCCATCATTTATGATAACCTGTTATAAGTTCTTTCGAAATCTGCTTTTGCTTTTATTTTGTAGCAAAGTTCATCGTTGAGTACAGGGACTACTGTTGATTTAAGCTACCCACTTTCCGTTCATATGGCATGGTGTCAAGGTATTGAACGTCTCATTCAAACTGGTCGTCTCGGAAAAGGCGCTATTAGTGTATGTATTATATTTTTCATTTCTTATCAGCTTTATTAGATATCCTTACTATTATGGAAAGTGTAAATATAATGAATAATTTTGTTAATTTCAGCTATTTGATCAGTTAAAGCATCAATTTACACTTGAAATGTGTCTATCGAAATAATCATAATGTTCAACATTTAATATTGTTAACACCTTTTAAGATTGAATCCAAGTTTCTCAGGAAGACAAATCACCCTCCAATCATTGATCTAGAAGTTCATTGTTCAATATTTTACAACTCTTGTTGTTGATTATCGTTTATCGATTTAAAATTCATCCTCAGAGTGATTAGAATTGTTCAGTTAACATTGCTATCCTTTATAATCCATTATTACTGTTTTAAGGATACTTATTGTACAGTGAGAATCGATAAAACTTGTTCATAAGAAATGGCAATTAGAGGCACAACCGATAGCTGCTAACTTGACCTAGTGGTCGAGTTTATATACCACCGTGAACCAACGAGCTATGCTGTTTAGAAATTTTTTCCTGAAGTTTCTACCATAGCAGAAGCATCTATTAGATAGTGATAGATTGGTATGCTGTTATGGGGGTTCGAGTGAAAATTCGTACTATTGTTTGAATGGGAATATGACAGCAATAAGCTGTTTTCCGTAGGTGACTAGTCAGTTTATGTTGATGCTACCTTCCCCACAGAAACAGAGGGTTAGAAGTAATTGGTCGACAAAACAGCGCACTCCTCCATGCCCTACGATTTTCTTCTGCCGGCGGTACGGGTTCTATAGCCAGATTTAATACATTGGAAGTTAAATCTTATACTTCTAGAGGAATTATGCGACCGGCCTGAAGCACATATCCTTCACCCTCTGCAGTCACTCATCACTATCACTACTTCAGTTTATTTTTCAGGTACATCTAGAAGAAGTAAAGTCCCACAGTGTGGGCATCCAGGAATTGTCAATTAACTTCACAACTCTTTCAGCATTCATGCTCCCTCAGATCATTATAATCCTTCCATATCTTTACCTTTTATCCTTTCTCTACGTTTCTCTACCAGTCTTCTTCCGTTGTCTTTAATTTTTTCCATCTCTGCAACCCTTGTTAACGATCCGAGCTCGGTCTCCTGAAATCGCGCTCCAAACCATAAATTGAAGCTTTCAACGTCCACACCTCCCTTGAAATTGGCCAAGAAGCTTTGCTAGCTAAAACGTTAGCATCTCTGGCCATCGGCGTGTGCTTTGTTTGCGTGATACATATAGGATCCAAGTGTGGTTATTCACTTAACGTCATATCGTCAATATGTTTAATCCACAGAACTGACTGAATTTTCGGAGGTTCGATGACAAGTTCTCATAGTCTTGCAGGTGTAGGTGTATCACTAAGAACTAAGGCAGAAAGTGTACTACTCAGCTGGATCCTAGTTGACAGTCGCCTAAACGTTGTTCAACTAAATGTGCAGTGAGGACCAAGCAGAATGCCAAGACTCGCCGTTGTCTCTCTGTAGTCTCTGCTTATATGCTCACTGATTTATGGTTTGGATGAAGTGTAAAATTCTTTCCACCAAAAAATATGTAGCCTCTTTCTGAAAACCAAACGTTCAGACTTGGTAATCGTAGCAGGTTGGAGAAACACTTTTGAGGAAGACATCAATTCACCTCCAGCTAGTCTTTGACTGATCTCTAACCAGTCGGATGCTAAATATAACAATGAGATAGACAGTGTAACTCTTTTAGAAGTCGAGAAGGCTGTAAATAACATTCAGTGTAGAGCAACTACACAGCCTGATTGATTAACATTGGAAGTAGTCAAGGCTTACTGGTTTATGTTACCTGAATCATGAGAATCAGATATAATTCTGTCGAACTGGTTTCACTTACTGATCGTTCTAGTCTTGGAGAAAGGAGAGAAATCTTCCTATGATAACCACAGGGAATCAGTCTGGCGAATAAAGTTTCTGAAATGCTAGGTTTATTTGTCATTAGAAGCTTAAGTGAACCTCAAGCACAATGAAGCCGATAAGACTGGACCAACTTCAGACCTATTCGTGAGTGTATCGACAAGATATCCACCCTCTACCGGGTATCGAAAGACAGGCACACTTACCAGCTCCTGAAACGAGCTGTATTTCTTGACCTGGAGGCTGCATATGACTGTGTCGATCGAATAGCCTTTTAGAAAAGGGTGCAGTGTAAGTACATCGCTGTGTTAGAGATTCTGTCTTCTAACAGCTATGGACATGTTACAGCCTGTGGTGAGGTATCAGATGACTTGTGTACATCAATTTGTGTCTGTCAGGGCTGTCCACTCTCTCTATTCTCATTTAATTTTGTCGTGTACATGCTTATAGAGTCTTTCTATTCCTCATGCGATTTCGTAGGGATTCAAGAGAATATTTAGTAAGCCTAGAGTACAGAGATACTAACTAAGTTTATGTTGGTGCCTTTCTAACAATAGGAGATGATTGAGTGCGTTGATCATTTCACTTCGGAAGTTGGATCAGGCCCTTGTGAGTCAGTGACTGAAGAAATCTTGGCATGAATACAAAAGGTGTGTCTGGCTTTTGCCAACCTACGCCGTTCATCCTGCTGGCATGATATCCGAGAGACTAATAAGGGTTGAGCATATTACTCTGTGTTTTCCTCTCTTCTACCATACGACTTTGAAATATGACCAGACCGGACAGGGACGGACTCGAAATCATCGATCATAATGACCTGAACTGTGTTGTGCATCATCTACATCAGTATTGTAGAGTATATATCAAAATAACAAGAGAGAAGTGTTCCTCCGATTTAGAGTGTTTGCAAAAAGGTTTCGACGACATTGCATTGTTATTCTTTTTTTGAAACAAAAAAAAAACTGGCGTCTTTTAGAAAACAACTTAAATGAATGTGTGAAATCTAGCGAAGTCTTTAACTATGAACAGCACATGAAATTTAAAGCGAAGGAATATATTTTGGTAGGAAATCTTTTCAAATAAACGTTACTTCTTCGATTGGGTTCTCAATTCTCAGGTATAATGGTTCGACGCTTGAACGCAATCCACCTTTTTCGACCTCAATGTCCTATATTGTGCGCATAAACCCTCATATAAATGTGTCTGCTAGCCTAATACGTAAAAGTGTATTGTATCATTGAGTTTTTGTAGCGTATCTCTTGGCGTTCACAATTTATTATGTTTAAGTCTCAAACAAATAATCTCAAATCCAATGATTATGCTAGGTCAAGTAGTCCAGAATAGATAAAGGGTCACATTCAAAGGTCACCTTCATAATTTTTTGAATGCATAATTTAAACCTGATCAGTTTACTATCAGAAGACGGAAGCAGTTCCTTTGTTTGTGAATGCAAGTTTTCAAGCTATCGAGAAGGCTAAACAGAGAAGAGCGGAGATGTGACAAGTGAAACTGGTCGAACCTCTCGAAAATCAGAAACCAGAAAGGAATTTTCCCTTCAGACCCAATTCTCTACGGTTCATAACATAATTTAAAGTCAAACTGATTATGTTCATGCATAAACCACACCAATATTAATCCGCCTGTCACCTTAAAATTCCTTATGGTTATGGTATATAGAACTGTAAAAGGAAGACTGCATAATGATAGTTACAAGATTCAGGCACTTTAAACTCTATATAACTGTGTACTCCTATCAAGACAACTTCTAGAGAGCTCTAATCACCAAATGACATCAGCTGAATAAGTGCTAACAGCGTGGTATACCTAAACGCCTCGCCAATGGGATCACTCTCAAACCTTTGATTATTCATTTGAGCTTTTATCTTCCTGCAGAGTTTGGCCTTTTTTTAATCACATTTATTCTGATGGAACTTGTCAAAAAACTAATTTATCTGTTTTGTTTTTGTTTGTTTGTGCACGTATGTGTGTTTGCGTGCATGCGTGCGTGTTCTATAGAGTTTACAAAAAATGTGCATTAGTCGAATACGAACCTGTCGTTCAGCCCATATCAGTTTTCTTGCTATCCGTCTATTATTGACTTGTATGTATGCAAATTTGGGTCGGTTAACTCATCGAATTCAGCATCACCGACAGCATCAGTTCATGTCAACTACCCAGAAGTCAGACGATAATTTTAATTCACGAATTCATGAGACAAAAAATGATCAGGTTACTGTACCAAGTGAAAGTGAGTCTAATATTCATTAAATTGTGTGTATTATCTTGTTATAAATTGATACAACTATATCGTAGAACATTTATTATTATTATTTGTCCATTGGATTCCTAGTGGGACATACGGCTTCAGTAGCACGTCTCCACTACACTCTATTCTCTGCAGTCTTTTGAACCTCGCTCCACGACTGCCCACAAGCTCTCATTTCTTCCTCACACCATCTTCTCAATGTCACCCTCGCCTCGAACGCCCAAATCGTCGTTTCCCATCTGGGTTCCACTCGAGCAACTGGTCTGGCACATGATGTCCCCAATCCGCCCTGCTCAGTCTATGCCCAATCCAATCCACATCCACTTTCTTCTGCATATTTGTTGGGCGATAGGTTGTTGACTGGTTCGTTGTCAGAGTTCCTTGTTACTTATTCACATTATTCTGACCATCTGATCTTCAGTGTCAGTATCGTGTGAGCGTTGGTGGAGGTGTCGATGTATGTCTGTAGTTTGTTGAACATGGTTTTCGTAACGCACCAAGTCTCTGAAGCATCACATTGAAGCAGTGACTTGACTGAATTAGTGTTGATAATCCAGATGTTGTTCACGCTTTATGCTGAGTGGAGTGGAGTGGAGTGGATCTCCACACTGGTTTCAGATTGAAGAAAACCTGTCTTGCTGGCCTTTCGATCCTAACTTTGACATCGTCATCTGTTCCCCTCCCTGTAGTTGGTTGGAACGATGCTGTCTAGGTAGGTGAAAGAGACAACTTCATTCAGGTTCCCCCCGTTGATGGTGATTGGTGCTTGTTTTTGTTGATGTTGTTGTTGTTGTTGTTTTTTGGGGGTGTATGTTCATCACCTCAGTCTTTTCTACATTCACTTGAAGTCCCGTCTTCGCTGCTGTGACTCTTCTGTCAACCAGTTAGTTTTCGTCTGTAGATCTTCGAGTTTGTGCTTGAATATATTAGACATAAATCATCATCGGCGGTGAGATCCAAATCTTCTTCTGGGGTTTTTCCATCAGTCTTCTCAAACAGCGTTATGCCCCTCTTCTCACTCTTCACAGTTTGTTGCATGATTCAGTCTAGTCCAGTTCAGTGCAGTCCAGTGGACCCAAATCAGGAAGATGATCGGTGATAGTAGGTGGCAACGCCTTGTCTTACTCCTGTGTTCACTTCAAAGGCATCACTGAGCTGAACTTTCTATTGTGAATCACTTGGCATTTAGCGTGGTTGTATAGCTGTTGAGCGAGGTTGATAGGGTTTTGTGGCACTGAAACCGTAGTGTTGAAGCAGCTGCCTGACAAGTTACTTGTCGGTCGACACTGTTGAAGTCCTTTTCAAAGTCGACGAAGTTGAGGTAAAGAGTTGAACTGTAGAACATGCTTGTTAAAATGTTTCACTCTCGCGATACAATTGACTCTGAAAGTCACCTTTGTAACCACTAGAGTATATGTCGACATCTTTTTTCAAAAATAAAAAATCTTACTCGGTCCTTTCAGTAAGTTGCAACAGTCGTCTTCATAGCCATTCGACAACACAACCGACTAACTCTATATCCTAATTTTACAACTACTAAATAACCAGTTAGGTTTATTTATGTAAAAGCTTTTCTTCAAGCTAGGAGTGTGGTCTATTTAAATAGGGTGACTTTAAAGGCTACTCTAGCAACAATTGAAATAACCAGTCAGACTTCTGCATTTTATGAAAATCTGCCTTTCCAGCCGAAATGAACAAACCTAATTGGTTATTTCGATTGTTACCGAGGTGGCCTTTAAAAGTCTCCGTAGAATTGCTCTCGTTCTTCAATGGGATTAGTGGGTAACGCTTTCTTGGTATTTGAAGTGATGAGTAGTTCGAGTCTCAGTAGGAACAATATCATTTACTGCGATGCAGGTACATCCATCTGATGAGTCCCGAATAGGACAAAACGTGGGTCTCAGTTACCAAAATACATGCAGTCACTTTTCTGTAATAAATTGATTCAGTCAAGATTTATAAACTTCTGTTGGATATAACTGGTTTAAACCCGCATATCAGCGTTCGTTCAGACGACTTCAAAGGCTATCCTAGCAATGATTAAAATAATCAATTAGGTTTCTTCATTTTTCTTAAAATAGAGAAGTCTGACTGGTTATTTTGGTTGTTGCTTCAATGTTTTCTTGAAAACTTTATTTATGAATCAAATCGAAACCTGGTCAGCAACCTTGTTCACTTTCGTGCATAAGGCAATGGGTTCGAACCGCGACTCGCTGGTTGAAAATTAACTCTCTCCAAACAAATGAACAATAACTCCACACCTTTATATACACTACCATTCAAGTTGGTCGCTTCTACCAAGAATATGATACGTCGGCGGTTTGTCTTTAATCACTGGGTAGCAGAGGGTGTTTTACAGTACTGAGTACCACTATTTGAGAGCCGTAAGTATGAATGTGAACGAATTGTTCTTGATCAATACAGTCAGTTTTACTATTTTTACTTTAGTAATAGTTGTAGTACTGGTAGACAACTTTTCATTTATCGAAATCACCAACCAGATTTCATGATCACATATCAACACAGTATGTTTACAGTGTTGATCCCACTGGGATTCAAACCTATTGTTGTTCAAACCTGTAACTACAGGTATTGCAGTTAAGGTATCTGAACTTTGATTCATTCTGTAAATAAACTAATCAATTCTCCTTTTAATATCAACAGGAACTAGATGTTGTCGCCGAGTTGTCTGTTAACTCACCTATGAGATAGTCTAATAGCCGATATATTTCTGAATTGTGAATAGCTAACATTGTAGACCATAATAAATAGTATTGTGTCGGAAGTGTTTACCATCCTATGATAATCGACTGCAAATTTTGCAATCCTTTAAAACCAACATCGGTGATAAAACAAAGTAAGTGATGAACTGACTTTCTAATCGATAGATAATTACCTTACAATGAAGATGATAACTGTTTGCTGTCGCCTAAGCTCCAATATATTCCATCGTGGGATACTTCATTACCAAGTGTGGGTTTGTTAGTTAGCTTTATATACTTCAGTCGCCACTTTTGTATATATTTACCGATGACTTGATATACCCTGAATTATGTATGTATATGGACACTTTAGATTCCATCCTTAATGGTCATTCGGTTTCTGCGTAAATAGAAAAGGCGAGAATAGAATAGAATAGGTGTATATACAACGACAACAGTACCATCAAATGTCAGTAATAGATACAAATTACAAGGCTTATGTATATTACAATGGTCTAGGTTTATTCAAGCCATTTCAGATTTAAATCCTATTATTCTTTCATCTCTTCACCTTACCTGATACACGTAAGTTCATGTCTTTTTTCCTGAAATTTCAAAACAAAGTGATTGGTTGGAAAAGGGTTTAGGTAGATGCGTTTTCTTATACAGATTTTATCAATCTTTTTACACATTATAACAGTTAATATTAACTTACTTGGAGTTTTCTTCATAAGTCAGTATCCAGATCAATTCATTCGGTGTAAATATGCACTGAAAGATCGAATAGGTTCAGTCGCATTGGCTTTTTATCCTCATTAGGTGTTTAGTATATTGTAGTTGTCTGCACTCAGCATGCGGAACAAGATACGGATTTTCAACACCAACGTCAAGTCAGTGCTCTTGTATGGTTCAGAGACTTGGCGCGTTACGAAAGGCATTTCCAATAAACTACAGACATTCATCAACAACTGCTTACGCTCGCTACTGGAGATCAGATGGCCAGAAAGAATAAGCAACAAGGAACTCTGGGAACGAACCAACCAAGAACCTATCACGCAACAAATATGCAGGAGGAAGTGGAGATGGATTGGCCATGCACTGAGAAGGCCGACTGAGGACATCACGCGTCAGGCCAGTTGCTCGAGTGGAATCCCCATGGGAAGCGACGAGTTGGGTGTCCCAGCTGAGGGTGACATGGAGGAGGTCGTGCGAGGAGGAAATGAGAGCTTCTGGGCTGTCGTGGGACCAGGTTCAAAAGATCTCAGAGAACAGAGGTCACTGGAGGCGTGCTACTGAAGCCCTATGTTCCACTAGGAACTCAAGGGACTAATAATAATAATAATAATATTGTAGTTGTGTTATCCAACTCACATTTTTCATATATTTGGTAGTTCTGTCCCATTACATTGGAATGCATTTAGATAAGATTTGACGGCTTCATCCGTACTCAGTTTCTTCAGTTAAATATTCATGAATTGTAGCCATTTCAGTATATTATGAATCAAATGTTTGTTGAAACATTTTCTTCAGTCAACTTAATCTTGTAACAACAATTAGCTGAATATTATTCATCTCTTACTGTTTTCTAACATGAATAGATGATTCAAAAATGCCTAGTCAATCCACAGCAAAATTTGAATCAAAAGTAGCTGATTCTGATTCACTGGAGTCATTACCTTCTTCAATTCTACAAGATTTTGAAAATATTTCAGCTCTTATACAAGAATCTCTTAATTGTTTATGGGAAAGATTTCGTGGTGGTATATCACTTGTCAATTCTCCAGTTCAATCAACTCATGGATTACAAATTCCTTGGACAATGAGTGCATGGACAAGTGTTATTGAAGCTCGTCTAATTGCCAGATTGTTACCTTTAATCAGTACTGATATAGCTCAAACAATTGTTAGTTTACTAGGTAAACCAGATACAATGAACAAACAGTTTAATGATTCATCGTCAATAATTGGTTGTGACACCTTGACGAATTCTGTTTTAAATAAACCATTGGGTGAATTCGCTCGTGCTGATCATGCCTTTCCAAATTTAGCTGCTTCAAATTTAACAGAGGTAATGATTTGTTTGATTGAGAAAAAAGTACTTTTGTTATATTAATGCATATACAAACTAGGTTATACATTGTACAGTGTGAAGTGGATTTTAAAATCTCATGTCTGCTGTCCATACTATACGAACATATCATTCACAAATAACTTGTGCTAATATAGATAAAGTCAGACTGACAACTAGATGTTTTATTTCTTAAATGTGAATTTAAGAGTGGCCACCCTATCAGCAGCTAAATTAACCAATCAGATTTCTCTACTTTATGTAAATCTGCCTTTCCAGCCGAAATATAAAGCCCAATTGGTTATTTCAGTTGTTGTTATGGTGGCCTTTAAAGACAGAATTTAAAGGGCACCCTGGCAACCGTTGAGACAATCAACTGGGCTTCGATATTTTAGAAAGACTGGCTTCTAGCCGGATTACCGAAATCTGATTGGTTAATTGGGCAGTCACCAGGGTGGCCTTTAGAGTCATCTCAGAAGTGTGATTGGTTATTTGAGTTGTAGCTGAAGCAGTTTTAAAGTCACCAAATTACTTGAATCTCTGACACAGTCACTAATACAAATATTTATGGTCGTGGTAGGGATAGTTTAAACTTAATACATGCATGTTTAAAAAATTGAGGCAACTTTAAAGGCCACCCTGGCAACTGCCTAATTGATCAATTGGGTTTCGGTATTCCGGCTAGAAAGTCAGTATTTCATAAAATATTTAAGCCTAATTGATTATCTCAGCAATTGCTAGGTTGGCCTTTAAATTCACTCTATCATGGCTAATAAATTGAATCTCATATATTGTTATTCAAGTATATCAGACTTACAAAAATGTATATTGATATCCTATACTGTCTGTCTGGCATGTTCTATTTATGTTAATCTACTTCATAACGGGTGTAGCAAGGACTTTAGTGAACGTTTTATTATTAATGTGCCCTAAAGGACCGGTTTCGTATTTAGTGTGTAGGTGAAGTATCCGTAACATGAAATGTTGATGTGGATTACGAATTCAGAAATCATGTTCATATTTGTGCAGTAGGTAATGTGACATACCTATTTTGTGAAGACTAATCATACTATCTGTCTGACCAAACCTCAGTAGGTGGGGCAGTATTCTAAACCTTGATTCACTGGCTAGAATTCAACTGCCTGAATCAATGTGTCACAGCTCCACTTTGGAGCAGATCAATCTGTGTCAGTAAAAAAATGTGAAAACATACTTTTCTTTAAGATAGAACGTAACAGTTAAAAATTTCAAATTTTTGTATCCACTCACTTAGGTATATACTACTAAGGTGACATTACTAATCCCTATCTAAATTAAGTAATCCAGGAAAATTAAACACTATAGAAACTTCTTCCTTGTTGACGAATGATGAAATTCACGGCGTATATTTCACCAGTTCCAGAACTCATCAGTTGAAGATGTGTCTGATGTTCCAACCGAGACTTAGCATTTATTGTATTGGATATCAAAGGCCTACCCATTAACCCAAAGAGTTAAAACAGCCACCTCTTCTGTGATAAGTATTGGTTGTTATTTACAATTTGCTATTTCCTAGACTTCACTGTTAGTCACCATCAAAGATAGCGTGACAGTGAAAGCCTATTGCATTTCTACAAAGAGCATTTATGCTAACAAAGGCTGATCAATGCATTCTGATAAGTTGAACAAAAACAAATCATAAAATCTGAATAACAGTAGCTATATTGATTGGTCTGAAGAAGAAACTCGAGTGCTGTCAGAGTTGTCAGGGCGGTTGACACCTCTTGACTGGCCACACCGTGGAAAGCTATTTCTTCTTAAGCTACCTGAAAGAGATTTCTGTGACCGTAGAAGGCACTGAGAAGGCAGCATCAGCATGGTGCTACTGGTCATCCAAGGGCAACATCTTACTACTGTCACACCCCATCCAGCTAGTAGCAGTACGACTTCGCCCTCAGACCCCCATCATAGTGTAGCAACTTACACCACAACGGTAACTGCTTTTCATTTAACCACTATCCAACTTACTTTTCTGATATGGTAGGACCTCGAGGGAACGAGCGTTCCACCAGCGCAGGTGGTTGGGTCATTGTGATATGCAAGCCCGACCACCACGTCAAGGTAGCAGCTATCGGTCAATATTGATTGGTCACTAGAGGGTAACCTTGTTCATGCCGTCTGCTGGTGAGTGCTGACCGAATTCAATTGATCATTCCGTAGTGTAACACTTTGGCATTTGAAGCGATGAATGCTGGGTTTGAGTTTCAGTGGAAACAACATCACTGTCTGGGGTGCAGGTATATTCAACTTATGTGTCCCAAATAGGGAAAAATGCACGTCCTGGATTCCGCTGTGAGTCACCAAGATGGATGCAGAAAGTTGTCGAACATCAAGTTGCGATGTTCATTAAGTTTATCCTTTTTTCAGTTCAAAGATGGAAAATATATCATCACTAGCCAGACTCGGGTTTCTACGTTTAAACCCGAAAGATAACTGACATCATAACAAATCGGTTATGTACCACTCCTTAACTTTCAACCGTTTTTCAACTAAATTTAGATACATAGTTTAGAAATATGTTAATCTGATTGTGCAGTCGCAAAACAGAAATCAGTTAATCAGAAGAGGGAGAATACACCTTATATTGATCTTGGTGACTAGCAGAGGAATCCAGGACGCGCGTTACGTTCTATTTGGGACTCGTCAGTATCGAGGCCTCCAGATAGTAACTCATCTGCCAACAGAGGTCAAACAATTCGACCCTGCATAACAACGGGAAACGACAAGTATCATTACAAGAACTGATACCCATTTCACAAGAGGTGGCTATCGTGCCCCAGTGGCTTAGTGGATCATACTGCGGCTTTTGAAGCGAGGGGTACTGGGTTTGAGTCTTAGTAGGGAAAACCTCACTCACTGGGGTGCAGGTACATCCAGCTGACGAGTCCCAAATAGGACGAAATACGCGTCCTGCATTCCTCTGCTAGTCAACAAGATGAATATAACATCATGAATAATCAGCAGTATCGAGGCATCCGCATAGGAGCCAGTCTGCCAACAACAGACGTTGTGAAATTCGGCCCTGTATAGCAACGAGAGTATACATTCTTCAAAAAATTGTTCATTTGAGTAATTTATGGGAACCAATTAATTTTAGGCCAATAATAATGGCTTCATTCTGGAAGTTATTTCAGGAATACTCTACAGAACTTTCAGGATGTCATATGGCACCAGTTGAATAGAAACTGATGATATATGAACATAATACTATCAAGTAAATAGAAAATATACCTGTAAAAACATAGCGATACGCCATCTATAACATTTTTAAAAATGCACAGTTACACAGTCACAGTCACATTAGGAATTTTATTCGTCATGTTTAAATAACAATAACTGTGTAATCTTTAATTAGTTTGCTTTAAAAAACGAAAATTGATTGGTTAGCCCATTTCTATCACTGTCCTCCTCGCATAGGATACCTACAAAATTAAGGTAGGTATTTGGATAATGTAATTAGAAGACGTAGATTATTATCTGAAAAATGTGATGTATTAGCGCTATACATTTCGAACAATCTGATCCCGCACACATTTACTTGTTAAGGCATTATACATGAAAACTGGAAGTGGGGGAAGGATAAATATGACATAAAGGAAATTCACTAATAAGAAAGATAATGAGAGGGAAAAAAAGGATAAGATTTAAAGACAATCTTGGTAATACGATAATGTTCCATCAGACGACCTTAGAAAATTACAATACAAAGTAACATCTAGTCTGGTAAAACTCCTGAATATCAATGTTATCAGCAAGGAAGAATTTGCTTCCCGCAAACCAATGGGGGTCTGTGCCACCTAATCTGTATGAATTACCTAAAATTCACAAAAGAGATAATCCTATACGTCCTATACTCTCCATGTTCCGTTCACCTACACATAAAGTGGCGAAATGGTTAGCAAAAACTTTAATTCCTATTCGAAATTAATTATGTAAGTTTTCTTTAAAAGATACTTTTGAACTTGTTGATTATGTCAATGATATTAATATCAAAGATAAGAGGTTGTATTCATTTGATGTCAACTCCTTATTTGCTAATGTACCCCTAATTAAAACCATTGACATTCTTTGTGACCATGAAGGTGAACATTTTTGACAAATAGATGGTGTGGCTATGGGAAGTCCCTTAGGACCATTGTTAGCTGATATTTGCATGTCACATATTGAATGCTTGACCGGCGATCTCATCAATAAAGTTACTCTCTATAAAAGATATGTTGATGATATAATCGCGATGTGTGATAAGCATGAAGATGCTACATATGTTTGTTAGAAAGACTTAACCACATAAGCCTAACATGCGAAGAAGAGAAAGACAACCGTCTACCATTCTTGGATATACTCCTAAGTCGTAGAAATAATGGTTCAGTAAAACGGTCGATCTACAGGAAACCTACTTGGAAAGGTCAGTATTTAAGTTTCCATAGCTTTTGTCCAACCCAATACAAGCGAGGTTTGGTAACTTGTCTATTTAAAAGGATCCAGCGTATTTGTACGGAAGACTCAATGGATGATGATATCAAAATACTAACGGGAACATTAGTGGAAAATGGATATCCATTGAAGTTCATAAACCGCTGCAAAAATCAGCAAGGATTCAAACCTAATCTGTACTCTGTTTCGAAGAAATGCGTGTACATTGCGTTACCATACAGAGGAGAATCTAACAGCATAATATTAAAACGAAGGTTAAGGTCTGCTGTTAGCAAAACGTACTATGCAGCTAAGCTTATCGTGGTTGAGACGACCAAACACCTGCTGCAACTTAGACCTCAATGCTCTATAAACGATTGTGTCACATCCCACTGCGTTTATAAATCTACATGTGTGTGTGGACAGACATACATACATGTGTGTACAAAAACAATTTGTTGTTTCACTTAATTTACCTTGGTAATCCTTATCTGATTATATTATCAAGACTAGTGTCACAACCTTTTCATATTCACTATATTTGACCT